CGTCACGCCTATCGGCGTCGAGGCGAGTCGGAAGAACTCATCGACTGGGAAGACGAGTACGACGATCCACCCGCTAGAGATGGACCGCCGCCGCTATTTGGAGCCGAGGACGACCCTCCTTCTGCATAGGACCGTGAAGTCGGTCCAGAGGGGGAGGGTGTAACGGTCACGTGACTGAGGATGACTGAGGACGTGCGCGTCACGGATAAGCGTCGTGACGCGCGGTGGCTTGGTACTGTATAGTAGACCTAGAAGTAGCCGCGCACCGCGCCCGCATGTACCTCATCGCTTTACACTACGCTGGACTATATACTGCTTGAAACAGTTCACTCCCCAGCGTGCTAGGCGACCACCCTTGTCTTTGTTACAGGCGGTGTTCACATTCAGTAATCGCATGGCACTCATAGTCTTCCACACATTCAGATGGCTACTCGGGAGGAATTATCAAGAAATACTACCGAAGCCTGATACTCCCGGGGATTCGCAGGCTACGCAGGCAGCCGGCGCAGACGGGCAGCGGCCAATGCCTACTCCATCGTCGCAGCCTTTGAAAACTTTTCAACACCAAGCGTGGCCCAAGCCGGATTCGCGGGACGGCAACATGTGCTACACTCGACCGCATCATGCTACGTTGATCAATACAGGCGGTGAATTCACTGATTCTGGCTCAGTGGAGGTAGATCACGGCTACTACTACATGGAGTACGCCGATGATATTTCGAAAGCCTGTTTGTTCTTCTCCCTTTCGCCCTCGGAGTATTTCATCACTTAACCCGCACCGACAGTGCTTTCCTTGGCTCCGAGCATGGAACGAGCCCAGCTCGCTGAATGCTATGACTGGGTTTCGAATCGTAGCTCCATAAACGAAGAGGTCGTCGTTCCTTTCCGCTTTGCCGCTGCTCTGGCCGTGTCCTATAACCTGGATCGAATTGCAGCGGATGGGATATTGGGGCTCGGTGCTGCAAAGTGCGTACAGTGATTGCATACCGGGGAAAGCCGCCTTGACGTCCCCTTATGGCAGTATTCAGCGCGGCTATGCTGGTTTTCGTGGTGACAATGAACTTCCGGTGTGTATACTATTTGCACGATGGATTCACAATATTTGTCGCAGAAGTCAGAAGTTGATGGCTTTTTCTTCCAGACATTCCTCACCGCTCTCAAGGATTACGTTAACCTGGCCAACGATGTATGTCACATCTCTACTGCCTATAACACGTTTTGACCGGGGCGAGTACCTCCACAGGTGAGCCTTGCTGGTCATATGATCATGTACTTTGCGTGCCGCCTGCCCGACGCCCATATGTGAGCATTCTAACAAGTTGTTATTGATGCCTCGACATCAATTCATTAACATGGCTGCTACTCTTAGCAAGGAGAATTGGCTGAGCTTTAACAACTGGCCCACGCTGAAGCCCCCCAACTGGTCGGATAGCATCAAGGTTCTTCCCGACACACGCGCTCGAGGAGCCGCACCTGCTTATCACTTTTGGATGCTCCCCCTTGTGAGCATGACACTCGTCAAGCGTGTGAAAGGCGCCTATGTGGACCTACCCACTGGCAACGGGGTTAGTGATTTGCAAGGCCCGGCCTCAGGCCGTGAGGCCGTCAGGCCGAGCCCTAAGTAGGCCGAGCCGAGCCGGGCTTTGAGGTGGTTTAGCAAGGGCTTATGACGGCCTCAAAGCCCGGCCTGAAGTGTTGCTGGGCCGTGCAGAGCCGGCAAGCCGGGGCCTTTGTTATCGTGCTAAATCAGCGTCCAAAATATGTTATCTCTCGGTCTGCGGGGTCAAAAGCAAGGAAATGTTGGCGTTGAATCCAAGTGGTGAGAGTGAGAACGCTGATATCGCCTTGGAGCCGGGTTAATCAAGTCCTAGGGCAGAGGCGCACTCGTGCAGTGTTAGCGCTGGGCCATCGCGAGTCCCACTTTGAGTGCAACACTCGCTCCTTCTGGTCTCTGAACGGCTCACGATGCACTCTATGTTTGTGAAACCGGCTTCAAAAGCATAAACACACTTTTTTTAACTCACATAGCTTTGCGACTCTGAGCCCCGGCTTAGCCGAGCCGGGCCCAAGCCGGCCTTGAGCCGTAGCATAGGGCCCGGCTTGCAGTCAGGAGAGGCCGGAGCCCCCATAGGCCGGGCCCAAGCCCCGTCTTTCAGGCCGAGCCGGGCCCTGCAAGTCACTAAACGGGGTCATCTGTGAACAAGGGATCCACAACGTCGTTCTCGATACCGGTCAGTACAGATGCTCACTTCGTTGATGAGGTGTTTTTTGAATTGTTCTATATGATTGTCAGGATGCAGTTTGTCATATGCTGCCCCAGAGACCATCACGCGCATCCGGACGACCGTTTTCCCATGCGAAAAGAACCAGCAGCTCGAAAGCTCGACGACTACAAGGCGCTACAGCGATCCTTCTTTCATTGTTCCCGACACGCCGGATAACCCCATCTACTGGATTCGCTATCGTTTTCAAGGGCTCCGGTCGAGTGAAGTCGAAGTTTACGGTCCGGCCGAACCCTTCCTGTGCCTCCGCAACCCTAAAGACAAGACACAACCTTTCCGGGAAGGTCTTATCCACTCAACCGCGACGCAGACGGGCTTCCCGTCGGATGTGAATATGATCTTCGGATTGGTAAGTGGTGAATCCGATTCCCTAGGTCGTCACGTCTCACTAGGCCACAGAACTTCTTCCATTCAATGTTCGTTGCATTGCACGCGGCAGGGCAGATGTCGAGGCCGTATGTGCAGCTTGCAGCTCAGCACCAAAGCCCAGGCAGGATGATGGAATTCGTGCTGCCCAATGACAATGTTGACGTGTAGGCGTTATGCATATCTCATATTGACATCCTCCATCATCGACTGTACTTGTCATACATCTTCGTTCGTGGTTGTACCACAAGCACTCACTTCCAATGATGATTATCTTGCTCTGTACGCTGAAAGTGAACGCGCTAGGCCACAGACCCATCCCTTACAACCTCCTTGACTACATCCGCAAAAATCGCGCAGCCCTTCGCGAAATCGGCCTGCGAGCGCCGAGATATCGAGGGCGGGGAGGACCGGAACACCTCGTACACGCTCGTCGTCAGGATCCACAGGCCCTTCGCCACGCAAATCTTCGGGACGCAGCGCGCGAGCTTCCGCTCGCCCCCTGAAACGCGTCGTATGGGCCGGTGCCTACGAGTGATGCGAACTCGACAGCGACTACGAGGCCTGTCCGCGCATGTCAATGACCATCAGCGCAATTTTCGAATTCGCGCGCAACGCATTTAGAGCGGCAAAGAACTCCTTCGGGCTATCGGGAGGATGATAAGTGGGCGGAATACTAGGCGGCTATGTCAGATGAGGACGCACCGCGTGTTCACGTTCCCGAAAATGTTTTCATCCTTCTTGACCTCAGCGTCGGGCGGATGCTTCGGCCGCAGCACACGCGACGACGTTACTGGCGTGTACGGTACATCCCGTGAAGCCTAGCCTGACTTTGTTCGTGGCTCTTTGCTGTCAATGATGTCGCTCACAACGAACCCCGTTCGCGAGGCCTCGGGAGCCAGGTTCGAACCATTATGGAACAACATCGGGAACTTCCGTCACAAACTAGTCAAATAACTCCGGAGAACTACTCTTCGGCGTCATGCACAAAATTCGCGAACTAGAGGGGGTGAAATGAGAAGCAAACGAGAAGCGCACCTTGCTGATCCTAAGGTTCAGCGCTCAGCGCTCATCGACAGCCTCTGAGGGAGACCACTGCAGGCCGAGGCGTGACACATACCTGAAGTTAGCAGCTTGCGCAATATCCGTGTCGCTCGTGCCCTGCGCAGAGATGTACACATTCCCGGGCGTCCGCATTGCGGCAAAGAAGTGGGAAGACCAGCGAACGTGGCTCAGTGCAGCAGCATACTAATTCCGAAGACTCGATGTCCGGAGTCACAGCGAAATCCCCGCGCGAATTGAGGATTAAGACCAGGGGAGAGCATCCTGCACCCGCAGGGCTGCACAGCTTCTTCGGGAGGTGTGGTAGTAGGGAGAAACCATTGTCCGCCTGGAGGGTCCCGGAGCTGGAGGAGAAGTGCAGGAACCCTCGGCACGAACCACTCCCGAGAGGCTCGCGGGTGCACAGCTGGTCGAAGAGCGCATCACGACTAATGGGAGATGAAGAAGATATCGGTGAAGATGAGGACGACGGCAACAGACACAGAGGTGGACGCTGTAGACGCCACGCGCGGCTACAGCCGCCGACACGCTCTTCCGTTCTTCCGCGATCTTGCAACCTCTGCGTATTGCACCAACGAACTAGGAGTCAAGACTAGCGAATAAATCCATGGCGTCTACGTAAGTGTGCTGTCAATAACGAGCTATTCAGGTTTTGAGGCCGCACAACGTCCACAGCTTGGAGCGCCTCAACGACGACGTTCTCGTGCGGATATATGAGCTACTTCTCCCCAAGCAGGGCTTGCGCTCGCTTTCTCTGTCTTGCAAGTCGATTAGGGAGTCCTGCATGTCCGTTCTCTTCAGAGCTTCGTGGTGCAGGGCACAATTCCTTACCTGGGACGAGTTTATATCTTCCCCACTTTGGCCTTACGTGCGGTGCGTCAACGTGTTAATGGTGGATCCATACCATACCTATACTGACACCGTCCAGTCGCCTATCTGTATCTGGCCTATGGCAAGACATCGATCTCGCCTGCGCCCCTCCGGAGCGCACCCCCATACCCTTTGGGGAGGTATTATCACGACTGCCCAACATTTCAGAAGTAGCCTTCCGATACACAACATGTTGGGGAGTTCCTCGCACCGCTTTATCCTCCGTACTCTCCTTGCCGGGACTTCGCAGCCTGGATGTTGATGGTACGCTCCATTTCAACAGCCAGTGGGAGTCGTCCGCGGACAACGCCCTTCCAGTGGGCCCACTCGCTTCCTTCCAGCAAGTTTGCGACGACTATCGTCGACAACCACGCCAGTCTGCGGGTGATATGAAGCTTCTCCGCGAACTTACGGACCACTTGCAGTTGCAACAGTCTCTGGAGACCCTCATCATTCCCAGCGAAAACGCCCCTTTCGATAACCTCACAGCACATGATTGGCCCCGGCTCAAGGTCCTCTCCCTTCGCGGAGAGATGCAGCGGATGGCTACACCGCTCCTCTCTGTTTTCCAGAGGATGCCGGCGCTCCGGGAGCTTACGGTCGAAACCGCTTGCTCGTACAATACGGGACGTACCTTGTTCTGCCCGCCTGGTTGGACAGGCCCCTATCCCTGGCCAGAGATGACCAGTCTGGTAGTATCATATCCACATCCCGACGATGCTCTGTACGCCCTTCTGCCCCCCACTCTACAGCGTCTTAGCCTCCACTGTTGGCCCCGGCACTACACCACCCTGGTACCGCACGAATCTCACTACATCGCGGACTTGGGATGGTTTTCCCCAGTCTTGTCGTCCTCTGAGATGCTGCAGATCCTCTCTCAATGCCCCCAATCCGATCTGGAAGAACTCGAGCTGGAATTTGGAGAGGACGGGCGCGATTTGGAGCTGTTCTCACTAATCCCGCGGGTTTTCCCCAACCTTGTCAAACTGACCATCCTTCGGTATCGGAAATGGGGCAATCCGGAGGTACCAGTCGTGAGTCTCCGTTGCTCGAGTCTTCATCCATGTCGCGCTGACGCCGAAATACCAAAGCGAGAGATTGGGAAGGCGTTAGCGCCACTGAGCCACTTGCTCGCCATATACCTCCATCTGGACTTCAAAGTCGCGCCCCACCCGTACGCAGCATACAACGATACCGCTGTAGAAGAATTCGGAAAACTTCGGGTAGCCGCTCAGAACGCGGCAGATATTCTCGCACTCGAACTCAGCAGCTCAGTCAACACTATATATCTGCTGCATCGACGTCTGAGCAGGAATTTCTGGGTCCCCTTTGGTGTAACGCGCACGAGCGGCGCCGTGCACGCTAGCGATTTGGAATTCAGGTATGTTGTTTGTATGCCACAATCGCATAACCAACGATGACAATGTACAGAGAGGAGGACGAGCCGGGACCGCCTTATTTCACGCATTTCCATCCTCGATACTCTCTCGATGAGGATCGATAGCTATTCCTTTCGAGGAACTTTCGTTGGTTTGGACATCGCGAACGTTTATGACCCTACCAACCCTCCAAAACTCCCCATCATCGCAGCTGCTTTTTCCTTGAAGGACTCCTCTTTTCATGCAGCACAATTACGAGCATGACGGACAACCGCTGGATCTTTGGCTCGGTACGTGGTTCTCTCTCTGTGGGCGTGCTACGGATTCAACCCGCTCCTACCACTGAGTGCTCAGCGCTCAGTGGTCACAGATGTCTGACCACTTTGCGTATTGTATACACCCGTTCTGAGGTCTGTTCTAGCACCGGCTTGTAGTCTCTACGCTATTCAATATATTCTTCGTCTTGTGTATTCTAAGAGCAACGTAGCACTGTCGATATTGGTAAAGATAAGGACGACGGCGACAGACTGAGAGAGTAGACGCTGTAACACAAGGTAGAGACGGCGTGTGCGCTTGTACCATGTCGTTGCTGTATTTAGACGAGTCCGCGGCCGCACGAGCTTACACGCGCTCTTCCGTTCCTCTACCATCTTGCACACCTCTACACGTTGCAAACAGCGAAGCAGGCGTTGACTGCAACGAATAAGCTCGCCATGGTGTCCCCGTAAGCACGCTTCCAATATTTGGTGATTCGGGTTTTGAAGTCGCACCACCTTCACAGCTTGGAGCGCCTCGACGACGACGTCCTTTTGCAGGTATACGAGCTACTCCGCCCCGAACATGGCTTGCGCCCGATATCACTCTCTTGCAAATCGCTCCGAGCGTCATGCATGCCCATCCTATTCAGGGCAGCGTGGTGTAGGCCGCATTTCCTTACATGGGACAGGTTCATTGCGCGTTCTGCCTGGCCTTATGTGCAGTACGTCGACGTGATCAATGGACATGCACGCATACTGACCTCCTTCAGTCGGTTGTCTATCAGCGGCATTTGGCAGGCTGATCCCGCTCGGGTCGACCCGAAGAACGGCCTCATCCCCCTCGCCGATGCCTTCTCACAGCTTCCCAATATCTCCCAGGTTACGTTCCGAAACACGCAGGGTCTAGGAATCCCCCGCACCGTTTTGGCCATCGTCATGTCTATACCCGGGCTACACACCCTGGAAGTTCGTGGTGGGCTACATCATCATGAGGACGAGCGGCCGTCACCTAGCACTGCACTCACCTTTCCGGTGGCCCAACTCACATGTTACCGACAACTCCATGAAGATTATCGTCAGCAACCACGCTGTTCCCCCGGCGATAGGGTCCTTCTCCGCTACTTTGCGAGTCAAACACAGCTACAACAGTCACTCGAGACTCTCGTCATCCTGAGCGAAGACGCTCCCCTCGACGAGCTCGCGAAGCATGATTGGCCGCGCCTCAAGGTGGTCTCCCTCCGCGGAGAGCGGCAGCTGGCGGACACACCGCTGATCGCCGTATTTGAGCGGATGCCTGCGCTTCAGGAGCTCGATCTCGAAATCGCTTGTACTCCCGCGACAGGAAGGACACTGTTTTGCCCCCTTGACTGGACGGGTCCCTGCCCTTGGCCGAGGATGAGAAGCTTAGTCGTGTCCCATCCGCACCCAGGGGATCCATTGTATGCGCTTCTCCCTCACACTCTGCGACGTCTAGTACTCCGGTGCTGGCCCCGCCGTTACATTTCCCTGCTATGGCACGAGCGTCCATATATCACGGACTTGGGGTGGTATATGCCATTCCTGTCCTCTTCGGACATGCTCCAGATACTTTCTCGAAGTCCTTTACCCCATCTAGAGGAACTCGAGCTCGAGTTTGAAGAAGATGAGCGTGATCTGGAGCTATTCACACTTATTCCCCTCGCTTTCCCTAATCTTGTTACGTTGACTATCTTCCGGTATCGGCAATCTGGTAAAGTGACGGTACCAGTTGTGAGTATCCCTACCTAAGATTCTCATCTACGTCGTGCTGACATTAGCAAATCCAAAAGCGGGAGATAGGGAACGCGTTATCGCCCCTCAGCAACTTGCGCACTCTGTATCTCCATTTGGACTTCAAAGACGCGCCACACCCGTACGCTATGCACAACGAAACCGGCAAGGAAGAGTTCGCGCAGCTTCGAAGGATTTTACACAGCGCAGCAAATGTCCTCGCACAGGAACTCGGAAGCTCCGCCGAAACCGTGTGTCTTCTACAACGACGAATGAGCAACAATACCTGGCTACCCTTCCTCATCGCGCGCACGGATGATGCTGTATATGCCCGTCCTGAGGAGGGTCATGCTAGCGAGCTGGGCGTTAGGTGAGTGGCTCATGTACTGCTCAAGCAGACTGCTGCCGAATCACAATGATGTTGCAGAGCGGAAGATGATCCGGGCCCACCATACTTCACGCGATTTCATGGCGGCTATTACGTCGATGGCGATCGATAGTCCTTCGAAGCACTTCCTTGTTATCGTTGCTGCAAGGATTTATTGAAGGCGGCGATGGGAACATGTTCTCGTTACAAAAACACCAGACACCTCCGGATCTGCCAAATGTGTTACTCACATGCGCGGGCTCTCGCCTTTCCCTAGCACCGTTTCAATTGTTTTGGCTGCAATGATATCACACAAACCAGCCGGCTGTCAACATGAAAAACCGCCTTCGCCGCTTCCAGGACGTAGGGATTGTGTCCGGCGACTGAAATCGCACTCCCGGCCAATTGCGAGCTTCAAGACCATTGTCACCCCCTGCCCTGTCTCGTTAGCTAACGATAGAGCGAACTATCCATGTAAGCCTTCATCCCTCACAGTCGCTCATTTTCACTTCAGAAAGGAAGTCCCTGACAAGAAGCTGCTTGTCCGCGCGTACCCGTTTTGAGGTCTGCCCTCGCACGAGCCTGTATTCTCGAGTATGCTAATCAATACATTGTTCATTTCGTTCATTCTACGCGCAACGTAGCACGTCAAGTATCGTCTCAGCCCTCCTTGACCACCTCCTCGACCGCCTCGGCGAAGATCGCGCAGCCCTTCGCAAGATTCGCCTGCGTGATGTTGAGCGCGGGGATGAACCGAATCACCTCGTACACGCTCGTCGTCAGGATGAGCAGGCCCTTCTCCACGCACTTCTTCGCGACGCGGCTGGCAAGCTTCGCCGGGGCGTTCGCGTCCCGGAACGCATCGTACGGGCCGGTGCCCACGGGCGACGCGAACTCGATCGCGACCATGAGGCCCTGGCCGCGCACGTCGAGGATCGCCGGCGCGATTTTGGGGTTTGCGCGCAGCGCGTTCAGCGCAGCGAAGAGCTCCTTTGAGCTGTTGAGAGCGCAATGAGTCCTGACATGCCAGGCGGCCGGGTCAGAGAGGGACGTACCGCGCGTTGACGTTCTCCAGGATGTTTTCTTCCTTCATGACCTCGGCGGACGCAACTGCCGCAGCACATGAGACGGCGTTACCGGCGTAAGTCCCGCCCATAGAGCCGGGCTTGAGCTTGTCCGTGAGCTCTTTGCTGCTGATGACGCCGCTCAGGGGGAAACCGTTCGCAAGGCCCTGAGAAAAGAGCCCGTCATTAGTGACGCCATTTTGACGTAGGTATATGATGCCTCACCTTGGCCGTGATCATGATGTCTGGCCGCACGCCCGAGTACTCGATCGCGTAGTTCTTGCCCGTGCGACCGTACCCGCATTGCACCTCGTCGATGATGAGCATGATGCCGTGCTTGTCGCACACCTCGCGCAGGCCGCGGAGGAACGCGGGCGGTGTCGGGACGTATCCGCCCTCGCCGAGGACGGTTTCGATGAGGATGGCGGCGGTATCGGTGGGAGCGGTCGCCTGGGAAAGGAGAAGCGAGAGCTGGTGGAGGCACATCTCCGACAGCTTCTCGCTGGGCGTGTCGGCCGGTACGCCAAGCTGGTGCCAATATGGGAAGGGAAGGGTGAATACCCCGGGCTGGTATGGGCGTGGTCAGCGTTCATAACCTTCAACCGCATGGAGGGCTTCTGGACAAACCATAAGCGGGTTGGTGCCTTCGCTGTAGATCGTCTTGCTCTTCGTGACCGCCATCGCACCGTAAGTCCGTCCGTGGTATGCGCCCTGCATGGTGATGATGTTCTGCCGCCCGGTGAAGGTGCGTGCCATCTTGATGGACGCCTCGATCGCCTCGGACCCAGAGTTCCAGAAGAAGAACGAGTCGAGTGAAGGGTGCGGCATCATCGGCAGCAGCTTCTGGATGAGCTCAAGGTATGGGCCGTGGAAACCAATGCTGCACTGTTCAACGGCGTACTCGTCAGCAAACTACCACGCGCCCCGATGCCAGAGAGCTACACACCTGCCCGTGGACAAGGCTCATGCACTGATCAGCAGCCGCTTTACTGATTTTCGGATGACAGTGACCTGGTTAATATGTTCAGATCGATCCTCGTGTACAGAGCAATGTAAATACATACCGAAGTTCGTTACGCCAATGCCGCAAGTAAAATCCAGCATCTCCCGTCCGTCGCCCAGGGTCACGTACGATCCCTGACCCTTGGTGATGACCGCCTCCACGACGCGGCCTAGACCTTTCGTAACATGTTTCTGCCCAAATTCCACCAAAGAAGCGTGCGACTGCGTGGACGAAGACATGTTGCGGGAATGATTGCTGCGGGCATGGCTAGCTGGTGGCGCAGTACTTATACGGGGTGCGGCGCCTCGAACGCCTGTGGACGAGAATCGGGGGAGAAGTGCCGTCGAATAGGAACTCCGCGCGCTACATCGATATAGAGTCTATCAGCCAAGGCCCAGTCGGAACCGGAAAGTAGACGTTGAACGGCTGAAGAGCATCGCCGGAGAAGATATTTAGAGGTTCAGGGCGCCGATAACGGCTGGATCGCCGGGCGCAAGAGCGATACTCCGCCGACTTTTGTCTAGAACCCCGCTTTCGGTTGGTATCGGACATGGTGGCGTTCCGGTTATTATGGGGCAAAGTCTGTATGCGGAAGAGGCGAATGTCCCGCGTGTGTCCCCTCCTGAGAAGGTTTACACAAGGGCCTGGTCTGTCCGCCTCAGCACGAGGGCGAAAGCGCGACGCCTATCTGTCGGGGCGTGGTTCTGCAGGAGGATGGCGAATGATACCAGCCTCGTGTAGAAATGACAAGCACGCCAGCGTGAAAGTTCCGCTCCAGAAGCAAGAACAAGCCGCAGCAATGTATAGGGATCCTTGCGAATGCCCCGACTTCGCTGATTCGCGCTCATAAAACACCCAGTGAAGCGCCAGAGCTGCGAACTCGCCTGGAACCTAGCCCACTGTGTGGTAAGCGTAGGGCACAGGGAGGCAAGATACCTCCCAAAATGACGCGGACCAGTGGTCTTGTGCTCCTGGCTCAGAACAGCCGAACGGCGGCCCTTGAATTGGGTTTTTGTTCGGGCACGCCGTTCGCAGATGTCCAGCGACTACAGAAGCCCATTACCGGCCCTCAAGCCCACTTGTCCCCGTCTGCACCCACGAGGCTCGCAGTGCTCTTCTCTGCACCCTTCCACCGCTCCAAAGTAGACTCAACTCACCTCGAAGATCCAGCGTTCTTCAGGGCGCCCCTGGAGCTCCCCGCGAGCACGGCCGAGGACGACTGAAGACGAGCACGACCAGAAGATAGCATGATAGGAGGAGGAGAGACGGGCTGGGACGAGTCAGGAAGCGCAGGGCCCTGAAGTCATTACCCCGCACGCACGCGCCGAGGCCCCGGGTCGCCTTTTCCGGGACTCAAGCTCGTCCTTGCCTTCTCCCAGCCTTCATAGCGTCTCTTCTACTCCCACCACGTCCCTTTGCCGCAGCCCTAGCCGTTTTCTGCGCGTGCGACTGCCCAGTGAGGTCCGGCAAAGACAGCAGCTGACCTTGTCCGGTGATGTCGTCATGCACAGCTGCGTATGCGCAGGATATGCGCGCATAACATGTCGCATCTGTCGTAGTCGGCCTTTAGACATTCAAGAGGTGCGTGCAGTCCCAAATCAGCGAGGAAGCAAGTCGAAGCAGACATCATCGATGGAGGTGCGTCTCAAGTTGTGCATCGCGCGTCTACGACCCTGACACCGTGCGTAGCCGAGTCCCACCAAACGTACCCTGAGATCTCCGTGCAAGATGCACTAGAAGATTGGACCTACAACCGCCACCGTATTCCCGCTCAACGCCACAGAATTGGATCTCAAGAGTCCCATTTGCTGTCCGTCTGCAAACATGCCCTATCTACAACTACTCTTACGGTAGGATAACTTAAATCGCCAATTTCCTTCTTCACCTCCTAAAGACGCGCCAGCGTTCATGCCGGGCAAGCCTTGCCGCCGAAAGAGATCCCAGCCAAGTACGGGCCGAGATGGTTCGGGATGGAGACATCCAGGAGGGAGTTGCCCGCTGCGCAGTTCTATGGCCGCGGTGATAATTCAGTCATCTGTTTCGCAGCTAAACGCATCAGGGTGCTTACCTGGTTCTCCTGACCGGAGCAGGCTACCATCGTGGCGTTGCCAGTCGTGTCGTCGACTGAGGTGATGTGGACCTCACCGGAGGGGTGCTCGAAGTCGAGCGCGTGAGGCGGCACGTTGGGGACCGGGTCATTCTGGTTCGTCACATGGATGAAGTTGGGAATCTGGTGCGTCCGAATCGTCAGACAGATATCTCGTATTCGAATGTATAGTGTACTTACCAGAGTGTCGAACAGGTCCGCCCATTCCTGGTTTCCAACGCGCGGCAATCCGAACACTACGGAATCAACCTGCACGTCGTCAGGAAGAGCCATGCGAAGCATAGCAGCATCCAGGGATGCGACGGCCGCTCCGAGCGAGTGACCTGTCACCAAGACGCGTTGGAAGCCAGTCGAAGCCAGTCCGCTCTGCACTGTGGCCATCACGATATCTGCCGTGCGCCCTTGCGTGTCCTGGAATCCGCTGTGCAGCTTGACATCGTCTGAAAGGAGCAGAGTGAGCGGCGAGAACATCGAGAATATCGAAGCGCGACTCACCGCCAGCCTGGGGGAACAGCGTGGTGTTTGCGCCCACTTGCAAGAACTCGACGTCGTTCGCGATCGAGAGGACCTTATTAGGGTCAGTGCCCTGGTGCGCGACGACAATCGTCTGCGTGTCGGGATCACTGGCGATGAAGACTGAAACACGCGCGCAGAGTTAATTACACATTCTTAGACACTGTCAACTTCTCGCATAGGGACGTACATCCGGGAATGGCGCCGTCATCACCGCCCGCGGCCAAAACCTTGACGTTTGGAGTCGCGTCGCAGGGCGCGCCACAGCTCATGTTCGTCACGCTCGCGGCCGAGCAGTACGCGGTGCGCGAGAACAGTGCCGGGCGCAGGATGTCCGCAGTGATGTCGTCCTGGGAGACAGCAGTCGGTTTTACTTTGCTCTCGTCACCGGAGCCCAAGTTGATGCCAAAGAGCGGCGCGGGGGCGGCGCGCGCGAGCGTGACCAGCACGGCGATGAAGGGCAAGACAAGACGCGTCATCTTCCTGAGAAGAGAAAAGGAAGATAAAACCCGGGAGCGACGGCGAAAGGCGAAAGAAAGAAAACCGAAGAGAGGCGAGGGACCACCGGGGCCCTGCTGAAGAACGGGAAGAGGAGACGGCGCGTGTGGGGACGACGAGAGACCGTTCCTCCAACGCGATCGGCGGGGGCGGCCTTATGTACTGGTGCGTCGGTAGCCATGGGAAGCGGGATCGCGTCTCGCGGCAGCCCCGTAATCAGGAATGCCCTGACATGTGTGGGCTGCGCTGCTAGAGGCATTGCAGGGCAACGACCGCTGCCAAATGATGCAGTGCACGCGGGGATCATGGATGCGGGATGTCCGAGCGCTATCGATCACCATATCGAAGACAAGGGCACTCGCCCTCCAGTCAGCCCAGTCGCACGGGCAGAGAGGATCTGCTGGATTGTCTGATTGGCGTACGCGTGCGGCCACAGATCATTGACGTTCCTAGATACTCGAAGTGCGTTGCACCTGGGTGTGCACACGAGTCTTCTCCGCGCGGAGGGTATGTGGAGGCTGTTCGCACGGCGGGCCTCGGAGGGCGTTCGGTATCGTCGTGTCGGTTTGGTGCCGGCCCACGCGCGGCCATCTTGCGGTGAGATGTATCAGTTCGACGATACATCAAGTATTGAGTCGCCCGGAGCTATCTTTGGTGGTGTACTGGTGCATATGTCTCGAGTCGTGGTGGCATGTCGGGACTCGGAGGTAGCGCTTGAGGCCCTCCGGAGGTCGCCATCACGGGACGGCGGCTGTGCATCTACCGGACGGTGGATCAACGCCTCATCGTCTGTCCTCCGCCGTGCCTTTGCTTCCATGTTCACGAACCATCTGACGATCGTTCACAGGCTGGGCCGCAGTGCTCGTGCTAGCCACTCAGAAAGCCCTCAAGACGATCTGGCCTGGGCAAATCACCTCGCGGTACGTCCTTCTGACGACTAATATATGGACACTCGTCGTCAAGCGCGCTCCAAGTCTATCGCCGTTCGAAGCTTTGCACATGCACCTCCACAGGATTGATCTTCGCGGAGAAGCAAGAAGGGCAGTATGCGCGTACGCCATGCGAGCTTTCCATCGCCATGGCGTCAGCAACAGCATTCACTTTGGATAGACTTCTCATTCGAATAACCTTTCAGAGCCTTCCCCTCGAACATTGGTTCATCGGATCTGGCACTATTCTTGTGGGGATGCGCTCGAAGTTGTTATACCTTTCGTTCATTTACGACTCCAGGTGCGAACATGTACGACTGCTGAGAACCCAGCTATAGAGCGCGGCACCGATGCTGCGCGCGTCACTGGAGTCATCATGAGACCCACATAGCTCGGGAGACATCGGACCAGCCCCGTCCGTATCCGTTTCACACAGGCTACGTCCACTCCTCCGCCACGAAGCTGAACATATCTCTCAGCCAACCTTTATGACATGGCGTTCTCCGCTGCAATGAAGCAGCTCTTCCCGGGGAAGCCGAGCTGGTCGGCGAACCAGCTCCCCGACCTCTCATCCAAGGTCGCGCTCGTGACTGGCGGGAACGCGGGGATTGGTCGGGAGACCGTCAAGCGTCTCTTGATGAAGAACGCTAAAGTATACCTTGCCGGGCGGTCTCAAGAGAGGGCGGAACGCGCCATCGACGAGTTGTGCGAGGAGACCGGCCGAACCGCGCTCTTTTTGCGGCTCGACTTGGCTGACTTAAACTCGGTCAAGAGGGCGGCCGAGGATTACAAACAGTACGCGGCTCGCCCATATCATATGTATACAAACTCAATCATACATTTATAGACGAGAATCGTGGCTCGACGCGCTAATCCTAAACGCAGGGATCGTATACCCGCCCGCAGATCATCAGTTCACGGCGCAAGGTTACGATGCGACGTTTGGCACCAACGTCATCGGCCACTTCCTCCTCCATCGCCTTCTCTATCCCACCGTCGCAGCTTCCGGCCAGGAAGCCGACGTTTCCCGCATCGTCTGGCTTTCCTCTTCTGCGAGCCAATATCCTCGCGCGCTTGACTACGAGGCCTTCCGCGACGGACCTGCGCACGCGAAAGTGCATCCGTTCATCATGTATGCGCAGAGCAAGGTCGCCGCTACCATGCTGAGCATGCGCCTCGCGCGGAACTGCGCGGTGGATCATGTCGCCTCGATTGCTGTCGATCCTGGTAGTATCAAAAGCGAGATATATCGGTCAAGCCCGTGGTACATCAGGACAACCGTGCGTATTCGCGTTGAGACTCCGTATGTGGGAAGAAGCATTGATCGCATGTTGTAGGATTGGATGTATTCGTACCCCGTCGAATACGGGGCTGTCGGTCCTTTGTACGCGGCTGGTTCGCCAGAGGCGGCTGAATATAACGGGAAGGTGTGTTTTTGGTTAATGGACTGCATGGATGCGCGTTGACGATGTGAACGTGCATCGGATGTGTTTGCAGTACTTGAAGCCATGGGCAGCGTTGGCACAGCCGATCCCTTTCGCGCTGAACGCTCAAGAGCAAGATAAGCTGTGGACATGGCTGGAAGAACAAGTGCACGGGTATGTTTAGCGGTTCTATCCCAATTCAATATCTGCGCTATCATTACGTTATCTCTTCCATGCTTCTGTCGCCTGTTATCGTCAATTCGAGCGTCCTGGCAAGTACTTTTGACGATCTTCCCTAAAACTCGGTGCTTTTACCAATTCAAAGACGCTTCGCAGTCAGGGCGAGAAGGCCAAAACATCGGGATGCCGACCCCTGTGCTGACAAGTTCCCTTTCCTAAGCCATTTTTTCTCATGCTGCGCCAATGCGCTACTTCCGGAGAGTGTCGGATACGATCTGACCTGTTTCATGACCATCGCATACTGCGCTGTGTGGACGTTGTGCTGTCTCCCCTCGTCGAACGACTTGGACCTTTCAGGCAGGTCGCCTGCCCTATAAGGCAGGCGACCTGCCTTTTCGGGACTTAACGCTCGTCGACACCCAGCTCGGCGGACTGCGTCCGCCTAATCCATGGTGGCACACGCATGTCAAAGATCCCTGCCATGGCATTAATTGGCATCAGCCAATACCATACTTAAGGCACGGCACAAATGAGGCGACGCCGACCGCTCACATCCCTATAATCGCCGCCCCCATTCCTCTATTCCGCTGTCACTTCTCTGGCATGGGAGCGTCGACCGAGGTCGGATACCTCGCGCAGTTCGTCTGGACGGTTGTTTCGCAACTCTTTCCGGGGAAGCCGAAGTGGACGGCGGACCACCTGCCGGACCTCTCGGGGAAGGTCTTCGTCGTTACCGGGGGGAACACCGGGATCGGGCGCGGGACGGTCAAGGGTCTGCTCCTCAAAAACGCGAAGGTCTACATCGCCACGCGCTCGAAGGACAGAGCGGACAGGGCAATTGCGGAGCTGCGTGAGGAGACGGGAAAGGAGGCGTTATTTTTGCAGATCGATCTGGGCGACCTGAACTCCGTCAAGAAGGCGGTTGAAGAGTTTAAGCAGTGAGTGCCGTGCTTCCACTATACCCTTATGAATTCATGATCGAACCCGGATGTTCGTAGGAGAGAGTCGCAGTTGGACGTGCTTATTTTGAACGCCGGAGTCCTGTTCCCGTCACCAGACGCGCTAACAACCCAGGGATACGACGCAACCTTCGGCGTCAACATCATCGGCCACTTCCTCCTGCACCGCCTCCTCTACCCACTACTATCCGCCTCTGGCCGCGCGTCAGACCCTTCACGCATCATATGGCTCTCCTCCATGGCGAGCTATAAGCCGCACAAAATCACCTACGAGGCGTTCCGCGAGGGCCCGGTCCGGCGGCGCATGGACCCGTTCGACCTGTACTCGGAGAGCAAGGTCGGCGCGGTCATGCTGAGCGCATACCTCGCTAAGACGTGTGCGGCGGACAACGTCGCGTCCATCGCTGTTGATCCTGGGTACATCAAGAGCGAGATCTACCGGTCCAGTCCATGGTACTTGAAGCTCTTCGTACGTCGTTGTGTTGTACTCCTTGCGCTGCTGCGCGATGGAATTTGACGCCGTGTTTAGGATTGGTTTCATAATTTCCCCGTCGAGTACGGGGCTATCGGCTCTCTGTACGCAGGCGCTGCGCCGGAGGGTGCTGCGTGCAACGGAAAAGTAAGTGAGCCCTCCCCGCGATTCTCCGCACCTTCCGTGAATGTGTCTCATTTTGGTCATCGCAGTACCTGCAGCCGTGGGCGCAGGTCGTACCGCCAAGCCCCTTCTCGCTGGACGCGAAGGAGCAGGAGAGGCTCTGGACATGGCTAGAAGAACAAGTACAGGTGTATCTGTAGACGTCCCTGATCGCGCAGGTGCCGCCAAGCATAACGTCTCTGCCAACATTGAACGAGGCTTTCGGACCGGATACTGTGCTCCTGCGCAGCCCTGTGTTGGACGGTCTACGAGGTTCGAACGCAGCGCTAGGTGTGGCCTGGACGGCGTCGAGAGCGTGGGAATGGGGCTGTGTCGACGGAGGATTTGCAGCCGCGCGCTCTTCCTGCTCTTCCTCCCAGCGCGCGCGTACCCGGGAGCGTTCGTACATCCGAGATTTGCGGAACCGTCTCCTCAGCGTCGCAGACAAGCGCAGACCGCAGGTTACTCGGCGCGCATCTATCCTGCTCAGACACCATGATGGACTGCCTCAAAGTTGCCACAAGTTGTTGCGCGCAATGTATAAAAGGCACAGGATGGGCGGGGAGTGTTCTGCATCTCCACACAACAATCATCTTGCGCACTGACAACCACTGCTATCTGCACCATGCCGAACATGCTGATGTACTTCTATACACTCTTCACTCATAGGGTGCTTTTCCCAGGGAAGCCCTCGTGGACGCCCGACCACCTGCCCGACCTCTCGGCGAAGGTCGCCATCGTCACCGGCGGTAACACGGGCATAGGACGGGAGACAGTAAAGCGTCTACTCATGAAGAACGCGAAGGTGTATATGGCCGCGCGCTCGAAAGAGAAGGCAGAACGAGCGATCGCGGAGCTGCACGACGAGACGGGGAAGACAGCGCTGTTCCTGCCGCTCGACCTGAACGACCTGAAATCGGTCCAGAAAGCCGTCGAGGAGTTCAAATCGTGAGTTTATTGACTCTCTTTCAGTTTCGTGTCAGCTCACTAGAACGTCACTTATGTGGCAGACGGGAACCGCAGCTCGATGTGCTTATCCTGAACGCGGGGGCTCTCTTCCCCTCTAAAGAAGCACAAGTCACCGCGCAGGGCTACGATGCCACCTTCGGAATCAACGTGATCGGACACTTCCTTCTCGTTCGCTTGCTCTATCCCATCCTCTCAGCCTCCGGCACCAAGCCCGACCCCTCACGCATTATCTGGGTCTCCTCCATGGCAAACCACCTGCCCTCCGAACTCAGTTACGACGCCTTCCGCGACGGGCCCGCGCGCAAGAAAGCCGACCCGTTCGTCATCTACGGGGAGAGCAAGCTCGCAGCGGTCATGCTGAGCACATATCACGCCCGGACCAGCTTGGAAGACAACGTCGCCTCGATCGCCATCGATCCTGGCTGCATCAAGAGCAGCCTGTACCGATCGAGCCCATGGCACTTGCGACTCTTCGTAAGTCTTTCCGTGCATCTGTGCCCGGCCGTGAACCGGACGTGACATTAAACCTTGCAGGATCGCTATTATTGGTACCCGGTCGAGTACGGTGCGGTAAGCTCCCTGTATGCGGCGGGCGAACCAGGCGCTGCAGAGCGCAATGGCAAGGTGAGCTACGGCTTCGCATCACATACATGCACGTATGGCTGATCATTTTGTGGCAGTATCTGCAACCTTGGGCGCGACTTGCTGAACCCAATAAGGTGGCGTTGGACGTAGGCGAGCAGGAGAAGCTTTGGACGTGGCTCGAGGAGCAAGTCAAACCCTATCTCTAGTAATCTCCTCTTTCACGCTTCTTTGGCATCCGCTTCGACTTCTTTACTATAATAACACGGGACTATTGACCTTTTCTGGCGTCATAGGTGTGATCCTCGCCTTATAAGCTTCCACTTCGACACTCGACGACACTGAACCAGCGTTCATTCCGACTGGGGAAGAGCGAGCCGTATGATCGACCGCTCAGGTCCTCCACCGTCTGTCATGACGTACGTTCCCTACGTGAAGAATGTGTGAAGAGCCGTATTCCGCAACGCATATAAGCACCTGCAGATGCAAGGACGACGCAGCAACTCGACAACCTCCCGCCCCTCCGTCAAACACCCTCCACCACTCACAACAATGGCTGACGCTGGCAGACAATCCTTCACCGACAAGGCCACTTCGGCGGTGAAGGTATGTTCGCCGTATATCTCCCTTTCCCACGTGCTTACTATGTTATTGTAGCCCGACTCCCAGAAGTCGTACGCCGAGCAGATGGGCGACTCCCTCAAGGGAACGGCCGACTCTATCGCCTCAACGATGCAGCCCCAGGTTCGCCCCTTGCATATTCTATCATGGCTTTGGCCGAGATACTCACAACCTCTCTCAGAGCGGTAAATCCACCACACAGAAGATGGGAGACTCGGTCAACAGCAACTCCAACGAGAACCAGGTAGGCACTCTTGCTCTCGCCCGTCGAGTGTGTTACTGAAGCCACGCATGTTGTTTAGGACTCGTTGATGGACAAGGCCAAGTACGCCCTTGGAATGGAGAAGTAGATGAGCTGACGTCGGCATATGCTAAGGGAAGGCATACCGCATTGTTGTATAGTTATGTTTGTCTTTGAATTCGAAGCCCACGGTTACGCAACTCATGTTGCATATTCTTGACCCTTGTGTTGGAGTGTCAACGAAGGAGGCCGGATATACCGAGTACGTCCCCACACCAGGACTCATTTACTCGTTCCCCTCGGACCGCTGTGAGCCGCGCCACTCTGCTTATCGTGCCTGGGTCCTCGATGCTTACTTTACGATATCGTCCTCGGGCTTATCGTCCGGCATAAGTACTGTGGCGCTCGACACTCCCGTATAAGTATACTTCGCCAAGTTCGTGCCTCGCGCGCCCGCGCTCACCTCGTCCTTTTTTCCTTATTGCCCCCGAGTACTAATTAGTATCAGCGCCGCCCTCGCGATATTCGAGGGTATCATAGAGAAGTAGGTATTCAGGCTTCCACAAACCGCATCCATCATGATGTCGCGCGTATTCAGTATACAGCTTTCGAATCTCTCAAGACTAATGCGAATATTATGCAGGGAACCCGTCAAGCACGAAAGTAGCCATCAGCGGCCCAGAAGCCAACTTGACGACGCATATGGACCAACTTGAATCCTGCGATAAAGCGCAGATTGTCTATGTGCCCCACTCCAAGGGCCGGGCTACAGCAGTGAAGCGTTTGGCCCTCACGGCAATTGCTATTGCAGCGACGGCGCTGAGCTTTCACCCCAGCCTCTGGGATTTTTGGCACGAAACCGCACCACCATCGCATAACAGCGAACCTCTAGACTTTGACTGGTTTGCAGTACGTTTGAGGCCGCGCACTTTCGACATGTGGTCTGACGAATAATCCCCCGCATGCAGCTGGAACCGGCGTCGACAATCCAGTGGTCCCCATGCTTCTCCGGCCAGCAATGCGCTCGTTTGATCCTTCCCTTGGATTATGAGGACCTAGACGGGTCGACCGTAACGATTGCCCTGCGCATGATCCCGGCCACTGACAAGGAGAACTATCGCGGGACGCTCCTCGTCAACCCTGGTGGGCCCGGCGGGTCTGGCACCGAGTTCGTTGGACGGTCAGGGCAGGACCTCTCGCGCATCGTCGGCCCTTCGTTCGACGTCCTCGGGTTCGACCCGCGTGGTGTCGGGGCGTCTCTGCCGTCCGCGCGCTGCTTCGAGACGACCTTGCAGTGGCGGCTCTGGGGGCTCCAGGAGGACAACCGTGTTCTCAACGTCACGGACGGCTCTGTGGACGTATACCGCGCTAGGGAGCGGCTCGTCGCGGAACGTTGTGAACAGAAGATCGGCGGGGAGGGCGGAATTGGCAGGTTTGCGGGCGCAGTGAGCGTCGCCCGGGACATGCTTGAGATCGTGCAGCAACTGGGCCAAGAGAAACTCCAGTTCTGGGGCTTCGTAAGTGTGCAGTGACTCCGAACTAACATAACGCACGACTCACAGGACTTCACCAGAGCTATGGCACTATACTCGGGCAATATTTCGCCTCGATGTACCCCGACAAGGTCGGGCGCATAATCCTCGACGGCGTGTACGACGCGAACATCTACCGCGCGAAGCTCGTCAACACCATCGGCGACATGGACGCCGTCATCGGCTCCTTCTACCACTTCTGCCACTTGGCCGGCCCAGAGAAGTGCGCATTATGGGCACCCAGCGCAGCCAAAGTCGAAGAGCGCTACCTCAACGCCATTCGCAGCATCGAGGAAGAGCCCATCGCCATCCCGCAAGCGGAGCCACCCCTCGTAATGACCACGAAGCACCTCCGGTCCCAAATCCGCGGCGCCTCCTACCGGCCCCTCACAGCGTTCCCGCTCGTCGCAGAAACCATCCACGCCGTCGAAACCCGCAACCAAACCGCACTCGCCCTACTTGCCCCGCGCATCGTCCGCCCCACCGAGTGCGCCTGCACCCCCCGCACCCCGGGCTCCGACTTCGCAGACTCCGACGAGCTGTTCCCCGCGATCGAGTGCAGCGACGGCGACGCGCGTCCCTACGACCCCACTGAGTTCCGCGCGTTGTACGCCGAGCTCGCGCGCACGTCCCCGCTCGTCGGGCCCTCGTGGGCGGTGTACTACCTGCAGTGCGCGGAGTGGCGCATGCGCGCGAAGCGCGGGTGGAGTGGGCCGTTCGCCGCGCCGCGCACCGCGCACCCGCTGCTCGTGCTCTCGCCGCGGTTCGACCCGGTGTGCCCGCTCGCGGACGCGCGCGCGGTGCAGGCGCGGTTTGGCGGCGCGGGGCTGCTCGTGCAGGAGTCGTATGGGCACTGCTCGCTCGCGGCGCCGTCGCTGTGCACGGCGAGGCGCGTGCGGGCGTATATGGTGGATGGGACGGTGCCGGAGGAGGGCGCGGTGTGCGAGGTTGATGAGCTTCCGTTTGGTGTGCCTGTGGGGGACGTCCGCGCGTTGGAGAGTGAGGATGTGGAGTTGTTGGAGGCGTTGAAGAGGTTGACAACCGCGCTGCCTGTGCGTGGTTTGTATGCTTAACTATATTGCATGTGCGAAAACTACGATACTAGGGCAGGATTGGCAGTTCCAAATACCCATTACCTTGGTGCACCGCTGAACAAAGTGCAAGCGAAATCAAGCAGGGGTAGTCAGGGGAAGTCTGATGTCAACCACACTTGGAAAGGGAACTGGCTCACCGCGGAGACTTGCATGGTAAGAGCCAGGAGTCGTGAACGCCGGTAGGCGAGGATGATCAGTATCATTCGAAGCCCGAAAGCCTCGCTTGTGACTCTGTTATACAACAGTTTAGACCTACTACAAACTGATATGCCCTCTAGATCTGTATTGAGCGAACTTGTTTGAAAATTGACACAAACGCTCCAATCTACATGTCATCATGAGTAGGCGGAAGCATTCGCTGGTGCAAACCAAGCCGGGAATGCGATCAACGTCTGTAGGATATTCCAGGTCCAAGTCCGACGTACGGGAACACCGTGTCCGCGGACAGGCGCACCATATGTATACCCGCAAAGCGACCGCCCCCTGGACCAAAAGCAGCAGACAAAATTCAAAGCAAGACGTTCCACGACGGTAAAATACAACTACAAGCAGTCCAAGATCAGAGCATCCGGATAAGTTACGTACACGAGCGTCGGCAGCCGGCTGGTGCGGGGTAAGTAACGGTAAGTAAGTAACGAGCGGGCGGGGCGGGGTGGCGGTAGGTACTGTAGACGTGAGCAAGTCCCTAGTCGTATGTGGTGTTTCCGTTTCTTCTACAGTAAGCTGCTGGTGCGCTGGGCACCCCTGAGACAAGGGAGCGGAATGGGGGCGGATGGGCATAGGACGGCCACTAGGGATGGTGTACATATACAGTGCGAGGTATCTACGGGTATGGACACGTCCGTGCGCGCGTGTGGCGACGGCGATGACGCCCACGACGACGGGGATAGACGTCGTGGACAGCCGGGCATCATAGGTAAGGGCGCGACGATCTGCCAAACGTCAGCCAGCCGTACAGTGATGTGCCCTCGGAGCTAGCGAGAAGAGCGAGACAAGACGCGGAAGCACCAGCACTATGGCTCGCGCGCACGCTCCGGCAGCTGCTCCATCTGCTCCGCGAACGAGTGGAACGCGGTGGGGGACGTCGAGAACGGCTGCGGGGGCGCGGGGAAGCGCGCCGCCCACGTCCGGGGCTGCGTCAGCTCGGGGTCGCGGCGCAGCTCCGTCGGGTACGCCCCCGAGAGCGTCGACGACGTGTTTGCGCGGTTCGGGCTGGGCAGCCATGATCCGGTGCCTGTGTCCGTGCCCGTGTTCGTGCGAGAGCCCGAGTATGCCGTGGACGCCTGAGAATAGTCAGCGTCGTGTCCCAAAATAAACGGGGAGGGGGAAGGCGGAAGACGCTGCACTGACCTGTCGGAACGTAGTCGGCGTTCGTGGGCTGCTGGCATGTGAGTGCGACGGGGCGGTCGTCGCGCTGTCGTCGAACGAGAAGTCGTTGCCGTCCCGGGAGATGATGAGTACGCTGCTGCCCACGCCTTCCGACTCTGGCTGGAAGTCGCTGCGCTCGGCGACGACCGGCTGCGTCCTGGAGGGCTGAGCAGCCGCACTCGCGCTCGCACCGGAATGATTACTCCTCGTGTATGACGACCGCTGGGGTTTCGAGGCCGGGAAGGTATTTGCGGTGGGGGTGGGGCCGTCGATGCGGAACTGTGGATCCGGCGAGATAGGTGACACGTACTTGGACTTGTACGCTGGGCTCTTCCGCACGCCGTCCTTCGACTTGATGAAACGCTCAATGAACGTCGGTACGCGCACGTCCGGGAAGTCGAGGTGCGGCAGCAGCGACGAGCTCGACGTCTCCTGGATGTGCGCAGACGTGTGCGGCACGTCCATCTCGAGCGGCTCGGGTGACAGTGGTTGCATCTTGTACGGGTCGACGTATGACGCGCTGCTATGCGCGCGATTGTGCCCGAGCCACTCCTCGTCCTCGTCGACGTCGATTGCCCAATTCGAGTTCTTCTTCGACGGCCGTAGCCGCGCCGAACGAGCCCAGGGCCAGAACGTGTAGAACCACCGCCAGGGCCGCCAGAAGGTGCTCTGCGCCCCGGGAATGAGCGGGAGCGTCTTCATGCGCGGGTTGTGTCTCGCCGTTTTCCGACGCCAGTAGAACCAGAACACCGTAGTCACGATGATGGCGACGCCGACGCCCGCGGCGATGGGCACTCCGACCTGCACCGCGACGTTTGGTCGACTTGAGCCTGAACCTAGGAATATAGTGAGCATCACGCGTCAGGGCCTGCTCGGTATAACGTACTGGAGGCAGTCAAATTGTCAGTTGCGTCGTTCGCAGTCAAGATTGCCGCGGTCATGTTGAATTCGTTGCCTGGCGTGAGTGGCAAGTATGCCCACCGGGGAATCGTGCCGTGCGCGACATCCATACTGGAGGAAGGTTGTTCGGGGTCACTCCCGCAGCTCTGGTTGTCAGCGTAGTTGGCCCAGTCTGGCGGCGCGTCCCCTGCGCATGCGGCACATGCTGCCCAGACGTTGTATGTTATGGTATTGCTGCATGCGATGAGCAAACATTACGAATGGAGCATGGTTCGCCAGAGCTTACCATTTACATTGACCTACACTTGAGGAATCTGTAAAGGTTTGTCAGACCAGGTGATATTGGGGATTTCAAGCATCAGGCTTACTGGCATCGCAGGCTTTCATCACTTGCTTGTACACCGTACATGGCGACTGACCAGACTTGTTCTTGAGCTGCGGAAGGTTGTCATGTCAGCTACGCAGTCATCATCCTCTGCAGCGAGATAGAGGGATCGGAGGGGTCGCGGTAATCATACGAGTGCTCAACTGAGATCGGTGGGGCCTTCTGCGTAACAGGAACACCAACAGGCAGGTATAGCTTGCCGGGGTATCGCGTCCCTGGCCAGACTGCGCTTCGGCGCATGGAGTCTCACGCTCGCTCAGCGTACCCAGGCGAAACACTCCTCGGGGTAGTCACGATGGACTCTGTTTGCATAGTCGGTTTGCATATACGAGTACTGTACTACTCGGAGAGAAGGAGAACCAGGCACGTTAGGTGCCCAACGCACCCCTGATGATGGAACGCGTTGGATACCTGGCCCCCGTGGAGTTGTGTGCACGCAAAAGACAGTCGGGCCGCCGCATCAGGAGCGGGAGGTTTGATGGGCGATCCTTACAAAGGTGCAACCTGGGTTGCCCAGAAGCGACACTGAATCGAGGATTCGGGTATAGATACCAACGGAGAACGGTCTCAGTCGCCGCTGCACCCTCTCTCTCACGTCCCACATATCCGCGACCACCTCCCAGGACACTCTCCGAGAACTTCGATGCTCACCTTGTCTAATCCGTCCTTACACTCCGGCTAAGCGAGACACGACGAAGGGGCGGAGATCAGACGGTGCACAGGCCAGAGACGGAGCAAAGGTGCGCACAGAATCTTCAGCAGCGACCAGAGCGGCGGACGCGAGGAGCAGGAGGAGCGTGCGAGGCGTTCGCATCGCGCATGACAACGTCGGCAAGAGCGGGCTGCGGAGGCGGGGGGAAGCGAGTGCGCGAGGAGGGCGAGAGCTTGAGGGGCGAGGGCAGCCGTGCGCGGGGTAAAGAGGGGCTTGGGAGGCGGGGCGGGGGGTGGGAGGGGGACGTCTGCGCTCAGTCATGCCGACGCAGCGACGGTGACGGGCTTGGACATTTTGGAGGACGGAGAGGGAGCAAGAACCAAGTCACCGCATCCTTCTCACCGCCCACTCAGCCAATCACCCACCTTGGCAGATAAGCGCGCCCCTCTCCTTCCTTTCCGTTCTCCCGCGTCCCTTCCCCCCGTCCGTCGTTGCGCGCGCCCGACGCCTACCTCTTCCAACGCGGCGGCTCTGCGTCGCGCGCCGGACTGGTGGACGCGGTCGTTGAAGCGGAGGCGTTGTGGCGCGATCGCGCCTCCGTCGATCGACTGGCCCGCCGGCATAGGGCGTCGACTCTGGGGACGAACGCTGCGCCGCGTCCTCGCCCGGTATGCCCTCGCCCACAATTCCCTCTGACACGTCCATCTCTAGATCAACGAATAGGACCGCAGAAGTCAGAAGACCGGCCGAGATCACTGTGCGAGGGGACGAATGGGCACGGTGCATCGCATCGGTTGTCTGTGGCGTACACAGCGATCGTCCTGACCGCCCACAACCGAGCGTCCACAACACCCGGCACAGCTCGCGTGCTGAGCCATTCTGAAGTCTGTGATAGATACCGAGCGTAGGGCCTGTGCGCGGGGCTCTGCGGACAGGTGAGTTGGTTCGGATCAAGCGTCTGAACTGGACGTGCCCAAGCTGCGTCGGTCAACGCACCCTGCATGTGCTGACGAGATGCGCAACAGAGGAGATGGTATCACGTCGATGGTGGTACGGGAAAGGACTTACGATCGGCGGAAACAGCTGCTGCAGGAGAGCCGCCGCGGGAAACTCTGGCTAACCCCGCAATTTCCGCCCTCTGAATGGCCCTTCTTACTCTGTGGCTCAATCTTGGACCAGGGGCGTGCGTGTGGCTCAAGAACAATCATCAAACCTACGCCATCTTCCTCTGCTGGCTATGTGGCTAGCGCTGTGGTCCGCCCTGCTCGCCATATATGGTCGTGAATGGCGGGCGAAGGCTCTCCCCGTGGCTTCTCTGAGCTTAGCCCGGGTTCCCACCTACGTCGAGGCAACATGCCTCTTTGTGGCCCAGCTATGCTCTATCCACGCGTCTTTGCTTTGTCTAGCTCAAAGGCTACATGGTCATGGCTACCAGCGTAGACGGCATACAAGTCAAAGCGTGCCTCATACATATATCAACCCTGGGCTGCCTCTTGCTCAACCATCCAGCTAGCCGCACCCTCTCGTTAACCGACGATATCGCCATCCGCCTGCTCTCGTTATCAAACTTGACATTATACTAGTCGACACTAAGACGACACGATGCAAAGCTACAGCAACCCCGACGTCTTCTTCTGCCCGCTCTATAACCTCCCGGGTGTCTCCGACCCGATCAGCACTCTCCTCTCCAACGAATCAGAGCATCGGACGCCAAGTGCATTTTCAACGCCAACCACGTCTCGTTCCGGAAGTCCTTTCTCTGCTGCTTCGCCGAACTCCGTATGTCTTCTTGACTGCCAGTTTTCCCCGCCCGTTCTGACCGCCTCCGCAGACACCACCGACCTCGCCTGAAACCTGGCCCTCGCGGCCTCCGAAGACTCCGTCCTCCGCATCGTCACCAACAGCTCCAGAAGCGAGCAAAAAACTACAAAAGTACCGGCGGATGTGCGCCAAGTCGGGCACGCCGCTGCTCGACCTCGTGGCGGAAGTCGAAAACCGAAGAATGGTGCATGAGAAACGGAAACAGGTCAGTTTCTCCGACCCCGCGCGTCTTGCTCCAGTCTGACGAATCGCGCGCGCGCGCGCTCAGCTGAACGCCTCGCAAACGTCTCGGAAACCGTCAGTGCGCCCAGTGTCAGACCGGTGCTGACACGAGCGGCGCCGTCGCGCTGTACACCATGCACCCCGGATTGCGGTTCGTTACTACACTATCATACCCTGCCATATTCCCGGTGTCCCGCGAGTCGGGCGCCCCTGTACCCTGTCTGTCATTCGTATTCCATGTGTTTTCATAGGCTCTGATAGAGATCTTCTGCGCGACGCTCGTTGCGAAGCTTTTAGGAGGCTACGGTTCTGAGACGGAACGCTAGCGCTTCGCCAGCTGGCGCTTCTGCAATAAAGTCGATCTACTCCGTATATCTCGGAATAGCTCGCAAACACGTTCTGGTATGTGCTTCTGCGATCGGCTGTGGGTAGAAGAAGGGCGCGCGACAAGTGCGTGAGTCTGTGAGCTTCGACCCCGCATGCCGCATTCGGTCGTGCGCCGGAATGACGCTTCCCATGCGCTCAGGCGTCGTTCCGCTCGTCCTCCTTGGGTGTGTGTATCGTCCAGTGCTCCGAACGACTTCCTTGAGCTCGCTCGGAGGAGAGAGAGGCGCTCCGAGCGGAAGGCCTTGCGGAGATGGACGATCGCGCAAGCGTAGCGCCCGCACTAATGGACGAAACGTGACCGCGCCCTTGGCATGTACCCCGCATTACCCCGCATCGGGCGACCCCTGGGCGCTGCGGGGTAGTGCCCCTTAAGAGCTTATCCGCCTTCCTCCTCCTCGTCGTTCCCCACGCCCCGCCCCGCCATGGCCGCATCCAACCCCGTCACCAGGTTCGAACACGACCCGCCCGAATCCCGCACCTTCGCCCGCCAGCACGAGCTCCCGAAGCTTCCCATACCATCGCTCGACGACTCGCTCCGCAAGTATCTCACTGCGCTCGAGGGCCTGCAGGATCCCCGCGAGCACGCCGAGACGCGCCGTGCCGTCGAAGACTTCCTACATAACGACGGCCCGCGCGTACAAGAGAAGCTCAAGGAGTACGCACAAGACAAGGCTAGGTATGTGATTCTCTCCACATGACATTGACCGCCGTTCCCTCGCTCACTCGATCGCTCGCACGCTCGCCGCTTCATAGCTACATCGAGGAGTTCTGGTCAGTACAATGTTTCTCGAACGTATATCGATCAATACTGACAAACGTGTCGGTTACCGGAACAGGTACGAGTCGTACCTCTCACACTCCGATCCAGTGGTCCTCGCCCTCAACCCCTTCTTCGTACTCGAGTAAGCACATTGGTCCCATATAGCGTCTGCACCCTATGCTCACTGCTTCGACATTGCGTAGGAACGACCCTACCCCAGATCGCGGCCAGCAGCTGCCGCGAGCCGCCTCCCTGATTGTGTCGTCGCTGGGTTTTATACACGACCTCCGCGCGGGCATCCTCGAAGCCGACTCGGTGCGCGGAACCCCACTCGATATGGACCAATACACAAGACTTTTTGGCACAGCCCGGATACCCACTCAGGTGTGCCATTCTTACCACATTCCTTCCAGAAGCTCCGCAGTCTAACCTCGCGGGTTCTCGCCACATATAGCGGGGTTGTAAGATGGAGACGCACCCAGAGTCTCGGCACATCGTTGTATTGCGCCGCGGGCAGTTCTGTAAGTAGCTGCGTTCTCGTTACGTTCGCACGGCGAAGCAGAAGCGGCGGGGTGCTCATTGATTTGCCGCCCTGCAGATTGGTTCGACGTGCTGGACGCCGAGAATCGGCCGGTGCTGACCGAGCGCGAGATTTTGAGAAACCTGCAGGCGATTGTCGGCGATGCTGACCAGATGCCCATACAGGAGGTGCGCGCCAGAAGCATCCTCTTCCAGTATAAATGACTAATACTGGATGGGTCACAGGTTGCGCGGAATGCCATTGGGGTGCTCTCGACGGAGAACCGGAAGGTGTGGTCGCAGCTCCGGAGCGCGCTCACCAAGAACAAGAATAACGAGTCATGTCTGGACGTCGTCGACAACGCTCTCTTCGTCGTCTGCCTGGACGATACTGCACCCGAGAACCTCGCCGAGCTGTGCGACAACTTCCTCTGCGGAACGTACGACCTGAAGGGCGGCATCCAAGTCGGGACGTGCACCAATCGGTGGTACGACAAGGTGGGCATATTCCATCGACCCATCATGAGTCCAATTACTAAGGACACCTCAGTTGCAAATCATCGTCTGTGCAGATGGCGCTGCTGGTATCAACTTCGAGCACACCGGTGTCGATGGGCACACCGTGCTGAGGTTTGCCGCGGACATCTTCACCGAGGGCCTCATGCTCCTCGCACGCTCCATCAACCCGTCCGCGCCCACCCTTTTCCACGCTCCCCTCTCGCCGTTCGCGAAGTCTTACAAGCCCCCGCGCGGACACGGGCACTCCAAGGAACAGTCGCCTGCACCGTCGTACGTGATCGACACGGCGCCGAAGAAACTCGAATGGACGCTATACCCGGAGCTGCGCGCGGGGATCCGGTTCGCCGAAACGCGCCTGAGCGACCTGATTTGCCAGAACGACTGCCAAGCGCTCGAGTTCAAGACGTACGGAAAGAACTTCATCACTAGCCACGGCTTCAGCCCGGACGCGTTCGTGCAGATGGCGTTCCAGGCGGCGTACTACGGGCTGTATGGGCGCATCGAGTGCACGTACGAGCCGGCGATGACGAAGGCGTTCTTGCACGGACGCACGGAGGCGATCCGGACTGTGCAGCCGCACACGGTTGATTTCGTGAAGGTGCGTCGCGCTGGTAGAGCGGGGGCGAGGCGGTCGCTAACATGAATGTTTCAGACATTCTTTTCCGAGGCGCCCAATACACAGAAGGTTGCCGCCCTTCGCAAGGCATGCCAGGGGCACGTCCAACTCACGAAAGACTGCAGCAAGGGTCTCGGACAAGACAGGTACGCCCCTCTAACTCCGCACCTCCGCGCCCGCTGACAGCACTCTCCTAGACACCTGTACGCGCTCTACTGCCTGATGCAGCGCGAGCGCGAGAAGGAGTACCAAAGCGCGGTCGCGAGCCAGTACGAGGAGGACGAGGGCCGGCCGCAGTCGCCGGCGAGCGCGACGTCGAGCGGGAGCAGCGCGCTCGCGAACCGGCCGCCGCTGCCCGCGATCTTCAACGACAACGGCTGGCACATCCTCAATCGCTCCATCCTCTCGACCTCGAACTGCGGAAACCCCGCGCTGCGCCTGTTCGGGTTCGGGCCCGTCGCTGCGGACGGGTTCGGCATCGGGTACATCATCAAGGACGAGGGCATCTCGGTGTGCGCGTCGTCGAAGCACCTGCAGACGCGGCGCTTCCTGGACACGCTCAAGGGGTACCTGCACGACATGCAGCGCATGCTCATCCAGCTGCACCTCTCCGCGAACCAGCGCGCGGAGCCGTTCGTCGACCACGCTGGGGTGTTGCGCGACTCGAAGACGGGCCGGCCCATCAACGGCCACCGGGGAAGCGCGGACGGCGCGGGCGCGTACGACGACGAGGACACCATGCGTGAGTCGCTGTCTATCTTTTTAGCGCGTCGCGGGCGGCGTGGCTGATGCTGGTCCGTTTTGAGCAGCGGGATATTCGTTCTTTGACAGCGGGGAGATCGAGCTGCTTGGCCGCAGGAAGAGCCGGCCGTCGTACTACAACACGGGCAAGATCATTCCTATGGCGGAGTACTGAGCGACTCCGCTACACGTCGACTCGGTTATGTTCTGAGGGATGTAGGCTAACACATTTGGAGAATCGTTTGTACAAACTATTGGATGACGTGTTGTACCAGTATTTGTATACCTACTGCTCCTTATAACTTCTTGTACTTTCTTGTTGTATTGTACCGTCCATAACTCTACCTATGTACGACCGGATGTCAATATATGATCTAGCAAACTTATAGCATCCCAAGGCTCGATTCATGAACTCCTTGGGAGAAGCTGTCAGATACGTAAGATTTGGATAGTCGTGATCGATTTCGTGTAGAGCTACTTGTGTAGTACAGCGAGCAAAGCATTAGTACAAGTCCCTGCCGGACGTTTTCCTTCAGAGTTCTATCCCACAACAACGCCCCGAATAGCACTCCGTCCCCAACCCACACCGTCTAGATCGTCGCAATACACTAGTTCTGCGCGCGCAGGCGCTCCGCCTCGCGCTGCTCTTCCGCGTAGATGATATCCGGGTCGCGGCCGCGCACCTCGGGCAGGAGGAAGGAGAAGCCGGCGCCGGCGACGCAGCAGCCGAAGAAGACTGTACGAGTAGGGACGCGGTCAGTACATATCGAAGATACGATATTGGGAAAGGACGTACTCCAAAGGACGGCAGGCGTGCCGATCTTTTTCGTGAGACTGTTGAAGGCGAGGGCGGAGATGATCGCGCCGGCCTTACCGCAGGCGGCGGACATGCCGTGTGCAGAGGCACGGAAGCGGGTGGGGAACACCTCTGCAGGGTAGCACTACACGCACATAGTAAGCATCTTACTCAACTGACAGCCAAACAAAGAACCACTCACATAGGTAGTCGTGTTCGCGCCGAAGTTGAAGAAGAACTGGAGGAACGCAAAGCACACGACGAACGCCGCGGTGCTCAGCGTCTCGAACTTGCCCGCGAGGATCGCGAGGAAGAGCGCGGCGAAGAGGAAGCCCTGGATCTGGATCCACTTCCGTCCGAGCTTCTCGATCGTGAGGATCGTCGCGTAGTACCCGGGCACGAACCCGAGCGCGGTGATGATGAGGTTCCCGACGCCGATCTTGAACAGGTTGTTCCACGGCGTGCCGTCCTTGCCCGCGAACCCGATCTGCTGCAGCACGACGTTCTGGTTCAGGTTGATGCCGTAGAACCTGGTGAGCGACGGGCCGGTCAGTACAGCCGCACGTCTCTGCGAGCGAGGGAAGAACATACGCAATGTCGAGCAGGAACCAGCAAGTGCACGTCCCCATGAGGATCTTGAGGTGGCGCCACTCCGAGAAGTACTGGAAGAAATCGCGGAAGTGCGCCTTCTTCGCCGCCGCGAGGTCCGCGACGGCGCGCTTGGCCCGCGCATCCTCCGCGGCCGCGGCCGCAGTCTCGGTCTCACTCTCGCTGGGGGGCGTACGCGTGCCGTCGGAGGAGCTTGTAGGGACGGGCTTCTCGGTCACGGCGGGGTCTGCGTTCGCCTTCTTCTTCAGTTCCTCGATAGACTCTTCGTCCGCAATCGGCTGGTTGCCCTTGCGCGACTCCGTGTAGCGCGTGGACTCGGGCAGCGTGAGCCGCTGGTAGAGCGTGCCGAACGCCGGGATGAGCGAGAGCCCGACAAGGATGCGCCAGACTGTATGCCATTCGTCAGTCGGGCCGAGCACCGGACAGCGGCGGGGAATCAGACGTACCTCCGTCAACTTTGCTCGTCTTGCCGTCGACCTCCATTGTGTGCTTGTAGCACAGCAAGACAATAATCGTCGCGAGACTGCCGACGAACGAGCCCCAGCCCTGGTTGGCGAAGATGTACGCGAGGAGCGTGCCGCGACGCTTGAGGTTCGCGCGGTCGGTCGCGACGGACGCGGACATGGGGTAGTCGCCGCCGATGCCAATACCGAGGATGATACGCCATACGCCGAGCCAGATGAGCGAGCCGGAGGGGGAGAGGGCGCCTGTGTCGGGGTGTGTTAAGCTTATTCCTTGTGTACGTACGAGCGGGAGAAGCCAATTCATACCTGTAGGGTCGCAAAGCGAGCCAATGGTGGCGAAGATGATGAGCATAAGCTCCTTGCCGTCTGGAACATCGATTAGCCGGATGCAAACGCAGGGAGGAGAGCCCGACGTACAGACTGCTTTTCGACCGAAATAGTCCGCAGAGTAGCCTGGTTGAAAAACGGAGGTTAGAACGACAGTCCCTGCGTACATTGCGACAATCGCCGCCATCGCGCGCGCCGCATTGAGGCAAGCGGGATGGTCACACGAGCAGTGGAGGAGGCGGACATACCGAATGCGAATTGACCGATCACACTGCCGATATTTGCACCGGCCTTGACGAAGCCCTCGAGATTTGGTGGGAGGGATTCACCACCGTATAACCGGTATTGCAACATTGTCGCGACGGGCTGGAGATTCGGTAAGGATGGGGGACGGATCAAAAGTGTGGCTGAGGGCTTACGTTGATGATGAAGAGGTCATAGGCTTTACGGACGTTAGGATCGTTCGTGAGCAGCTACGGGGAGTATGTACGCACCATCTAGGAAGAATCCGACCTGTGTAGGGGGTAAGAGAAAAATTGAGCACTGGTCGTGTGACTGAAAAAAGTGCACGGCGGCGTACCCCAGCGATGCCCAGGAGCTTCACTTCACGATATGAGAGGAGGAAGGGGTAGCGGACGTCTCCTTCGCGCTCGTACTCCTCGAGGTTGGAGACATGTTGCGTTGCAGCGCGATCCGAGTGAACGGGCGCGGGTGCGTCTGAGTGTGCCGCGGAGGCCATCGCGCAGAAATGGAGGAGAGGAGGAAGGAGTGAGGCTTGGCGGGCCCGGCGAGCAGTCTATAAGTCTGGAGGTCGGTGATGGGCGCTGAGAGAGGGCGTAAGCGAGGGGACGCACGTTCGTCGAGGCGACTCCAGCGACTCCACCCGTAGCGTGCAGTGGACTGAGGGAGGTCCCGTCGGACTCGGCTTCCTCTCCCGCCCGGCGCCTCCGCACTTATATTTTCTCCCTGCCTTTCTTGGCGACGGTCCCTCTCTCTCCCCGGCAGACCGCACCGCCACCACTCCAGCCTCGCACTCGAGCCCTCCATGATCGTCAGTCCGCTGTACCGCTGCGATCCAGGCCATATCTTTCTATGTGCGCTACCTTCCATAGCGCAAGAGGAAGAGGTAGCTGCCAGAGCTACACCACACGGAAGGCGGACCCCACCGTATTGAAACTTGTCGGCCTGTGAAACGCAGGAGGGAGATGAACGTGCGTACACAAACTACGCTGCCGAACAAGCTTAGTTGGTAGCCGCATTTCCATCTCTGTCAATGTGCGTATGTGTGGTCAAAGTTTGGCAACCTCACCTGCGTCATGGGCCTGTCCTTTCCCGGACAGCGAAGATCATCTGCGAATTCCCGGTCCTCAGACTGTCGAAGGTGCGTCTGTGTTCCTTCAACACTGCATCTGAAGCCAAGAGTGCAAGGCGACATGAACGCAGATACGTGTACTGCCGTTACTAATTCAATTCATCGATCATCGTCGGAACAGTTGTTCTCAGTAGCCGCCATCTCGCGCAGTACCAGCCTGTAGATGCGCAGGTGAATCACACTAATCCGCTACCGTTTGTCGGCCAGTCAACGTGCGCACTTTGATATCTCATCTGGAGAGCTCATAAGGTTACTATGTATTGCAATGTGCACTGCATCACGCTCACGCGCTCCATCCACAGATGACGCTCTTTCGCCCGGTTTAACGCGAAACGAGCCATCTCGACGTACGGCATCCCCGGAGCTCGACGGCTGCGCCACACACGTTCCTAGGGCTACACAGGCATCGCGTATACCAGGCCAGCTCCTTCAACTTCGTCCGACCACACTCCGTCGGGGGGCACTTGCGATGGTACTACATATGTACGACCAACCAACCTACTGCTACCGGCGCAACGCTCGCACATCCGCTGAAACACGCTGAAACTGTGCCTTGCGTCAGCTTTATTTCATTTTTAGCGGGGCGCGGAGGTGCAGATCCCGTTCGGCGCTGCGCATTCGAATTTCGGATTTGTAGATCAAGTGGTGGCTGAGTATCATCGACCAAGATCAGTGGTCGCCGTTCGTCTGCGCGGTCGGCAGCTATTGCTCCCTATTACTCTATCCCAGTCAGACACTATTCCTGCGTAAGTACCGGGGAGGGACCTCGCGCAAGCACTTCAGAGGATTGGAGAAGGCTCACGGACCATCTCCTGAGGCACTCCTTGACAGAGCGACAAGTAGGGAGCTTGGATATCAAGCTGATATGGCCGAGTCGTTAAGGCGAGTGATTTGAACAGCAGGATTCGAACCTGCTCAAATATCACTTGGGATTTTCCCGCGTAGGTTCAACTCCTGCTGTCAGCGTTCCTTTTGCACCTCGCGAGTACAGACGAATCGACTGATTGAATATGGAGGGGCTGGTGCAAGTGGAACAAGCAAATGAATGTTTGCAGTGAGAGGCGTTGCGTTATTTTAGCCCCAGCGCCTACCTGAGACCATGAATATCATGGCTCTTCCGGAGACGCCGTGAGACGCTCTCACAGTACGTACTCTCTTCTCAGGGGCGTTGCTCAGTAACAGTGCGGGTAGCTAGTGGCCTGTACTTGGTTGCCAGACAGAACGAGTGTGGGACGCGCCGAAAAGTACTGCGCGAAAAATGCACAGAATACCTACGAATGTACCCAAGGGCGGCGCCTGAGGCGTACAGACGACGCTCGGTCCGTCAAATTGCAGCAGCTCGTTTCTAGGCGGGCTGCGGAATGCTCATGATGATGGAATTGCCAGAGACCGCCGGCGCCGGTGCCGGAACGGAGAGCTCCACGGCACGAGAGACGGAGGGAGGTGCTCGTCATGATGCATGTGTGCAGGCACGGCGAGCTGCACGGCCATGGAGACGACTGCCCCGTCGTGCCAAGCGGCCTTGTATTCGTCGACGCGGAGGTATTCGGCAGGGCCAGTGGCAGAGGCTGTCCTTGTGCGCCGGCGGGGGCGAACAAGTGAGATGTCGCCGGGACAGCGCCGGCGCACGCGAGCAGGCCGGGGCCGGATCAGGGGAAAGGGATGAGGCTGGGCGGGGATTGGGCGAGGCTGCGAGCATTGCTGGCGCATTCGGACTCCGCTTTGGGCGCTGCAGCTGGGATAGGTAAGGTACGGGCAGGCGCTGAGAGGCTTGCCCAACGCCGTCGTCGTCGCCGCGCTGCGACCCCCTCCGCATCGTCCCCGCCATCCCCCTCAACCTGCCCGCTCCTTTGTTCCTTCTGCTGTTTTGTCCCGACACGACCTGAGGGTGGTCGCACCATGCTCCGGTTGACCTCGGACCACTTCCCAGTCTGTAAGTCCCTGGTCTCACCCAATCGTGCTTGATGGCGAGTGCGCGGCCAGCCTTAATTGACGCACCCTCCTCCTAGTTGTACCATTTGGGATCATTGGGTACGCGCGACGCCCACACATCGTCCGTAGAGACGTGCATGCTAACGGTTGTCCAGCTTTTATCGATACTTGTGGTACCTAATACGTATAGCTGCCTCCCTCGCCTACCGCCCCGTCCCCCTACCAGAGAACCCAACCTACATCGCCGAGGAAGATGTCACGATCGTCGTCCCCACCATCGACGCCGGAGAGGAGTTCAAGGAGGCCGCCCACAGCTGGCTTGTCGGCAAGCCCAAGGAGATTCTCATCATCACCGAGGAGAAAATGCTTGGCCCTCTGCAAGACCTCGCCAACCAGGTCGACCCCGAGCGCATCCGCGTCTTGACCGTCCCCTTCGCCAACAAACGCCTCCAGATGTCCCACGGCATCAAAAACACCACGACCGACATTATCGTCTTCGCCGACGACGACGCTATCTGGCCTCCTACCCTCCTCCCGTACACCCTGGCGTGTTTCGAGGACCAGAAGGTCGGTGGTGTCGGAACCTCGCAGCGTGTACAGCCTGTCGGCAACCGCATGACGGTCTGGGAGGTTCTCGCCGCTTTCCGTCTCTCGATCCGGAACATCGAGATCGCCTCGTCGACCCACATCGACGGCGGTCTGCCGTGTCTCTCCGGCCGTACTGCTGCCTACCGCACGGTCATCCTGAAGGATCCCGAGTTCTTGCACGGCTTCACGCACGACTACTGGCTTGGGAAGTACCAGCTCAACTCGGGCGATGACAAGTTCCTCACCCGCTGGATGGTCGCCCACGGCTGGAGCACCTACGTCCAGTGCTGCAAGGAGGCTGAGCTCCTCAGTACGATGAAGCCCAACTGGCGGTTCTTGAAGCAGGTGCTTCGATGGACACGTAACACCTGGCGGTCGGACTTGCGTTCTCTCTTCACCGAGCGGTACATCTGGACATCGCATCCGTATGTTGCGTACACGATGGTAGGCACTGATTGCTTGCTCGCAACTTTTGTCCGGCCTGATCATCCTGTTTCAGGTTGACAAACTGTTCAACCCGTTCACGTTGCTTGCGGGACCGGTTTTCGTCGGCATAGTGGTTTACAAGTCGACAATCCCGGTTGATGACGGCGGTTTCCATTTGCCTTGGTGGTAAGTGATACTCACGTTCGAGCGCCTGTTGTGTCACTGACCGTCTTTGCAGGAACGTTGTGGTCAGTTATTTCGTTTGGTTGTTCGCTACCCGGACGGCGAAGCTCCTTCCCCATCTGTGGTACCGGCCACAAGACGTCATCCATGTACCCGCCTTCATCCTATTCGGCTACTACTTCTCCATCATGAAGATTTATGCACTACTGACGCTTCACGAGGTTTGTGTCTTGCATCTCCTCCCACTTGCTCTTACTCATATCTGTCCATTAGACTGGTTGGGGTACCCGTGCCGGTATCGGCGATGCTCGGGCTGCCACTGCAGCGGCGGACGCGGGCGCAGGTGGTCAGGGTTACGTGGAGAAGCTCCCGGACACGCCCAGCTACCCGCAACAGCAGTACCCACAACAACCATACTCCCCACAACCACCACAGCAGCAGCAGTACTACCAGCAGCCACCAGTGGAGATGCAGGCAGGATACGCGCGGTGATCGTGATCGCCGCCGTGCTCGCGGGTGTGTACGAGTCGAGATGCCCCTCACTGCTACGTTCCGAACTTCTTTCTCCTACCGCACATTTCTCCCTAGGCATTCATCCTCTACACCCGGCTCCTGCCTCACATCGTCTACGCTCCCCATCTACGGTACCCAGAATATACCCACCGTGTCTCACAGCCCGGTGCATGGAGATCTAGTCGTCTGCCGTCCCCGCCACGTCGTACTACACGCTCGCCCACGCTCGCCGCCGACGCCCCGCACCACCGCCGTTGTCTCGCTACGCTTGCATCCCGGATAGTGTGTGCATGTAATATGTACAGTCTGCCCGCCCGTCTTCTCGGACCCTTCGCGTAGATCCCCTGCTGCGCTGCCGGCTCTCGCGGGGTCTGTGTGGGCACGGGCCGCCACCGCAGCGCGGGTCTTGAACTTTACGACAGCATGGATGTTCATAGCACAACACCTCCGTATCTATTATAGCGTCGGGCTCCGGTGCCACCCCCCTAGTTTACATGCTGTTTCTTTCTCGTTCGTTCGGTACGAAAATGGACGTTCCTTTTGGGCACCGCACTCTTCTGGCCGGGAATAGGACCAGGGCTGCGCCGCCCGCGTGCGATGGCCGCGGATGCTGGGATGCATCATGCTGCTGCGAACAGGGCTAAGTATGTTCGGGTGGTTCGCGCTATACGTGGGTGCTCGAACTCACGATCTGTCCGATGGTGTTCCCTTTATAACTACACAAAAATAACGAAGTGCTGCGAGAAGGTACCCGGTGATATTGCTTTTCGCCGAATCCTGCGCGAACCGCTTAGAAAGGCGCCCCTTCGCGCCGGACTGGAAGACGCGAAGACTGTTAGCATTTATAGCGAGCGCAGTAACCCACCCGTGTCGGTACCGGCCCTGGTGATACCGCCTCATCTGACCTCGAACGTCAACGCCGCTCACAACCAATGGAACGGCTTGCTCGCTCGCAACCCTTTCGCATGAGGCAGCGAAGCATTAGGGTCGGAGTGATTGGTGTACGGGACGCTTCCTAGAGCGAACATTATATGCATATTCGATGTGCTTCCCGGCATGAGGTCCGTATTTGGCGGCAGAGCAGCCTCTCGAGACCTTGAGAACGCCCTCGGTTAATGCGCCAAGCATCCGCGAGATTGCATCGTTCACCGGCGCGTTCGTTCCAGGGTGAATCGCAGTCGAGGATATTGATACATGTACACGACTGTACAGCCAATGTCGCCGGGGGCGGTATGCACAGCGGGTAGGGCTACTGCTTCGGAAATGGTCCATGCATCCTCAAAAACTGTAAAATAAGGATGAGCATCTGCCGCGTCGGCACCAGCAGGAGTTGGATGGACGTACATCCGCTTTACCAGGAAATTCGTCTGGCAAGTTATATTCCACCCGGATGCTCGACAGCTGCAGCGCCATAGCACGCCATCCGACAGATTGGAGAATGAAGGCATCCTCGCCGCGCCCTCCCAAACCATTTGCCGGGATCGCGAACCGCGGCCTGAGTTTTGCCCGGCACAAGAAGTCCGCACGCAGGTACTTGTAGGCCTTTCGCCAGATAGCCCGATCGGACCTCTTGAACAAGCTCCAGTTTCGCGGGGTTGCCTCGGATGGGTGTAATATGAGCGTGTCGAATGCCTTCTTGACAAACGTCTGCTCTCGCAGCGTCAGCATTTCGTTGCGCTCGATCTGCTGCTGCGGCGAATAAATGCTTACCTTGTAGCTCAACATGGCCACATCGACTCTACCCCAGAGAGTTTGTACCTCGAGTTGGTCGTTCCACACGACAATGATACCCGTCGTGAGCTTGACCGTGGTGCTTTTGGTGGACGGAGTTTTCGGCGTGCTGGCTGGTGAAGGGACTGATGAGTCCTTTGGGGAGTCTTTGTCCTGCGACGCATCGGAACCTATGATACAACCGTTGAGTCAACATAGATGTGTCGTGTTCACAGTGAAGCGCAGTTCCTTTTACTCCTTCATCTTCGTTGACAGTGACATGGTCCGATGAAAGGTATGAGGGTGGATCGCATTCCGTGGCTGGTGTGCCCGACATGGCGGTTTATAATCCTCAGTCGATAGCCTGAAGTCGAGAAGTGAGGAGTATAGAGTACGGTGATGCGAGATGTGCTGGAGAGATTTATATACGCATGTTGTTGACCGGTGCCACTTGGAAGGAACCTAAACCAGAGATGCTGATGCGGGTAACTCGCGTCATTAGATAGATGCATATAGGAATATACAACACGGCTCTGCACGAAGTACAGGCAACCCGGACCACTCGGAAAGAACCTAAACCACTTGAGCAAGCGTCAGCATGTTGTCACTGTATATTTATGGTGAAGCGTGTAGTTTTACTTTCACTCACTTCGAATATATCTTCTGCTTGACCCCGGTACCTCTTCAGGCCTCACAATAATTTTTTTCTGGAGTAAGCAGGAAAGTGGTGCAAGGATGGTAGTCCTGCGATGTGGTTGGTGGTTAGAGTCGCGCCTGGCCTAAGGTCGCAGTCAGCGCTAAATACAGTCATTGGGGAACCCCGATTATAACGGACCATGTATAGATTAGATTAGATCGACCCCGCTCTCGTCTTTCAGCAAAATTCCTGACCATCTCTTGCTCGATGTCGACCATTCAGTTCACCGCGCCGAGTCTCCTACCCACCGCACGCCGTGAGTAGCATGTAAACCGTAACAGTCATCTATGTCAACTTGATGTTCCAGGTGCGGAAACAGCGCCCAACGGGCCTGGAGGTTGATCAACTAGGAAAGAGTCATCTTCCGCTGAAGTCCGGTGAGTGTTCAAGTCATCGTAGATGTGCCGCGTTCTCATCTTGAGTGCAACGCAAGTTTGCAATGCTTGTTCTTTCTGGAAGCTCCTCCCTTTCCTCCTCAAAACGGGACGTCGTTCTCAAGAACATCCAGGTGGCATGTCCTCACATCGCCTCCGTTGATGCCGTTTACCTCCACCTCGTCGCATGCCGATCGCAAATCACGGAGGGGGAACTATCCAAACAAGACTCTCCTTCCCGTCATATCCTTGATCGCCTCCTGGAGTATGGCGACCACATCGAGCTTCCCGGCACAATCTCTGCCATCCATTCCCGGCAGAATGTCATCTTCGTATTGCCTCGTCCCGGCTCAGTCTCTCCGTGGTCAAGCAAAGCGACGGATATCGCACGGATTTGCAAGCTAGGCGAACAAGTCGAGCGTCTTGAGCGCGGGTTCGCCTACGTCTTCACCACCACGGACGGTTCGAGTGTCACCCCAGAGGTCGTAACCAGCATAGCTCCTCTCATTCACGATCGCATGACTCAAGTCGTTCAAACTTCCTTGCCGGAGTCCGAGGCCATCTTCGAACACAAGGAAGCCAGCGCTCTCCGAACAATCGATCTGGTGTCCGACCTTGACGGCAAGACCGCCCGCGAAAAGCTCATGGCTGCAAACAAGGAGCTCGGCCTCGCTCTCTCCCCGGACGAGATTGAATACCTTGTCGCCGCATATGTCACTGGGTCTGCGCCGATCAACCGCAACCCCACCGATGCCGAGCTCTTCATGTTCGCGCAGGTCAACTCAGAGCACTGTCGTCACAAGATCTTCAATGCCTCTTGGACGATCGATGGACAGGCACCAGACACGTCTCTCTTCCAGATGATCCGCAACACTGAGAAGCTCAATGGGGCCGGGACCATCTCCGCATACTCTGACAATGCTGCCGTACTGGAGGGTCACAACGCACCTCGTTTCGCCGTGTCGTACACCGCGGAAAGCGACGCCAATCCCGGAATCAAGCACCTCTACCACGGCGAGGTCGAGGAAATGGACATCCTTGTCAAGGTTGAAACCCACAACCACCCAACCGCTGTCTCGCCATACCCTGGTGCTGCTACGGGCTCCGGCGGCGAGATTCGCGACGAGGGCGCTGTCGGACGCGGTTCGAAGCCCAAGGCCGGGCTGGCGGGCTTCACCGTCTCCAATCTCCTCATCCCCGGCTACGAGCAGCCTTGGGAGACAGACTTCGGACGACCTGCACACATTGCGTCTGCGCTGGATATCATGATAGATGGCCCGCTCGGCGCGAGCGCATTCAATAATGAGTTTGGCCGCCCGGCCCTCGCAGGCTACTTCCGGACGTTCTCGGAGAGCGTCCCTCTCGCGGACGAGGGAAAGACGGAAGTGAGGGGATACCACAAGCCTATCATGATCGCTGGTGGCTTGGGCAATGTCCGCCCGGCCTTTGCCCACAAGTCGAAGATCTCCCCCGGCGCGAAGATTATTGTCCTCGGCGGCCCTGGACTGCTCATCGGCCTTGGCGGAGGCGCCGCTAGCAGTCAGGTTTCTGGTGCGGGCTCTGCGGAGCTTGACTTCGCAAGCGTCCAGCGAGACAACGCCGAGATGGAGAGGCGCTGCCAGCAAGTCATCGACGCTTGCACCAACCTGGGTGACGCGAACCCCATCCAGTCAATCCACGACGTCGGCGCCGGTGGACTTTCGAACGCACTCCCCGAGCTAGTTCACGATTCCGACTTGGGCGCGACGTTCGAGATCCGAGACGTCCTCGTCGCGGACACGAGCATGTCACCGATGGAAATCTGGTGCAATGAGAGCCAAGAGCGCTACGTCCTGGCCATCTCACCGGAGAAAGAGGAGCTGTTCCGCGGTCTGGCGGAACGCGAACGGTGTCCGTTCTCTGTCGTCGGCACCGCGCACGACTCTGACGAGCTGGTTGTGACCGACCGGCTGCTCAAGCAGGACGTCATCCGCCTGAAGATGTCGACGCTGTTCGGCAAGCCACCCCGCATGCATCGCACCGACAAGCGCGTCGCGCCTCCTTCCGTCGCATTCAACGCGGACCTCTCCAGCTACCTGCCCGACCTCGACGAGGCCGCTCGGACTTCCACCGCAGTCGAGCGGGTCCTCCGCCTGCCCTCTGTCGGCTCCAAGTCCTTCCTGATCACCATCGGGGACCGCACGATCACCGGCCTCGTCACCCGCGACCAGATGGTAGGCCCCTGGCAGGTGCCCGTCGCCGACGTCGCCGTTACGCGTTCCTCGTACGGCTTCGACGTGGTGACTGGGGAGGCCATGGCAATGGGCGAGCGCACGCCGATCGCCATCCTGAACGCGGCCGCCTCTGCGCGCATGGCGGTGGCCGAGTCGCTGACGAACCTCGCTACCGCGCACGTCGGCGATCTCGGCCGCGTCAAGCTTAGCGCGAACTGGATGTGCGCCGCGTCGAAGGAGGGCGAGGGCGCGGCGCTGTATGACGCCGTGCAGGCGGTCGGGCTGGAGCTGTGCCCTGCTCTCGGCGTGGGCATCCCTGTTGGGAAGGACTCGATGTCGATGTCGATGAAGTGGCAGGAGGGCGCAGAGAAGCGCGAGGTCAGCTCGCCGCTCTCACTCATCGTGACTGCGTTTGGTAGGGTGGAGGACGTCGGGAAGACGTGGACGCCGCAGCTCCGCACCGACGTGAGCGAGCCTACATTACTGCTGTTCTTCGACCTGGCGTGTGGCAAGCAGCGACTAGGTGGCTCTGCGATTGCGCAGGTGTTCAAGCAGGTCGGCTCGGAGGCGCCGGATGTTGTGGAGGCTCAGGACGTCAAGGCGTTCTTTGTCGCGTCCCAGGCTATCCGTCAAGAGCTGCCAGGGGCGGTCCTCGCCTACCACGACCGCTCGGATGGCGGCCTGTTCACCACTCTCGTCGAAATGGCGTTCGCGGGACGAACAGGTGTGGCGATTGACTTGCAGCCCATCACCTCCGACTCGGAGTTCGTAGCGGCGATGTTCAACGAGGAGTTGGGCGCCGTCCTGCAAGTCCGCGAGGCCGATGTCTCTCGCGTCACCGACTTCTTCACGCAACACGGCTTCCCCAAGTCGTCTGTCCACACCGTTGGTCATCTGAACGCCGATGAGAGCATCCGCTTCACTGTCGGCTCCAAGGAGGTCTACAGCAGCACTCGAGCACACTTGCAGGCAACTTGGGCGGAGACGTCGTACCGCATGCAATCTCTCCGCGACGACCCCAAAGGCGCCGAGGAAGAGTTCGCGCTCATCAAGTCCACCGACTTTAAGGGCATCTACTACGACCTCAAGTTCACCCATCAGCCATCGCGGAGCCTCTTCCGCAGACCCAAGGTCGCCATCCTGCGCGAGCAGGGCGTGAACGGGCAGGTCGAGATGGCCTGGGCCTTCACCGCCGCAGGCTTCGACGCCGTCGACGTGCACATGTCCGACATCCTCCGCGGCGCAGTCGCGCTCGACTCCTTCCGCGGGTTCGCCGCCTGCGGCGGCTTCTCCTACGGCGACGTGCTCGGCGCCGGCAAGGGCTGGGCGAACTCCGTGCTGCTCAACGCGACCGCGCGCGCGGCCTTCGCCGCGTTCTTCGCGCGCGAGGACACGTTCGCGCTCGGGGTGTGCAACGGCTGCCAGTTCATGAGCAGCCTGCGCGAGATCATCCCTGGGGCGGACGCGTGGCCCGCGTTCAAGCCGAACCGCTCCGAGCGCTTCGAGGGCCGCGTGTCCGTCGTCGAGGTCGTCCCCAACGAGGTCACCGCGCGCTCCGTCTTCCTGCGCGATATGGCGGGGTCGCGCCTGCCCGTCGCGGTCGCGCACGGGGAGGGCCGCGCGGCGTTCGCGGCGGACGGCCAACGCGCGGCGCTGGAGGGCGCGGGGCTCGTCGCGCTGCGTTACGTGGACTCGGCAGGCGCGCCGACGGAGGTGTACCCGCTGAATCCGAACGGGAGCCCGGGCGGGATTACCGGCGTGCAGACGCCGGACGGGCGCGTGCTCGCGCTCATGCCGCACCCGGAGCGCGTCGTCGCGCTCGAGAGCAACAGCTGGTACCCGCCGGAGTTCGCGGATGCGTGGAAGGGCACAGGGCCGTGGTTCCGGTTTTTCCAGAGTGCGAGGAAGTGGTGCGGGGAGTAGGTAGATCGTTAGGGGTGGCTGGGTTGGTCGAAGGGAAGGTGAAAAAGAATCTCGTTGCGTTCGAAGAGAAGTTTGTTACTCGTGTATCGGTATAAAGGGGAAAGTAGATCCGTAGAATCAAGAATCAATGTATAGACGGCTGAACTATCTGAGGATGCTGTTGCGCACCGACGCAGCGAAGGACCGTGTGATGTTGAGGTCCCGAGTCAGGTTGTACACGTCAAGTGCTGTGCATAGAAGTACACGTCGCGGTCATAGAGAATAGTGTACAATAACCTTCACTGGCTCACTCAGCCTTCGGGGTCTTCCCAAGAATTTTCAGTAGCTGTTGACCCGGCGCAGATAAGAAGCAACACTCATACCACAGCCACAGAAAGCCGGACGTACCTCCACTTTGTTAGGATACACTTCGGGAGGCTGGTACTCGACCTGGATCTTGACAATCTTCTGCATCATCTCCTGCCAGCCCACCGGCTGCAGCATCACAGACTCCTCCACAGAGCCCTCTGACCCGTCGCCTTGGCCAGCCCATTGCGGCCTGAACTTCACTCTGGCCGCAAAGTCCGCCTGGAGAAAGTTGTAGGCCTCATAAAAGATGGCGCGCTGGGATTTCACGAAAGGGCTGAACGCCCACTTGGGCGCGCGGGACGGGTGCAGGATGAATGTGTCGAATACCATCCTGGCGAATTGCTGTTTATCCTGCTGTCAGCTTGCGTGTATGGGCTGCGTATGGCAGTCAAGGGGCGACATACGTGGTAGCCTAATTTAGCGACACCCGCTCGGCCCCAGGCGGTCTGACAGTGCGTGATGGCGTTGCCCACGACGATGATGTGAGGCGAGAGGGTGACGGGGCCCGGGCCCTGCACCGGAGGAGGGGCATGCTTGATCGCGGTGTCGGCCGTACCGTCCGTCGTAACCGCACGAAGAGGCTGACTTGTAGCATTTTGCTTCTCGAGAACGTCTGAGGATGAGTTATTGCATGTTCAACTCTTTGGTGGACTACAGCTCGGGTCCGACATACCTGGGCTGCTGTCCTCATGCTCCATATCCTCATAGACGGTGCTAGTATCGTCGTCCAAGGAAGGGGTCATAAGCTTTGGGGACTCCGATGTAGACATGATCTAACAGTGTAGGGGCGATATGGTATGGTTCTGATGAGACTGAGTGAACTCGAGTGTACTTGGAATCGGGGAGGAAGTGTCGAGCTTGGAGTCGAGCAGTGAGATACTTGCGACTGGTGACGTGAGCCAATGTACAAATGCGCGCTCCAAACTCCATGACGTATAGAACACAAGCTCAGAGATCTCATTCCTATAATCGGTGCAAAGCTGGGCCCTTTGAGCGACATGTTGACTGCATAATTGCAGGCTTGAGTACTGAGTACCCAACGATACCTGCTAGAATCAGGCTTGATGCTTGATGCCCGTATCGGTGCTGAGGATATCTCAAGAAAGTCCTTGTAGCACTAGTACTGCACAAGAGCCAGGGCGCCGCAGTACATTCTCAGGCCGTCACCGAGTGGAGAGTCCAGAGGCAGGAGGATGATAGACGCGACACCGCCGGAAACAATCGTCGAGGAAGCAAGAGAGACATAGGCGCCCATGTATCGGTACCGGAGGAAGCGGCCCGGCCGGACAGCGAGCGCTTCGGGAAGTCCTGGTGGAGGCAGACACCTTGGACATGGACGTCGACTCTCTGCTTCAGACGCACTGCAGCTTGTCCTCATATCCAAAGGCCTTCTATCTCTGGGGCTCGCGTTTTTATCTGGGTATCTCTCTGCGCTGATGGGAACGCGTTAACACGGACGGGGTGCGTGCAGCAGGCTACAGTCCTAACCGCAACATTAGGTCCTCTCTACCCACTCCTGGAGTTCCACCATGGTCGCGCAGGCAGACAAACGACTCTTATGGCACCCGCGCGGGCAGAACAAGTTTGTCGTGGGAGGAAGTACACAAATCACGCTGTATGAGTGGCTCCCCCAGTCTTCCCAGATCAAGCAAGTCGCGTCTCAGTTAGAGCTGAACACGATGAAGGTATGTAAGCCCATATTCATCATCCTCATGAACTCGTCACCACTTCTGCCTTCTCACATAGCTCTTTCTGTAGTGTTTCGCGTGGTCGCCGGATCCTGTACTTGACGACTTGGTCGCGGTGGGCTTCGGAAATGGTCGTGTGGACCTGCTTCGCCTCGAAGCGTCCAAGCATGCTCGCAGCGGTGTGCTGTCCCACGGCCCTGCAGTCTCGCTACCGGCTCGAAATACTCGCGCATGTAACGCACTTGCGTTCTCCTCAGAAGACCCAAGCTATCTTGCCGTCGGCCTCGATAAAGTTCGCAATGACCCGAGTCTTCTCATCTGGGACATCCAATCCGCCTCTCCTATGCTCTCCATAAACACTGCCTCCCCAGTGGAATCTATCTCTAGACCCCTACCATACCTCCCTCGAACAGACTCGCGCGCTTCGGACTCGCGCATAATCCAACAGCATGCTCCGGTCGAGAACGTCTCGACTCTTGCCTGGCTCCCTCGCTCTTCACATTTGCTCCTTGCCGGTGTCTCGCATCGCTGGCTTCAACTCTTCGACCTTCGGAACCCCTCCTCGGGTCCCACTAAAGCTGCGAGCAAAGTCCAAGGCATTGCTACGGATCCCTTCGATGAGCACCGCGTCGCGTGTTTTGGCGACGCTATCGTGTCCATCTGGGATACACGGCGCTTCACGCAGCCTGTCCTCACATTCACAGCTAGGGACGCATCTGCAGATGGTGTAAATGGAACTCCCACGGGCAATACAGGAGCGCGCGGAAAGTCCAATACCCCAGCGAGCGCCGCTACGCACCTCACTCATGTAGAGTTTTCTTCGACGCGTCGTGGTACTCTGGCTACCCTCGAAAGGGATGCAGACTACGTGCGCTTCTGGGATGTTGTGCAAGCGCAATTTGCGGAGCCCGCCGTGGAGACTAGCCGTTCGCGCGATTCGTCTCAATCTGGGGGCAAAGCCGTACGGTCATCGTGGGTGAAATCATGGTCAACGTCCGGCTCCGCCCCTAGCCAATCGTCAATGCCGCCACCACCCATACCCTCGAATGACGTTGCGCAGTACAATTTGATACTCGCGGATACACGGCGGAGTACGAAGTCTCTGCAATATATGCGAGCGACAGTCTGATTCATGTTTACAGCCAAGACGTTCTCCCGCCCATTCGCGTCCTTCGCGCTCGTGTCAAGTTCCAAGTCGCATCCTCTCACCTCAAATGTCATGCTCGTGAATAAGGACGGCGATCTCGAGCTTTATGCTGTCCACGACACTCCTGTCCACCCGGCATGGAGCGCGCGTGGTGATCTAGCACTCGGCGTAGGCTGCTCTTACACCGTTGTCCCTGGAATCACAGATATGACGCGCCCACTAGAACCATGGGAGATTCTCGCGTATCCTTCCCGCCCCGGATCCCACGCCCAATCCCTGGAGCGTCCGGACTTCGGTGTGAGCTCGTTCGGGGGGCGGCGCTCGCGTTTGCAATCGGAGTCCCCATCGCACTCGGTGCCTCCACCGACATTTGGACGGGGAGATGAAGAGGGGTTCCCCGCACTCAGTCCCCCGCCGACGAAGCCTGCAGGGGACGAACCGCCATCGAGGTCCGGACGTCGGCGCACACACAGCCCGTCGGCCCTCAAGCAACTGCACTTCGAGCACACTGCGACTGGGAAAACGCGCTATGCGTACAGCTCTCAGGGAAAGAAGCATCGCGGAGATCAGGATGTGCAGCCGGTCCACTTCAACACGTCTATGCCGACGCCAAGGACGGTGACCCTTGCGCTCGACGATGGCGAGGTGCGGGCGAAGCCGACTCGCAAGTCTGGGCCGCTCAAGGCGCTCCAGCATGTCGTGGAGACGGATATTTCGATGGTCATGAGACAGCGTGCGATAAAAGGCTATGGCTTGGTCTATGTATGCGTTCGCATTTATTTCTATGTGTATATGCTGACTGTCACCGACAGCCTTTGCACAACTCCGCTGTCGCTCGCGATACATCACCTGACGGGTATGCTCTGTCGGAACTATGGCTATGGGTCCATCGTACGTCCCTTTCTTCGACTTATTCTCCATCGCTCGCTAATAAGCGCCATAGATGCTCAACGTTTACTCTCCTCTCCTTCGCCCATGATCGAGGGGTACAACTTCGCCTACCAGGGACTCATCGGCATCTGGGAAAGCTTCCGCCCTACACGCCCACACCCCTCGTCCAACCAGCCCACTCCGCGCATGGCGCGAAGCGCGCTCTTCGACGGCCCTGCCCCATCCCCGAAGTTGACGGCACTCAGCCTGGAAGTACCGCACCGCTCGAGCTCGAAGCAGTCTGGGGGCCGCAAGCGGAGCAGGCCGCCCGCCTCTGCGCTTCCGGACGACTTCGTAGGGGCGATTGAGGAGCTGAATGCGAGGAGCGGGAACTCGGAGTCGGTGGCGGCGTGGAAGCCGTCTGTAGGCACGGCGCGCCTGGCGCAGAGACGGTTTGCTTTGCAGCTGTGTGCGTGGAGTTTGGCGCACGACGACTTGGCGCGGGCGATCAAGAGGTACGAGCTCACAACTATCATGTGTATGTCTTACTCACAATGAAGGGATCGGAAGATGGGAGAAAGAGAACAGACACTCTCAGGCTGCGTGCTGGCTCGTCTTCACGGAACAGAACAAGCAAGCCGTCGAGTTGTTAATGCGGAGTAAAGGTACGCGCACGAAGATTGCTGTTACTAGCCCGCTAACACATTGCCCATCTGCAGACGAATCGCACCATATGATGTCCGGAATGGTCGCCGCACTGACATCAGGTGGCTCCCGGAACACCGAACTAGTGCAGCACTGCGAGCGACTCATCGTGCGCTTGCAGGACCCGTACCTCCGCGCGCTCCTCACCCACCTCACCGTGCGCGACTGGGCCGAGGTCCTCGAGGAGGACTCCCTGCCCCTGCGCGAGCGGCTTGCGATCGCGCTGCAGTTCCTGGACGACAAGGAGGTGTCCGCGTACCTGCGGCGCGTCTCCGACCGCTGCATCCACGACGGCGACATCGACGGCATCTTCGTCACTGGGCTGACCAACAGCGGGATGGACCTCCTGCAGGCGTACCTGGACCTCTCTGGGGACGTGCAGACGGCCGCGCTGCTGTCCGTGCTCCCGCCCTCGCGCGCGCAGGACGCGCGGGCGGGGCGCTGGCTCAACTCGTACCGGGACCTCCTCGACGGCTGGCGGCTCTTCCACCACAGGTGTCAGATCGACATCGACAGAGGGCATATCCTCAAGGAGGCCATAGAGAATGCGGAAATCCGGGCGTTGGAGTGGGCGCCCCGGCAGCTGCTCCTGCGCTGCAACTATTGTGGCAAGCCGATGGATCCGCCGTTCCCCGCAGATGGCCATCTTCGAGTGAGTACTGTTGCTCCACGCTCCATATGGCGTGCGCGGAGTTACTGATGAGCATGGTAGGCGACACAGTGCCCGCACTGCAGCCGGCCCTTGCCCCGGTGCTCTGTTTGTCTGATGACGCTTAGCCTTACCCCAGAGGCATCCCGTGGAGGGAACGCGTTAGCTGCGATACCGACCGGTAAGTCGATGGGTGCGACCAAATGTATCGCAGGACTTACAGACGCGGTCTAGAAACGATTGAAGAGGCGCTGGTGTTCTGTCAGACGTGTCGCCACGGAGGGCACGCGTCTCATCTCATGGAGTGGTTCTACAGCGAGGGTGGCGCGGCGACGAGAGCGCATGGGACGTGTCCCATCGCGGGGTGTGAGTGTCGCTGCTCTGACGAGATGTGATAGTGCTTCGAAAATATACATAGGTAAGTCCCGGTTTTCCCTCACTCGAGGCTGTCCCTGACCAAAATTGAAGCCCTACCGCTTAGATGCTGTTGTAATAGTCCCCAATCGTGTGATATACTAAGAACGGATACCTCTTCCATGTTTTGCACGTTGTCAACGGATCCTGTGCTCTTCTCGACAACATCAGATTAGACATTCTAATCAGGTACACCGATGCAACTTATACACCATGTTGGAGTCGCGAAACAACACATCTTTGCCTCCGGTTTGTGAGTTACAAACAACTTGATTTTGTTGTTAGACATTCACTTGGCATCGGTAGCTCGCCAAAGTTCTCATCGCCACAGATATTCATCCAGACAAATGAATCAGAATTCGTGAAGTCCGCTAATAGTGTCCATAAACGTGTCCATGAACTACGTCGAAGCTAGACCCAGACATCCCTTCAACTGCTTAGGCAGTGATAGTGAACTTGCCAGACACGTCTCCGGAATCGCCGACAACTACAAATAAATCAGCAATCCGCTCATGGCAGGTAGAGCGACGATGGTTCAAACTTACGGACGACGATGTAGTCGTCGCGGGAAACGACGTCGGGGACGGTCACAGTGACTGACCCCGCGGTGATGGGGAAGCCCGTCGCGAGTGGGTTCTCTACGGACGCAGGCGGGTGAGTAACATGTACATATTCCTCGTCCCCAAAGCTATGTGCTCACTGGTGTCAATGTGCTCGTCGTCAGAGCCGTCCTTGAGGAAGCCGAGGAAGGCCACGCCGGTCTCGGTCGTGTTGCTGGGGATGCTGGAGGTGTCCCAGGTGACGACCTGCTTCGACCCTACGGTCCACAGGTCACCGGCCTTGGGGGCCGTAACGGGCGGGGCAATGATGTCGGCGGGAGCAGCGCTGACAGCTGCGGCGGCAGCGACGAGCGCGGTGAAGATGGTGGCGAACTTGTTGGAGAACATGGTCGTGAAGTGAAGTTGGAACGGGTGGGTAGTAGTGAGCAAAGGAAGTTGTGAAGTGCGCACTGAAGACTCTGGGTCGCAGAGCGAGGGTACTTATACCTCCTCGGCAAGGTATGTCGCGGGCGTTCATGTTCAATTGCGGAGACGGCTAGCTTGTACCACAGATGGGGAGACTCGGGCGTGATGTGGGATGGCCGTGGGCTGTGATCCGTCGGAAAAGCACCCACTGCCGGCGGCCTGTGACGTTGGATCGATGAATGTATGGTACGGTCAGCGCTCCGAGTGGTGTATCCGTCGCATAGTCTTCCGGCCTGGACACACCTTTCGGACCTTGGTGTGTTGAAGTATTTGCAAGGTAGGGCGGAATGACATATGAGAGCGAGTAGCCCGAATGAAGGCCCAAGACACTCTCTTGATGTCGTGAGGCTTTCCTAGGTTCCCGGTACATGTGGAACTCGAACGAGCACACTTCCACGCTACTAGCGACTCCTCATCCATGGGGTCAAAAGAGTGTTACCGTTGAGCCCCAAAGCGACACACGTGAACATAGTAAAACATTGATCAGAGCGGGAGTAGGAGTTGATATTTCAAGATTCGCGAATATCTCCGTAAGGAAGCGCGTACAGCATGGTTGTGAAGGGTAATCTCCCCGAATAAACCACACCGCCCCTCCCACGGTCAGCGCGTCTCGCCCGCTCATGCGATGCCGAAGAACTGGAGGTACTGCTGCTCGAAGAGCGGAACGGTGTGGCCGACGCCCTGTGCGAGGATAGCCTGGAACTGCGGGCCAAACGTGGCGTTCGAGTAGCCCTTCGGAAGGAACGACTCGCTGACGTTCGACACGGGCGTGCTCGGCAGGCCAAACACGGTCGTCCATTGTTTGATTTGTTCGAAGAAGTTCTGCGGGAACACGGTGGTGTCGCTGAAGACGTAGCGGCATCGTAAGCAATGGCCCCTTGGAAGTATCACATGAAGGCACGTACGCTGTTCCATGCCAGGTCTGGATCTTCGGGCGAGTACCGGTGAAGCCCGGGAATGCGTTGAAGACCTTCTGAGCCTGCAGAGGATATCACGTCAGTATCCGTTAGTGGATATCGATACACAGTTGTGAGCTGTGCCCTGACTCACCCATTGCTGGCCCGTCATGATGACGTTTCCAGACGCACAGACCTCGTTGAAGGTATCCAGAGGCCCTGATGAAGCGAAGCAACCGAAGGCGACGCCGGAGTCCACGATTCCAGCCTTGAAGATATCCGGGTACGCACCGGCGAGCACGCTGGTCATCATCGCGCCCGAGGACGTGCCGACGGCGAAGACACGGTTCGGGTCGACGCCCCAATTAGCGAGAGCAAAGCGTGCGACGTTAGCGATACTGAGCGAATCGCTGCCGCCATTGTGCATAAGAGTCTGAGCAGAGGAGACGTCCCAGCACAAGTCGGGATGAGGCTACAGGAATAGGTCAGCGAATGTCTTTCAGGTTGTAGCCACTTTGACTTACCGATGAGGGGAAGATGACCAAGTAACCGAAAGTCTCGGCGAGTTGCGCGAACTTCGAACCCTGGAAGTAGATCTGTGCAGTACCTGTGCAGACTAGAAAACGGACGCCCTACATCAGCCGCGGCTTTCAAGCTCGTTCCTGTTCACTCACAGTGGCTTGCGACGATCAGGGGCGGCTTCGCCTGCAGCTTCTTGGGCTTGTACACGAACATGCCCACATTATTGGGGTTCGTGCCGAAGTTGGTGATCTGGTGCAGCGTCGACGCCGGAATAGCGCTGAGATCTGTCGGCGCCGCGCCGCTGGGAGGGGGCGCAGCGACCGTGGTCGTGGGCGGAGCGGATGCGCTGGGCAGGCACTGGGAGAAGAAAGCGTTCTGTTCAACGCAAGTAGAGCCGGATGCTGCGCCCAACGAGTCAGCTCAATCCGTCGTAAGGACTTCGGATAACGTGGATATGCGTACCGCATGTCGTGGGGCCTGTGAAGCCTTGGCCTCCACACTGGCCGAACACTGCCGCCTGTGCGAGGACTGACGGGAGGAGAGCACAAAGACCTAGGACAGCCTTAAACGAGAACATCCTGAAGGTGAAGACACGAGTTCTGGGGTGAGGAGTTACGAGAGGCTGCCGGTGAAGAATAATGTGGGTCCAGGGTGCTACTTATACTCGGGATGTGCAGGGGAGTAAAATGGGGACCGCGCACAGCTGACCCGCAGTTGCAATAGTCGGGTCCCGATGGCCTGACAAGCACGGTGGAATGACCACCGCTGTGTGTGCTGGCAGATCTAACTTTGACCGTGGGGTAAGCGGAGCTGGGAATAGGGGCGTTGCAACCACGCACCTCTGTCTGCAAATTGTGCACGAGAAGTTGTCAGCTCGTCTGTCCAGAGTAATAGCGGGTATATAAGGCGCGAAAGCCACGCTGTACTGGGGTATCAGCTTGTAGATAGAGGCAAAGTTACGGAGTACCGTTTTCGCGTTCTACGACGGAAGTAGCAAAGTTACGGAGTACCGTTTTCGCGTTCTACGACGGAAGTAGCAAAGTTACGGAGTACCGTTTTCGCGTTCTACGACGGAAGTAGCATGTGTGATGGGAACGATCACCCTGGGAGGGCACAAAGAAGTGCGGGAATTACAGCACGATGGTCGACCAGGTGATTCCGTTTTCGGCATCAATTTGGCGACACCTGTTGAGCACCCCAGCGGTCCTGCGAAGTATGCCACAAAACGAGACCGACGCCAAAGCGGTGCGAACCTGGGGTCCATGTGCTTCGTCGAGAATCCCGCCCCGAGACTCGTTACTCGTGGCGATCACTTAGACTAAGACACTCGCGGCGTCGGCAATGTGCCTTACGTGTGGAAGGACACGTTCCTTCAGCGCTCAGCTGGATTCACACGCGAGCACATAGGAGCATGCCAAGCTCCAATACCTACGAAGTTCGGATATTCAGTAAGAAGACACGTCTGCGGGGCGCGGGCTCACAGCAAGACACCCACTTCAATAGTGCGATCGCGCATGTATCCCGAGATCCCCAATATGTGGAGCCTTTCACGCAACCCAGGGGTGCGAATAGTTCAGACCCAAATTCGCCTTGATTTGTTCATACGACCAAACGACAAGCCTCCACAAACCTGCATTTCCTAGAGTCTCCCGCCCTGTCGCGCCTTTACGCGATCCCGAGGAACTGCAGATACTGCTGCTCGTACAGCGGCACCGTGTGGCCGACGCCCTGCGCGAGGATCGCCTGGAAGTTCGGCCCGTACGTCGCGTTCGAGTACCCGCGCGGCAGGTACGACTCGCTCACGTTCGACAGCGGCGTGCTCGGATACCCGAACACGGTCGTCCACTGCTTCACGGTCTCGAAGAAGTTCTGCGGGTACAGCGTCGTGTCGCTGCAGACACCCCAGTCAGATGAGCGCCTCTAGAAAGGGGAGGAAGACGTACGCGGTTCCGTGCCAGACCTGCATCTTCGGGCGCGCCCCAGTGTATCCAGGGTACGCGTTCAAGACCCGCTGCGCCCATTGCGCGCCCGTGAGCACAAGCTGCCCCTGCGCACACTGCGCGTTCCAGCTATCCTGCGCCTGCCCCGGCAGCGCGAAGCACCCAAACGGCACCCCAGAGTCGACCACCCCGCCCTTAAAGACATCCGGGTACGCGCCCGCGAGCACGTTCGTCATCATCGCGCCCGAGGACGTGCCGACGGCGAAGACGCGCGCGGGGTCGACGCCCCAGTTCGCGAGCGCGTAGCGCGCGGCGGAGGCGATGCCCAGTGAGTCGCTCCCGCCGTCGTGCGTGAGCGTCGCATCCGAGGATACGTCCCAGCAGGTGCCCGAGTGCGGCTGGGGGGGGGGCGGGTGGTTAGTCAGGGTGGGGGTGTATGCATGCGCTGTGGGGAGACGTACAGAGGACGGGAAGAGCACGACGTAGCCGTACGTCTCGGCGAGCTGTGCGAACTTGGAGCCGGAGAAGTACGCCTGGGCGGTTCCCGTGCAGACTGTACCACGCGCGTCAGAGACCCCGGGATTCTGCAATTCGCTCAACACAGCTTACAGTGGCTCGCGACGATCAGGGGCGGCTTTGACTGGACGCGCGCGGGCTTGTAGACGTACACCGCGACGTTGTTCGGGTTCGGCCCAAAGTTCGAGATCTTGAACAGCTGCGACGCGGGGATAGTCGAAAGGCCGGATGGCGCGCTGCCCGTCGGAGTCGTCGAAGTCGGCGAGCTCGGGGGCAAGGTGGGCGTGACGGTGGTGACCGGGGGAGATGCGGCGCTGGGCTGGCACTGTGAGTAGTAGTCGTTCTGCTTGATGCAGGCCGATCCAGACACTGCGAGCGCATATAGTCAGCCGTGAGTGTGGAGGTGAATGTCTGGGAGGTGAGACATACCGCAAGTGGTCGCGCCGGTCCATCCAATGCCGCCGCACTGCCCCCAGACGGCGGATTGGGCCGCGACGAGGTGGGCGAACGGGAGGAGCGCCGCGAAGCTGAAGACAGTCTTGAACGACAACATGTCGGCTCCGCTCGGGCTTCGTCGAAAGAGTGCCAAGGCTCTTGAAGATCTCAAGGGTGCGTCTTCCCCTATATATGCGCAGAATAAGTGGTCGCATTGTTGAGTCCACCGGCCTCGTTTTACGGAGGTGCCATGTGCTTCGTCGATAGAAACCACATGAATTAGCTACCTCGATGGACGATCCGGAGGTTAGCCCGCTAAAGACCCGCGCAGAATAGACGCAGTGCCTAGCGTGTCTTCTTGCCCTCGACCACGCGCGCGAAACGAGCATACGCACCGTGTCAAGGATCATCATACACGTACACGTGAGGGCGCCCATCACCGCAATGCGGGATATCCTCGCATGGTCGATGTTGTTCTAGACCATGTTGTGTTCATTTATCTGCCGACGCAAGCCCTTGCGCAGAAGGACGTACCGTCGATGGGTGGCGTGCAATTCGTGATGAAGACAAATTCGAGGTGGCCTTGTGACCAGAGTGCCTAAGATCGTGTGCCCATCGGTCAGTAACGCACTTGAAAGACATACTTTGTGCGGTCCGCGTCGAGGAAGGCCAAGCACAACACTGTATAAGATTGTTGCAGTTTCTCGGAACGAGGATGTGCTTGGCACTGTGGTCAATCCGGCTTCTATACTCGGGCCGGCCGTCTGCCTCAACGGGCGGATTGGGATTTGTCGAACAAGCATCGCGAGGACTTTGCAAGTTGAGCTGTGCGGTGCATGTTTGTACAACATTGATATACATTGGATGTTATAACCAAGGTCTACTGGTAGATTTGTGAGCCAAAGCCGTATGCGAACGACTTGAACATTGTTATACTCACCTAGTCCACATCGAATGCTTACAACATCGCCTGCGAGCCTTCCATGGTATGCAATGAAGCCGAGTAAGCTCAAAAGGACCAGAAAGCTTCCCGCCACGTCGAGGCCGCTCCGATGTACGGAAGACGCGTCTGATTCTACGCGTCGGCGTGTGCAGCCGAACGAGTGGCTTCGAGGTTGTACTGGACGTTCTTGCGGTACTTGGTAACGAGGTCAGCGGCGGTCTTGACGTGCGCGTCCGCCTGGATGATCTCCTGCAAGACAACGTAAGTCTAAGTCTGGAAAGGAAACGGAGGGTCGCGTTGGAGACGTGCCTCGAGACATTTGTTGAGCTCGAGGATGGCTTCAGTGCATTTATCCTGTACCCCGGTGAATACGCCACGATCAAGGAGGGGATGCGGGGAACGTACGGCGTTTTTGATGATGCGCTGGAGGAGGACGTTCTGGCGTTCCGCATGGGGGTTCTCCATGTCGAGCACGCGTCGGGCGTCGGGCGGTGGCGGAGCGGACGCGGTGGCGGGAGGGAAGGATGGCGGGCGTCTGTGCCAGAGTGCGCCTCGGCCCGGCGGGGAAGAGCGGATTAGGAAGGCGGGGTGACTGCGGGCGGCGGGTTCGATCACTTGCTGCGCTGCAACGGTACGCTTCCGACTCCACTCTTCTGCCCTCCTCGCGCTGGCCTGTGCGCTGTGCTCGCCGGGTAGATGAAAACGGGGTGCTCGCTTGCGTAAGATGCAGGCAGCGTTGTCAGGAAGACTGACCAGGAAGTGGAGCTGCCTGACGTCACGCGCGATGGCAGTCCCTGCCCCGAAAGCGGGTGGCAAGGGCCAGGGAAGACGCGAGCCAGGTCCCAGTCGACGGCCCACGCGTCCACGATCGGTTTCGGTATTTACTGTTCTACCCCTCAAAATGTCGCCCCGGAGCGTCCATACCGCTCTCTCTCACCTCCCCTCACCTCCTCGCCGTTTGCCTGACCGCCTTCGCTGGCCGTCATGGCCAGTCTCTTCAAGAGCGACAACATATCCTACCGGCCACTCCTCTCTACCCCGCGCTCTCTACCGGCCAAGGTCCTCTGTGTTGTCGCCATTTTCTACGTAATCTATGCCGCACACTCCTTGCTATCCTCATCCTCGAACTTCTTCTCGTTCTCCGTGAGCCGACCACGGAGCATCTGCACACCACAAGCATGGGCCTCCGGCCAATGGGTCCCAAAAATACCACCCACCATGCGGACAAATTTTACCAAGTCGGAGGATGTGTACGAGTTCCTCGGCTTCCAGGGTTGTGCCAGCAACCGTGAAGTATACTGGCATCTTGCTGCCGACAACGAGCGGTTATTTGACCGCTTCCCTGCGGTCGCATCGTGGAGGTGGTCACCACCAGCAGAACAATGCGAGGTGCGCGACCTCGACCCGACTGTGCTCGTGCGCGACCTGGTCGAGCAGGGTGGCTGGCTTCTCATTGGAGGTGAGCATCTTTCTACCCCGTTTCCCGTCCATCTCCGTCTAGGCACGCTACCCCTGGGCAGTGCTATTCTTGCCGCGGCAGCCCGCTGCGCACGTTGGATTGCGCTATGCATCTATTCCTGAGATCTCCCTTGTCAGCTTCGAAACGCGAAGCTCGGGGGCGCCTTGGTTGCGCACCGCGTTGTTCGCCCGTCTGCTGCGAAGCGTAGCTAACAAGCGCCATTTGTCAGATTCCGTGACTGAGAACCACTTCTTCTCGCTTTCGTGCCTGCTCTACCCGCACGTGCGCGCGACGCCGGACTACGTCGCGAACCCGTACTTCGACCGCGGTTGGCCGCAGAACCTCTACCTCGACCCCGCCTCGCCGCTCATCTCCAAGATCAAGTTCCCCGACGGGTTCGACATCGAGACGACCCCGCTCGTGACCTTCCGCCGCATCGACCTGCTCTTCGAGCCGTCCGCGCTCGACGCGCTCTACAAGCAGCTGCACCCGGACTCCGCGCTCGCCACACAGGGCGGGAACCTCTTCAGCGACGAGGCGACGTGGAACCTCGCGCCGGCCGAGTACGTGAAGATCTTCACCGCGCCGCTCCCGCGCGGGAACTACGCGACGATGGTCGTGAGCACGGGCGGGCACTGGACGACGACGCTCTTCGCGGGGCTCAAGGACGCGCAGCTGCCGAAGGACGGGATCGAGAACGTCGTGAGCTTCTTCGGGGAGGCGATGGACGCGTGGGCGGGCGAGGTGCAGGCGCTGCTGTACGCGGCGGAGAAGGAGGAGCGCGCGATGCGGAGCTTCCACAGGAAGGGCCGCCCGCCGCGCCAGGTCGTCGCGCGTGCGTACCTGCCTGGGCACGAGGACTGCCACGACCACCGCGTGCCGGACAAGGAGTACAAGCCCGGGCGCTGGGGCTGGTACAACTGGAACCAGATCGGGGACCTCAACAACAAGTTCGAGGTGCGTTCTTATTTTTCCTGATGGTGAAGGCGCGGACGGGGTTGACACGGGCTTTGGTAGGCGGTGCTCCAAGGGAACAAGTACCCCGACATCCATTTCTTGCCGATCGACCGCCCCGCGCTGCTCAGGCCGGATGCGCACTCGGCGGGCGACTGTCTACACATCATGACCGGCGCGGGCGTGCTCGAGGGCTGGACGCAGTATATCTGGCACTACGTCACCGTCGAGCTGCCCTCGCGCATGCGGTAACGCCAGCTTCTCCGTTGCGTGCTAGAAGACCGTGCTCGGTTATAGATGCCCCAGTCCCGCGCATCGGCCCGCAGGGGACGACGCGGGGGACGGTAGCTCTTCAGAATTCGTACATCTACGTTTCACCTCATTGGATGATATATTCGTTCCCGCTCTTTCGCCCCCACCCACCCCACATACGAGCTCTACCCGCACCCTACCTACTCGCGAACACACTACGTGCTCCGCGGACGTTTTCTCTTTGGATACATTAGGCTAGACGGACCACGCTAGGTTAGAGTTTCTTCGCCTCAGCTTGGCTTAAATCTTGAACGCGGCGCGCGCTCGCGTCCATCCGGTTGTAAAATACGATGCAAAATAAGGCTTTTGGATGTTCTGTCTGTCTCGCACGTTCGTGGTGAACAGGCTGCGCCTGCGAACGGTATATGTGGACAACTTGACAAGAACTCAAGTGCTCATCGACATCTTGAGTGGTACGTTTGGCAGAAGGTGACGGCATATGCATGTCCCGACGGCGGCAAACAGGCGTCCACAACGTCGCTGCGCGCGAAGGGCGCCGCGCGGCTCTCAATCAAACGATCATCCTCACTGCGCTGCACTTGCGGCCGCAGCCTATCCTACTTCGCATACAGCAGCTGTCGACCTCATGCTCTCATAAATAACGCGCTCGACGTCTGGATAATATCTGGTTCGAAGCCTTCGTTCACCGGCGGTACCTGTCTTCAAGGTCTTTGAGTTCAATGGACGCGCTGCTCCGAGTCCCAAGTGGACTCGCCGACTCGGCTCTTATCATCGAAGTCACTGAGTTTTCAGTGTTGCCGTGAGTGCGATACAATTGCGCCCGCACCAAGCTGAAAAGTGCATTCTCCAGATGACCGTGTATCACGATACACAAACGCGAGATCCGCCCGTTTCCCGGAGGGCAGTGTCCCGGGCCTTGACGCAGATGGTGGACCACCGTACGTCGAATGTGGTTTGGCGATTTTATGGGCTGCAGCTCTCTGCATCTTATCTAGAGGAAGGCAAGCTTCACGCACCCGCCGACTGGACCAGAACGCGACTTTAAGTATCACATGCCACATCGTGCACCCGCTTTCCGAAAAAGAGGTCGGAACTCTGTTCGTATCCACTCGTCATGAAAGAGACTCGTCATGGAAGAGATTCCTTGCTTTCCACATAGAGCGCTATTGCACATGAGGCGTACGAACCCTTGCTAGAACTGACTGCGGATGCGCCTCTCCATCTCAGCGCGCATTCCCGCAAGTCATCTCATACAGCTACAGTCAAGAATAGAACGAGGGTTCAGAATGGGGGTGCGGTGCGGGTGCGGCTGAAATATCTAGATTCACCTGTTTGAGTTGGACGCGCAGCGGTGCAGAGTATTCTTGTCAAGCTTCCTGGCGCCACTGTGCATCTAGTCTCACGGTACGCTGATATACTCATACCGCTATCCTTTTGAGATGTGTCAGCTCGAGTATCATGGGGCACGGGGTGTGGACAACATTGGTGTGTTCTCACCACATTCCAACGTCTATTATCTAGATAGTTGACGTACCGCAAGAAGGTGATCTCACAGACACAGCTTTGAATATCGCAAGCCGTGGAACCCAACATCGGACGAGTCAGAAGATGCTGAACAGTACACTCTATCGGAGACGAATGTCCGTATGTTCTCCCATTCGTCCGTCGTCGCCGTCGATGGGATAGCGTAAACGGTCGCTTTCCCTGTCGCATGTCACATATTGGCTGGTAGTCGTTCTCTGATCCATGTCGCGGCCCGTGTAAACATTGAGTACGGCGGTATACCCATTGCCGAAATCATACAGAGGCGATGTCCGGCATAGAGGTAAATATTTGCCCGCAACGTGTGTTAAGTATGACTAATTGGAAGAGTCGTGCAGACACATCGCGGCTCCGCATCCAGATCGAAGTGGTCGAGATACAAGGACAGCCTATCAATCAATATCGCGAGGTCCTACTATATAGACCAGGGTCGAAGATTCCAGCGTAGAGCATTCGTCTCAGGAACTTGAACTTGGTACGCTCACATCCCACCGTCAAAAGCGCAGCACCCTTACCGAGCTTACTAGACCAGCCTTCATCGACTATCTCACATCCAACCCAACGACAGCTCTTGCGACCCTACGCTCTCTTAGCCCCACGGTATGCAACCTCAGACCCAGTTCATAACTCTCATCCGTTTTGACCATTGAGGTTCCAGAATATGCGTCTCATCAACATAACTCACCTCGACAACCTGAAGTTTCATGAGGTCGCGGACCCGAACGACGTGTGTTATGCGATACTCTCCCACGTGTGGAACAACAACGAGCCGACCTTCCGTGACCTTGAGCTCGTTATGCAGGACTCTGGCGGCTTACTGGACCCCAAATTCAGCAAATTGATGGGCTTCATTCAGGCCGCCGTCGCAGGTGGATACCAGTTCGTTTGGGCAGATATGTGCTGCATCGATAGCACGAACAGCGACGAGGTCACCGCAGCCACCGCCTCCATGTACTCCTGGTATTCCTCCGCCGATGTCTGTTACGCGTACCTCAGAGACGTCCCCACCCCTTACCACGAAGAAGACGCCCTTCCTCCTGGTCCTCCCACAGAGTTTTCTCAGAGCGTATGGTTCACGCGCGCTTGGACTCTGCAGGAATTGCTCGCCCCCAAGTCCGTCCTCTTCTTCTCCACGGACTGGAAAGTCATCGGCACCAAGCAAGGCCTCTCCGAGATCATTGAAGACATTACAGGAATTGATGTTGAGGTCCTCACCGGAAAACGCCAGGTTCAGGAGATGTGCATGCCCTGTCGGATGTCCTGGGCGGAGAAAAGGACCGCCTCAAAGCCTGAGGATCGCGCGTACGCCCTGATGGGGATTTTAGGTATCCGCATCCCAGTGCTCTACGGCAAGGGCGCGCACGCGTTCGTCCGCCTGGAGGAGGAGATCGAGAGGCGCATCGCCGAGCCCACGCTTCTCGCTTTGGGACCCCGGCGCCCCCTCTGCAACATGCCTCTTGTGTTGTGGGCGAGAGAACGTATCAGAATGGACTTGCGACAGGCTGCTCGTGCGCGAGCGCGTCCGGCATTCCTCCCGCCTCTCCCCGACTGGGACTCCGGCTGCTTGTTTCCATCATCTCTGGACACCTTCCGCCACGTTGCGCAGCTCACGACGGGGACCCCGCAACATTCCACGGGCCCAATCTTCATTTCTGCCTCTCGTACTGTCTTTCGCGGCGGTGGGTCATCCAGGCAGAACATCATCCCTTTCCGCATGCTCCAACTGTGTACGCTCTTTGCGTCACTCACAATGCGCGTTTCAATGAACGTGGAGGATTATTTGACAAAGCCATTTCATCTCATCCCCCTCGGCTGTTCAACTGCAAACGCTGAGTTTCTTACCCTCTCTCTTTGCCCCAGCACCTCGCATAAGACCTCCGACTTCGTCTCGCCAGAGGACCATCAGGACCAGGTCATCGGTGCGTGCATGAAGGATATACATGACGCGCCTTCATATATCCTCGTGGTCACGCTGTCGTCGTCAGAGAGCCATCATCCAGAGGACCGCCATGTGTTCAGACGACGGGAGAACATGGGTGCTCGCGCGCCGGATCGAGAGGTCTGCCTGCCGCCGAATGCCTCGGTAGACCATTTGCGCGCCGCGGATGACTTCAGGGAGGCTGACAACGTTGAAGGGCGTCTTCGTGAGGACGAGGGCCGCTTGAACATACATCTTGCGGGACGGTGCAAGTCCGCGCTGGAAGCAATCGGGTTCCCTCTCAATCAAATTCCATCCCCGAAAAACAATCCATCACAGTCCACTTTCCTCCTACTCCGAGCCGGCAGCCATACCTTCCACGTGAGATACAAAATTGAACGATTTGCCGTGAAGGTCATCGACTGCGTGTTTTCCCGTTGTCTTCTGCTGCACCCCGGTCTTCTTGCAGACATCCGTACCAGCTGCGTGGTCATCCCTCTCGTAGGAACCAACGCTCCCGGGCCCCACGCCGCAACTAGCCACTCTCGTACGTTGCCTTTGGGGACCTTTTCAGAAGGACAATCTGACGTATCCTATAGAACCTCTGTAGACGATTAAACCGGGACGTTTCGGGCGTGGTCCTCGCAAGGCGCTGTCACCGTCCATACCCTCGAGCTCATCGGACGTGCGCGGGGAAACCGCCCCAGTCTCAAGGAGATCCACGCTGCCTGTTGGCCTGAGAGCAATACTCACTGCCGCGCGAGAACCGAGCGCTTGGATAAAGGGCTACAGGATCCTACGCTACCAATCCCACTCCCGGGCGTTCGAACTACTTACACCATGCCGTCTTCCCAGACGCGAATAAGTACTCCACTTTACAGTTCTCGATCATGACTGTTCTCCGTCCGGATGTCAGTGCCTTGCATCCAGAGTGAGAGTGGCCTAGCTACGGACAGATACGGATATGCGCATTCCGGACGCGTATATGACAGTATTGAAGATCTAGGACAGTTCCGAGTCGATGTTCATTATATACCGCCTCTTTGTTACTACTTGGTGACATGCATAGAAAGCTGGTTCGCAATTGCACTTGGAGAAGCTTAGAGCAAATGACCCACAGTGCCCTCCCGCTCACAGAGCTTATAATCAGAACGACTGCCCAAAACAAACTGATAACAAATACTTGGCATGGTGAGTGGCAGGATCTTCCCGGGCCGTCAAAGTGGAACTTGTGGCCGGTCGTGCGCACCGCCACCTACTCAACTCTCTCAGCGACCATCAGACACATGGACACTCTTTCCTCCCTCTCGCTCGACCTCTACTTAGAGATTATCGACGCCATCTCTGCCGACCACTATTCTGAAAACATCCGGCATGCCACCCTGCGAGCCTGTGCTCTGACTTGCTCAGCTTGGCTCGGTAGGGCCCGTTTCCATCTGTACACTCACGTCGAAATTTCGGAGGAAAACCCGAACCAAGTCTCCATGTTTGCAAGAACCCTGGTCGACTTCCCCGCCTCGGCCGCGCTAGTAAAGCGCCTTTGTGCTCACATAGGGGAGCCAGGAGCAGAGTGTTGGTTGGACGAACAGGAAGCGAAGAAACAATTCCCATCCGAAGCTATACAGCACCTGTCTGGGCTGCAATACCTCGAATTTGCCTGTCTTATCTGGCTGGGCGGCTCTGAGCCACCGGCCCTGCTGTCTGCTGTGTTCGCCTTCTCGATAGCAACGTCAGTGAGGACCTTTGTCCTGTCGGCGTTCACTTTCGAATCATTGAAAGAGCTCGTGGATCACCTGGAGAAATTCAAGCATATCCGATCTCTGCAGTTGAGCGTGACCTACTGGATAGACCTCGACGTACCTGGTCCTCATGAAATCAGCGCTGATTTCCTACGCGGATTGACTGACTTGGAGGTGCGCTTCGTCTTCACTGCACCAATGTCTCATGCGAGTCACTGATGCACACATAGCTCAGTGACAATATGGTCGAAGACGATCTGATTCGAATCATACCCCCTACAATCAAAACCCTCAAACTGGGGCCACGTACAGAATATCGCAACACGGAGGAGGGTGACCCCGATGAATCATATGAAGGTGAATCTTCTCACGTCACGTTGCGCTCATGGATGGCTGATGCAACGTCTGCATAGCTCTTGCGCGATGCACGGAGCTCGAATCGCTCATTCTGGAAACCAGATTCAATGACGAAATCGAGTGGTTCAAGGAAGCCCTGTCCTGCGCGCAGTGCCCCAGCCTCCGTACGCTCTCGCTGATTTACCGCAGCGACTCTGGTAAATCTGTGCAGGAGACTGCTGACCGTATACATCTTCCGGCGTTGGATGATGTTTTGTCACACGAGCCGTTCCTGGGCGTTCAAGAAATATCCGTGGAAATGGTCTTCTACACCGGAGACCAGGAAGAAGCGGATACCAAGGCGCAGCTCATGAAGCAATACATCCTCGACGGGCTCACCCGATGTCAAAATCGTGGTGTGCAGATACATGCCAACTGTCGAGGCCATGGTAAGCAGATCTATTCACCACGTCCTTCATAATCACCACTGACTCTCGGTGTAGAACTCGAGGCATTACGCAGCCAAAATAGTAGCCAGCGTGTATGACACAATATCGACGACTAAGTCTGTCTCCTCCTCTCCCTCCTCCTCCGTCGTGATTTGAGTTCAGATCTGATCACTATGTCTGTTGTGCATCCCGCTCGCAATATTAAGAAGAAAAGGTCCAAAACTGTCCCAGGGAGGATTCGAGCCTCCGTCTTCACGGCACCTGCTTTCCCACGGTCTCGTGACCGGGAATCCACAACGTGATGATCTAACCACTAATCGACAAGGACGCTGAAGTTCCAGCCCTTGGTGAACTTAATACCATGGGGGACTGCCCCAGTGTCTGGCCTGGCTTGGGCCTGGCACGCGTCGTGCCGCGGTCGCGCGCCGAGTGTGGCGGATGCAAGTACGAGTCTCGACTCCGTACCCGACTGTCCTTCCCTCCACCACGCCCACTCTCCATCACAACCATCCGGACGCGCGATTGGCACAATGAGGAAAACGTCTTATGTGGTCGCCTTTTTTGCGGTCATCGCGACCATGCTTCTGGTGAGTCCTGGACCACACTTCCAGTTTCAACGCTAACCGTATCATTGACCCCCACAGAACTCCTTCTCGATGCAGCGGCCCGACTGGTCTGTCTCTTGGCCATGAATTCCAGGTAAAGTGCTTATGTCCCGCCTGCCCTCCCCCAGGCTCGTCGTGCACGACGCGGACATCATCCACAAGTCCGTCGTTGTCGAATACGGCCTCAGCCGCCGCTGCGAGCTCAAGGTCGTCGAGATTCCAAGCGGGGACGGCGGTCACATCACATACACGAACTACGACTGCCGGCCCTTCCCCTTGCGCGTCACCGACGGCTGCGAGAAGGAGAACAAGCAGTTTTGCGTGATCTGGGGCACCGCAAGCTACTTCGCAAACCTCGGCGTCGGCTTTGCCGTCGTTGCCTGCCTCGCGATTGGCTTTGGGGTCTCGACCCACTCTCGTAGGAGGCGTATCTGGAAGTCGGTGTCTGTGTTGGTCGCGCTGCATGGTGAGTTCTGTTTCAGAACGAGGCAAGGAAGCGACTGATTGTATTTCTGCAGTGCTGTCCCAAATCATTGTATTCGCCGTCATCACGCACCTCTATCGCACAGACGCATTCCCGACCTTCGAGCACGCTCGTCCTGGTACGTCTCCGCAGAACCTGTGTCTCACGCGAAGATGTCTCATCATCACGCGCAGGCTGGGCGTACATACTCAACACCTTGTCCTGGGTCTTTGGTCTCTTGGTCATGTTCGGCGTGGTGACCACTGGAATGTCTGCTGAGAGGGGCCATCGCTGGGCTGCCGGAAACCGGGCATATCAGCCCATCGCTGGTTGAGGACCTACGCTTGGATCACTCTTTGCTGGACGGACATACCACTATCCCCGCTCTAGATGTTGCAATTATGAAACACCCTGCTCTCTGCTTTCCTTATCTCCCCTTATGATTGCGACTTGTATATCTAGCTCCAGTCTGCTCGGATGATTCTTTCGTTTGTTACCCAACCCGCTGTATAGTCTGCTTGACTATTCGAGATTCCCTCTGTCCAGTAATATCATATGATCCGCCAGCCCTGTTTTTCCTGCTGGAAACCCCCTGTGACGGGATATAATACAATCAAGGAGTGCTATGCAAGCCTCCTAGCAGCGTACGCGTTCTGACTGAGTAGCACAGATCGAGCTGATCCGGAAAAGTTGCTATAAGCGCCGGTCGGAACGGTAGAAGCACGTGAACGGGACCGGCATTCGAAGGGGATGCGGGGAAAGCTTGAGCAGCGAGCTCACCGTCCACCCGACCACCACCACCACCCCGACGACGCCATGCTCCGCCTACGCCCCGTCCTCGCCGCAGGCAGCCTCTCCAGGAGGTATGCCACGGCCGCAAGTCCTCACGCACTCGTCCTGCTCGAGCATCGTGCCGGAGTCATCGACTCGGGCTCTCTCTCTGCCCTTACTGCTGCTCAGCAACTTGGAGGTCAGATCACTGGCCTCGTCGTAGGAGCCCCTGACGAAGTCAAGGGCGTGGTTGAGAAAGCGAAGAAGTGAGTGCGCAGTACATCAGTTCAAACGCCGGCTTCTGAAGCATGCAAGCCAGGCTGAAGGGGCTCACGAGCGTGCTGCACTCCTCGTCGGAGCAGTACGCCCACAACATCCCTGAACTGGTCTCTCCACTGCTCGAGAAGCTGCTCTCAGACAGCACGTCCTACACGCACGTCGTCTCCGCTCACTCCTCGTCCGCGAAGTCGATTCTCCCCCGTGTGGCTGCGCGCCTCGACCTCCCGGCGGTGTCCGATATTACCTCTGTGGAGCACGACGGCTCGTCCAACTCAACCACGTTCACGCGCCCTATCTACGCCGGAAACGCCATCTCGACAGTGCGCGCACCCGACTCCGTCCGCGTGAAGTTCTTCACCGTGCGCTCGACTGCGTTCAAGGCGTCCGCCGCGGACGAGGCCGCCCAAGTCGAGGACAAGGCCATCGACCCGGTAGAGGTCTCGGACGCCCCCACGCAACATGTGCGCACAGACCTCACCAAGTCGGACCGCCCCGACCTAGGCTCCGCAAGCCGCGTCGTATCCGGCGGCCGCGCGCTGAAGAACGCGGAGACCTTCAAGGCTACGCTAGAGCCCCTCGCGGACGCTCTTGGCGCAGCCATCGGCGCGTCGCGCGCGGCGGTGGACGCTGGTTATGCGGACAACTCCTTGCAGGTCGGTCAGACCGGCAAGGTCGTCGCGCCTGAGCTGTACATGGCGATCGGTATTTCCGGTGCCATTCAGCACTTGGCGGGAATGAAGGACTCAAAGCTCATCGTAGCAATAAACAAGGTTGGAAATTTGCACTAGTTGCAGTTTTTCGCTAACTCTGTGATCCAGGATCCCGAGGCTCCCATCTTCCAGGTTGCGGATGCTGGCCTTGTGGCAGACTTGTACGAGGCGGTACCGGAGTTGGTGCAGAAGCTCAAGCAGTAGGCACGAGAAGTCAATAACATGCACATAGACTGCTCCCAAACCCACTGGTGACTTCTCTAACTAACGGTCAAGCTGCCAAAACCTATCGTGCTCCTGCTTTCCTTTCTCCTTCGTGCCTTCCATCGAAGAAACGAGGATTACAACCTCGCAGCTGGAGCTATAGTTGACATGAGTACTTGAGACGCCTTCTCCCGCTCCCCCTCCGGCGTCGTCTCCCACAGCCAATCCCACTGGCTTCCTATCTGCGGGCCCAGTCGCACGAGGTCGTCACCTAGCGAGCCGTTGAACTCATACATGTCCCCAGACTCCCGCGACCCGTTCAGCACGTGGTTCGCCATGGGCAGACGCACTGTTTCGTACGCTGCGAGTGCTTGAGGTATTGTGGACAGAGTTGCGCGGGGGTGGCCGAGGATCTCCGCAAGAATGAATGCATCCTATGGCAATTTGTGTCAGAAGACATTTAGTATTTAGCAGGTCAGTGTCATGTTTGAGTACCTCGATAGCCTGTCCTGCACCAGCGCCCTGGTGCGGACACATTGCATGTGCCTAGCAACAAGGACAATGAGCCGGCCGGTAGGAAAACAGACGGGAGACCATCGTCTACTCACAGCGTCGCCCAAGAGCGCCACTCGCCCCTTCGTATAGAAGGGCAAGGGCTTTAGCTCGTGTATCGCCCACTTCGTCGGCTTCTCGATACGCTGCGTATCCAATCAGATGTCGCCCGAGTCGCGTTATGTAACGCAACGTCTGACCTTCAGCATCTCCTCTACCTCGGGCTCCCAGCCGGCGAAGCACTCCAAAACCTCCTCCCGGCTGCAATCCACGACCCATGGTCCGGCATATGTGGATTTGTACAAGTCGGGCCGCGATGCCATCGCCACAACGTTCACGATGGATCCTCTGGAGATTGAGTAGCTCACGACATGCTGCAAATATGTGGTTGCTTTCGTCAAAACAGCGACTTCTCATCTGAGTGCGTTGGGATCATCCCACCTTGCTCTTCCCGCAGTACTGTAGGAATAATGGATGTGAGCACGGCAGTGGTTAAACGAATGAATGATATCCTACTTACCATCATGGGACTTTGAATCGTACGGTGCTCTACGCCGTCTGCTCGAATCATTTGACCAACAGGAATGAGCCCGCGGTACGCGATCGACCCGCTCCATACTGGTTCGATGTGGTCCAGGAGACGTGGGTCGCCGCTTCCTTCACGGGCGTGGTCTTCTAGCATTTGTTTGCGCACGACGGATTTAATTCCATCGCAGCCTATCAGGATGTCGCATGCCGCGACAGAGCCATCGGCGAACAACAACTCAGTTTCGGTCGAAGTGTCATGCTCCGTCGTGCGATAGTTGACTAGGCGTTTCCCGAAATGTGCGACGTCTTGTGGGAGGTGATCCACAAGCACGTCAAGAAATTGCGCCCGGTGGAAGCGAATGCACCCATCTACGGAACGAACCCTCAGTACGTGGTGCCGGGGGCATCAAACATAACCTACAAGGCACTTCGAAGAGGTAGAAGCGAGAGCCCTCCTGCGGCTGGTCGGACTTGCGGTAATCGAAACCCACGCCTGACGTAGTATGTTGTGGTCAGTAGAAGCCTGTGGAGTGGTGGTGCGTACCTGGAGAACCATCTGGGGGAGCATGCGCGATACGAGAGAAGTCGTCTGCCATGCCTAGGATGGAGAGGATCTCCCATGTCCGGGCCCATATCATCACCCCTGCGCCGATCTCCTTGAACTGCCCGGCGGCCTCATACACGTCGACGCGGATGTTTGGGTACCTCGAGAGTGCGACGGCAAGCGTGAGGCCGCCGATACCTCCGCCACTGCATACAATCTAGTATCGGCAGGTTTGGTGAAAACAGTTGAGCACGTACCAAATCGCAACGCGGAATTTGGGTGCATCCATACGTAAGTACCGCTGTAAGGGTCAACGAGTACCACACTCCCACCGAGCTCATCTTCTTATGGGATCCTTATAGCGTTCAGGCACCCTGTCAAGGCCCACCTTATCCCAAATCCCACCCATCAACGCTTCTTCCAGTCATCCCACCAGCATTTCTCGATAGCAGAGCACGTGGTTCGAGCTACGCCCACTTCTGCGAGGTCGCACGCGATAACCAAGAGTGTGAATCCGGAATCTATGGGAAAACATGGCGTACAGAGATGGGATGTGACTACAACGTTTACCGCTTGCCGGCGATACCGACCCGGGAGCCCCGATTTTGTTTCTTCGCAGCCTGCGAAAGCGGCATGTACGCGTATGGATCCACGCCGTTCTTTTTGACGTCCCCTCCTGCTTTCTGTATTACGCGCTCAGTGAGCAACATATCTCGAACGGTGGCGGCGGAGCATAGCTGACCTTCGCCTTGAACTCATGTCCAAACTTGGGGTCTGTCCTCTTCTTGCTCTTCTTACCCGCCTTCTGGCCAGCCTCCGCGTCTGCCATCTCGACATCCTCCGCCTCGTCCGCCTCGCGCCGTCGCTTCTTCGTGTCCTTGTTGAACTTTACCTTCCCGTTGGGTCCCCGCGTGAAGCCGTCCACGGAAGTTAGGCTCTCGCGGTAGGCATCGCCCGCGACAACGTCTGCACCCGCAGCAGCCTCCTCGTCGGAGCCGTCGTCGATGACCATCTTGCCTGCATCGTCGTCCTTGAAGCGGGCGGCGTCCTGTCCAGGCTTTCTCCGCTTCCCAGCGTTCGCAGCTGCTCGGAATGTCAGCTAGCTGATATATGAGCAGTATCAAATTACTTACTGGTGACGCCTGAGGCCGCTCCGGAAAGAAGGTCCATCGGCTCGTCGTTGTCGATGCGGAGCCGGGCGCCGGCGTCCTTGCCCTTCCGCTTGGGCGCGGCATTCTGCGCGGGCGCATCCTCGTCGTCGCTATCGTCAAGCTCGCTCTCGCTTCCATACAAGACGTCCTCGAACGCATCGCCTGCGATGGCCTTCGCCTTCGGCACCTACAGAAAAAAGGTCAGGAAGAGCGATACATGCGGCAAATACGCATACTCACGTCGTCGTCCTCTTGGGGCGCATTCGCGCGCTTCCGCTTCGCCCTGTCCTTGCGCTTCTTGATATTCACAAGCACGCCCCGCGCCTCCTCCTCCTGCGCACACGCGTACACGTCCTCCCATCCGAAGCGCCTGAGCAGGCGTTCGAAAATATGCCGTACCTTCGCCTTGAAGTGGTTCTTGTGGTCGTGGGACCACCGCAGGAGCGTGGGCACGATGTCCTTCAGGTGCGGTCGCAAGAGCTCGGCAGGCAGCGTGTGAATGGCGAGCTTGACGAACCCAAGCGCGGACTTGACGATCTCGCGGTTCGCGGAGCCGACGAGGACGAGGATGGTGACGAAGATCTCCGTCTGCATCGCCGACGAGATCGATTCTATAGGAAGGTGAGCGGATGTTGCGGCGATGATATGAGTATATGCGCATACCTCTGAACTCGAAGACAAGGCGGGAGATAGCGGTCACCGTAGCGCTGATCATGTGCGGCGAGGCACCGGCCAAACCACCTGCAATCATCGTCATGTACTCCTCGATGTTCGCGGTCGCTAGTGAGGTCAAGTCAGTGACGTTCAGGATTGTGTCCTATCTCACATACCATCTACAGGTGCGTCATCTTCCTCCATCCCCTCAACCTGGTCACGCTTCACTACACCTCCGGCAGACATCTTCTTGCCCATCGCCACGATCAGGTCAAAGGCAGCGTTCCGCGCCTTCTCCGACGGCTCCTTCGTGCCCAGGACGGCCTCAGGAATGACGGAGGGAATAAGATGCAGCGACTCGGACGGGATGAGCCGCACGACCGCAGTCAGGAGATGGAACCTGTCCTTCTTTGCGGCCGCGGCGAGGCCGTCCACCAAGCTCTCGAGCGTCTTGAACACCGCCGCGGCGTCCAACTGAGTCTTTCCACTCTCCACGAGCCGTGCGAGGGTCTTGTAGCCACGCTTCTGCACGCCATTGTCTCGGCTTTCGAGAACCTCGGTGGTGAGGTACAAGTTGAGCAGTGCAGTCGCGTCCTCGGAGGACAGGTAGGGGAGGATGAGCAGCAGCAGGTCCTGTGTGACGACGGTCATCGAGTCCGCCGACGGACCCTTGTTCGCCGAGGGCGCCGAGATATTCTTCGCCCTGGACAGGTTCTGGTCAAAGAGGGTGACCAGCTTGTGATACGCCTGCGTAACTTCCTGCGTAGGTATGCGTGAGATTTGTGAAAATGAAAGATAATATTATGCCTTACCTTCGGATCCGCGATCGCGATCCACGCACCGACAACATCTCCGACCATTGCCTGGTTGTCTCTCCCAACACTACCGAACACGTTGAAGAGCACGGCAAGCCAGCTTTCCGCCTGCGTCCGCAAGAAAGCGATGTTCGCCTCCGCATCCGCCTCAGAGATCGGGTCAACGCGAACGTGTTGGGGAAGCTTTGCGATCTTCGCAGCGTCTCCGCTTGCGAGTGCTACATTGGAATCAACCATGATCTTGAGTGCACGTAGTACCGGAGGACGGAGGGTAGGCTGGCCATAGAGCAGCTGTGAGAGGAGCTGAGAGAACTGGGCAGTAAGAGACTACGACAAAGGGTTGGTTAGCATGATAACAAATACAAACGACCAATCACTTGCCTGTTTGAGGTCGACAGTTCCCCAGCAGTACCCAGGCAATCCCATCCAGATCTGCTCCACGAGCACACTCCAGACCTTCGCCTCCGACTGACGACCCTCGGCTTCCGCCGTTGTCTGCAGGTCGAACATGCGCTCGGTCAAGGGTACGAAGTAGTTCACAAAATGCCCCAGTGGTGAGGAGTGAGGCTGCGCAAGCAAAGGCAGAAGATATGCTCGTGGTTCACGGCCGGCCTGCCTTCATACCAATATGTGAGTAGGTATACAGGACTGAATAGTATTACACGATTACCTGTCTACAGTCTCCAGGTTCAGTGGTAGAGCGCGGAGGACAACTTCGGGGCCCATTATCCGCACAGCGGTACCCAGCGTCGCATCAGCAGCTTCCTTGTGCTCGAACGTCTTCTGTACCCTCAAGTCGGCGATCTTCGTGATCAGGGGGAGCATGAGCTGCTCCGCGGCTGTGCTGTTTTTCCTAGAGCCATTCCGGAAGCGTAGGTTCTCAATGAGGGAAGATACCACCGACAAGACATCCGGTATCGCACGAGCATAGGTCAGAGAGTCGAGCGCCGCCGAGGTCTGGAAGATGATCTTCCGGATCGGGTTCTTCGGCTCATCCGAGTCTTTCTCCTTCACCGCAGCCTTGATGGTAGCGGGCGTGAAGCACTTGCCCAAGTTTGCCAGAGCTTGTCCGGCGGCCTTCCGGGTTGCGGCCTCGGAGGACTCGAGGAGGTTCCACAGCGCCTTCCACACCTTGTTTACCTGCAAGACGCACTCGTCGGCATTGGCGTGGTGGTAAGCAAGCATGGTATTCCCGAGAACAGTCGCCCAGGCGGCATTGAGAGCGACGTCGCTCTTGATCGGCGGACTAGAAAGGATAACCTTCAAGAGTTCGGACATGTGAGAGGCGAGATCGACGGTGGGATCATCCAGCGAGAGAGTGAGGAGGTCAGAGAGAATGGAATACGCTGATTGGGACAGGTATGGGTTCCCCAGACGAGGGAGAAGGAGCAACGACGACGTGATCGACGATAGAGACTAAGAAAATGAGCATATCATTATTTCGCGTATAACAAGTAAAGCTCACCTCCGTAGGCAAGGTTGGGAGCACGGGTCGCAGGAAAGCGAGTAGATGGACAGCGGCTTCAGAGCCCTCCGTATCCGCCTTCTTGCCCTTGAATTTGGGGATCCCTCCGGAACTGATTTCAGTGAGGGCAGCTTTGACCCATTCCGCGACCTTCTCCGCGTACGGGTGCTTGGCCATTGGGAGGGGAGGTGCGGAGAGAACATCCTTCACTACTTCTGCAGCCTTCTTCCTCACCTTTGGTCGAGGATCAAGAGTGAACTGAAGAATAGTCATGAAGGCCTGCCGGAGACCCTGAACATCTAAGTCCGACCGATCGAGAGCATGGAGAACAGCACCGTAGAGCGTGATTTGAGAGCGCAGAGGAGGCGCAAACGTTGATAGGGCAGAGAAGAGCGGTGAAGTCAACGAGAGGGTGGTAGGGAGATTTGAGCGGATGACCGGATGGGGAACGCACGGAACCACTGCAGCCAGGAGGTAGAGCACGGCGGGAACGACGTCCGCCTCGCCCATAGCGGGCCCTGATGCGCCAGAGGATTGAAGCGCACCATCGAGAGTGGTGAGGAGAGTGGCAAAGTAGGCGGTCGCAGAAGGCTCAGTATTTTGTTCGCGGAAAGTGGCCTCGATCGCCCGAAGGAGAGTAGCGGGAGCCTTTTGGTGAGCGAGAGCAGACGAGGTGTGAGGGCGGATTTTGCTGAGAACAGCCTCGACGTTGTCTGCCATGGTGGAGGTCGTCAGAAGGTGTCCCGGGGTTGTCCTGGACGTCGAGCGGATCGACGAGGAAAAACTACGCACGGTGAGGCCGGGAGGCATGCTAAAATCTGGGCACGTGATGAAATGCCCGATCGCATTATGGGCGTCTATGGACAGCGTAGCCGCTCGCGCATGCGGCACGCTCGAATATTTGGACACTCTTTCACTCACCGTCGCTCATCCTGTTTGGCTTCACCCATGAGGCATAAAAGAGCGACACAGCATGGCACAAAACGGTACAATCAGCCTGTATATAACACTGGTACTTGGCCATCGGTAGCTCGGCTGTACAGGTGTGTCTCCAAGGTGTGGTTTGCGCACCCCAATATAGGCCCTTCGCACTCATGCTGACTGACTTCCATGTAGATGGTATCTCCAAATTTTTCATAGGAATTTTAACCTAGTGTGAAACGCGAGGCTTGTACGGATCATAATTGCCGGTATTGCACGTCTCTGGTGCCTCTCCGGATGTGCTGCGGTAGATGCCTCGCCCAATGGTCGCCGCTCCCTCTGCTTCAGAAGGGGGTCGGCTGATAGCGGAGAAGCTGCCCCAGCACAACACGACACGCGACTGTGGTCTCCACGAAAGCATCCTGGACAAGTTGTATGTGTCGAGCCATCATGATACTCTCGAGAATATTGCGACATACTGAGCAGTGTCACCAGGGTAGTCTGCGGCCGTACTTTGAATGCCATCTCAAGTCAGTATTGGTTAAACATGCGAAGCATCCTCGTTCATCTTCGGGTCCTGAGAGAAGGCATCAACATCGTGTGAGGGCTTCGCACACGCTCCTTCCCAGATCGGGGAGATGGTCCTTTCGTACATGCTTCCCGAGGACCTCGTTGTCTACGATCTAGCGCTCCGATATTGTATAAGTGCTTTCCAAACCTTGTTGACCACCCCTCGTTACCCCTTCACTCACGTCCACCATGGCTAGCGGGCGAAACCATCGTCCCCCCTGTCGCTTCTACTCCAAGCCTGGCGGCTGCAAAAATGGGTCAAGCTGCACTTTCGCGCACATCGATGGCGCGAGTCCTTCGCCTCCCGGTCAGTTTCAGGGTGGTCCCCGTCAGCCCTTCGTCCCACGTCCCCCCGTACCCAACGCACCACCTGGCGTCTGCAAGTTCTACTATGACCGCGGGTTCTGTTCCCGGGGCTCCGATTGCCGCTTCAGACACGAAGTCAACGCTGCGCAACGACGCCCTTCCGCTGAGGGGTCGGTGAGCGAGAATGTCGCGGCATTTTTGACTCCGGCTGCGCTCGCTAGGATCCAGGGTCCTGGAACGGACGGTTTCTTCGACACTGCTGCCGCCGCGATGAGGCCTTCTGAAGTACGACACCACCTCAATCGCTTTCTAGAAGACGGCTACAGGTTCAAGTACGCCGCCGACGTATACAGTTTCTTGACGCTCCTCAGCAACGCGAGCTCTGGAAACACGAGCTGGGTACGTGCTATTGCTCTACAAGCGACATTCAAGTTATACTGACTTCCCGAAGTCAGCGGAAGACGGTCAGGTAAGGTGACATCGTACATCGTCGATGCATGCATTAATGAGGCTCATCATTTCAGCTTTTCCTGTCAGCGATTGGTTCGGTAAGGGGTCACATTTATATACGTAACACCGTCTTCTTATCCGTATTGTGCCATTAGGATAACGGTCTGCTGCGTATCGGCGACATCCTGAGCTGGGGTGAGGTGTCTGTACGGCCCGGGCCAACCTCTCGAACTGCTATATCCTTCCAGAGAGGTTACATTCCGCTGTTGAGGGTGCGTCAACTGTTGTGTCACCTTGTCAGCACTAGCTGATGTCTACCAGTACCTTTCCTCCGAGTATGTCGTGAAGAGCATCACGAGCAAGGTCGTCAAGTATGTATAGAGCTACGTTTACGAATTGTTGCACTGACCGCTTTGCAGCTCCCTGTACTCGCTGGTCTTAGAGCACTTCGAGCACTTCTGCAAAGTCGTTCAGTCATGTGTGGAGGAAGCTCTCAACGACCGCAAGACTTTCAAAGAACAGTCCATGTCGTTTTCAACGACCTTGACACACGCCGAACTGACGGGAAGTCAAGTCCTGTCGTGCATCGCACAAGTCCTCTTCGAGTACGTGCGGCGATTCTGTGTTTGTGTGCATACTAAAAACAGCGACGAAGATATATCACTCGTTTCAAGAACGCTGTAGCTACCCACCCGTCCCTCCGCCCACTTGTTCAGAAACTGCGCACGTGGACAGATGCTTGGATCGCAGCGATCTCTGCTACCCCACCGATCTTCGACGATCCGATTACCAAGGCTCCTGCTCAAGCATCTCGCTTCGTTGTCGACCGCTTGCGCGAGCTCGTCGAGCGCCTCATCTCGATCGTCGACCGCAAGCAGCGAGACATTGAGCGCGCTACTCAGCCAAAGTCTCTGCTCCCTCTGCAAGGTCTCACGCACGCAAACGAGGGCATCCTTGCCGCGCTGCACAACGCGTACCAAGGCCCCGGGACTCTGCGCACCGAGGGTCCGCGGCACGACAACGACTTCGTGAACATCAGCGACATCCAGATCGCTCCCACCCATGGGGAGCTCACATCCCCCTTGCAGCCCTTCTTGCCCGCCAATATGTACGGCTTACCTCACCCCCTGCCAGCGGAGTCCATGGAGCAGCTGCTTGACGTCCAGTTCAGGCTGTTGCGAGAAGAGTTGACGTATGTTCCGGCAGACAAATTGATTTCATGAGCTCACTTCTGTTACAGCGCATCTCTTCGTGTGTCGGCTCAAGCAATTCTCAGCGATCTGGCCGAGAAGAAGAAGCATACGCAGCTTAACACGCTACTGGAGAAGAAAGGGGGTAAGTATCGAGGACACGCAGTAGGCCAAGACACAGTGCTCTTCAACGTCTACACCGGCGCCGAGTTCACCACAATCACGCCCACGCAACGAGGCCTGACCGTCGGCGTTGCCATCGACACCCCTCCTGGGCGGGCTCGCGCAAGCCAAGCCAATACTCGCGTCCAGTTTTGGGAGAGCATGAGCAGCAAGCGTCTCATGCAAGGCGGGTTGGTCGCGTTGGTGTGGCAGCGTCTCGACGGGACAGCGGAGATCCACCTCGGCACACTTGCAAGCTCCGTGAAGGACCTCACCGAGTCTGCGAAGCAGCGTCAGGACAACATCGAGATTCGCGTATCGTTCTTCTCTCCAGAGGTCGAACTGCGCATCCTACAGGAGTTGCGGACCCCGCGGCACGAGCGTCAGGGGACGAAGCTCCTCATTGAGGCCACTGTCATGTTCGAATCTGTCCGCCCTTTCCTCGAAGCCCTGCGAGTTGACCCCGAGAACATCCCCTTCGCGCGGTACCTCGCTCACCACCCGCCTGAATTCTACCGGACACTGCAAATCACTCCACCCGCGTATGCGATGCTTCCCGATTTCGCTTTCCAGCTCGCTTCCCTCTTCCCACCCGAGGCCGGTGTAGAGGACCTCAAGTTGGTCGTCAACGACCCGGACTCTATAGAGGGTGCCCGCGAGCTGCTCAAACGTAGCAGTCGGCTGGACCCCTCCCAAGCGGATGCCATTGTCGACGCTCTCATCCGAGAAGTCAGCTTGATGCAAGGGTAGGCTTTGTCTCCTCAAAGCGCGAGCACGAGTTCTCACTGACCCGAATATCGACAGGCCTCCAGGGACAGGCAAAGTAAGTCATTCCGCATGGCATCAGCACGGCCCACAATTGAGCGGATTCCTGTAGAGTTACTCCGGTGTGGAGATGCTGCGTGTGCTCATCCAGAATCGTGCCGGCCCCATCCTGATGATCGCATTCACCAACCATGCCCTCGACCATATGCTGCGGTCTGTTCTCGACGCCAAGATCACCCAAAAGATCGTTCGGCTCGGCTCTCGCTCTGCTGACGAGCGGATCGCGGAGTTTTCGCTGGAGAACATGGAGAACGTCGCTGGCCGATCGCGCCTTTCTTCCGCTTTTTCGAACTATCGATGGGCATTGCGCGATGTGGAGAAGGAAATCAAGGACTTCATGGAGAGCTTCTTCAGGGAGGATGTCGACACAGACGACCTCCTGCAGTACCTGACTTTCCAGGCTCCTGCGCTTGCTGATTCCACACAGTACCCACCAGAGTGGGTGATGGCGTTGTACGAGCTCCAGCGGACCGAGACAGGCGGCACATGGCAGACTGCTGGCAGGACCAAACCTGGCAGGCTTGACCCCGACGACGATTCTCTGTATGGCTTCTGGGTCCGTGGTGGCGATGTCGAGTTCTTGCACAGCACGCACAGGGCCCTGCACTATCGACCTCCCCCTCCCCAACTTGTTCGGCCGCAGCAACAACAACCACGGCCTGCGAACGCGTTTGAGCTCCTTGCCGTGGAAGCTGCCGATGTGACGATGGCTCAACAGAACACCGGCGACGATGGAAAGGATGCTGGTGGATCAGAAGCCGAGGACGACAACGATGACTACAGCGACGTGGAACTCGAGCCCGAGGAGGCGTGGATCACAGCTGAAATCTCAGACGACTCCGACGACTTCTCTCCAGCAACAGACAGCGAGGATGAGGTCCACGAGCCCCCCGCACCCGTACCACCACCCCCAGCGACGACCACGCCTGTCGCCCCCCAAGCGCCAGCCAGCGCCGCGACCGGACAGTGGCAGATGCCCGCCTCTATACAAGCAAACGACTTCACGAACATACGGGGATTCTTCGTAGCATTCGGCTGTGCAGATATTCCTACAGTGCCCACCACGGCCCGACCCGTCGTGGAGCTCCTCGCGCTAGACAATGCATGGTCGATGTCAGTGAGCGAACGCGAGCAACTACACCGTGTTTGGGCAGACGAAGTGCGCATCACCTCCCGGGAGACGCAGCTTATGGAGTTCCGACGTCTGCGCGAGAAGCACGCTCAGGCGTCGCGAGATTACGCCGAGGGACAGGCTGAGGTGAGTTGTTATAAACGGACTATTGTCAGTGAAGTCTAATCAACTGCCAACCCAATAGATCCGAAAGCAGCTTCTTCGCAACGTCGATATCATCGGATGCACGACCACGGGTAAGCGGCCAGTCTACATAGAGTCACGCCAGCCCTGTTGACGATGTACTAATGTGTACTAATGCTCTATAATCAGGTGCGGCTAAGCTTACCGCTCTTCTCAAGGTAAGTTGACATCATATACTCGTATTCTCGGACAACATTGACGCGGTCGCTTTCTAGGGCATCGGACCCAAGGTGGTCCTCGTGGAAGAGGCGGGCCAGGTCCTAGAAGCGCATGTCCTGGGCAGCCTCGTCCCGAGCATTCAGCACCTCATCCTCATCGGCGACCCTCTTCAGCTTCGTCCCACCCTTAACAACTACTGTAATCTGAAAATTTGCTCCAATCTCCGTGTCCGAAACTAACTCAGTGTCACCAGCGCTCTCGATGGACCACTCCCACGGACGCCTGGTCTACAAGTTCGACATGTCGTTGATGGAGCGATTGTCGTCCTCCGGGATGCCAATGTCACAGATCAACGTCCAGCGCCGCATGAGACCCGAAATCGCAGATTTGATCAGGTGCGCAGGTTTATAGCAGATCACAGTTGTATGAACCTTTCTCACATCCCCGGCAGGATGACGCTCTACCCGCGATTGGAAGACCATGACCTCGTCAAGAACTATCCGCATGTCCAGGGTATGGCCAAGGATGTCTTCTTCTTCAATCATGATCACAAGGAGAACGGAGGGGAGGACGACTTTGTCAGTAAATACAACCAGTTCGAGGTACGTCAAATTCCACCAACGAGTTGTGGCTGTATATTCATATCACATGCGACATCAAAGGTCGACATGATCAAGGATCTGGTGCTCTACCTCTTACGGTACGTTCTTCGGTCGCGCCTGCATCAAAATGGGTAGCTGAAGCTAATAACATTTATATAGACAAGGACCATACTCGGCGGAGGGGGACATTGTCGTCCTTTGCGCATATCTCGGGCAGTTGGCTCGCCTGCGAGAAGCGCTCTCCGGCGAGGTCGCTGTTGTAATCGACGAACGCGACCAAGTAGAACTCGACGATCGAAACGTGGAGAACGAAGAATCGATGCAAGATGGAACCGCGTTTGAACGTGTCCGTGTCTCACGAAGGGTGAGTTGGTTGCGCGTAGGGTGAATGGGCTGGTGTCATGACTAATTCTGCCTTACACAAAGGTGCTACTCCGTACCATCGACAACTTCCAGGGGGAAGAAGCAAAGGTGTGAATTAAAGGCTTAAGGGTTACCGTCTAAGCTTAGCAACGATGGACCTTTAGATCGTCATCCTCTCTTTGGTACGCAACTCCGGAGGCTCTGAGGAGGATGAGGCCGTGTTTGGACAGAGCACCAAGGGGCGTGCGAACATCGGATTCTTGAGAGTGAGTGATCGTGCTCAATACTACGTCAATAGCTTCTCTGACATCGTACTGGTGTCCACTTAGTCGGAGAATAGAACGAACGGTACGTGCAGCTTAGTTCGTATGCCCCCATACCACTGCGCCTCTAAACGGTGCCGCGAAAGTCGCGCTTTCTCGAGCTCGCGAGGGGCTTTACATCATGGGGAATGCCCAGAACCTCTCCGCGAAAAGCAAGATGTGGCGAGCAGTCTTGGACGAGTTACACAAGAGGGACTGCCTTGGGGACGCGTTCCCGGTGGCCTGCCAGCGACATGCCGACGTCGTACAGAGGGTTTCTAAACCTGGGCAACTCCCGCGACTCGCCCCAGATGGTATGTCCTTCGTTCGCTACTACATGTTTCGATGTGCCCTCTAATCGCTCTATCAAGGTGGATGCTTGTTGCAGTGCGACACTCGCCTCAAGTGTGGGCATCTCTGTCCATACAAGGTAGAATGAACCAACATATCACTGGCGTTTAAATACTCACCCTTCTGCTCTAGTGTCATTCGGACGACCCTAGGCATGTTACCGTTACGTGCGAGCAGCGGTGTACGAAGCTGTGTCCTCGTGGACATCCCTGCAAGAAGGCTTGTGCGACACCATGTGGTCAATGTACGACGGAGGTGGCCCAGTGCGAGCTCCCATGTGGTCATACGGCTTCCAGCGTACAGTGGTAAGTAGCTCTACCTCGGGTACTATCCCGCGGTGTCTGACCGGGAGGATGGACAGCTTCCAGCTCGATGATCTCGCCGATGTCTTCTGTCCTGTTCTCGTCACGAGACCCCTTCCCGGATGCGAACATGAAGCAACGATGGAATGCTCCGACAAGCCTCGCAACTTCGCCTGCAGGGCTACATGCTCGGGAGTCATGGCATGCTGTGGCCGGTCATGCAAAGCACAATGCCGCAACTGCCAGCTATTGAACGTCGCTCATCAGTTCCCTAGGGCCGAAGACGAGCAGACCTACGGTGCGCCAACCGCTGTTCAGCGCACGAACCACGTCGCCCACCCCTGCGAGAAGAGCCTGTTTTGTGGACACCTTTGCGGCAAAGAGTGCTCCGACGATCACCAGTGCACTGTCTTTTGCAAGGCGCCGTGTCGACAAGTGTGCGTTCACGCGCACTGCCGGAACTTCTGCTCCACTCCGTGCGCTCCTTGTCAAGAGCCATGCACATGGTATGTTTGCCTGGCTCTCGTTTGTTCACGCTCTGACACTGGTTCAGGAACTGCGCCCATCAGACCTGTCCGCTCCCGTGTGGATCGGTGAGTCTCGCTCTTAGAGCATCCGCGAGTCAAGCTCTGATACAAGCTCTCATCTACAAACTATGTTAGATTTGTGCCCGACTTCCCTGCGACAAGCGCTGCGAGAAGACGCTCGCATGTGGCCATCGCTGCCCTTCCGGTATGGTTATCCTTTGGCGTCTCCTTGTATGCAGTGTTCTTATGTTCCCGTAGTGTGCGGCGAAGATTGCTCGATCCAGATATGCACACTGTGCGCCTCAGAGGACATGCGACAGAACATCGTCGACGTCGTCATGCAGCGGACCCTCGCAGAGCTCGACGCCGACAGCAAGATCATCGATGAACTGACCATCACCCTCCCCGCCTGCCGACACGTCTTCACTGTAGAGACCCTCGATGGAATCTGCGAGCTACAAGAATACTATCGCCGCGACGAAGCGAGCAGCAGATGGGTCGGCCTCGAAGCGCCCCCACCCGGATTTAAGCAGCCACCCGCATGTCCCACTTGTCGCGCGGCGATTACCTCTCCCCGCTACGGGCGTGTCTTCAAGCGCGCTGACCTTGACATTTTGGAGAATAACGTCGCCTCCCACATGTCCCAGTCGCTTGGCTCTCTGCGACGGAAGATTGATGTAGACTCGAAGGTCGCTGCCCAGCAGAAAATCCAGATCGACGTGCCGAAGGTTGCCCGCTCGGCGGCGCTCAATACTTCGAAGAAGGAGATCAAGTCACAGCAGGGTGCTCAGGCCCGACTCCTCAGGTCGACTCGCACGACTCCCGTTCGACTCGAGGCAATCGATCCCCTGAACCGAGGATTGCACAGCTTGCCCATCGACGAGGCGACGGCTTGGAAGAAGGCGCTCATGGTGTATTTCACAGCCTATCGCGACGCAATATCAATCGCGAACACTCGTTCCGCCCATTCCCACGCCTGGGAGGCCTCCTTCACCTACCTGTTCCAGCGGGAGATGGACAGCATCGCAGCGAACCCGTCCCGTGCCCCGCGGAACCCACAGGAGTACGCCATGCGCGCTGCGCGGCTCAAGGTCGGACAACCACCACCGCGCGCGGACAAGCGCTTCCTGGTCGAGGCGTTCTGGACGGCCCTCACAATTCGCCTGACACTCGCGGAGCTCGCTGGAGAATGGCTGGTCGCTGTGAGCGCACGCGCGCGATACCCCGCGACCAACAAACGCTTATGGGCGGCCTACATCTCCTTCCTCCTTCGCTCCTGTGCCGCCGACGCCCAGCTCGCTCTTCAGATCACTCGCGACTCAGAAAGCCACCGTCAAGAGGCGACCACCGTGCTCCTCATCATGCGGATCGAGCTCGAGCAATTCCGGTTCAATCTGAAGATGACTCGGCAGAACGACAACATGACCCCCGAGGCGTCGGGCAAGATGGCGGACAGCGCGCTAAGGAAGTTGCGCGAGGCGTCCGAGCGCGTGAGCGGCATTTCTTCGCAGGCAGCTCGACGCAGCGGTGGCGCCAGTGCCAATTGGCTGCAGCCCGAGTTCATCCAACCTGCGGACGCGATCCTGGAAGACTGGAAGTCGCTGGAGCGGTCTCTGAGAATGGACACGTTCTATCAACCCGTCTCGCTCGACGAGCTGACCCAGGTGGTGAAGGCGTTCACGAGCTCGGAATTCAGTAAGCCCTGTGCGATGCTCCTGGTGGCGACACATTACTGACCAGAAACGGTGTTCTTTAGCTCACACCGGCCACTTCTACAAGTGCCCCAATGGACACACATTTGTGATCGGCGACGTACGTATATCCCGGCAACGCGTGCTCTGCCTGTTCGACTGCTGACATCACCGGTTCTACGGACAGTGCGGGGGCGCTAGGCAGCAGTCGTTCTGCCCAGAGTGTGGGGAGGCCATCGGCGGGTCGAACCACAACCTGTTGTCGACAAACACGCGCGACACCGTCATGGAGGATATTGCTCGGGCGCAGGGCTCACAGCCGAGTCCTTGGGCCTGGGGTAGATGAATGGACGGACACTCCGTCGCTACTGTCTCCGACTCGAGCAGTTACACATCGAGCGCTCCACTCGCTATATTGCTTCTACGCTACGACAGACTCGAGCATATATTCTTGTTACCAGTTGAAAAACCCGCGCATTTGATAGGAATGAAAGCCCACTCTTTGCGCCATCCCCATCCCGTACCCCCGGGCCGTTTTTCTAGTTCCCCGGCCTTCCAATGACTGTATGCTGTCGACTCTGACTCCCTCTATTTTCGTCCAGACGACACATTTTTTTTTGCCTCTCATACTTCATATGTCGAGTGCACGTTCGATGGACATCGGGTTGCGATTGAATGGCTCCTTGTGGTACTCTAGCGAGCAGGATTAATAACATCTAATTCACTTCTACTTGTATACAGTCTTATACGCCTGATAGATACGGTTTAAATTTCCATTCCCAAACCCTATAGAACCGGCTGGCAGTCCCGTTTCTTCTTTCGGAGGGTTATTTTAGAAGGCGTTTTATGGCCACTGGTTTAATTCAGAACGATTCCACCGAGTTCTGTGCGCCGAGAAAACGTTTCAGAGGCGAGAAAGATAATTTTTTTTGATTAGAGACGTACAGAGATACAGCTACTGAAATCCGGAGGGACCAGAAGACCGATTTCAAGACGTGCCCGGAGCGTTATTTGATATTGACGCAGGTTATATAGCTCCTCGAAATGGTACGTACTTAGCTTGGCTTTGGTTGATGTGAGTGAGCTCATAGGGGCTTGCAGAGGCCTGGCCGTAGCCCCGTCGTGCAAAAACATATCCAAATTAGCCTGGGGGATCGAAGGAAAGCAGGCAAGAGACAAACTTCACGTTCGGGGCCATCAACATGGCTGTCCGCAACTGCGGCGATGGTCTCGCTGTGGGCTGATTGCATGGTTATTTATGCCCTCGTTGACAAGCATGCGGCAAATAGAGAGTGCCCAACGTCAGAAGATCACTGCCGAACGCACGGAATCGCATAAACGTAGCCCACGGGCCACGGGCGGCTGGATAGACAGGATTCGAGCATGCGGCGTGCGGCAGTTGCGTGTGCCTGGAGCCACATTAACGTTCTTGGGCTGCTGGATCCGACAGAAATCGATAGATTTGACGAAATGACAGGCTACTGAGAATGTACATGGACATGTCGATCATGCAAGATGGTAAAGACGACCTCGAGGACGCAGGGCTCGTACAGATAGCCAAGTGTCGATACAGCGTTATAAGCGGAAGAAGGTAGTATGAGAGCTGCTTGATGGATATTTCAGACATAGCAGCCTTGAGAAGGTGAGGTCGTGGAACGGACCGCCGTCAAGAACAGAGAAGAAGACGGAAGAGCCGACGACAGCGCTTGCAAGCTCGAGGAACGGGACGAGCGGCGAGTAGATTACGTAAGGGTAATTGAGCCTAAAGAGGCAGAAAACGGCCACCGATCAGTGAACACTGAACGGACGAGATGCTCAGCGAGTCGCCGACTCGCTCTCCCCTCCCCTCCCGCCGCCGCTCAACACACCCGGCCTCCCTCCCTCTCTCCCTTTATTTCTCTCCTCGCTCTCGCCAAAGACACGTACACCCTCTCGACGACGTCTGGCTCCGTCAGCCTTCCACTACCGCTGCGCATGCCCAATCCGGCCTCACCGTCCTCTACGCCAACGTCTCTCCCCCTTCAGGGCCCTCACAACATGCAGGCAGGGTCCTACCCGGAGCCGTTCCCTACGGCCATCCGCATATCGCGGGACATGTCCAGCACCGTCTCCCACGACTTGGTCGACCATGACTCTCTGTCTTCTCTTACCCTCACGGAGGATAGCAACCTCGCGGCGATCGCACCATGGGCAACGCCTAACAATGGCGACGAACCAGTGAGTCTCCTCTCCTTCGCGCTCGTATCCTGTTCTCGCATGGTCTCCGCCCCCGGCGGGAGACGTAGAGGTCGGTGCAGGGAATGCCGAAACCGCTGTGGGCTGCCGAAGTTGTTCCTTTGTCGAGCAACTAAGCCCGGCCAGAAGCTAGGTCTCGGACTCTGTCCTCTATAAGTGAGACCGAGCCTCTGTGTAACGTCTTCCCGTCCATTCGTCGTTCTGTGCCGGAGGAGACTGCCTGGAGTCCCGCGATCTCCATGTTAGTCCTAGCTGCGGCGTTCCCCAGGTCATTCAGACTCGCGCCGTACTCGACAGCTTCCACAGCAGTTAATCCCGATAACTCACCTGCAAAGGACGATCAATCGCTCGTATACCTCCCTGGAACATAATTAAGAGAACGCGTGCACTGTACTCCTACCACTCAGTGTATCTCGGACCGAAACAGTCGAGCTGCAAAGGCTTTGACGGCTACCAGCCAATATCTGTTCCTGCACTTGCTAGTGGCAGGAGGCCAGCCTGCGACGATGCCCTAGGATATTCCAAGGGAGAGTGTGGAGTTTTGACCGTCTTGATTGTAGTCCACCCATGGTGCATACATGGTACCGTCGCGATGTAAGAGCGCAGAGATGCGGCGTTGTGGCGCGGCGTCGACCACAAGCTTTGGCATCCGCGCTCTACTCTGGAGTGTGGTTGTCAAGGTGCAAGTGGGCGAGCTCTCGAATGATGCATCTTCACAACTCCGCGCTTTGAGATCCAAGTCACAGTGTCTTCAGCGGGACCATCGCACTGGGTGGGAGTTGAACGCTCTTAGATATCGCAGAGGCAGGTGTCACCGACCGCTGAGGCCGCTTCCACGTTCACCTACCCGGTGGTCCTGGAATGCACGCAGAGAACGGCGTTCAGTGGGTATCAAGTATCTGGGGAGAAAGATGGTGTCTTGTCACGATGAGCATCCATTCGCATTCCTCTCTTGAGTAGGTTTTGGACGTCGTTTCAACTGAACTTTCATCACTGAGCATGTGCCCGACTTCGACGAGAGAAGTTTAGTGACAAAGTCTTGGACGGCTATCATTAGTTAGCTCCATGTGAGGTGCATGTTTGCCTGCATGAACAATGCGAGAAGTCAGGCCCCACCCTACATACGACGGCGGCTGGAGAACAGCGTTTCCCAGCTTGTTCTCAGGGCGCACATGGGGCGCTCCCTGTTGTGTTCGTCGCGCGTTTGTGCGTTCTTCTGTGTTGGGGTGACAGGCTGGAGTCCCGCAATATCCTCAATAGCCCTCGCTGCGTTGTTCCCTATGCCATTCAGGCTCGCACTTTGTTCGACAAGTTCAGAGTTTTGCTCGTACTTTGACTAACCTATCTTCCATGCAGCCCACGCCTCCACCCAAGTCTTCATCTCATCGCTTTGGGTTCCCTCCCAAGCCGTCATTTCCATCATTCACGCTCCCGCGCCACGCCAGTACATCCAGCATCAGCGTGTCAACCACTGCCACCGCCCGTCCATCGGAAACGTTCAGCATACATTCCAATGATTCAGGCCGTTCAGGACGAACGCTGAAGAAACCCTCGCTGAACCCACTAAGCCTACTCAAGAAGCGGTCCCAAAGTCGGTTACGCTCCGAGCGTCCCGCGGTCGAGCCCCCACCTCCGATGCCTTCTCCCGACCTGTCCTTCCATCCTACGCCGACGACGCCCCCCGGGTCCTTTTCTAAGAAAGACCGGTCTACGCGCAAGAAGAAGCCATCCTACCCGAACCCACCCACAGTACCTCCAAAATCTTCCCTGCATCCACTGGATACGAATCTAGACGAGATGGATGGCATCGTCGACCTCGCCGCGTTCCCCCCTGCCAATCCTGATAGCAATTCTCCTGGTAGCGGGTTCGAGTCCTCGCATCAGTCGAGCTCGGACGTCTCTTCGATGCAGTTTGGCTCTATCGGGGCGTCACAGCACAGCGTGTTCACAAATCCGTTCTTGTCTGGCAGCCAGCGACGATTGGCTCCCGGGGCTCTCGTGTATGACGGCCGCAGGATATCACCCAAAGCTCGACCTCCGGGTATGGTGCCAACGGTAGGTGTGGAAGGAGACCCGCCTTCCTGGACAGCTCCGGAGAGCTGGGCCGTCGAAAAGGACGTAGACCCATCGATCACGGCATATTCGTCGTCGGACGAGAGCGTGCAGGGAGCAAAGGTCACGACGCCACCACAGCAGCCGCGAACGACCACCAAACAGAAAAAGAAGCCGCGAAATCCTCAACCAAAGGGGCTTTACAAGGTCCGGATATACCGCGCGAACAACTCGTACCACGTTGTGTCCTGCGACTTGAATGTGACGGTCGCGCAGCTGACGCCTCAGCTCAACAAGAAGCTGCTCCTGGACCCTGGAGTAGAGCCACATAGGTTGCATCTCAAGGAACGAGGTCGAGGTACGTGCTAGTTTGAATGTCGCGGATATAGCGTCAGTAACGGTCGTGCAGAACGAGTGCTTGCGCCGACCGAGAGGCCTGCCGACATCGTGCGGAGACGATTGGAGCAAGCCGGTTATGATTTCGCGGACGGCCTAGATCTCCTAGGAGCCGACGACATACAGTTCCTGCTGAAGTTTGTGTACAAGAGCAATGTGCTTGGACCGCCGGTATGTGCTACTACAGCTCAAAAGCGTACGGGGATCTCATATTATCAATTAGGAGGACGAGATGCAGTTTGACTCCTTTGACTTGATCGACCTCACCTCCCGCAGTCTCAGGGCGGTACCCATCACGTTATACGCGCACGCCGACGCCATCGTCTCCCTCAACCTGTCTCGGAACCCCATGCTGGAGATTCCATTAGATTTCATCCAAGCATGCACGACGCTCCGCGAACTACGTCTTTCCCACATGGCTCTCAAGAAGGTTCCCCAGAGCGTTCGACATTGTCGCACTTTGCAGCGGCTGGACTTGTCGTGTAACCGCATGACAGACCTCGACGATGCCGGTCTGGAGAAGATACCGCAGCTCCGCCATCTAAAGCTGCAGAATAATCGGATGGATGCCCTCCCGAAATACTTCGTTGGCATGCACGAGCTACGCGACCTGAACATCTCGAACAACAAGTTCAAAGACGTACCATCGGTGGTGTGCGGCCTCCAGTCACTCGTCGACCTCGACGTGTCCTTCAACATGATCACGGTTCTTCCGCAGCAGCTAGGCCAGCTTACGCAGCTGGAGCACTTCATCATCGTCGGGAACCAGGTCTCTCGAATACCGGAAATGTTCGCGAACCTCCGCAGCCTACGTGTCCTCGACTGTCGGCGGAACCCGATCGTGGACATCTCGGTCGTCTGCACGCTCCCGAAGATCGAGCAGCTGCTCGCCGATCACAACTCGATGCACGCGCTCGACGTCTCGTTCGGACCCTCGCTGAAGGAGCTCGACGCTTCGCACAACGACATCACGCAGCTCACGCTTGTCCCCGGCCCACTTGGGCTCCCGTACGCGCTCACGACACTGAACCTTTCGCATGCGAAGCTGTCGACGCTCGACGATATGGCGCTGGCGCAGCTCACCGCGCTCGAGGTACTGCACATCGACCATAACTCCATCCGGTCACTCCCGGAGAGCATGGGCGGGCTTTCACGGCTGAAGCACCTCTCCTGCTCGAACAACCATCTGTTTATGCTCCCGAGTAGCATCGGCCGCCTGCAGTGGCTGGAGAAGCTGGAGGCGCACAACAACGACCTCTCCGAGCTCCCGATGAGCTTGTGGAACTGCTCGTCTCTTCAGGTCATCAACGTCACTTCGAACGTCATCAGCACCTGGAGCCTTCCTCCTGGCTCGATCGACTTGGACGTCGCCGTGTCGCATGCTTGGGGTAGTAGCAGCGTCAGCCTACTCTCTGACCGGAAAGGGTCGTCAAGTTCCATAGCGGGTTCCTCCCTCCCGGCGCTTGCGTCTTCTCTGGAAGAGTTGTATGTGGGCGAGAACAGCTTGACAGCGGACAGTCTGCACCCTCTCGCGCTCCTGAAGGAACTCGAGGTCCTCAACTTGTCATTCAACAGCATCCAGCAACTCCCGAGCAGTTTCTTCCGCAACTTGGTCAAGCTGCGCGAGCTATACCTCAGCGGGAATGATATCTCCGCTATTCCGACGGAGAACCTGCAGCACATGGTGTCTCTGGAGGTGCTGTTCCTGAACGGGAACAAGCTGCAGACATTACCGAGGGAGATCAGCAAGCTCACGAAGCTCTCGGTTATGGACGTCGGGAGCAATGTGCTGAAGTACAATATCAACAACTGGGAGTTTGACTGGAATTGGTAAGTTTATTCGGTACCCAAGTACGGAGGAGACGGGGCTAACTCCACATAACGTATTCTTCCAGGAACTTCAATACCAATCTGCGTTACCTCAACCTGTCGGGGAACAAGCGGCTCGAGATCAAGCCCGACATGAACCATAAACAGTCGCGCGGCCAGCAGCAGCTGTCCGACTTCTCGAGTCTAACTCAGCTGCGCATCCTCGGCCTGATGGATGTCACCATCGGCATGCAGACGAACATTCCCGAGGAAAGCGAGGACCGCCGGGTTCGGACATCTATGGCGGACGTGAATGGGGTCGCATACGGCATCGCTGACACGCTCAGCATACGGGGAGCCACCGACCAACTCACGATGATCGATCTCGTGCAGCCAAACTTCCGCGGTAGCCCCGACGAAGCCGTCTTCGCGATGTTCGGGCGCGCCTCGCACGTCGCGAGCAACAACAAGCTCACAAAGTTCCTGCACGACAGCTTCTTGCGCGTCTTCGCGGAGGAGCTTGCGCGGCTCAGCCGAAGCGAGGAGATTCCGGACGCGATGAGGCGATCATTCCTGAAGCTGAACAAGCTTCTGCACGACTATCTGTATTCGACGTCGGGGCGCAAGATGTCACACGTCAGCGCGTCGGCGATGAGCCAGGCCGTCCACGACAAGATCGGCGCGTCTGGCATCGTGCTGTATCTCGTCGACCGTACGCTGTACATCGCGAACGCAGGCAACGCGCTCGCCGTCATCTCCCGGCAGGGCATCGCTCGGCTGGTGTCGCGCAAGCACGACCCCTTCGACCGCCTTGAGACGGCGCGGATCCGCGCCGCTGAGGGCTGGGTGTCCCCGAAAGGCTTCGTGAATGACGAGATCGATGTGTCGCGGTCGTTTGGGTTCTACTACCTCCTCCCCGTCGTCAACCCACGCCCCGATGTGTACAAGTACGACCTCACGACGCTGGATGAGTTTGTCATCGTCGGGAACCGTGGACTGTGGGACTACGTCTCATACCAGACAGCCGTCGACATCGCGCGGAAAGAGCGGGACCCGATGATTGCCTCTCAGAAGCTCCGGGACTTCGCTATCAGTTATGGGGCGGAGGGAACCACAATGATTATGGTCATCAGGGTATCGGACCTCTTCCCCAAGGGGCTTCCAGGCGACCCGCAGGGCAGCCCGGAGCCCGTCATATTCCCCGAAGAGCTCATCCGGATGGTCAAGAACCAGAAGCCCAAGACCGGCATCATCAACAGCGCCATCTCTCGGTTGATCGAAGAAGTCCCGCCGCCCACTGGCCACCTCGCGCTGGTGTTCACGGATATCCGGAATTCGACGCATCTGTGGGAGGTCAATCCCGGGATGCAGTCCGCCATGACTCTGCACAGCAACCTCCTCCGGCGACTTCTACGCTTCTGCGGCGGGTACGAGGTGAAGACCGAAGGCGACGCTTTCATGTGTTCGTTCCCCACAACTCTCAGCGCACTCTGGTGGTGCATGAGCGTCCAGACACAGCTCCTCGAGCTCCCTTGGCCGCTCGAACTGCTCGAGTGCGAGGACGGCAAGGAGATCCACAAGGGTGGGAGGCTATTGGCGCGAGGGCTCTCGTTGCGGATGGGCATCCACTGCGGGCAGCCTGTGTGCGAACCCGACCCCGTCACCGGTCGCATGGACTACTTTGGGCCGATGGTCAACCGCGCGGCGCGCGTGAACGCCGTCGCCGCAGGCGGGCAGATCATGTGCAGCGCGGACGTCATCAAGGAGATCAACGCGCGCATCCTCGAGACCGGGCCCACAACAGACCACTCGCACCACCAGCCTCTCGACGCGATCAACGCGATCCGCACTATGGGCGTTGCTATATTCCCCGTCGGCGAGGTGAAGCTCAAGGGCCTCGAGGTGCCTGAGTACCTCTCCATCGTGTACCCGGAGAGCCTCCAGTTGCGACAGGACCTAGAGCCATTCGAGGCCGCGCCGACCGCGTCGGGCTCGCGCGTGCAGTTCAGCGTCGAGCAGATGCGCGAGCTTGGCCTACTCTGCGTGCGGCTGGAGACGCTCGCGATGTCCAAGGTGTTCCGGCCCACGCCCGTGCGCAAGGGCAGCATCGCGTCCGTCTCGGCCACTACCAAGCCGGAGGATGACACGAAGTCGGCGTTGGTCGTGTACGACGACCCGAGTCTGTACCTGCCCGTGATGGACGAGAAGTCGACCGACGCGGCGCTCACGACCGTCCTCCACTCCCTCTCCTTGCGCATCGACAACGCCCTCACGAAACTCGCCTTCATGTACATGTCCGACATCGAGCGGGAGCGCGGCGCGCCCGACCTGGCTCTGCGGGACCAGATCCTGGAGCTCTGTCGCCCCATCATGCTATAACGCTGGTGTCTTTTTCTCTTTTTTCGTGTTTTATGGACTGTAGCCCTAACTTATTCTATCTCGTCATCTTCGTCCCGCATCCATCCCTGGCATTTGTACTTCACACCACGTCCGTCCACTATCGTTAGAGCATCCGTGTATACCCTTGTAATATTCACTCGCACGCACCGCATTGTAAAATGGTACCGCTATTATTCCTGGTCGAGCACCACCGACCCCATCGAACATAACCTGACAGCGGATCATCCCATAACACATCAACAGAGCGTATATCCAATTACATGACCGTACACATAGCACCATGCACCGCAGGGAGACACAACAATCCCAGAAAGACGACGATCCATTCACGGGCCCCGCTCAGTCGCGGCTGGGCGGGACCCACTCAAGTTCAGTCTTGTCGGACGTGACCGGCTCGCTGTCCTCGCCATCGCTGCTCAGCGCCGCCCAGTCGCCCTCGACTCTGTCCTCGAGCGTAGTGATCTTCGCGCCGCGCTTGCGCAGGAACGCAACGACCTCGCGCGCGCTGCGCCACCCAGTCGGCTCGGGCACTGTCTGTACGCCATCCGCCGTCGGGGCAGGCGCAGCGGGCGTGTCGACCGACCCGCCGTACGCGCGTGCGAGATGCACGCTCGCGCAGACACGCTTCGTCTCCGGGGCACGCTCCAGCTGCGCGAGCAGGCTCGCGAGGGCCTTCGCGGCCTCGACGCGCGCACGCAGGATATGGCGCACGACGCGGCGCGTCGGCGGGCGGCGGCGCTTGCTCGACTTGGCGGAGGACGCAGACGGCGCGGGGGACGGGGAGCGTTCCGCCGCGTCCTGCGCCTGCGCCTGGGCAGGGGCCGCGGAGGACTCGGATGCGGACTCGGAGCCGCTGTGGGGGCCCGGGGTGGCCGGGCGGGACGTCTTCTTGGCGCGCGCGCGGTCGACCCACGGGTTCTCGGGCGGGATCCGCGGGACGGTGTACTGCGCGACGGCGGAGAGGGAGAGGTCCCACCTGCGCGGCGCCCACATGCCGACGAGGATGCGCCAGGCGGCCACGAGACGCTTGGCGCTGCGCGGGGGAGGGAGAGGGGGCGTCAGAACACGTCAGATAGGCTTGCGGGCGCACGGGGCTTACCGCTCGTAGTTGTCTGGCGGGCGGGCGCAGGGGGGGAATCGGGCAGGCACACGGACACACGTCAGCGGTGGCGTTCTCGGGCACTAGCGGGGCTGGGAGGGTGGACTAACCGTTGATGAGCTTGTTGTGGTAGAGCGCGAAGAGGAAGACGAAGCCGACTGCGACGACCGCGCCGACGGGCGTGTATTGCAGGAACGCCCAGACGGCGAAAAACGCGGCTGGGTAGATCATGAACAGCAGCAGGAGGCCGAATACCACTTTGTTCTGCGCCTGGGTCTCTTCCTCGTCTTCGACAAGGCCCGCACCCACGCGCCCCATAACGTAGGCAGGCGCATGTATTACGATGGGCACGATAGAGAACGGAAGCCGCACGAGCAGGGAGAGCGTGTCCCGGACGAGGATGACCAGCGTGTACAGGCGGCTCGGAAGCGGCACAGGTTGTCGTGGATCGAGCGTGGCTGGCAGTGGCAGGGAAGACAGGACTGCGTTCGTGAGGTGCGTGGTCTGGAGCAGGGAGTAGTATGTGAGCAGATGGCGCCTGATCGCGTTGATGTTCGGGACGAGGTCAGATGTGGAGAAGAGGTCGACAAGGCTGTGGGTTCGAAGGTCAGCATGGGCGCATCCATCGGAGGAGCATCCGAGATACCGACGTCTGAGAGATGGCGACGAAGTCGTCCAGGTTGATAGACCTTTCTTCTGGCCACAGAAGGTCCCGTGCCATCCGAGCCGCGTAGAGCGTGTCCCTGTACCGGCAAAGAGTTTCATGAGGTGACTGACCGTTTCATCTCATGGCGAACTTACCAATCCGGCGCGTTAATCGTCAGCTGCGTGAGCTCTCTCTCAATCGCCGCCGTTAAACGCTTGACTGCAGCACGAGGTGCGCCCTCTTGTTCGGATATGAATTGGCCCATATAATCGTCCATCCTGATAGGTTGTCCGAACCTGACAGCAAGAATGTGAGCTCGCTTCGGAGCACCGGAAGAGAGTTATGCTCACTCCATAATCGCCTGCAACACGTTCGGTCAGAATGAAGCGTCAGAGGTGACCTCAGGGAGAACACTAACCTGGCTGCGATACTTCGACTTATTCGTATACACGATCGCTGCTGGGATGATCATGACGTTCTCGGCCCCTTTCTTCACCTTGTCTGGGTTCTCCTTCACCCATTTCGTGTACTCCAGAGCTGCCCACGCTGCACCGTCCTTCACCTGCATAATGTGCGGCTCGGTATAACTAGTGCCTTCCGGAAACAGAGCCACCGCTTCCCCAGCAGCTAGAGTTCGGAACGTCCCCCGGAAGAGCAATTGCTTGTCTGAGGCCTTCCGGTCGACGGGAATATTACCCGCAGACGTGAGGATATACTTCATGACGGGGTTCGCGAAAAGGGACGCTAGAAGACGAGCTTCAGGACAGCTGAAACCTTCATCTCGGGATGGCGCACCTTTTGCCCAATAGTGCAGTACCCTCAAGTGCGGGAAGGCGCATGCTGCACGTAATTTAGCAAACTTTGTTCAATTTTAAAATGGGGACTTACACAGGATTGCTGGGTCCAGCATCATATTATGGTGCGTTGCGGTCCTGCATTGCAAAGAGTTAGACTGCGTGTACGTCAAAGAGTCGATAGGTGCCGAGCTGCGGGTGATAGCCTCGAGCTCGGCGTCGTGCTGCGACACACAGATAGCAGGCGGAAGAGTCCGACGTCGGGCTATAAGTGCCGTTATGAACGCACCTGATTCGCCCACCCGACGAACACCTTCTCCGGAAAACGGCGAGGGGTAGGCAAGGCAGTGTCCTTAATGAGAACCTCACCAGAAGCTGTCTGCGCTCGCGGAGCGCGCCGTCTACGCCGACCGAAATGATATCGAGCGGGACGGTAGGGAATCCCAAGGTCTATCACGGTTTGGGCTAGCGCTCCGTGTCTCATGCAGTCACAGCTAACGGGTGCAAGATTCGGAGGTGGCGTGCTGCTCTTCACTCAGGCATGCGATGGCTGGGGGCGCAGCCCCCGGTCAGCGCAGGACGAAGACGCGTCGCGACGCATCGCTTCGGGAGGAGAGGGACTCTTGAGATCCGCTCCCCTACGAAGCGCGGAGTTCGCGGACAAATGGCATCCGCTCCGCGAACAAGGAGCAAGAGAGGGAAAAGAGCAGGACTCACGCAATAATGGGTCCATCTCGCGGTACGTTCTCGCTGCCGATGACGTGAATCTCGGTGAAGAACGACACTACTGCCCAGCTGGCAATGCGACGGATGATCCTGTGTGCGAGGTACGCCTCGGACATGGCGGGGGGCGGCAGCAAGCAAGCAAGATGGTGATGGGGAGAAGCAGAGAGCGGGCGTCGTCAGGAGCTCGTGGATGAGCGCGGGCGCGGCAGTGAGACCACCCTTGGCTTTCTTGGGCCGGGACAGGAGGGGAGGGCGCTGGAAGGAGTGGGCTGAGCTGGACGGCGCGCGCCATGCCCCGCACACGCTTCTCGTTTAGGCAGCCAGCGTCATCAGCCGCCCACACCGCGCACGTGGCTCCCAGTACGTGTCGCGCCTGTCCGCTCGCGGCGCGTCCACGACCGCCTCACTCTCTCTTCCGCTCCGCCACCACCACCGGTCTGCTCATACCCCTCTCGTCTCTCGCTCTCTGGTGTCTTGCTCTCGGGATATCTGCAGGATGCATACCGTATACTCTAGGATCAATAATGTCTCGGCGATGCTCTCGACCTGTGTTATGGTCTTACTAGCTGCAATCTCACTCTCGACGTTCGTCTTCACCGCGGATCCGAAAGGAAGCATCGAGGTCGCCTCTGTTCAAGTGTTCGTCCACCTTGTTGAGCCGCCTCTTCCCCTTTGGGTCTCATGCGACTCTCAGATTTCCGGGCAATGCCCGACGTTACGCCAACAAGAACCAAGACTTTGCCTTCGTGAACTTCAATGTCACAGCAGGTACGCAGTCAGGCACGCACCGTTCAAACTGTATTGACCCTCGGGGCCAGACTTGACTCCGCTGTTCAACTGGAATACGAAGCAGCTCTTCCTTTACGTCAGTGCAGAGTATGAGAACAAGCGAGGGGTGGGTTTAAGAACACCGGCCGAGGTCTACACATTAAAGGCTATCTGCAGGTAAAAAATGAGGTCGTCATTTGGGACCGTATTGTCCAACGCAAAGAGGACGCCCAGCTGTCCATCGCCGGGCGCAACAAATATGGGTTCCGTGAGACGAGCGCATCATTCAAGTGAGTGTCCCCCAATTTTCTGCGGCCAGACCGCTCTCTCCTCTACATGGTTTGGTGTCCCCCGGAGTCGGGTGGCTCCGCAGAACCCCGGAGTCGGAATAATGCACTCCGACATTCGCTTCCATTGGCTGTACTACAGGCTCTGCAGACAGACAGCATACCGTTTCATTCGTGATATGTGAACGCCGCTGACCACTTATGTTCTCCTCTGTAGGAATGCTGCACCCGCGCACTACAGCCTGAAGTACAACATCATGCCGTATGTTGGAGTGCTGACGTATGGTGAAGCTGCTAGGACCGCGGAGCCCGTCGCTTTCCCCGAACGCCAAGAATTGTCATGACGTTCTTCGACCGAGACAGCCTGAGGGCGTCATCTCGCTGGCTGTACTATATCTTCCTTCATGGAAGGCACGCAGGTTCCTCGCAGCTATGTATACCGCTTCGATCGTAACAGGGCGCTATCTTTGTCTATGTGGAAGGTGTGCTTGGCCTGCACATGGTGAAATTGCACGGGATGCGGATCGGCTCGCCAACGACTTCGACATTGAAGCGAAGCCGCTATGTCATAGACAGCGCACGGTGCGTGGTCAACTTCTCAAGGACGTGGAACGCAATGCACGAGGACAGCCACATGCCGAGCGTCGAAACGCGTGCAGCGACATAGAATCTGGTCATCCCGGACGTTGAGCGGCTCGGTCTCAGCACTCATTTACCGCTCCGACGGGGCTAGCACCCGGCGACGACAGCACGAGCTAGGGTGCTCGCACGCATCGCCGCGGCGAACGACGGGCTTACCGACTGTCTTCCAGCACTCCTGGTCCCACTCGGTGTACCCGACCGCCCCGGGATGCCCCCGCGCATACGGCCCTGGCAAACAACGGCAACTCTTCCGGAGACGTCGCCTATGGTTCTTGCGAGCGATGCTGCGATACGACCTACGCATGCCTGCACACGTGCACGGCGTACATCTTTGGTGCGGGACTCGTGCGCGGTGCTCGCGTGTGCGGAGGGTGCTTTGTTCTCTTTTTGCTCAACCGACTTACCTCTTTGACCGCCGTCGCGAGCGCGCGCGCCCGTCGTCGGTTCACTTCCTTGACGATGGCTTGCACACGCCCTTCATCTGTGCGTCAGCAGCGGCCAATTTCCAACGCCTGCGAGCCGAACAAGTCTACTACTGATCTTCGCAGTCCAGCTTCGAGATCACGCGTCCTTTCATCTCGGATCTTATGAAGGATGCTGTCCCACCTGCGTGGGTACGACCTGATCTGTTCGATAACAGTACCCCGGTCTGCGCCAGAGGTTCGTGCATCTGCATCGATAATGCTATATCTCTCAAACGCCCTCACGATCAATGTTCGTCCACTATAGCGCAGACGCCACCACCAGCTTCGGGCAGCAGAATGGAATCCGCAATGACATCCCGCGCGCGAAGCCGCCGCAGCGCAGGCGCCCGAGCGGGCCTGCAGGCTCTCGCCTCATCACATCGCCCGCCCGACTGCGTTCGCTCCCCTGCTGCCCATGTGCAGGGCGGGCTCGCGTGTTTCAGCGGGCTTGCCGACGACGCGGGGGTGTGCGCTTCCGCGGCATCGACGAGGCTAGAACGAGTTCCGCCTCGAAGCCGTCGGTGCGTTCTCTACCATCCTCTTACGCCCGCATTCGAGGGGGCCCACCGGCGGAGAAAGCGTACCCACACATCGGGCGGCGCTGTCATCGACGCGGGAGAAGGCGCGCTGCGCGCTGCTCCGAGGAGCTGCCCATCGCACCGCTGCTGCAGGCTGCCGACTCGGACGCCGGCCTGCCCGCTGGGTCTCGCCCGCTCGCTGCCCCTCTCCGGCGTCTTGACCTCGCCACCCCCTGCCGCTAGCGAGCCGCCGTCCCGTCCCGCCGCGTGCTGGCCGCCGCACCGCTGCTCCCCTCCCGCGGCGAGCGGGGCGGCCGGCACGCGGCTGGATCCACGACAGTCCACGACGCGTCTGCGCCCGCGGCCCTTGGGCCCGTTCTGGACCGCTGCGCCTTCGCGTGCGGGGCGCGTTCTAGATCGGGGGACGATGCATCGCATGCCGGCGAGGCGTCTGGGAAGGGGAATGCTGGTGGCCGATTCTGGGTGAGAAGGTACCTCAATATCGGAAGGTTTCGCGCACCACCAGCCCCAGCCCCTGCACCTGCGCCCCGGTGACAGATCCAGTGCCCGGAAAAAAATCGCGCACGGGCGCGCCCTGCGTTCCCGTGGATTTGGGCCCTGCCTGCGCGATCCGCCCCCCGCTCCCAGGCCCGAGCTGCGTTTTAGTGCGAGTGCGGGGGCGTGGGGGCGCTGCCCGTCCGTGTCCGCGGGAGAGAAGAGGCGTCCAATCTTTCCCGATATGCAGCAGTGCGCCCGGCGCGGGCGAGCCGTGCGTTCCCGTCGCGAGTGCGCGAAGGCAGGGGGGGTGACGGCACGTCTCGCCGAGGTCAGCGATATGAAAGAGCTGCCCGAGCCCTGCGAACGTTCTGATCTCCAGCGCGCGCGCGGGCCTGCGAAATTTTGCGCGAGCTCGCCGGGTGATGTCACAAGCGCAAGGCAGGGCGAGCAGGGCGTTTCCGGCGGGCTCTGGCAGCAGGGCCATTCAGTCGACCCTGCGGCTTCGCGCGGTGGGGTGCGTCGTCCCGGGGCCACGCGCACCGCGGGCGTCTCAGGGGCCTTTGCGAGGCTGCTGCTGCCGTTGCTCGAGCTGCAGTGGGAGCGCGGGCCCACGGCGGCGCGCGTCGCAACTCAAAGTGACCGCCTTCGAGACGCTAGGGGCACGTATATACGGCAATCCTCAGGCCATCTACGCCGAAAGGCGATTTTTGCCGGATGGAGCAGAGGCGAGAAGAGCCCATCTCACGAAATAAAGGCGAACTTTGTTGGCAGAGTGGGCGTCTGCCGGCGCACTGCTGCGTCGCAAGTTGGGGCCCTTGTCCCAGTTGCGGACAAAGGCCGTCGATCCCGATGGGTGCGCGATTGCTGCACTTGTTGGTTTCCCAAGCGGCCTATATTTGACCAGGCCGGCCCTGGGTGCTGGAGTGCGCTGCCATTCGTCACCACGCCTCCCGCAACGGACGCGGACGGGGGGCACCACGAGCGAGCGGGCACACGCCTCGAGCCGTGCGCACCCCAGTTCGCCCACCGTGTCGTCGCCACCGCGGAACGCGGGTGGTCGATGGAACAATCCCAGATGGCAGACGAGGGCGGCAGACGACCGCGTATGCACGCGGCCGCGGCGCGTGCAGGCGTCGACGACCGAGAGCACTTTGTGCGGCCGGTCGCGCTGGACGGTGCGCACTCCAGCGTGCGGGGCGCGCGTCGAGGCTCTCGAGCGACCTCGTGGGTGCGCGTTGGGCCGAGGCGCCCAGTTAGCGTGGTTTGTACCTGTGTGCTGTGCATGGGGCCGAGCGCGACATGCGGTTGTGGGCCTCTGGCCGCACTGTGGCTGGCGTTGTGCGGGTGCGTGCTCGGACGGTGTCCGATGGCAGGGAAGACGATCGCGCGCGCGAGCGGTGGGTAACTGCGCGCGTCCGGGGGACGCCGGACGTCGTCGGTGCACGGTGCATGGCAGGAGCAGGCAGGGCGCGGGGCACCACGCACATGGGCGTGCATCAGAACGCGATTCATTAAAGTCAGCACACTTCTTCGGACACGCATTAGAACACGAAGGATGTGGTCTCGTCCGCGCAAGCCGTGTGAGCGGGGGAGGGGAGGGACGCATTGAGCGGCGACTTGGGCGAAAATCCAGCGCGAGGCGCGGGGTCGCGTATTGGGCAGGGCACTCTCCAGAACAAGAATGCGCGGCATAGCTTCTGGACGTTGTGTGGGCCGTGATTGACGTCGAGTCTGGCGCGGATTCAATTGCCTCCCTCGCTCCGGCTGCCGGCCCCGGCCTGCCTGAACGGGACGCACCGTCAAATATTCGCAGCGTGTGCATTTCCCAGATTGTTGATGTCGTGCCCCATCTAGCCGACGCCTCCCCGGTGCTGGCGCCGTCAATAAGGCAATATCGATGTCCCGTCGCAGCCCCGCCTTCCTTTCTGCGCACAAGCGACATCTAGACGAAACAGAAGAGCGTCTGGGAACGGGACGTGCAGGCTGCGCATCTCCGCGGGCTGCCCTGATCCACCCGGATGATGACCGAGGTGCTGGCAGAGGACGTGGGCGTGTGGCGACAGTGCAGCGAGGCACGCGTAGTATATCTTTGTCTGTCGAAGCTTATCAAATGCGAAGCAAATGTGGAAAAGGACAGGACAAGGTTAGCTGATTGCACGCTAATGCACGCCCATCATCTGACAGCCTTTTTCGTGCAGGCCTAACCAAAATCATAATCTCCAAGGCTCCGACTCCGAGCCGTTGGCGCCCGTCTGCCAACCCTGAGCATCTTACGCTTCCCGAGTCCTCTTCACTTCATATAAAGAAGATGGGACCTACAAAGCCTCCGCGTTTGAACCCTCCCTCTCTCCTCGCCGCTCTCCTGCCCCCCTCCCTCGTGCACACCGCCCACCCCGCCCGCCGCGCCCGCCGCGATCCTGCTCACCTGCCTAATCCGCACGCCCCGCATGTCGGCCCAGCCACTCCCGCCCCTCCACCAGGGCGCGAACGAGGGCGAGTCCGACTCCGAGTACCTCAGCACACCCGTCGACCCCCCGGCCTCCGTCCAGCCCCAGGTCGCAGAGTATGGACCGCTGGGCGATTATTACTACCAGCCCTCCGTCCACAGCGCCGGCTACGGCGCGGTCGGATATCCGGTGCCTCAATATCGATATAGCGACCCCAATTCCATCGAGACATCTGCCCAGCCGCATCTGCTTTTCGGACAGCCGTACTACGAGGTTCGTCCCACTGCATTTATCATGCCAGCCTTCGGTGATCAAACCCCAATCCAGCCTGCCATCCCGGACGCCCACTGCGCGCGCCCGGATAGCACAATGACTGCCTACCACTGGATGGGGGCTGCCCAAGTAGTGCCCAGTCCCTCAAGCGACCGCTCGAGCTCCTCGGTGACCGACGGTCTCACGGACTCGCCGCGCGACGATTCCAGCCCTTCGCTTGCACCGGCCACTCGTGCGGGCGAAGGCCGTCTGCGGTGCAGCCCCGCCTCCCTGCAGTATCCGGAGTACGACGGAGAACCAGGGGTGTACGGGGACATCGTCCCCAACGTATCCTCGTACGCAATCGCGAGATCGAGACAACCCGATCTCGTCTGCAACACGGTGAGCAACTCCCTCCCCTTCTTCCCGGACTGGCCGACCGAGCTGCTTCTCTTCCAGAACTTGGGCTATTCGCTGGCTGGTAACCAGCGATCGCACTCTAGTCCCGATCATACTGTCCTCCCTGCGGCCGCCTCATTCCCTCCGACGTACTTCGACGAGGGCTACAGTGAATCACCATTAGATGATTCACTGCAATGCGACCCGTTCCTTAGCTCAGGTAGGCTTCAGGCTCTCCACACGTGCTGATGGCGCGCTGACTCTGTCTGTTTGCCTTTAAGGTTGCGCGGTCGAGCGTTCCTGCGGCTACGACGGGCAATCGCAAACCCGCCCCCCGCATCTCGATGCGCACCTCGGGGGCGGGCACATGCCAATCCGGCACAGTGTGCGCTTCTACAAGCCGCCCTCCTGCCCGTACTCGTACCCGCTCGTCGACGGCCCTCTCGACGGCCCTGGGTATTCCTCGGACTCGCTCTCCGCGCTCTATCCGCACTCGGTCATCCACGCACCACGGCCCCAGCTGCTGCACGGGCTCCACAGCCTCCACGGGGGGCCCCGCTCCGCGGAGGACGCGCCTGCGCTCGTGCCCGCCCACCAGGTCCTCTCGATCCCAAACGGGCCGATGCAGCCCATCCCACGGCCGTCCTCGTTGATCGAGGACAACCCGAAGAAGCCGCTCACGCTCGCCTGCTTCTTCTGCCGCAAACGCAAGATCGCGTGCCAGAGCCCGCCGGCGAGCTCGCCCGACCGCACCTGCAAGTGAGTACCTTACCTGCCTGGCTACTAGCCCCGAGGGCGTCCCGCGGCCGCGTTCGCGTTCTCGCGCGCGCACCTTCTCACAGCTCCACACCACGTTTATTTTGCCGAGGCTGATTGCGCTTCTTTTTTTGCGTCTGTGCAGCCAGTGCGCGAAGCGCAAGCTCAAGTGCGTGTACCCCGCGACGTCGCGGCGCGGCATCCGTCCGCGCGTGTACGACCTGCAGGACGACCTCCTCCCGCGCCCCTCCGCGCCGCTGTCGCTGTGACTCGCGGCTTGCGCCTGAGCCCGGACTGCCCGCTTACTGCTTATGACGCCCCGCTGGGTCCGAGCCTCGCCGGACTCTAGGCTCCCCTACCCCTGCTACGCCTGCCGCACGAACGAACATTAACGCTCTCACCGCCATGTCCATGTCCACACCCACGCTCGCTACCATCGCAGCGGCGGGCCGCCGCCCCCACCGCCTACGCTGCTGTCGCGCCCGTCGTGTATGCCACTACGCCCGCCTCCCCATCCTGCAATTACTACCGCCGTCGGATTTTACCTGTTGTTGTGCCTCTGCATTGCTTTGTGTGTGTTGACCACCGACCTAGATTATCTGACAACTATACTGTACTACGCTAAATCACCCCGCCCCCATCCACCCACTCACCCATCCACCCCATCCCCCATATCCACGCAGACAAACATAAAGACTCGGACCGCTCCATCTGAACCGTGATGTTTTTCTTTTCTCTCGGGACTCGGACGCTGCGCCGCCGTCGGCTTTCGCTCATTCATGTACTCTAGTGCACCCCGCCGCTAGCCACTCACTGCATGCATCTATGGACTGGACTTATGCCACCACCGCCCATCCTCTGTATGCACTGTTACCGAGTGTCCAGCACCAAAATTCTACACGCCCTCGACGCTGCCGGCAGCCTCTGTTGCGAGAACCCCCGAGTGCCGTGCGTCATTCACTGCCGCGTTAACGTTGCGGTTCGCACAAGTGCGCGCGCTCTCAGGCTACTCACCGCCCGCGCCGCCTCGAGGCCGTTCGGCAGTTCGCGAGCGTGCTCGACTCGGAGCGGTCACGTATACGATGCACACCCAATGCCCATCCTATCGCACTTCCGCATCGCGCCGTCCCAGGAACATCACATCGGGCGAAGGCGACTCGGAAGACTGCGACGGTCCTTCCTCGCGCAGGCTAGCAAGGGCTGTCCGCGCCGGATACGGATACAGATACGAATCCGTGCTAGCCAGTGCGGTACGTAAACGCGCACAGGGTCCACGCAAAGTGCGAGCGTCGAGCGACCAGTGTGATCACCAGCGAGCCACACGCAGCTCGCAGCTGCCCACGGGACGGCTGCTCGCTCGCAGCATACCCACGTCAGACGGGCACAGCGTCACCCGTACGAATGCAGCACGCGAATCGAAGCAGGAAGGCCGCAGAATGGGGCGCGAGCGTACCGGAGGTATGAGCGGCCTGCTATGGCTATAGCTACTACTGCACCCGCGCGCTGCGTTGGGCTGGCTACCGCGCTAGCCTGAGCTTGGTATACAGTAGCACGTAGCGCGGTGCGGGTGACGTCCTGTGCGTCCCGTCAATGTCCCGAGGGGATCTGCGCCCGTGCACCCGGGAGCCCCCGCGCGCGTGCGACGCGATCGGGCGCACCACCCTAGTCCAAGTCCTGGGGCAGCTGTCGACCGTCCTCGCGAGATGTCACTCCCGCGGGGAAGCCCAGGGGCTTACGGTACGCAGCCCCTCGCTCGCACTCTGATCTCGGGCGTCGCCGCGCCACGCCCCGCAGGTATCTACCGCTGCACTTGCCGTGCGCGGACGTGCGCGCCCACGCCCACGCCCAGTCCTGCGCCTGCGCCTTCGCCCGCGGGGACGCGCTCGCGCCGCGGGGGAAGGCCTATACGCATATGCAGCGCTCCCACCGCTTGCCGCCTCGCGGCGGACATCTCGGGGCGGACAGCGGGGTCGTCGGAACGTGCGGTGCACCCAGGTTCAACTTGCCCTCGCCTTGCGCCTCGGGCTCGCCTGCGTTTTGTGCGGGGATACGGTCCACGGACGGGCCTGCTGATGGACTGGTATGACGCCAGGGCTGGCGTGCGTGCAGGCAGGGGGGCACACGCCTGGTCGCCCGGGTGCCGACGCCGCAAGATGAGAGTGAGCTTGAGGAGCGAGCGAGAACGCCAAGAACGTACGCGCGGGGGAAGTTGACGTCGATGTCACCTATAGCAGGACGAGCGCAGGACGCCGGTGACAGAGGCAGGGATGCGCAGGCCGCGCGTGGACGAGAGAGAAAGAGGGAAAGGCCGCCCAGTCCGTGGATTGTCCGTGGCGGTCGCATCTGTCTAATACACATGGCAACACTGCGCACAAGGACCCCTCGCGCGGGCCCAGGCAGACCGTACAGGTAGGTAGTATAGAGGTGAACGAAGGAGAGAGAAAAGATCCGTGTCCGACCGCGCGTCCGCGCCCAGAGAGAAGAGCCTGTATGTATGTATGTATGTAGCTAGCTAGCGCACCGTATCTCACAAATAATCATCACAGCAGGTCCGCCTGCTCGCGGCGGGGGTGCCCCGAGGTCGAGCTAGGGACCAGCCTGATCCCGCCCCCCGGCATCCCCAGCCCGCCGTCGCCCCCTGCCTCGAGGTCCGCCGAGCTCGAGCTCGTGCTGTCGCCCGACGGTCGGTGCCACAGGCTCTCGCTCTCCTCCCGGTCCTCGTCGCGCTCCCCGCGCGGATAGTGCCGTGAGGGCGAGCTATGGCTGTTGCGTCCGAAGAGCCGCATGCGTGATGCTGGCGACATCTGCGCTGCCGCCGCCGGACTCCGCTCGCGCTCCCGTGCGCCGTAGGACGGCGACGACGACGTATTCGAGGGAAAGGATCCGAGCGTGCTCGTCGACGGCAGGCCATCGTACGGGTTCCGCACGGGTGGATGGTGGAAGACGTCGCTGCGGCCGCTGAGGACGGGCGGTGCGGTCATCGGCGTGGGCGCGATCGTCGACACCTCGTCGAGGGAGTCGAGGGCGGGCAGGTTGAGCGTGAGGATCTGGCCGTCGCCCGACTTGCCGTCGAGCTGCTCGCCATTAGTCCCGACGACCGCGTCCGATGACCATGTGCCGCTACTGACCGAGGCGTACTTCACGCTCCCGCCGCTGCTGTGCAGCGCGTTCCGCCGCTCGTGCGTCGCGGTGTCGTCGCCCATCCCGGGCATCGGGTACGAGTGCACGACGTCCTGGTCGCCGAACTTGATCGTCTGCTTGCGCTGGCTGAACGGCGAGCCGAGCACGGACGGCCGGCTCGCCATCGAGAACGCGTCCGCGCCGTACGGTTCTGGCGAGGCCGGCACCGGGTTGTCGAACAGCTGGTGCCGCTTGACGTTTCCGAGCGGGTCGCTGCGCTGACCGGGGACTGGTGGTAGTTGGGAGCTGAAGCGCGAGTTTATGGAGGCGCGGCTGGACATGCTCAGTCGTCTTGCGCTGCGGGCGCGGATGATGCTGCCCATCGTTCCGAAGCTGCCGCGCAGGGCGTCCATGCCGGGGTCTTCGACGGCGGTAAGGTTCTTCTCGTCGAATCCTTCCGTATTGCTCTTCGCGGCTTGTAATAGGAGAGTTGACCGCCGGTCGAGCGTCTTGATTTGTGTAGGGTCTATCTTCGATAATTGAAGGACAGTGATGCCGACGCAGATGACCAGGAACCCCATGACGAGGGTGATAATCTGCACTACCGGCGCTTTGAGGCCTTGGAAGAGCACGATTGTTGTTACCATCGAGAAGAATGTGACTATGGCATACATGTTAGTAGAGGAGATATACCACATGTATGCGTGCTCACAGATCACGTAGTATGTTGGTGTGACTGCGGTAAGGTTAACACCATGTTCGAGAATTTCATGAAATTGAGCGACGAACCCATAGCTAACGGAAACACATCATGATCAGCCGGAGTCTAGACAAGCGGAGAGGGGCACTCACCAGTGTTAAACAGCGCCAGCGCCACGTTGAGATAGTACACTTCGGTGACTGCGGAAGACAGGTTCAGTACTTCAGCGACAGGTACACACAGCCGCACTTACTTAATGTTACAGCAATGAATACCATTAGGAAGTAAATAAACCAGTGTTTGAACTGTGAACGGAGCGCAGAGTTTAGTCGCCGACGAGCTTTCGGTGTGCGTACGACAATTACCTGGTTATCGCCCTGGGCTGTGGTGACGATGGCGGAGCCAAGACCGGTGGTGACGCTCACGCTGAGCCCACCGATCATGCTGCACACCATGATATACCACAGCATGCTCTTCGTTCCGTATCTAGCCTCGCAATGTTAGTATACCGCTCTACGTACCTGCCACTTCGCACCTACCTTGGCGCAAACCAGAAGATGATCGCTAGAGCAGCGGTGACGAGGATGGAGGCATAGACTAAGAAACCAGGCGCCAAGAAGAGCTTCTCGAACTCTTCGATTTGGCCAATGGACTGTTCTTGCGGACCTATATTATAGGTGGTGAGCAGGAGAACGCCTCGACGGACGCTGTACAAGCGTACCATTGAGCGCTATAATGACGGAGCCAAGCTACACAGGAGTACGATCGGTCAGCGCCGCAGCATGCAGTTCAAGAGAAAGGCGCGTACGATACACAGTCCGCAACCGAGCCATCCGAAGAAGCTCAGCTGCTCTTTCAGGAATAGTGAGGACAGAATGGCACATATAACCACCGAGAGTGCGCCCATAGGTGTCTGTAGATCAATTGATGGGTGCACTGCATGCAGACATATTCGCGCGCAGCACGTACGACGACGATGGCCTCAACAAACGCGTAGGCTACGGCGCAGTCAGTATTGGCGAGCTAACTGATGAGAGATAATGACGCACCGGCAAAGTTGCATAGCTCGCCTAGGATCATCACTGGGCTCTGGTTAACACAGAGCTCCGCTAATATGACGCCACTAGTGCTCGCGGAGACTTACTTGACATGCCCAACCACCATAGCGGCTGCGCAAGTTTAAGTGCTGTGGTTTATCTCCAGAAGAGCATAGAGTACGCACCGACTTGAGGTATGCAACACCCTCGCCCGCCACCATGCCCTGCTGTGACCGCAGGAGGCCCTTCTTCTTGAACACGAAGCTGGAGCCGATGAGAAGTCCGCTGGATATTGCGAGGATAATGCCGACAATCTACAGGCACAGAGTAAGACAAGGCTCGAAGCGCAGCACGAGAGTTTCATTGCCTTGAGGTTTCCAGGAACGGAGAGTGAGCTGGAGGCCGAGGCGGAAGCGGAGGCCGCTGTTGAAGTGGTCGACGGCACGGCCGACGTGGTTGAGGACATTTCGTTAGGTGTTGGGTCGTGACAGCGTGTTCCAGGGCGAGATAGAAGGCGTAGGGCCCGGCGGGCGAGAGAATTGAAAACAGCGGGATGGAAGACTGGAGTGGGCGCGGCGTGGTGGCCTTCGCAGTCGAGAGGAGGTCTTTCGTCGACCGTTTACCCCACCGGCCTCTTACCGCATTACGACGGTGGCTTTCCCTATCGGGCAGTTCACTGCCGCCGTCGCGCTGCGCACCCCCGGCTCGGCCCCTGGCCGCCGGCTCCGGGGGCTCAACATGGGCGCACTTGGCCGATACCTGCCTGGAATGGGACCGCCATCAGCTGAGGCCGGGGGCCAAGCCGGGTATATGGTAAGTGGAGAGGCCGGCATGTTGTGGACTCCGTCCACGATCGACCTCTTCTCGAACGCGTTGCTATCTCTCTCCTGGCCAGTCGTTGCTACACCGACGTCGCTCTCGCACCTGTTATCCTCTCTACATATTGCTGCTACTCGAGAACACTCTGGGCTTGATCTCGACTTCGCCGCAGTGGGTGGTACGACTCCACATATACCCCAACTGGCGGTTTGCCTCTTGTCGGAGATGGCATCCCAGGCATGTCAACGTCAGTATGTCAAGATGTCCTCAGCTCGGTGATATCAACCATGTGCGCGCCTCCTCCCGCTGTCCCTGTATATCAGGGTGAAGACAATTCCAAGGATCGTAGCGTGACGACGCGCTATTGACAACAGAACGTTGTGGCCACGACCATAGGTTGGGAGTCCAGGGAGGCATCACGATCCGCTCCTCGCTTCAAGTCCTCCAGATCCTAGGGCCTTGCGATGACGACAATCATCCTCGTCCACACCTTCGGGCTCTCCATCCGGGGTGCGCTCGACCGATGTCGTTATCACGTCCAGTCAGATGTGTAGAGCGTCCCGCTCCCGTCCCACGCTTCTTTCATGCGACCCCATCGTTTGTTTCATTGCTGTTCGCGACACGGATGCGTCGACAACCACTATATATAGCGTTGCGTTGATCCCAGGATGGCAAGTATGTTCTGTCAAACCTACAACACCCATCCTATGCACCTCTCATGCATGAACTTGGCAAAGCATGTTAACGATCCGGCCAACAGATCTATCTATCACTAGTTTTATCACTGACGACCACCTGCGCATGGAGATTGGCCGTAAGTGGCGTGCGCAATGCCGGACGTCCGCGCGCGTCGGCGAAGTCGCCGTAACCCCGCACCCAAAGCTGTACGGCGAAGAAGGGCGAAGACCGCAAGTTTGTGAACGACACCACCATATATGTCCATCGAGGCGCGCCCTCGCAGAAGCAACTGCGTATAGCAGTTACCGCATCTCCTCCACTCATCCGCGCTCTCTCACCGTTCGCAGCAGCTTACCAGCGTCGTTATCTCCATCTCGTAAACGCTGTCAGTAGAGTGGCGCTAGCGCGCTGCGCTTCTCACCAGCATCTCCCACAGCCGGCCTTGATGTGCGTGTTGTCAGCGCTGGGCATCTTCCGACCACTCCGATGACATTATGAGGGTGGACCGGATGGCATATCTCGCTTGGCAGCTGCCGTAGCTCAGATCTCTGTCTTGCCCGTGGTCTCGGATAGCCGTCACAAGAGCTCGAGGAACGCGAGGGAGTCTCGGAAGCCTTCCGCAGCACGATCTCGGCGACAATTGAATGCAGAGGGGCTATGCAGTGTCTTCTTTCGTACCGGACAAGGCTGATCGACGACAGAGCGCTCGAACGGATGGCCACGATCGGTGGACTTGCAAAGTTTCGGCAGTCGCGACGGCTTCTTGCACCCAAGCTCAACACCGGTCCTCTTGGACTTGAACGAAGATTCGTATCAAGTGAGGGGCGCAGCTGTTATGTATCTCACAGCCTCCGCTAACCAGCAGCTCCTGCAGCGAGGCGGTCAGACCGCCAGCGCTTGTGCAGGCGACCCCACCGCACCCCACACCGCCATGACACGAACGAAGATGACGATAGGGCAGAAGCGAAGAGGTGTCAACAAGTGCTGCGCGGCGTCTAGAAGGCGAAGAGCGGGCGGAATGCAGGGACACGCGACGGCAACGAATCCAATCGCGTCCATTTGATGAAACGTTTCAGGCCGCGCCGCTCCCACCCCCTTCGCTCTAACCTCGAGCGGCGGCTTCTTCCCCGAGTAGGGTGCCACGCTCTCACCGGGCTCACCGCGCGCAGGACACCCGCCGCAGGCGCAGCACCTCCCTGCTCCCAGGCAGCGCCCGGGATATATACCCCCTGGGATAGAGAACCCGTTCCGCGTCTTCTTCCTTCGCACACCACCATGCATCCGACACTGTCGCTTGCTATCCTTGGCCTTTGTTCGTTTGTTGCTGCCCACGGTCCCCTAGCCCAGGCAAGTCAACTCTAATGTTTGTTCTCCGCTGACCATGACGTTGACCGGGGCTTGGCGTACCACAGAGACAGGGCTATAGTTACGGGGGCAACAGTGGCAGCAATAGCGGCAAAGGGGGAGACGACGACAACAGCAGCTCCGTGACGGCGACCTCGACCTCCGCTGCTGCTGGTGCATCTGGCACGGCCGTCTCCGCCGCAAGCACGTCTGGCCTCCATGGAGGAACGGTGTGCAGCGACCTCTTGTGCATATCCGGCCTAGTGAACGGCTCGACAGTTCAATGTCAGTGGCGCATCTTCACGTAAACTATCCCGACACGGCCTCATGTCCCCCTCCAGATGTGCTGCAAAGCAAGGGTACCGCTACCTTCGGTTGGATGGCGATGTACGTCTTAATATTTGCAACTCGACGCCACCGCTCACAAGTTGTTTCAGGGGCTTCGGGTCGACCATGGCGAACACGCCCATGGTCATTATGTGGCCGAACAGCGACGGGACCATGACGCTGTCGCAACGGAAAGCTCCCCAAGAAGTGATGCCGACTGTCGACCCTAGCCCGCCCCGGGTCGCGACCGCCAACACCGCAGCCAGCGATCTGACCGGGTCGCTGCCCAAGGTGGCATTCACCATCCCGGTACGCGCGCGTCGGCGCTCCCGTCTGTCAGAAGTCCGGTCGCTGACATAGCCCCGGTGATGATCCAGGCGGACTCGACCAGCGCGACGTCGCAGACTATCATTTGGGCGTTCGGCACCACGAACCCCGAAGACAAGGCGGAAGACGCGACGCTCGTCCAGCACCTCGAGTCCGGCCCCATTTCGATCGACATGTCGCAGGTCGTGGCGGAGTCGGACGTCGCGCACCTCGCGAGCCCCGCGACCGACCCGAACTCGACGAGCGGCACGGTCGACGTCCCGCTCGTCCCGTACCAGAAGATGATCATCGCACACGGGCTGCTGTGCACCATCGGCTTCCTCATCATGCTGCCCGCGGGCGCGCTGCTCGCGCGGTACAGCCGGACGTTCACGAACGCGTGGTTCCTCGGCCACTGGGTGTTCCAGTTCGCGTTCGGTAAGCGCCAATCTGCCCGCTCCGGATGCGCGAGGCGCGTGCTGACCGCCCTGATCCGCCCACAGCGGGCCCTGTCATTATCTCCGGCATCGTGTGCGGGATTGAGGCCGTCAAGACGCAGGGCGTGGAGCTCGACGACGACCACAAGAAGTGGGGCTTCGCGCTGCTCGCGCTGTACGTTGCGCAGCTTGCCCTGGGTGCAGTCATCCACTGGATCAAGCCGACGTCGTGGACTATCGGGAAGCGGCGCCCGGCGCAGAACTACTTCCACGCCGTGCTCGGTATCCTCATCATCGCGCTCGCGTTCTACCAGGTTCGCACTGGATTCCGCACGGAATGGCCAGCCATGTCCGGACGGCCGCCGATCAGCAACGCCGCGAACATCGTTTGGTACATCTGGGTCGTGGTAAGTTTACTTTGTTGGATAGGAGCGATCTTGCATGCTAAATCTGTTCGCACAGCTGGTCCCTGTCCTCTACTTCGCCGGTCTCGCGCTCCTCCCCCGTCAGTTCCGCATGGAGCGCCCACACCGCAAGGCACCCTCCGACGAGTACACAAACTGAGATCCAACTCTCCCCTCTTGCTCCCCTCTCAACGATGTCGCGCATGTTCGCCGTAGAGCGTCTCAGGGCGCTGCGCCATAATCCGGCGTGGATAGAAAATCGGTAACGGACGATGACGAAGATTTCACGACGCCCTTTGTAGATACGATTCTCATGTGTGTCCTCTGCCCCCTCCGAGGGGCGTATTTTGTAGCTTATACCAGATACTCTGTGCCGCTGGACATTCTAATCACTATACCTCACCTGATTCTACCTAACGTCGCGTTTTGGTACCGCTTGTCACGGCTCACTTGAAAACTCAGTACTGGGTGATGAACTTCGGCAGTTCATGCTCTTCTTCGGATGCCAGGAGGCGTACCGCTTTTGACAGCACCCGTCAACCTTTGCGGCAGCCTGGTGCCGCAGCAGAGCGAAACATCGTGGAAGATGTGCTTACTCTATAGCATAGCCTCGTGGGAACGGAGTGCCGGTCTCACTGCAGCTCGTGAGTACATCCCTTGTACTGCGCTTAACATGTGGCTAACCTGTGCTCCACCCGCGCAGTCTGCTAGTAGTGGTACGATGGCAAACTGGCTGGTACATTTTAGTACAAGCATCATCTGAGCTATTTCGGTACGCACAGCCATACGGAACACATTGTGTTCGTCGAACCGTTTGTAGGCTGTCCGAACATCCGAGTCCCGGATTGACTGCAGGTTCGGTTTTCCGAATTTTTATGACGATTCTAACTTCTTTCTCATCCCCATGGTGTTCAGCTATTCAGCGAACATCGCGCGCGTATGCATCCGTCAGTATACTTGCCTTCTGCATACAGCGACTGTCTGTCTTCAGCGTATGACGGAACGTGGCAACTTGTGCGTTTCCCATCTCTAGCGCTTCTTTCTCACACGCACTTAGCGATTAGAGTGGATCCACTCTTCCATCGTCCCTCGATGGAGGGAAGAAAGATGCGCAGCGCTGCAGGTGAGAGTCGGCTTGCAGCAGAAGAACAAGCCGGCCTCCTCGACATGACCAATCCCCACACCTGAGATTGGCCAGTTTATAGCGTGCGAGGGGCGAGAGGACGCTGTTGTACGCCCCACGGTACGCCTATATATCACCCCATCCTCCTTGGACGACCGCCTCCTCTGACTATTCCTTCATCCCGGATAGGCCGTTCACGAACGACACCACGCAACACCCGCCCCCCTTACGACACGACAGACGCGACATGGCCACTTTCCACATCCCGCTATTTCCGTTCGAGAAGTACATCGTCGCGCATGCTATATTCTGCGTAATAGGCTTCCTCGGCTTCCTGCCACTCGGCGCGCTCCTCGCGCGGTACACGCGCACGTACACGAGCTCCTGGTTCACCGCGCACTGGATCTGCCAGCTCGCCCTCGGTGCGTCTCGTGTCTCGTTCTCCCGCACATTAACGTCCTCGCGACTGACACGAGCCTCCGTCCCAGCCGGGCCGACCATCATCATCGGGGTCGCGCTAGGGATCCACGCCGTCAACCTCGCAGAGTCCGGCCCGATCAACGACCCGCACAAGAAGTGGGGCATCGCGATCTTCGTGCTGTACCTCGCCCAGGTCGCGGGCGGCCTGACGGTGCACTTCCTCAAGCCGCGTCTGTGGGCGCTCGGGCGCGGGCGGCGCCCGGTGCAGAACTACGTGCACGCGGTGTTTGGGCTGCTCATCATCGCGTTCGCGATGATGCAGGTGCGTGTCCAGTGTCGTGTGCAGTCCGCAGCAGTCGTTCGTTCGAGAAGGAGAAGGCGAAGGCGCTGCGGGTGTGGATGCCGGAAGGTTTGGGCGTGCAGCTGACGTTGCGGTCGTTCTCCGTAGGTCCGCACGGGCTTCCGCACTGAGTGGCCGCTCCAGACGGGAAGGGGCAGCATCGGAAACGGAGCGAACGGCTTCTGGTACTTCTGGATTATCGTGAGTGCTTCTGTGAATCGATCGCGTCCGGGGCTCATCTTCGTGCAGTTCCTGATCGTGCTGTACGCCGCCGGTCTCAGCCTGCTGGTTCGCCAGTTCCGGCTGGAGCGCGAAGCACGGAGGGCCGCTGCGTTGAAGGATACTCCGGAGTTGAAGCCGATGACGAATGGCAATGGCGAGACCCAACAAGCTGCGTGAGCCCGAAGGGTTTATGCTTTAGCGGGAGGACTGCTCAGAGCAATGTATGAATCTTACGAGCGGACCTTGTACCTCTAGCTGCTTGCTCCCGGCCTTCGTACTGTTGCATCATGCTCGCTACTACGATCAACGAATCTTCGAATCTTTCATCTTCATCCTGAGAATGGCGGATTTCTTACGTCTCGCATGCTGCAAAAATTAGTGAGGGGTTATCTCAGTATCGCAGGCCAGATATGGACAATTCTATATTATCTCGCAGCCTTTCTAGGGAGAACGGCTTAGTGTGGGACGCACTGAATTGATAGATGAGTCAGTCGAGCGCAAGATTGATATTGAAGTTGTAGGTACGTACGTTTGAGACGGCTTCAAGGGTGATTATTAAGCTTCAAAGCAGTTGATGAAGGTATAGACCTTCCCTAATATCACTATCACTCTAGAGTCAGAGGTGCTTCACTCGCCACTTTCTGGTTTTGCACGAGGATGGGGGATGCGAGGTGCAAACTCGAACTTAGACGAAAAGAGCGCCAGTCCCAAGCTCACGTGAGGGTACAGTCAAGTCACGCGATCGCGTCCGACGCCGCGCCGCGCGGTCCCGACGCCGATCGCGCGCTTCCCGTGGCCGCAGCCACACCTTGTCCACCGACCGCCACCATCGTTCGCGTTACAGAGTCTTCGCTCTTCACGGAGGACCCACCACTCCTCCCGCTTTATGAATTCGGGCACGCATGAGACAACACAATGGCGAGTAGAACCATGCCTGAGAAGAACATGAACCCGCCACCATCCACCCCCGACACGGCCAGTCTTCTGAGACGTCTCGCTGGTTCCTCCGTCAACAAAGCGGGGTAGCTTCGTTTGTTTTATGCATTCGTATATTCAGAACTTATAGAAACATAGACTTGCCAAAGACCAGACGGAGATCAACCGTATAATTGCGGAGGCCTCGAAGGGCTCAAAGTTCTATGAGGTTAGCTGTACCTGTCACATAGACGTTACCGGCCTACTCAATAACATATGCCTAGCTAGCACGAGAAACGGAAGGACAAAGATCTCACTGAGCGCATAAACCACATACTCAAGCTACGCGACGAAGCCGTCAAGGGTGTAGACCTCAGTGCGTTGCCATTTGTCGGAGAACTACCGCTCCGCGCTGATGGTCCACTCTAGCCAAGGTAGAACAGGGTGTAGATAAGCTGGTGCGTCTTGAGCCATGATCCTATAATATACTTTGACTGACGGAGCCTTCCAGATCGCACAGCTTGAAGCAAAGAGAGACTTGTCGCAATTCATCGTTCATGTCGACATGGACGCTTTCTTCGCAAGCGTTGAAGTCCTGCACGACCCAAGCTTGGCTTCTAAAGCGTTTGCGGCACGTTGAACTCGTTCATCGTGGCATGTATTCAACAATCTCACGCATTGGGTTTAGGTGGGAGGAGGCGTGGTTTCCACCGCTTCTTATGAAGCTCGCAAGTTCGGCGTGCGATCCGGCATGGCTAGTACGTCTATTTTCACAGTGCTTTTCAATTGACAAACTGACAGATATATGTTAGCATTTGTCGCCAAAAAGCTATGTCCGGAGCTTATCGTTCTCAAAAGTCATTATGAGTGGTATAACGAAATGTCCAACAAAGTCATGTCTATATTCCGGAGATACGACCCGACCATGTGTGCCGCCGGATGCGATGAAGGCTATCTCAAGTGCGTAGTCCTATGCTCTCGCCTGATTACCATTACCGACGGATCGAATAACAGCATAACGAACTATTGCGAAGAACACTCGCTCAGTCCTGAGGAATGCGTCTCCCAAATGCGAAGTGTCGTACAAGAAGAGACAATGTTGACGGTAAGCGCGGGAATTGCACCTAACAAGGTACGCAGTCGTCGCGCTTTTTCATGGCGGCGCAGGGACTGACAGAGTTTCTCGTTAGATGCTTGCGAAGGTAAACTGTTTCGGCGATCCACTGTAGACATAGCTGACTGACCGTATGTAGATCTGCTCAGACAAGGTAGAGATTCCCAGTTTCTGCCATACAGGATCTACCTAATACAACTGCGCAGAACAAACCAAACGGCCAATTCAAGCTCGACTTCGATCCAGACGCCGTTAAGAAGTTCATGTATGATCTATCCATTCGCAAGGTTCCCGGCGTCGGGCGTGTACACGAGCGACTACTAGATTCGATTGGTGTTAAGGTACCCACACCGACCACGAAGTATGTCCGCCATGCTCACCTTGCCTTTCGAAGACGTGCGGAGATGTCTACGAACATCGTGCAGTGCTCTTCCTCCTCGACAAGCATTTCGGACTGGAGTTCCTGCTGCAAGCTTATCTGGGTATCGCTTCCAACGTCGTTCAACCGGGCCAGCGAGAAGAACGAAAGAGTATCGGTGCCGAGCGGTCCGGAATCTTTCCTTGAGCTAGGAGATAGCATAGCTGATTTAGCGTTTGCATCAGGACCTTCAACGCATTGTCCGACACCGCAAAGATATACGCAAAACTCGAAGAGGTTGCTGCGGAGTTGGAGGCCGATATGGAAGAGAGCGGATGGACGGGGAAGACCATCACACTGAAGTACAAGCTGGACACATTCCAAGGTACGACCGGGAACGCAGTACTGCTACGCCGCTTGCTGACGACGGCTGGCTCGCTAGTCTTCACCCGAGCAAAGTCTTTCGACAGGTGGATATCTACCAAGAAGGAAGACCTGTTTGCGGTAAGCCCATCATTCTTTTTGGCGTGCCTGTAGCTGATATCCTGGGGTAGATCGGACAAGAGCTCCTCAAACCCGAGCTCCCGCTCACACTGCGTTTGATTGGACTGAGGGTCACGAAACTGAAAGATCTCAAGGCGGAAGTGGAGTCAAAAGCTCGAGGCATCAAACGCGTAGGCCTAGTCACATTCCCATCATCACGTTCAATATTGACCGTGGCATGAGGTTAGTTTTTTGAGGCTGCACCCAGTTCTCCCAAGAAGAGGAGGCGAATAGACGCCTCCCACGTCGAAGAAGAGGACGAGATGCCGCGCCTTTCTCAGGACGGCTTCGCGATAACCATGCCCGGTTTTGATGACGACACGGAGGGCGACACTCTCGTACACCCCGACGGTCTCACAGCCGACGTCGAGGCGGCAGAGCACCTCCCTGCGCGCGCCAGGTCTCTGAGCCTAAAACCCAAGTCTACGTCTGTCCCGCCCGCTCGCAGGTCACCATCGCTCAAGCCGTCGTCATCTAAAGCGACTCATGCCCCGTCCTCCTCTTCGCGACGCTCGCCGACCCCGTCGGAAGAACACGACGGAGACCAAGCACCCCCATCCTTTCTGGAATGCCCGATATGCGGGCGCATGCTCGAGACGGACAACCAGGGTTTGAACGAGCATGTCGACTTTTGTCTGAGCAAGCAGGCGATCAAAGAGGCGCAGACAGCCTCTCTCACCCCGAGCAGCTCTGGACACACGTCGGCTCAAGGAAAGAAGCCATCCCGCAAACCTCAGTCCCGTCAGAAGAGTCGCGCGGATGACAAGCAAGGAGAAGGATTACTTAAGTACAGGAACAAAGGATAGACTTCTGCGCTGTAGCCTCTTATTTCTCATTACTTGGATTACTTGTCCGGAGCTCCTAGTGGTTTATTAGCGTTATGTGAATGTGTGTACCGTTTCTGCAACTCGAGTGAAAAACCCGGATCGAAAGTAGGAGGGCAGTGAGGCAAAAGACTGGCCAACGCCGGGATCGAACCGACGACCTTGGCGTTATTAGCACCACGCTCTAACCAACTGAGCTAGTCGGCCCATAATTAGCGTGCATTGTTTTGACTTACGATCATCGGTATTTAGCCGAATACTCTTTGGGCATGCGACCGGCGTTCAGTATATTGTGACAGTGACGTAACGTTCAAGCGCCGAGGTCACGACTGTGCTCGGCGGCAAGCTCCGGAGTCTTCTGCCACCACCGTCTACCTCTGGCCGCTCTCCTGTATCCCACCCTGCCTGACCTCCACACAAGCTACTTGTATCATGTCTGAATACTGGGTAGCACACAAGAAGTACTTCTGCAAGTATTGCAACATCTACATCGCAGACGATGCACCCTCGCGCCGGCAACACGAGACGGGCCTTCGGCATAAGGGCAATGTCGAACGATTCGTTCGCGGGCTCTACAAAGCCGGAGAGAAGCGGAAACATGACTTGGAGGAGGAAAAACGCGACATGGCGCGCGTGGAAAAGGTCCGTCGTTGTGTCTTATGGGCTCGCGACATGCAAGTACGTTTGTTGACTCGGTGTTTGTTCATTTCTTTCCAGGCAGCAGAAGCAGCATACGCGCAAGATGTGAGCGCAGGTCTGGTCAAGCCTGGGAGCAGCAACGCCGTCGCAGGACCGAGTTCCGCGGTTGCAGCCTCCAAACCCGTGGCTAGTATGAAGCCATCGAATCCCTTCGCGAACTATACCACAGCCGAGTCCCTGGGATACACGGATCCGGACGAGGAGCGACGTCTCGCCGAAGCCGCACTGAGACAGAAGGAAGGCGTCGCTGGAGAATGGCAGTTCGTGGAGGTAGTGGAACCGCGCCCAGCGGCCGAAGAGTCTGGTGTGCCTAGCGGCGATTACGCGAAACAGGAGCCAGGAGTGGAGGGACCGAGCACGGGCGAGAAACGGCCAGCAGAAGAGCCGGTGGACGAGGAGGACGCGAGAGGATGGAAGCTACGGCGGAAGAAGATCAACGTCGGCCTGGGCGAACTGTACGACCCCGGCGCACTCCCGATCAAGCTCAAGGCGAAGAAGGAGGAGCCGGGAGAGGGTGGTCTTCCCCAGGGAGGTGGCTTCAGTGCGGTGGCGGGAGGCGGGCTGCCGCCGCTTGGTGGAACTGAGAAGCCAAATTGGTCCGCTCGCGGCTGGAACAAACCTGGGGCTGCGCCACGAAGTACCGTCACTCCCGAACCCGCGGGCTCTTCCAGCGGACAGGGAAACCAGCCCGGAGATGGAGAGACGCAGCCTGAGGTTAAGGCGAAGGACGGGCTACCTGAGAGCAATGGCCATCAGCCACAGTCCGACCCCGACACGTCCCTCCCTCTGAAGGCAGAAGTGGATCAACTCCCTGTAAAGTCAGAACCCGCCGACGTGGAGGCGCCACCACCGGTACCATCTGGAGGTTCTATGTTCAAGAAGCGGAAAGCACCTGCGGGAGGGAGCAGGGGTGGGAGACGAATTGAGGGTCGTTGATTCGCGTATTGTTCACGATGGACATAGGAATCCCGTGTATACTCTGACCTGTAATTCTATGCTAACTCGAAGCACCGCTAGATCTGCAGCTTGGTGTGCAAGTACTGTGTATCATTTAACGGTAAACCGTCAGTACGTCTCGCAAGCCCTACCATATGGGTATAACCTGCTTGATTTGTGCGTGTCTCCTCGGAGGGCGTTCAGATGCAGCACGCGCCGTGTGAAGGTCCATTCTCAGCACTCGTATGATAACGATATTATATCGTCATAGGTATGAGCGGAGTATGCCAAACAATACAGAGGAGAAGAGACGATGCAAGCATTAATAGAACATAGAAAGCGTGTAGAATGAGATATACATCTATAGTCCAGAGGGGTGGCCGAATCACTGCGGTTGCATGTTCTCGGGCACTACGGCACGGGCGTTTGAGTATTTCGCTAGAGAACGGGATACGCTGGACTCACTTGGTGGTAGCTGAGGCCGAGTACCCTCGTTGAACACTCGTGATACCAAGACACCGACACCCTCGAAGACACTGAGGAGAATACCACATGCTACCGCAGAAGTCAGAGCACCACGGGGTCCACCTGAAGATAGCAGATCAGCGCGAAGTCCGCAAAAGGGGAGATCTGCACACGAGGCGGTTAGTGGGGAGGTGGAGCAGAAGACACTCACTTCGCGCAGCGAGACATCCACCCGTCATGAAACCAGAGATGATCGCATTCCACATGTCCTCCTTTTGCCGCCAGCCCTTCACAGCACAGTCGAACGTCGAGAACATGCCACCCCAGACACCAAAGTTGCCACCTGTTACAGGCGCGCGAGCTTTGACGACCGACAATGCTCCCACAAGACGATCGCCCTGCATAGCAAGGTAAACCCAAGTGTATAAGTGTAGGGGCAAGACAAACGCACCCTTGGTGAATTCCTGGCGCCCTTGATACCGTGCCAGATGGTACCACCGACGGCACCCATGGCAAAGGCGCTACCGAAGTCGGAGAGGATAACCCAGGGACTGTGACAAAGAAGGGCACAAACGAAGAAGACTATCAGCATTGGCGCATGCCAGTACAAGAGGAGCGTGCTTGCCATGGGTCTCTTGTGTGATCTGCGTGGGCCATGTCGGTTCGTCGTCGGCGTCGTGCACAAGGAGCTGAGCTGTTTCGTCACCGCCGGCCCTCCCGGTCCCAATCCTGGCGAGCGCTTCCCGAAACTTTTGCTTCAGGGCAGGCAGTGTCACGTGCGCGCACGAAAGCATGTGCCGACGCGTCGCGCCGCGATTGTGGCTGCTCTGTTGATCGAGCTTCCGAATTGTCTCTCACCGCTTTATCCCGAACCACCACCTTCTCCCTCACTACAACCTTGCAACGACCGCATACACCCAGCCATGAACACCCCAACCTCTGCGCTCAGGCGCAAATCACAGGTCTTCGTCGAGATACCACCTTCTCCTCTCGTTTCCTCCCGATCCGGCGGCGGAAATCATCGCGTGCCGCATGAAAACACGCCGTTGAAGGCTGTGGCTATGAACGTGGACCACCCCGAACCTTCTTCATCCTCCCCCACATCCAACAAACTCAAGCGGAAGTCTATGGGCGCGCCCCAAACCGATCACGAGGGCGAAGGAGATGCTCGTCCGCCTCATTCTAAGAAGCTCAAGACCGACGCTCGCTCGAAGACGAACGGTGCGGCGGACCCCGCGGGGAAGAGCGGGAAGGGTGGAAAGACTGAGAAGAAGTCTGACGGACAAGAGAACACTGTCAGATGCCACCAATGCACGCGGCAGTCCGAACCGGCTGGTAAGCATACAGCGCTGCGGTTCTTAACTGTGCGCAGCTCATTGGAATTGGTCGCAGCTGTTATTGAGTGCACGTACCTGCGGCCTACTGGTCAGCGCTGTGTACTTAAGTACTGCAAAGCATGCATGCACAACCGGTACGAGAAGGACATCGGTACCCTGAAGGCGAGTGGGGCTGCGAATGCAACAACGGAAGGACGGTCTGGCCACGCGGGAGGACTGGACTACATCTATCGGTGAGCTTATTTTCGCTGTGGCTTATAGCGCATATATTGATATGTTGTGTAGATGCCCTCGTTGCAGCGACAGTTGCAACTGCAGGTTCTGCAGAAAAGCGAAGGGCCTTCCAGCAATCGGCAAGGCGGCAAAGGCTTCTACTGCTCCTGGGAACGCTCCGGAGAATGTAAGTTAGCATATATGCTAAACTCAGTACATACATTCTAACTCATTCCTGACAGGGCGTGGATCCCGTCGCAGCATCTTCTGCCAAAGCATCTGCAGGACCTCCCAAGAAGAAGGTCCGCGCTACCACGAAAACAACTGAAGCTGCGCGCCCCAAGCCTCATGCGTCTAAACCGAAGCCTCACGTCCTGATTCCGCCGTCCCCTCACATTAAGAAGGCCAAGACGGGCGAACAGACAGGCGCAGTTGAGCCACCAAAGCGTCGAGCGGGACGCCCGAAGCGCGAGCCTGTCCCGAAGGCTATTTCGAAACCGGTGTGGACGCACTTGCCTACGCCTCTGACCCACGACGGCGCGCTGCAGCGCCTCAACATTCGCGAGTTCCTCCTGCGTTTCGGCCACCTTGCTGACATTGCTCGGGGACATCTCGAGGAACTCGAAGAACTGGGCAGCAATGTATATGGCTCGTCTGACGCGGATGACGATGACGCCACATCGCTTGTGGGATGGATATCCGAGCCTGCTCTCAAGGCTATCCTCGTTGGCTTATTGGCACTCCTTTCGAAGGATCCTGATTCGACGGACGCGTCCGCATATACGAAGGCTATTCAAACCATTAAGTCCAGCGGTGCAAGTCTGAACAAGATGTGGGCTGCTCTGGCCTCTCTACGGGAGAAGACCTCGCTCGCTCTTCCCGACCCCCTCCCGCCCGCCGCTAGCACCCAGCGGCACAGCACCCGCAGTGGCCTCCAAGCGCAAGACCCTTCCAGTTCTTGTGTCGTCGTGCTATCCACCAGCCAGCTCGTGCCCGTCGTGGACGAGCTCCTCGAGCACGCGCTACAGACTAAAGCGGTCCGAGACGACTTCGAGCGCGCTGTGACCCAGGAGAAGGACCTCGTTCGCGCGGCACGCGAGCTCACCGCTGAGGAGAACGCACGCTGGAAGATCGTCCTGGATGCCAAGGACATCAGCGTGGCAGACCGGAAGATCGCCCGCACCGCGCACAAAGCTGCCCTGACAGATATCGAGCACGCACAGAGGGTGGCTGCCACGGAGTGTGTCCCTCGCTTTGGTCCCCTCGGAAGGGACGCGGAAGGGCGCGTATACTACACTCTCACCCCAGGTGTAGTCGAGCGCGAGGCCGCGGTCAACCTTCTTGAGGGTGAGAAGGGCGACGTTCGGTTTGGCAGACGGCGCGGAGTCGCGGACGAGGCGCAGAGGAAGCGCATGCGACACTGGTCATGGCTGCTCGCCGTGTATGGCCGCAAGCCAGAAGGCGCGGCGGTTGCCAAGCGCGTCCGTGATGAGGACGACGAGGGAGGAGATGACAACGCAACGGACGGGGACGAGGACGCGGAGGGGTGGTGGGCGTTCTGGGAGCCGGAGGAAGTTGCGAAGCTCTCGGAATGGCTCGCGATGAAGCACGGCATTGACCTGGAGGCCAAGCGGGCGTCGAAGGAGCCTGAGGACGCCGTCGCCGCCGTGCCTCCCGCGGCCACCGAGGGCGAAGGCGCAGGAGCCAGCGCGCCGGACGCGGTCGAAGCGAAGCGTCGCGCTCGGGCCTCGGCCGCGAGCTCCGTCGAAGACGCGAGCTTCGCTGGGCCCTCGCGTAGGGGCGTGCGTACCTTCGCGTCGCTGAACAACGACTCCGAGGACGAAGACGGGGGCGTGGGTGTGGGAGGCGGGGCCAATAGCACCGACGACGAGGACGCCGACATCCAGATGCATGATGCCATGTATGGGGTGCCCGCGCCGACGAAGCGGGACCTACGGGTATTGGCTAAAGGCCTCAAGGAGTACGCCGATCTGCTCGACTGGCGGATTAGGCGTGCCTCGAAGGAGTCGAAGGAGGTCAAGGACGGAGCGGAGAAAGCCGACAAGGCGGACAAGGGGAAGGCCGTACAGAGGACCGACGCAATTCCGACGCAGTCATTTTACGGCAAGTAGGACGTAAACGCGAGGAGATGGCCGACTCGAGGATTCGTGTACGAGGACTGTTTCGTGATACTAACCTTATGTTCTATCGTATCCTAGTAGATACTACCGACTACCCCGCCTTTGACAGCGCGTTATTGACGAATAATCTTTGTAGATGATATTCTGTACAAGAATCCAAGTATGCCACATTATAATACAGTGTTTTGTTGTCGCAGATGAGTCGGAGAGGAAATGTTCTGATATGCACCATCAAAGGCTACACTGACGGGCGATGACCGACGCGAGCTCATCTGCGTCGATCGGCCTCTCGACACACCGTTCGAGACGGCGAGCCAGCAGAGTGGCCAGAACGTGTTTGCACTGTGAAAAAGGCACATTCAGATCTCATCGTATAGCACAAAGGCAGTACCTACCATGAGCTGGGTCTCCGAGAGCAGCACGGAATATGCGTATGCGGGGCAGGTGCAGTAAGCCAGCGTGTGGCCGCCTCCGGACGGCAGGCCTGGAAAGACAGCGTATGTCGCGGTCGACCCTAGAACCTCGTATTGTGAGCGACCCCATGGTGTGTTGTACACGATGACACTGTCGCGATCTATGAGGTCGAGGGCGCCGAGGAGGAGAGTCTCGGGGAAGAAGAAGCGCAGTTTCTCGAGGGTGTCGTCAACTGTGGAACGCGCAAGAATCAGCCATGCAAGCCGCGCGCGAAGGGATCACGCTATACTGACGAGTGTCAGCGGTCAATTCTTGCATCACTTTCTCCAGGAGCGCGGCCACGCCAGAGTTGGAGACCTTTGAGTTGCTCATCGCGACTCTGAGGCTGGCATGAGTCCTCCAGCTTTAACCTGGACGGATCCGGTTAAACTGGACAAAACATTGATTTCAGCTTCTTTGTGTATGCTATGAGTAGTTTGTGGCTCACCTAGGAACGTGGTACTCTGTATGCGGCTTATGGGACCTTGTAGTACGCAGTCAACATCGACGTCCAATCATATGCTGAGCCGAAAACGGAAGCGCAGATCGTCACAGCCACCAGCGTTTCCTGGCTTCAACCTCATCGTCGATCATCCACATCGCCGGTGTGCAGCCAAAATGCTGACCGAGTATCTCTTCGTCTTCGCGCAGGTGCACGATGAGTTCCGGATACCCGAGCTTCTCTCCGTGGCGGAGATCCACGGGTTCGAGATCAAATTTTCCGAGAACCCCGAAGACCGGAAGACGGTAGCACGCCCGTTCATGGTGCTCGAGCTCGAGAGCGAAGAGCACGCTAGGCTACTCGCACAACGATGCGTCCTTATCAGGTGGGTATCTACTAGCCTTCGGGGTGCTTGCAAGGCTAATTACATATGCCTAGATATGTATGCGAGTTTTACGCCCGCGGCAAGACTTACGAGGAAATGCATCGACAAAATCGCATACGCGCACCCCAATGGGAAAAATATGCCGCCGACACATCCTTCAAATTCCTTGTGACCGCATTCAACCACACGATACCTCAGCGGCGCCAAACTGAGGTAGTAGAGAGCTTCGACTACATGGACTGGCAAGGCAAGATCGACATGAAGCATGCAGAGGTCACGCTTTTCTGCCTTGAAGAGTGTAATGACATACCGGCTTGAAGTCGTCGTTTAGTCTGACACTCCTGCTATGTATAGACAGAGACAAGCACGGCACTACCCGCCCCAGAGACGAAGGCGACGGTGACTTCGAAGAAGTTTGGTTCGGCAGGTTGGTGCGTTTGACTCATCCGATTGCATAGATATAACACGACGTCTGACCGGAACACAGATAACAGACGGTACCGCACGTCCGCTTATCCACAAGTTTGACGTGAAGAAACGAGTCTACTATGGGAATACCAGCATGGAGGCAGAGATGTCTCTTCTCATGGCGACCCAAGCTTTGGTACGTCCTCGTACCGCCGAAATATTGACTGGAGACTAAAGATCCATCACAGGCAGCGCCGGGAAAACTAGTATATGATCCATTTGCCGGGACGGGCAGCATGGCATACGTCAGTCCCATTCAAATTCAGTTCGAATAGGATGTACTGACCGCGATAACTGCGATTCATTTCAGACCTCTGCTTACTTCGGGGCCTACTTCTATGGATCGGACATCGACGGCCGGCAGATGCGAGGGAAGAGTGCGGTCACATCCTAAACCTTACCGTCGCACATTTTCAACCACTTTGCAGCAAATCAACCCGGAATCATCCGCGCTGCCGCGCAATATGGCGTCGCGAGCCGTATCATGGACCTCGGCACATTCGACGTAACTCAAAATCCCTGGAGATGCGGAGAGCTGTTCGACGCAATCATCACCGACCCTCCCTGTATGTATTACTACTTTTCGTATCTTGCACGAAGATGCTTAGATGTCGGATAGATGGGGTACGTGCGGGCGCGAAGCGTCTGGGGCGCAAAAACCCACGCCCGCCACAAGAAGGCCCTCCGCCCGTCTTCGTGCAGCGCCCGTCAGTCGGCCTCTTTTCATGAAAGGAGGCTTAACACTCATTCGATACGATTCATTCGCCAGAGACGACCAGCCATACATTCCCCCGATGCGCCCCTACGAGCTCTCAGAGCTCGCACGAGACCTGGTATTGCTAGCGCGATATATGCTCAGACCGCGTGGACGCCTCGTATTCTTCTTGCCTACGATCACGGAGGACTACAAGGAGGTCGATGTGCAAGGGATGCTCTGCGAAGGGATGGAGCTCGTCGCGAACTCGCTGCAAGACTATGGCTCTTGGGGCCGAAGAGTGAGCACGAGTCGCTCCTGTTGATCGAAATCGATGCTGAGCGGCAGAAACACAGCTTATCACAGTTCGGAAGACGACGACGGAGAAGTATCCACCACCTACGTTCGATCCTGCGCATGCCGTCACGGACAACGTCGCGGCGCATGTGCCGGCGCACAAAGATTTCCGCGAAAAGTATTTCCAGGGGTTCAAGAAGAATCAACAAGATGGTACGGCGAGCGAACAATAGCAGATGCGAGTAAGTAAAGTAAAGTAGTAGAAGTAGCAAGAGTACATGTACGAAGATGAAGATGCTTGGGAACATCAGGGAGTGAGCGGGAATAAGTGAACAGTATAAAACAACAGTAAGTCGAGATTAGGGCGAAGCGATGGGGGAGCGGCACAACTACGAGAGCAACAATCAAGATGGCGAGCAGGAAAGCTTCAGTCGGAGATTGGGTATATGTGCCACCGGCATTGACGTTGGAGAGCATTACTGGGCGCCGATGAATCGAGCCGTTGCAGCGATGCGGAAGTTCAGCGGGACAACGGTATGCCTTCTCCAAATCAGCGACTAGAAACTTGAAGCTTGGATATGGATGTTGACTCACTCGTAGTATTCTTGGATAGCCGCCCCATCCATGATCAGGATGTCTCCCTGCGCGGCGTTAACGAAGGGCTACGCAAGGCGCGGTGAAGGTGACGTACGTGGCGGAGGAAGAGAGTCAAGACATTCTGGTTCGCGCCCGAGCTCTTGTCCTCGCGGTACTTCTTGAGCACCCGGAAGTGCATATACGCAGAGGACCCGAGAGACAGCGAAGCCACTCTGGGGCCCAGCCCGCGCTCTGCGTCGCTGTGGAACTGCTCCTGCTGCGTCAAGATACCGCTTGGGCTGTGGCGGTAGCAAGACCACGCACCGCCATCTTCTGTTTCTCCATGTACGCCGCGCTGAGAACTTCGTTGAAGCAATACTGACCGCTCTCCGCCTGCATGACACTGAGCATGCGCGAATGGATCAGGTCGCGGGCCTTCACCACAGCCGAAGGGGCGCCATCGAAGGGCACAGTGTTGTCAGTTCCGCCAACGTACTGCATGATGATGAATACGACGCGGATATATGCGAGCGGACATTCCGTACCTGGTACGGCTCCCCAGCTACCGTACACGTCAACGCTTATGCTTTGACAATCATGTATCACATTGAACACTCACTGTTTTGCGAAAAGTAGTTGGTGAGGAGAGTCCCACGGCACTGATGTTGTCTCAGCGGCCACCGTCTGAAGCGAAGCTCTCCGGAATGCGCCTGTTCTTGGTATTCCCGGAAAATCTCGTTGGCGGTTTCGTTTGTCGAGTGGTTTGCCAGGATCAAGTATATGCGTCCCCTTCGCGCATCTGGTCCAGCGATGCCATCATGACGTGCGAAATGGGACTCACCTGTTCTCCGGTAAAATGTACGTATGATAGTGACTCTTTGCGTTTCCCGCTCTGTATGGGGTCAGAGTGCTCACGATAATGCCTGTACACAGCACGGTCTCTCAGTATCAGAGAGCGAGGATGCAAGCGCTGCCGCCGTACCTGAATCGGGGGACACCTTATGATGCATGAACTTGTCCGTGTTGGTCTGGCCCCAAAACTCCTTATAGGACCGATGCTTGCCCGAGACCTGCAACGTGTTCTGTTGATGATGTTAGAACGCACGCGACTTCATGCACGAGTAACTTACCCCGCAGCTCTTGCACTCCCAGTGCTCCCATTTGTACCTGGAAGAGAGCCGTCCACACTTCTTGCAGTGCCACCCCTTGCAGAAGCGACGACTGGTGATCACTCCATCTGCGGCCCCCGTGGCGGGCGGCAGCGGTGCGATGTCCTCCAAGGTCCCGTGCTCGCATTGGAAGGACGAGTTCACGAAATTCGAGTCATACGTGAGGTCTTCGGGAGGGCGAGAGCCGTCCATACGCGTCCAGAAACTCTGACAGTTTGCCTGCAAGCACATCCACGCTCCCTCGTACAAGAGTGGAGACAGCTTCTGGCATGACGGGCAGGTGTATGTCGCGGCGGGGTGGTGCGCAGTGTCAGGCCTGCCACAAGCGTAAGCCTGTGTTGCGACCGGGGAGGCGTTGAATGATACTCACGGGACGAGGCCGTCCGGGCCCTTGAGCCACCACGGCTCCGGCTGCTTCTTGCACCACTCGAAGGCAAATTTGTAGCGAATCACGTAGCCCTTGCCATTGCGCGCAGGGTGACGCTCGGCTGCGCATCATCAGTCCCAGATCATAGACGGAATGCGGGGATACTCACCCCAAGCGTGCGCGATGTGGTAGAAACCGAGCACAACATACGTATACCCCTTCGTCGCGAGGTCGTATGGGAAGAGCGCATATCGGTCGTCGATGATGAGGACCAGCGGTCGCTTCATCTGGTAGGTGCGAAGCAGGGCGCGGACAGATTTGTCTTCTTCGTGCTGGTCGTCGGCTTCGCGCACTGTGTGTTGACCAGCCTTGGTATGGACACTCTCGGCCTTACCGCCACTGAAGATACGTCGCACAGCAGTCGGTACACGTCGCTTGATAACAAAGAGAACTGCACTGACCCATGGGATATGATGAGGCGACCGTCGCGGGCGAACAAGTCTCGACTGGATGCGTTATCAGATTAGCCTCCGAGTGCACACCAGTCGCATCTCACTCACCCCGACGAAAATGCGCTGAGCAGGTATCCCTTGACCATGTCGTTGTTGAAGTACACGCCGCCTTGGTAGCTTCTGAACCAGTCGAAAGACTCGCATACCTCTTGTCGTGACTGTAAACGCCGACTTAACGACTTGTCCTTGAAACGTCGGTATTTTCAGACGTACCTCCGCCCATATGATCGGCTGGTTCGTTAGAGGTCGCTTCGGAGACATTGGCGGCGGTGCCGACCTTGGGACTTGGATGACAGGCCTCGAACTGGTAGGTAGGACGATGACTGAAGAGAGCGCCGAGGAAGAGGCGAAAGGAAATGCATCCGTAGGGAGTGTTGAACAAGAGGCGAAAGGATGACCAGGCGTAGGCGTACGATACTCAGCGGATTGCGCGCTTCGTGGAACGGCGGGAACTGGGGCGGTCATGGCATCTTGTGGTCTTCTGGCTGCTACTAGAGCGCTGAGTGGGACTTCCTCCTCGTCCGAACTCAGCATGTCGTCTTGAGCCTTCTGGACGCGGCGGTTCGACGCAAACGCGACACTAAGTGGTACCTCTTCCTCGTCGTCCGAAGTCGGCGGGTCGTCCTGAGCTCCGGCATCTTCAGCCCACTCTTCGGCCACGGTGGATTGGTTACGCAATTGCAGCAACGCCTCCAACGCGATGTCTCTAACGATCTGGTCCTCCTCTTGCAGGGTGGCAGGGATACCAAGCGTTGCTGGAAGCACACGAGGCGTGAGTTCGTTCAAGCGCAAGCGGTCGGACTTTCGTCGAGGAAGGTTCACCACTTGGCGGTCGGTCGAGAGTTGTTCTCCATCTTCAGCGGCGACATCAACAGCATACGAGCGGGCACGTTTGCGGCCACCGTTCTTGGCCCCCTTATCCATAATAACTCCTGCCGGAGCGGAGACGGATTCAGGCTGGTCTCCGAGCTCAACGCGAAGGTTTGGTCGACTTTGTCGCAACATCGCCTGGTTCAAGACCCCGAAAGCGTTAAGCTCATCGGCCGCCCCCCGTTGACGCTTCGAGGGCCGCTCTTGATTATCGGAGATCTTGAGTTTCTTGCGCGCGGACGACACCTTCGCCTTCGTGTTGCGTTTGAACGTAGCGCCGCGAGATTGGCGTCGGCTTGGTGCGTCCACAACATCTTCGACCGTGGGTGAATGTCGTACGGGTGCAGACGAGGCAGACTCCTGAGGCTCAACAGCGGTCAGCTGAGTCGCGGGGGGCGCGCTGACACTAGTATCTGCTCGAGTTTGCGACTGTATCTTTGACTTCTTAGACTTCTTCCTGGTGTGCTGTTTCTGCGATCCGGCGGTCTGTACGCTCGCCTCTTCCGGTGGATCAAGGTAGTCGAGCGGGACGTCGTCCGGGTGAATGCGCTTGAGCTGTTCGTGATAATCAAAGTCTGCCCGAGCCAGCTCCGATATGCGCCCGGTATTTGTTGCTCCTCTAGGATGTCGCTGGCGAAGGCTTTGGGCGGGTCTCTCGGTGGGAGTATTCTTCCTCTTTTCAGGACGAGCGTTGGTCATGATTGAAGCCTTCGGGATGGGGGCATCAGCGTCGACGGGGATGGCGGCAGGCGACGTACTACCGCCTGGTGTTCCAGAAGGCGGGGTGGTAGACGGCTCAGCAATGGTGGAAACGTCCTCAGGTTCCTGCAGTGGCGAGTGCATAATCAGTAGACGTCAATGCTTGAAGGGCAGGAAAAGATACCTCATCGGACAACTCCGTCAAGTCTGACATGGGGGAATATTCTCGACTCGTAGACATCGTCATGCTGAAGTCGAAGGATCCTTGCCGTGCAGCCTCTTCGGCGACCCGAACTGTCACGGGCCGCGGAGCACCACCGGACGTGCGTGTAGTTGTAACACTGGAAGCACCCGGAGCAGAAAGCCGGTAGCCTGTGCCAAAGTGCTCGTTATCTGTGCCAAGGGGGACAGCAGGAACTGCGGTAGGAGCGGCAGCAGCGGGCCTATGCTGGGGGGCATGTGAAGCGGTCGATACAGCGGCTGCAGCGACGCCCATATTCCCTGGAGCTTGCCACATATTTGGGAGTCGGTAGTAGAAGCCGCGCTTCTTGCGCTCGTCGTTGACAACCTTCTGTGCGGCATACTCGTCCCCCACGTATAGCGCATAGTAGAAGCAAACGAACACCTCCAACAAGTCGATGGACACAGGAACATTAGAGGCGTCGACGTTGCCCGAACCTGGGAGGAGTCCCTCGGGAGCGAAGGCATACGCAATCCATTGCTTGGCGGCAGTCAAGTGCTAGATTCGATAGGAATAGAATGAACCGAACGTTCGGACGCGTCGGAAGGGAGTCGAGGTCCACACACCTTGGGATTATGCTTGATATTGTGAGCAAGGTCTTGAATCCAGTTGATACTGCGGCGACCACGAGCGGGTTGTTCGTACTTCTGGGCAAGGAACGCTGCCGCGAACGGCTCGTCCTCGAGGAGACCCTTGTCCTGCCAGGACGTAGGCGTCCTCATCTTGACTACAGGAAATCACCTGGGCGGCGAGAGAGCGCGATGGTGAAGGTCTTGGGGAGAGGTGCTTGCGAGGACAGCAGGAGCCGGTCGTTCGTAGGGGGCGTTCTGCCCAAATAAAAGGACCGAGGACGTCTCAGGGTTCCACCGTGTGGCACGTACACATTCGAATTCACACCGGATAGATGATCACGGCCGAAAATGACATGGTGGGACGGAGCGGGAGGCAACCCTGGCGCTCAGCGCGCTCCGACGGTCTCGCGTCCGCCTTGCGTCCGCTGATTCCGAAGGCCCGCCGGCGCTACGGCGTGTATGCAGTAACATGGTTTTTCGTGCAGGGATAATGTTCTCGGGCATGCGTCGAGCAATCCATGGTTCTAATGTATGCTACGCAAGAGCGGGACAACGAACGACATTACTTGGAAAGAGCATGCTGCAGAGCCTCGTACACATCCGCCTCAATGCGCGCCTCAACCTTGTCCTCCTCCGAGCCGTTGCCAGCAGCCACCTTCAACGCCTCCTGGAGGTTAGCGCGGACGGCCTACAGAAGGTTGTCAGCGGGAGGCGCAAGGTTTAGGGACAGGCAGTATTACCTCCGCCGAGAACGCCTCGAGAGGAGCAGCCTCAACAGCGTTGATGGTGAGCTTGTTGTTGGGGTGGACGGTCGCGAAGCCGCCAGAGACTACAGGAGTTCAGCACACAAAGCCCGGTGTTGCAAGAGGGCGCGGATTCATCACTCACCGAACCACTTTTTCGACTGGTTGCTCCCCTCGATGACCTCAACGACACCAGGGCGGAGAGGCTCAATCGTCGGCGCGTGGTTGGCGAGGATACCCATGTCACCGGACGCCGCCGCGAGGTTCACTTGGACGACATCGGCGGAAGTGAAGATAGCCTGCAGCCCAGTCATTACAGGCGTGCGAGGAGACCGCTGCTGGCACAAACCTGGTGGGGGAGGACGAGCGACAAGGCAATCTTGTCGGCGGCCTCAGCGTAGCCTCGCCTGCCGAGCGCGAAGGCGCGGGGTGCTCTCCGAGTAGCAGAGGTGACAAGACGAAGCGCAGACATGACTTTTGTGGCAGAGCGGAATGAGCGCGACGGTGAGCTCGACTTTGCGTTGTCCGTTCGCCCGACGCCGGAGAATGCCGGGTCGCATCCAGTCACGTGTGTCCTCTCAGCCGGGCATAAAATAGGCGCCGTGTCTCCCTCCGCAAAGCCATGAACACCTGCGAAAATTCCGAATGTGTATTACAGCAAAGATACAGCAAGATATTGAAACCAGATCGCATGTGTGTAGAAGTATAAGCTAACGATAACGCGTCGGACTCGGTGCAGGGCTTGGAAGAGGGCGACGATACATTGTCTGAGAAGGTAATATATCGCCTGGCTTCAGCGCAATGGGCTGCTGGGGAGCAAGCATCGCCTGAACTGCACCCGGCATGCGTCCTCCGTCTATGATCTATCGCATACAAATCAGTGAGTAGGGATTATAGCATAGGCCATATCGACCTCACCTTGCCGGCTTGCTGCTGCTTGGCATAGAATGCGAAGAGGTCCGCGATCTGCTGTTCGAGACCCTGTCTCTCCCTCTGGAGGCGCGTCACTTCCTGCGTCATGAGCATCACCTCTCTGGTGAGTTCCTTCTTAAACTCTTCGACGTGGGCTGCTCGACACATACTTTAGTATCGGCTTGCACCAGAGAGAGGAACCGTATACGTACTCTGCACGTTGATCGCGGTCGCCTCCTGCATCGCTTCGACGAACCTCAGCCTCTCCCCCCGTATCTCGTTGGTCAATTCTGGTATATATGAGATAACAACCGCCGTCAAGAGTGGTAGTGGCGCACCTGTGGCCATTGATTTTAGCATCCGTTCTTGGTCCATCCGTTGGCGGTCGATCATTCCTGTAACAGATTCGGTGGCTGCACGACCACTGTGAGCGTCTTCATGTCAACAGAGACAGAAGGCAGCTTGCTCACTTATTTGGTTGCGGGCCTCTGCATTCCTGCGCATATCTTCTTGCACGGCAGCTACGAGGCCATTCACCGATGTGTGCAAAGTGGCCGTATGCTCGTCCCGTTCCTGGTGTTGGACCAGCAGCCTTCGTATATCCGACAAGAGGTTGCCTGGAGGCGCCTCGCCGTCTTGCGGGATGTCCTGTAACTCTGAAACGGGCCCGAGCGTTTGACAGAGTTGCTGGACTCCAACTGCTACGCCTTCGATCTGGGATGTACCGTGGTTCACGAACGCTTCGAGCCACTGCGAAATGGACAGCGTCAATAAAACGTATATGTAAAGTGAGAATGACACACTGACTGTGTTGAGTTGATTGAGATAGCGAATGCTGTCGGTTTGCTGCTCCATCTGGGTGACGCGCTGTTCCTCTGCATCTTTCAGCAGTGTTACAACCTCTGCAAGCTGTTCACCGGCTCGGTGAGTACATGCGGCCGTGAGGGGTGAGAAACTGCGTACCTCGGTCGTTGCGGCAAGTGTCTCTCCCGTTTCGCCGTTCTTGTTTTGACACAACCGCAGCAGACCATCCAGTTTGCCGTGTAGCTCTGCGACGTCTGGTGTCGTACCAGCATTCTTCAGATTCTCCATCAAGCCTTGAAGCCTAGAGAGGTCGCCCTTGATGTCTACTTGCACTTCGTCCAGCTTGGCGGTCACGAGAGCTCCTGTGCCGCCTTCCGCTGAACGAAGACGGCGAACTTCCGTCAGTACTTCGTCGACTTTCGTGCGGACATTGACGATGTTGGTGCTATCCGTCACCGAGCGCCCTCTCAGTCCTTCAACGCGTTCGCGGATGACTTCTAAAGTTGTCTTGTTCCCAGAATCTAGAGGAGCATCCTGCAGCGTATACGGGGTCGGAGTTGGAGACCCGTGCGACTGAGGAACCGGTGCCGCCAATCCCTCGAGTGCACTGCGTATTGGCGACGCCGCGCCCTTGGTCTCCTCGCCGCTCGCGCTTGCGCCACCGTCGTCGGAGTATCTGGAGGCAGGCGAGAACAGTGTTTCCTCCCTTTTCGGGATCTCGAGCATCCCACTCCCTCCTCTGTCCTTCCGGCTAAACGCGCTAATCCTCGGCGGCGGCGACCCATCCAAACTTGGCGGCCTAGTGGTCAACCCCCCAGAAAACACCGACCGCGGCGACTCCGCCTCCGTGCGCGGGTACGCATCCGCATACGAGTTCAGAATCGACGCCGCCGCGCTCCCCGTCCGACTCTCCATCCTCAACATCCTTGGCGAGTCCCTCAGCTCCCAGCGGCGCGTCGACGGCGATATGGGGCTGCTGCTCGCGGCGCGTGTCTCTGCCGCCGCATGCTGGATCTGCGCGAGCCGCTGCTTCACGACCGAGCGCTGATCGAGGTTCCGGATCGACGGACTCTGCGTGCGCGACGGGTTGTCTGGAGTGGAAAGGAACGCCGAGGAGCCCCGTATGCTGGTGGGCGTCACAGGCGGGGCAGGAAGTGGGGAGAGCCCAGAGGGGAGGGAAAGCTGCCGGACTTGGACAGGAGGCAGGTCGCGCAGGTTGAGACGCGGGAGGACTGGGCGTTCTGTCGCGGTGACCGGGTCGGGGGGCAGGGCAGGGAGGGCGCGGTTCGCGCTGGATGTCGAGGCCTGGGAGAGGCGCGAGACTGTCGCCGGGCTCTCGCACTTGCTGGGCTTCGGGGAGTGGATGTGCGGTTCTGGCGCCGCGGTTGGCTTGGGGGCGGGCACCATGAGCGACTTGTAGGTGTGCTCCGAGGGCGCAGGAGAGCGGATCCTATTCTCCTGTGCTAGTAGCACAGCGTCCCTGCAAAAATCGATCAACCAAAATCTTCAACTCAATATCACTCAGTCTTACCAAATTGCGCTCACCCAACCAGCCCTCTCCGGCACTCCCTCCGCCGCGAACTTCTCCCTCGCCCTCCCTTCAAACAACAGCTCGAACACCTTCAGCTCCGCCCGCGTGCCCACGCCCCGCGTAGGCAGCAACGCGCGCTCCTCTTCTGCGAGCTCCGAATGCGCAAGCGAGCGCACGTCCGTGCACGCACCGAACGGCACGAGCCGGCTGGCGGGGTTGCCCCCTTGCGTGCCCCACGAGACGAGGATGTGCGTCGTGTGCAGCTGCGCAGCGCACGCGAGCCACACGGGCGGGACGCTCGCTGCTCCGGAGCTGGGAGTGTGCGCGAGGTAGAGTAGCGTGCCTTGCTTGCCGGTGTGGGCGGACACGGGCGAAGCGCAGTTGCGCGGGTCGGTTTGGGCTAGCGAAGGGATCTGGAGGGTAAGCGAGGGTCTACTGGGGCTTGTAGACGCGTGCGGGGACGGGGACGGGGACGAGGACGTGGAGGGAGTGGCTTCTCTGTAGCGTGTCCCGGGGAGCGCGAGCGTCGACGAAGGGGTCGCAGGTGTCTCCGACCGCTGCACAGGCTTGGATTTCTTGAACACCGACATCAAGTTCCGGAAGGACTGGCGGATGGGCGACCGCCCCTTATCCTTCGTCACCGTGCGCTCCCTCTCCACCCCACCGTCCGCAGCGCCAGCGCCAGCCCGACTTCGCCGCACACCCGGGGCATCTTCCATAGACTCAAAGCGGCCGATCAGGTCCTTCGTCGTGCCCCTCCTCCCCAGCGCTGCCCCCGGCGCAGAGCTTGGCGCGATCTGTCTTGCTTGCCTTGGCCCTGGAGGACGCGCAAAGTACGCCCCGTCGTCTGCGTCCTGGGACGGCCAGATCCGCACCGGCTCCCTGTGGCTGGACGAAGAGGACGGCGCGCGGATCTGCACGTCGTCGTGAGCGTAGCTTTGCCGTCCTGCAGCCTTTCCACCGGGGAGTGGTAGATCGTCGTAAGGCGTGACGAGTGGGGCCGATTCGTCGCTCCCGGTGCGCGTGCTCGTCCGCGTGAGCGGCTGCGGGTAGGCAGACATGTCAGGGCTGGGTGCGTGGTGAGGGGGTGGTGGTACGGACCTTGGGGTGTAGACATGGGAGCGGAGGAGGCTGGCAAGGGTGTCAGCCGCTCCGGAACACGTTAGACGTTATTCGAATCGTGCATGCCATGAACATCACTCTAGTGCGTAGGCAAATATCAGTAACATGTCAGTGCTATGTGGATGTGTGCAACCAAGTCTGTTCTGCCGCCTGGAGCGAGGTCCTCGACGTGCATAGAGCGCAGGGCTAAGTTCGTCCCCAGGTTGCGGCGCACGGTGTTAACAACCGGTACAGCGAGATCTTCACTCCCGTCATCTTGGACATGCATTTATTGCTAAAGGCAGTTATGCAATGAAAGGGGAAACACATTCAGGGGATGCACAGAGGTCGAAGCACCAGAGATGTGTAGATGCAGGTGGTCATCATGATTGTCGCGTCAGACTACAAGGCCTTGATGTAAACCTGCCGAGCAATAGTGTTGCGCGCGTCGTGCATTGACACTGCGCCGGCTGTGTGCCGGAGGAAACAAAGCGGGGAGAACAAGGCCCGGAGCAACGACGGTGGTGGAGAAGAGCCAGGCACGGACGTGGGAGATCTGCAAAGGACGCGACGGGAGACGCGTTGTTGGGCAACGGGCGCCAACGCGCGTGGCCGAGTTCGTTTTCAATTCAAGCGCACCTTGCAGCCGACCGCCACCCGCCTCGTTCATAAGCTCCCTCCCGACGTCCACGATCCCCTACTTCTGCTCTACCATCTCCCGCCACTCCGCCCGTACCCCAGACCACACACCCCGACGACCGAGACCGCTGCGCAGCCTTGCAGTCAGCCGCCCCGACGCCCTCTCCACCTCGTTGCCGCTCCACGATTAATCACTCCACTCACCGTCCATATACATAGTCCAGCTCCTTCCACTCTCGGTTCACCACATACCAATGGCCTCAACCTTCTACTCCTCCTTTTTCTCGTCCGGCCTGCTCTCACAGCACTCGCCGCGCCCGCTCACGCCGCGCCCTTCATCGCCCACCACTCCCCGGGCTGCACTCGCCTCTTTGGCCTCCGACGACACGACCCCGACCGCCCCAGCGGTTGCCCAAGACGTCTTCTCGACAAATGAATCCCAAGTCCTTCCTTCCATTTCCGTTGCTTCCCCGGCCGCCGAGGGCGACTCGCGCCCACGCCTTCGCCGCCGCCGCTCGTCGCTTGCGGGTGCCGCTTCGCCGCTCGCTACCATGAAATCTTCTGCGCCTATGCGCCAAGCGGCCGCCTCTGTGCAGCGCCAGAACCTGGTTCTTCGTGCCCGTGCCGGTAGCGACGCCAGTATCCTCTCTACTGCCACCGCAAGCTCTGTGTCAAGTTTCTGCCCCAATGGCCCTGACAATGCGTTCACGGTCACTTCTCAGAGACCGACGGGTTTCATGGGTAGGCTTCGCAGTGGCAGCCTCGGAACTGCTTTGCTCAGGTGAGCAAAAATTAAACTTTGCTATATGGCCCATACTCATTAATGTGCGCTAGACCTCGTCGCGGACTACGCCGCGCAGCACCACCCATGCCCGCGCCTCCTCCGAGCATGCCGCTCCCCGCGGTTCCCCCCGTCCCTACAACTCCGTCTCGCCAGCTCCCCACTATCATCGCTAGCCCGACGCAGCCGACGACGCCCCCACGGCGACCCCTTGCCCGTCGCTCCCAAACATGCGATAACTACGACCTCACTGCGGCGCCGTTCAGCGTCGCGGGCGCGTCGCCCATGTGCGTGACCGACGAGGAAGATACGTTCTCCGCGGCATGCGCCGGCGTGCCGTCGAGCCCGGGATATGCTCTCGGCCGGGAGAACGACATGCAGCTCGACTACCCGAGCCCCATCGACGGCGCCGCCTTCGACTGGGGACGCCGCAATAACTGAATGCCCGCCACGACTTCCGTAGGGCGCCCCGGGCGGGCCCCCAGGAAATGACCAGCAACGTCCGACCACCAGACTTTGGACTCTTGCGCCTGCTCCCCATCGTACGCTTTCGAGGTCCCCACGTTGCTTCCTTGCTCGCTCGGACTGACTGCTACTACGGACTGCCCGCACCCGCTCCTTCCCCGTCCGTCCACTACCCAATGCTGTTGTTACTATAATCGTCGCTTTCCGCTTCGTGCCAGATACCTTTTATCCTATTGTACGACATGCCCTATTTGCCCCCTCCCCCCGCGCCCCGTGGGCGCCCTAGAACTTGAAGATGTAAAATTTTGGCGTACAGTACAGCACTCGAAGCTTGTGGTCCGTGCTGGCCGCGGCTTTAGTTTTCGTACGCATACATACAGCGCTTGCTCCCATGTCCTCCCCTGCTGGCCTCCCTCGGTCGTCCAGTGTTAATACTATCGTGGTTTACCATGAAGCCTCCTGCAGGCCGCCGCTTGACACGGGCACCCACTCCATTCCATAGGTGAGTGCAGTCACCGGGTGTGGTTGGGGCGAGCACGCGCGACGGGGACCGAATACGACGAGCCAAACGCCCGATGCGCCGCTGCTATGATGTCAGAGCCCGACGTCAGTTGTCTTCTCCGTTCCTCTAACGTATCCAGTCTGCTCCAGGTGTCCAGCGGTATATATACGCACCTCAAATTTCATGCCTGGGTGCCCCACTTTACCCCTCTCTACTACCACAACCTTCCGTCAACCTCGTAACCACACCACCTCACCGCCACCGCCATGTCCACCAACAAGCAGCTCGACCCCTACACCGCCAAGGCCGAGGACAACACGCACACGCCCCAGGAGAAGATCCAGGGCCTCCACACCATCGTGAAGGGCGTCAAGACGGGCATGCTCACCACCCGCTCTGCGGATGGCCGCTTCCATGCGCGTGCCATGGCTCCCGCCGGACGTACGTGCTCTTCCTCTCCTCGTGAAGTATCGCGCTCATCCTCTTTCTGTACCAGCATTCCACCCGGACCAGGTCAACCTGGTATTCATCGCGAACCGCGTGTCCGCGAAGTTCGAGGAGATCGAGAACGACGCGCACGTGAACGTCGCGTTCTACGACGAGGCGACCACGAACTGGGCGTCGTACTCGGGCGTCGCCAAGATCACGCAGGACAAGACGAAAATCGAGAAGCACTGGAGCTCCGCGTGAGTGCTATATGCCCTACACGGCCTTTCGAGTGTGTATCTGACAGCGCGTGGGTTTAGCACGTCAGCGTGGTTTGGCGACCTCGGGGACGGCATACACAAGGGTGACAAGAACGACCCGCGGGTGGCCGTCATCGAGGTTATTCCTGACGAGATCCGGTACTGGATCGCCACGCGGGGCAAGGTCGGCCAGGCTGTGGACATCGCTGTTAGCGCCGTCACTGGACACACTGCTGCGCCTGGGGAGCTCAGGACTATTACGAAAGCCGAGGTATGCGTCCTCGTACTTGCAGGATGCGGGAGAATGTACTGATGCTGTGCAGATCCAACTTGTTCAGGGCTTAACGAGCGTGTAAATGGAGGAACAAACGTGTACGCTTCGTTGTGATGTATAGTACTGTACATGTAAAACCTCTTGTAGCATATACGCTCTATGCAAGCTGTATGTCATAGTGTTTCTTTCTTCTCTTTTTCGCTTTGCGAACTAGAAATTATTCGTAGATGTGAGAGTGCAGTCTTCTCCTCAAACGCGCAGGCGAATCGGAACACGCCGTTTGTTTGCATCTGCCAGTGGATATAGAGAATACGGCCGCCACGTACTAAGTACGTAGATGCAAGCAAATCCTCAGTGCAACGGAGTTCACAGGTAAAAAGAGCATAAATATTGAGATCCGTAGATCTACCACTCCGGGAAAGCGTGTCATCCTTGTGCAGGGGCCATGCTAATCTTCTCTGTATCGTTCCAATTTTTTCGTATGTCACCCCGAAGGGGACAAGGAGAGGCTCAGCGTGAGGGGTGCTGTGGTGACGTTTATGCATTTCGTTCGTCTCGCGGGTAGCGTGTAGGCGCTTGGGAGGTCATTCGCAGTCGAGCATGTTCTCTTTACACCAGAGTTCCTGTCTTCTCATCTTGATGCGCCCCTGTAGAATAATGGTTTGTATTTCTGCATATCTATGATGTGGATTTCTTCGATCGAGGTACTCTCAAGGTGTGCAGGTGGAAGTTGGAAACAAGCCCGGGCCAGTCCATGATCCAATGAGATAAGATAGACGCCTTTACTCGACGTCCATGACATCGGCTGGGCGCCTGGATCCTGGCCCCACTGCCTGCAGAGGAGCAGCAGCGAAGAACGTTCTACACGCTCTCCTTACGCCTCTCACCACCCTCCGGACCACATCCCTCTGCCCCGCCACGGTCGCACCTCCCAGTCTACCTCACGAGCGGCCATAATACTGCAGAGAGAAGCATGCCGGTACGTCCTTGACGTCATTCACGGAATCGCAGAACGCTGAGCGGGACGCGCGACATTACCAGGCCATGACCGTCTTCCCCTCCCCCGTCGTGGACGCCATGACGCCGGAGCAGTCGCGAGAGATCGCACTACACGGGTACGTCCACCTCCTAGTCTCCCTCTCACCCTACGGAGCCAACTTGCTCATTATCATTCTGACCATTCCCGCACCAGCCACCGCGCGCTCACGCCCATCCTCTCCGGGGCCATCTCAGGCGGCATCGTCGGAGTCGCCTGGATAATCGGCATCATCGTCTGGCTCTACAAGCGCCACCGCCGCGCACGGCGCGCCAAGGCCGCCGGGTTCCGCTCGCACCGCGAGTTTCTCGACCCCCCGAAGAAGCAGGAGGCGTTCATCATCCCCCCAGACCCGGCCGTCATCCAGGGGCAGGTGAAGCCGGGCCAGCAGATCGTCGTCGAGGACGTGCAGATGGCGCACCTGAAGCCCGCGAAGACCGTGCCCGCGGCGGCGGCGGACGGAGAGCGGCGGCATGGGGAGAAGGAGGACGTGCCGCCGGGGATGGCGCATCGGGGGTCGGCGCCGTGTAGGGTGCCGGACGAGCCGCGGTCGAGCTTTAACGACTCCGGGGAGGAGAGGGGCGAGAAGGCGCAGCACACGTACTCTTCATGAGTGGGCACTGATAGATTTGGTGAGTTTTTGTTTCGCGGCCTGTGATAGTGAACAGGTGTGCTGATTGTATGCGGATAGTTTCCGCGTACGACCCTCACGATTCGGACTAAACTGTACCTATAGGCTTGTATACACGATGCAGCGCTACTAATGCCTCTCGATACCCCTTGTTTGTCTTTCGGTGCTAGCAGACTCGTCATATGGTCATACAAACACACATTTCGACCTTACACCACGCTCGAATATCGCACAGTTTTCATAGAGCTCGAAATTTGCTGTGGTGACCTGCGACGCCCTGACCAACAGATTGTGCTGACGAGAGCGCGGGGCATTACTGATACATGAAGCTAGAATTGGGACTGCCTTTGCAGCTCTTGAATTGTACAGACGTTTTACAGCGCTTCTAGTCTCCCACCCCCAGCACATCTCTCGCTCAACCGCGACCTCCTCGTCCCCCTCAATCGCAGTAAGCGCCAAGGTTCGCGGGCTGCGCCAACGTCGTCAGCATCCATCCGAACACGCACGTAGTCCCGAACAGAAAAACTCACGGCGACGTCGCGGGCGTAACGGTACAGCACGCCGCGCTTCTCGCGGTACTCGCGCGGGACCCACTTCTCGCGGCGGCGCGCCTGCTCCTCCTCGGACACGAGCCAGTCGATCGACCGCTTCTCGGTGTCGATGACGATCTTGTCGCCATCCTCGACGAGCGCGATCGGCCCGCCGACGAACGCCTCGGGGACGACGTGACCTGAAGACGGCGAATGTAAGCTTTAATTGTGGGAGAGAAGAGGTGAAGAGGCACTGACCGATGATGAAGCCGCGGGAGGCACCGGAGAAGCGGCCGTCCGTGATGAGTGCGGACTTGCCACCGAGGCCGGCACCCATGAGGGCTGCGGTCTGACCTATCGGACCGTCAGCACTTTGGGACATCAGTTCTGAGGGAGGAGTATTTACCAAGCATCTATATAAAACGGGTCAGAATCATTCATTTTCGCATAAAATCGGGATCCGCGTACCTCGGGCATACCGGGTGCACCCTTGGGGCCCTGGTAGCGGAAGATGATGGCCATTCCGGCGGTGATCTCGCCGTTCTCCAACGCGGTGAAGAAGGGAGGGATGCTGTCGAAGCACTTGGCGATACCCTACGAAAGCGTGTTAGTAAAAGTCCAGGTGCAGCAACACTACATAATAAAACGCACCTCGAAGCGCAAGCCCTCCTTGCCAGTGATCTTCGCGACAGCAGTCTCGGGCGCGAGATTCCCGCGGAGGATCGTCAAGTGACCGGTCGACTTAATTGGGTTGCTGAGCGGACGGACGACGTCCTGGTCCGCAAACTGGAGCTCGGGCACGTCCTCGAGGTTCTCCGCGATCGTCTTGCCGGTGACGGTCAGCTGCGTGCCGTCGATAAGGTCCGTGTGCTTGAGCAGGTACTTGAGCAGCGCGGGGATACCGCCGACGCGGTGGAGGTCCTCCATGACGTACTTGCCGGAGGGCCTAGAAAGAAGAGTAGTTAATTGAGACGCAAGAGGGTAAGGGACGAGGGGGACGTACTTGAGGTCGGCGAGGTAGGGTGTCCGGTCAGCGACCTTCTGGAAGTCGTCGATGTTGAGCTCAACATCTGCTGCACGGGCCATGGCGAGCAAGTGGAGGACCTGTGGGGAGCATTAGTACAAATTCGACATTCACAACTAGCTAGAGAGACACATACAGCGTTAGTGGAACCACCGATGACGTTGACGATGGTGATTGCGTTGAGGAACGCGTTGCGGGTGAGAATATCCCTGGGCTTGATGTCGAGCTCGAGGAGACGCTTCAAGTACTTAGCGGCCTTCACGCACTCCTGCGCCTTTTCGGGGTAGATAGCAGGGATGGACGCAGAGTAGGGCAGGGACAAGCCGAGAACCTCCAGGACACTCGACATCGTGTTTGCGCTGCGAAAGGTCCTATTCAGCGGGGCCATTCTGTAGGTGAATTTGAGGGGCATACGTGAACATGCCACCGCAAGCACCGGGGCCGGGACATGAGTGGCGGACGACGTCGAGGCGCTGCTCCTCGGTGATCTTTCCGACTGCGAACGCGCCGTAGGACTCGAACGCGTCGGCGATGTTCATGTCATCGCCCTTCTTGTGGCCAAGGGATGGGCAGTCGACCTTTCGGACACCAGCCTGGATGGTACCGCCATATACAATGACCGTAGGGCGGTTGTGACGGGCAGCGGCAATTACACAGCCGGGCATGTTCTTGTCACAACTGAAGGTTCGTGAGCAAATGAGCATACAACTTAGTAGTAGAACAAACAAACCCAGGGAGGGCGATGTTGCCGTCATAGTGTTGTGCCTGAGTGACCCCATTGGTTGAGCGAAACGGGAGGAGGTAGCTAATTACTGACCATGATGACCTAGACACAACAGTCAGGTCATTTCTCAGAAGGTTCATGAACTGTAGCTTACAGTCTCAATAGAGTCGGCGATGAGGTCACGACTTGGTAGCCTGTATCACGGAGCTCAGCGGGAGCCAATCCGCACAGGCGCATATCACGTACGAATATCTCATGCCTATCAAGACGCGCCCTCCATGAGTTCTCTATTCGCACGGAAATAAATGTGATCACTGACCCTCAGTACCCATGGTAATACCATCGCTGCAGAATGATGAGTTAGAGCCTTTCGAGTTGAAGACGTCAGACAAACCTGACACCGATTGTGCTGAAAGTCAAGCCGACAAGGCCCTCCTGTTCACATCCCTGCTTCACCTTCTTGGCAAGCTCCAGCTAACGCACCCGCTCAGCCAATCAATACCTTCAGAGAGCCATACACATGGACTCACAAGGTGGTTGTTGCAAGGGTTGCCTTTTCCGGGATATGAGATGCTGCTAAAGCGGTGATATCTTCAGGGCGGCAGCTCACCTTCCCACCACACAGGCGAGATACCGATCTGTGCAAACGGTCGGTTAAGCGACCAGGCGCGCGTCCCCGGAGTGGAAGGTCGCTTACCTGCGGCTTGTCAAGGTCGTCCGGCGTCACGCCCACGGCATGCACTGCGCAATCAAATTCAGAACCCTCCTGCTCCTTTCCCACTCAATATAGAGAACATACACATGGCCTGGGCACCGCCGCGCCTCTGCACGTTTCTTTAGACCTCTTGCTCGTTATATTGGTAGCCTCAACGCACCTTGTCTTGTGTAAGTGCGCATGAGAACTTGTTCAGCTTCACGGGCGTGCTCGGCGAGGCCGCCTTGGGCACGGAATGGCTATATGCACGGGCGCTATGAGTAGTCTGCACCTCCGAGCGAGCTGAAGGCACACGTACATCTCGACGTCTCCTGCGGACATGGTGGTGGTGGTCGCGTACAAAAGGAGAGCGTAAGAGAGCGCGAGAAGAGAGACTGACTGTACGGCGGCGGCGGAACGTATATATAAAAACCCGCGCTCTGCAGCGAATAGAGCAGACGGCATCTGACCCCGCCCGCCGGTCCGCTGCCCTGCTCATTCACGTCAGATCGATCGGCAGCACGCAATGCTCGCTCGATCGCGATAGCTACATATTCTCCCCCTCCCATTGGCCTGCGCCCGCCCAATCGCCCCCACTCAAATTCACGCTCCTGTCTGGACCCTTAGACCAAACGTTCGATGAGTTCAGTACCTGGAAGTCCCAGAGCATTTAAAATACAGCATATAGACTACAAGACCAGCACGGCTCCGAAAGACGGCCGTGCGGGACGGACGATGGCCCTGCGTCTCCGCCGTCCCCGGCATCGGTTCGTCAGAAGTCGAAGCCTTTGTCGCGGAACGCCTCCAGGCTCGTCGACGCCCTCGCCATCTCGGCCAGGTCAGGGCGGTTCTATGTCATATTGTCAGATGATAGCGCGACGATCGCGTGGTATGGTATACTGACCATCGCTTGGAACGCGCGCCGGAGCGTGGTCCACAGCTGCTCGCTCTTGGCACCACCGGACGACTCTTGCATCGCTAGTGCGCTGAGGAAGTGTTCGATCGCCTCTTGGTGGGCACCGATGTTCAGACCTGCCAAATACGTGAGTGCTGGGCGCGACCGAGAAGACTAAAATACGTACAGGCTACGCCCACGTTATATATAGCACGTGTGTAGGTTGGGCGGAGTTGCAGAGCTTCGCGGTAGGCACCCAAAGCCTCTTCAGGCTTGTTGCCGTTGGACAAGGACGATCCAAGCCGATTCCAAAGTAGATAGTCCTAACATAGACGTGAGTATAGTCCTCAAATGTATCCCTTATCGGAAACTAACCTTCGGCCGGATGCTCAGCGCTGCCTCGAAACAGTCCTTTGCCCGATCGTAGTCGCTACTCGTGTAGAACAAGACACCCAAGCCAATCTGCACGTCAGGGTCGATCTGGTCGCGGTTGTACTGGTCGCGGGCGACCTTCAGGAACGCCTCGGTGACTTGCTCTTGTGAGTGCCAGGACGAGTTCTGGAGCGACTTCCACGCCTCCTCTGGGATGTTGGCACCGGGAATGTGCGCATTCAGCCACCGAAGGAGCATCGTGTGGGATGCCTTCTCCATAGACTCGTTTGTGAAGGCAATTGCAAGAGACTATCATAGACGCATAAGCTGACCATCGCTGCGTTGAATTTTTGGCCACTTACGAGCATGCCTGCACCGGCCGCGCCAGCCGCCTCAGCCCGCTTGACACCTTCCAAGAGTGCACGCATGGCGGCTTCGTCGCGTTCGTCCATGGCCCTCGTCTCACCGAGAAGTATCCAAGCCTCGTAGCCCCCTTCTCCAAGGTCGCCGTGCTGAATAGCGGCCTCCAGTAGCAATGCGGCCTCTGACAGGGACCCATTACGTGCCAGAAGATCCTTGGCATCCTGTAACGAGGACTTGGAGTGGGAAGGGTCCAAGAACTTGTTGTCTTGCTCTATATTTGCGTGGTCAGCTATGACACTCATGCGGTAATCGAAGGGCATTAGACGTACCAAAGACGTAGTCGCCGAGTACCGGCAGGCCTTCCTCGTCAAACTGCATGGCTGGCTCAATCGAATAGTCGGAGTCGCCCATGCCGCCTTCCCATGCATTCTGCATCATCCCGCCGTAGTCAAAGTCGAGGTCCTCGCGCTGGGAGTTCATCATCTGGTTGAACTGCGCCTCCCACTTCGCCATCTCCTCTGGCGGAGGTGGCAGCTCGGAGTTCTGCAACTGATCCCACACCCTGAATATATAGAAGTTAACGTTAGGGGCTCAGCATGACCTGGAATAGCGCATGCGCACTCTTCGAAATCCGTGCCCTGGTAAGGGTTCCCCTCCTCATCTTGCTTGCCCAAGTTCGCCTCCTGCAGAGCATCCGCAAGCCGCTCGACCTCCTCGCCATCCACCTCCGTGATCCGCGCGCCTTCGCTCTGACCAGGGTATGTCGCCGCAAACTGCGCAAACGCCGCGTCAAAGTCGATCTCCTTGCCCTTGCCCTTGCCCATGCCCATTTCTATTCCCATCTGCGGCCCGCCCATGCCATACGCCGACATACCCATACCCATGCTCATAGGCATCGACCGCCCGTACAGCCCGGCGGACATGTATGGCGTCTGGCTGACTGATGGTGACATACCGGGCGTCAGCGCGCTGCGGTGCCGCAGAGTGTTTCGGGAGGGAACGTACGATTCGACTGCATGGGCATGCTCTGCTGCCCGGACGGCCGCGCGATCTGCGCGACGCTGTCAAACTCGGCGCCCCAGCCGGATGGCGCGGACTGCATGCGCTGCATCTGCATGTCGCTGCCCATAGCGCGACCCGAGTGCTGCATCTCGTTCCAGGCCTGCTGCAGGTCGGGTCCCGCGGCTTGGGGTGGGGGCGTGTGCATGAAGCGTTCGGCTTCATGGGGCATGACGTGGCGCTGCATGGCGAAGGATGGAGGAGCACCGGCTTGTTGTGAGGAGCCACCCTCGAAGAATTGGCGAGCCATGGCTAAATCGCGTTCGGATCCATGAGCGGATGAAGTGGGAAGATGGTGAAGCTGCTGTATGTTAGCGAGGCTGGCGCTGCATAATGTATGCTCTTCGTATGCTCACCCTAGAGCCAGACGGTCCTGCAATCCTGTCCTGTAACGAGAGGGGATGAATGCCGCGGATGTGGTAAGCAGGTTGGTGTTACACACCTGCTGTAAGCTCCGGTCGCCCTCGGTGTGCTTCAGCACCTGCGAAAGGGGATTGAATGGTACAGCGCATTCTGCGCCAGATATGAGGCCTTGCAGAGACATGATGTGGCAAGCAAAGGTGGACGTTGGGTGGAAGAGAGGAGTGAGCGTCGGCGTTAGACCTGGGAGGTGCGGTACTTCGCCAAGCGCGGATTTACGCGGAATAGCGGGGTAACCGTTCGGACAATGCCGATTATTGTGATTCACGTGCAACTGCTCGTTGACGAGCGCTTCAAGCTTGCAGGCAAACACCATTAATCACAGAATCATTGCAAGAAGTACACCTTCATCGCTGTACAGGTATCGTGTAGGCGAGAGCTTTCGAAGAAGCTCTCTTACCGAGAGAAGCATTTAGACATTGAGAGACCGATCGAAACATACGCGGATCAACACCATCGATAAACCATCTGTCAGGCGAACATACAAAGCATTCGAGTCCTCGAAACCGTCAACCTCTCTGTACAATTTCAAACCCATGGTACGTCCTCCACAATACATCCGTCACGAATGCGCTGAACGTGCTCTGCTCCGTCCCGACCACCTGCCACGCCTGGCCCACGACCATCGCGTCCAAGAACGGCATGAGAAACGGTCCGAGCGGCACACCGTCCACAGGGCTCTTGAGGTTCCGCAGCGATGCGACGTCCTCGGGGAAGTCGTCCAGGAAGAATATGCACGGGAAGGTACGCGTGAAGCGGACGAGAAGCCCATTGTGCGCGGGGGACCGCGCGTCTGTTGAGACGAACAGCGGCGCGTTGAGCGACGTGAGCCTAGGCGACGTATGCAGCGGGCCTCGGCACGGAAAGTCAGGCAAGGGCGCTGCCTCAAGCGGAAATGGCGGCAACGATGGATGCGGGGCGCGTAGGGCGGGGTAGTCGATGTTGAGCGTTGGCGGCGCAGGTTCAGCGTCGTCTGGGAAGAGCTCCCGCTCGAGCGCGAGGATCTCATCGTGCGCAAAGCCCAATACGAGATGAAGGAGCTTCCACCACGCGAGCCGCGTGTTCTCGGGCGCGTTCCACTCGAAGACACCGTCGCCGATGCGGAGGTGCACCCCGAGATACTCTCCACCGAGCGCGGTGCGGATGCCATCGGCTGCGCGTACGAGGTCCAGGTTTGCGAAGGCCATGCTTTCGCGAACGTGCTGGCGCAACACGTAGTTCGTCGAAGAGCGTAGGTGAAGGCGACTCGAGCCGAAGAGGGTACCAAGCTGGATGAGGCGCTCCGGCCTATGAGCTAGGGTGGCTATTTGGACAGCCTGGAAGAACTTGCGTGCGGGAGGGTCGAAGGAGAAGAAGTCCTGAAACGAGTACTCGTTGCGAGTTGAGTCCTTGATGTAGAAGATGTCGTCCGTAGAAATATCCAGCTCGTGCTGAAGCCAAGCGTCCGTGTAGTTCCAGCCTTCAAGCAGCCGCTGGTCGTCCCTAACGCTAGACAGATCGACGAGCCAGTCCCAGGATATGTGCGTGTAGCGAAAGTAGTCGTCACATTTGGAGGGCGTGTTAAGGTCAGCTGGGGAGAGATCGCGGCAGAATCCAAGTCTAATCTTGCGGCGGTTGTCTGCAGACGTTTCGTAGAGCTCGTCGAAGGGTGCGTAGCTCAGAGGGTCACCCAGGCGTACAGGAGGTAGAAGAAGGGTGCGATTTAAGATTCGAGCCAGGACAAGTGCGTTTTCCAGTGCGATACGTTGATTGTGGAACCCGCTGTGAGGCAAGTAGGCGAGAAACTTCTCCGCAGGAAAGGAAAGGTGATTGACAGATTCGACGAAAGCAGCAGTCGGACCAGAGGAAGAGATTTCGACGAGCGCCGTCTGTAGAGCTCCAGTGTCCTTAACGTCATGAGATGGGTGCAGCAGACTACGAGACGTGGCCGTGAAGAGATAGTACGCCGTGAAGAGAGAGGCTAAGCCAGCTATCACCAGAACGATGATAAGGACTGCGATCTGTTTGTCGTATGTTGTCCGGAGATAAGTGTGATTTCGGGTCCTGGTAGGCGACGGAGAATGCTTGCGATGTTGAGGGTGACATGTCGGTGGCATGGGCGGATCAAAGGGTACAAGTCGAGCTGATGTTCCAACGTTACGCTTTCCCAGAGTGGATGTTGGCGGCAAGACCGGACGAACAGTCTTTCTCAACACCTTTGGCGACATCTACGCCTCGTAGTGATTTGTGAATTCAAAATTGTGTCTAAAGAGCATATAGCTGTGATGAGTTTGCAACCACATAGAAAAGAGGCGGGTTTCAAGCTGACCTTCGCACCTGTTCAGCTCGAGCCGTCGTTCAATGGCTTCGAGACACGCTGATGCACTGAGCTTGAAGCCACGATGAGAGAGAGGCCCAAGAAAATGGCAGAAGTGGACGTGTGGCGAAAGGTCGAGTGAGTAGACACGGTAGACGCCCAATATATTCACCGATCCAGATAGATCGAGATCCGCGGCATGAGCATGCCGCAGCAAACGCCGAAATGTCTGGACTCGCTCTCCTCCTCCCAACTATACAACACCTCATAACGTTGTCGATCTGCTCTTATATTACTGCTGTGTGGAATCATCTCCAAGCGTGAGCACAAAGAAGGCACCCACCAGGCAGGTTGGCAGGTTGTGTCTCTCTCGCGGTTCGAGACGGGCGATAAATCCAATGATCGAATATCGCCATTTACTGGGATGGGAGCACATGCTACGAGGTACGTATGCGCCGCCCTTTACGGCGATAGCTGCGCGGCCTGCGCCTCGCCCGAGGAGTCAAAGACTGCGTCTGAAGTTGAACTCTCCGCGGCTCCGCTCCACTTACATATATAAGGCTTCGCGAACTGCGTCCGTGTGATCGTTCGTTCTCACACCCACCCACATCTATCGCCCTGTGCCCAGTGCCACAAGCGGCCAAGCATAGTGTGCTATGGATACGAACCGAGACAAGATTGAGAGGCCATACGTGCCGTATGAGCCTCTCGCAACGGTCCACCCAGCTGCGAAGCCTGCGACCTCTCGAAGCCGTAAAGTCAAAACCCTGCTGGTCTTGCTCACCGCAGTAGCGACTATTGGTTTCCACCACTGCTGGACGGGTGTAGATACCGATCTGCCCAGCTCAACGCCGTCGACCCAAGTCGACGAGCCCGAGTTTGATTGGAATGCGGTAGGTGTCAGACCAACCGAATCATGAGAGGTTCACCCGCTTACACTGTCGTCTACTAGCTGGAACCTGCCAAAACCATCAAATGGACGTCGTGCTACTCCGGCCAGAAATGCGCTCGTCTGCTTCTTCCGCTGGACTACGGCACCCCGGATGGACCCACTACCGCCATCGCGCTGCGTCTTCTCCCTGCCACAGACAAAGCGAACTACAAGGGGCCCGTGTTGATCAACCCCGGTGGTCCCGGTGGTTCTGGCACGAGTCTGGTCGCCAGAGCCGGCAAGAACATATCAGCCATTGTGGGGCCCTCTTTCGACATCCTCGGGTTTGACCCGCGCGGAATCGGCGCCAGCACTCCCTCCGCCAGCTGCTTCGAGTCGGACTCTCAGAGGCAGCTCTGGAGTCTGCAGGAAGGCCACCGCCTGCTCAACGCCTCCGACGATTCTGTGGACATCGCGCGTGCGCGGCAGACCCTACTTGGCCATCGCTGCGAGCAGAAGATCGGGGGTGAATGGGGCATTGGACGCTTCATGAGCACGCCCGATGTTGCTCGTGACATGCTCGAAATCTCGAAGCAGCTCGGGCACGAGAAGCTGCAGTACTGGGGCTTTGTGCGTATCCAGCGCTTCACAATACCTCTATCGCGTGAGGCTCTGACGTCCTGATCTGCAGAGCTACGGGTCGATCCTCGGCCAGTACTTCTCGGCGATCTACCCTGACAACGTCGGACGGGTGATCATCGACGGCGTCTACGACGGGCACAACTATCGCGGAGCGCTTTGGAACTCGAACCTCGCCGACACCGACGCCGTCGTCGACTCGTTCTTCACCTTCTGCCACCAGGCCGGCCCCGACAAGTGCGCGCTCTACGACACTACGCCCGCGAAGATCCGCGCCCGCTTCTTCGCCGTCCTCTACTCTCTCGAGTCGCAGCCGGTCAGCATCCCAAGCGCGGAGCCGCCCGTGCTCGTCACACGCAAGGTGCTCCAGTCGCAGCTCTTCCAAGCGACGTACAAGCCACTCGCGCAGTTCGGCCTCCTCGCAGACACCGTGTACGCGCTCGAAAGTGGCAACCAGACCGCGCTCACCGCGCTCGCGCCCAAGATCGTCCCACCCACGGAGTGCAAGTGCACGGACCCGGAGCCATGGCTCGCATCCAACGAGGCATTCTCTCCGATTGCGTGTGGCGATGCCGACGAGACGATGTACGACCGCGATGCGTACGCCAAGTACTACGAGGGCCTCACCGCGTCCTCGCAGCTCGCGGCGCCGCTCTGGGCGACCTCGTACCTGAAGTGCGCGGAGTGGCGCGTGCGCCCGAAATGGCGGTGGACGGGCCCGCTCGGCGCGAAGAATACGTCGCACCCGCTGCTGCTCGTTTCGCCGCGGTACGACCCGGTCTGCCCTCTGAGCGACGCGCAGGCGGTGCAGAAACGCTACGGAGGGTCAGGGCTGCTCATCCAGGAGTCGGTCGGCCACTGCACGCTTGCCGCCCCGTCGCTCTGCACCGCGAAGCACATTAGGGCGTACATGGAGAATGGGACGCTCCCGGCGGCTGGCACGGTGTGCGGAGTGGACGAGCTTCCGTTCGTAGGAGCTGTGCAGGACGTACGTGCGCTGTCGATTGAGGACGCCGAGCTATTGGAGGCTATGAAGGGACTATCAGCCGTCGTCCCTACCCTCGGCTTTGACGGGCTATAGGAAGTCTGTATGTCGGTTGGTAGTTCTAGGATGAAACATTCAAGCGCTTGTCATGCAGAGACGAACGAGTTCACGGTATTCGGAAAGTTATACCGCACCGCTGTATCATTGCGTATCCATCGATATACAAGGCCGCTCTTCAAACTCAGGCTGCTTCATGTACCTCATGCTGGGGTGACGAGGAACGCCGCCGTGTCATGAGTATCGACCGTCGTGGTGAAGCTGTTCACAAACGTCCCCACGTCCTTGCCCGTCCACATATCATGCACCTTGAACGACCCAGCGCCGAGTCCGGGAACGTCCGCAAAGTTGAAAGTCTTGGAAGCGGCAGTTCCCGTGTTCACGATGAAGACGTGCGTCCCCTTCGAGGACTGGCCGGCGTAGAACTCCGGGGGAGAGGAGCTCGAAGGGGCGGACGTGAAGGGTGCGGCCGGCTTGCCTATCGTGGCGTCTTGATGGAACGCCAGCAACTCGGTATTCTTGATAATCGCAAGCTGGGTCGCGTTCAAGTTGCTTAGCTGTACAAGTGGCTGGGTTACTACTGATAGACCGCCGTGTGGAGGAAGGCGATGACGCACGTCTGTACCCAACAGTATGGGACTCTTAAGGAAGGCCCAGACGGCGAAGTGCGTGCGTTGTTCTTGTATAGTGAGGTCCCCGTTGCCGATCTCCATCATGTCCCTGTGCACGGGTCGGCTGTCTAATGTGAACTTATGGCACAACGGAAGCGTCACTCACATGTCATTGTGCGAATAGAAGTCGATTGAGGCGAGGTGTTGCACATTCGTCGCGAGGATGCTGGTGATGTAGTTCCAGGATGCACTGGAGTCCCCCGACATGCGCCATGAATGACCCTGCAGAGCATCGCTTTGTCAGCAAAGGTCGGGGTAGGATGGGCGATCTAGGTGCATACAACGCGTGCGCCCCAATCCCAGACGTTGGCGGCGCCCCAGATGCAGAGGTTGAACTGGAAGGGCCGGGAAGTACCGTTGAGCGCTGCGCTGTACGATATACATGAACTTTGAAATATGAGCGAGATGCGGCGAGACGCGAGACGCACGTCATTTGTCGGTAACGGATGGCGGAGTTGGAGTTGCTGTGCATGCGGTACTGTGCTCAGCCTTTGCCAAATGATGACCTTCGCAGAGGCACGTACTACCAGTCTCCCCCAGGCGGTGTCTGCGAATAGAACTAAGATCGGATGGCTAGCACGTGTAAGTGAAGACGAGAGACACCTACCCCGCTATCGGACCAGTTTCCCGGAACGTTACAGTTGTCTGCGGGCATCGTGATCGCGGGCTTTCAAGCGGGCGAGCGTTGCGCTTACCATACTTGAGGTCTAGAATGCTGAATCAGCACGGCATGTCCTCAACGACAAGTCTGAGGACGAGCGATACTCACAGTCCACTCCCCATTCCGCGAAAGTTGTCGCATCCAACATCTCGTTGCCCAAAGATCCCGGGAACCCAGCACAAGTGGCCGTTCCCGCGTCGCTGGTGTGCAACACTTTAGCTATCCCGTTTTGAACCAGTAGGGACGATATCCACCTGTAGATGCCCATCTTGAGGCCAAGTGCATGAACTTGGTCAGCTACACCGCTAATGCCATTCGGGAACTTTGTAGGGTCGGGTACTATGCGTCCAGTGGATGCATCGCGCTTCATCTCGGACCAACAGTCCTACATAGAGAAGGGCCATGAGAGTGTGAGACGCGCTAGGAGCACACAGTTAACACGGGAGAGCACTTACGTCGATATTGATGTATTCGTAGCCGAGGTCTGCGAGCCCAAGAGAGACGAATTGGTTCGCAGCAGCGAGGATCTTGTCCTCATTGATGTCTTAATATCGCAGCGTTGAGCATAAGAATATTGATTGGTGCCGAAGGAGATCTCGCTACTTACTGCATCCGTACGCGTTCCAGGCATTCCATCTATATGGGCGCGGGACAGTTTAATGCCGTGCGCGCGAAGATACACGAGCGTGTACGTACCCGAGCGCGGGCAGCTTGCCCACCGAGTGGGACGGCCCAACAGTAGGCGCACTCGCCGCGATGCCCGTAGGCGAAGCCGAAGCGGTTGTAGTAGTGGACGCCGCCGACGTGGGTGTTGAGGCGGCGGTCGTGCCACTAGCTGTCCCGGTGGCTTGAAGGCATTGCGAGTAATATTGGTTTTGTGCGATGCACGTCCACCTGAGGGTCAACATGGTAAGAATCTACGAAAGCATAAATGGGGAGGGACAGATGGCACACTGACCCCGAAGGACAGAGCGTACTTCCAGTCCAGCCGACACCTCCGCACTGGCCCCACTCGCTCTGGGCAGCGCAGCAGCTCGCCCAAACAACTGTTGCAGAAAGAAGCCTGAGGGCTGTGGGTTTGCGGCGGAGCTGTGCCATGTCAAACCACTGCATCGGTGCCGCGGTCGTCTACGGAGCGGAGAGACGGGGTTTATATAGCCTGCTCGTATATGCTAGTCCTTCACTCTGCCATTCGCGTGCCTGGAGCCTCCACTGTTTGCAAAGACCATATGATCGCGAAAGACGGTGTTTGCACATGGACGGCGGCATTTTGGCGGTACCGAGAAGCATTAAGCTGGTCATGAGTGGCAGAGGTTGATCTTGTTGGAGTAGCGTCGGAGCCAGCGTCGCTGTGTTTATCCGTAAGAAGGGGGCCCCATAGGATCCCGAGGTTGTTTATACGGAAGGGATGGCTGATAGAAGAGGTATCGAAGGTACGCCGAGTGTGCAGGCCCCGGGCCGCTGGGCGACCCGTGACTGTTGCACATGTGAGTCCAGTCAAACAAGATCCCTTCCCTGTCGAGCAGGACATTTGATGCACAGAAGGCTAAATCTGTAACATATCGCGGACAAAGCGGGCGACTTTCCACGGTGGTATCTGTCAGAGCAAAGTCAGCAGCCGTGCGTGTTTGAAAAGGGTGTACGACAGACGTTGGGTACAGCTGGGGTGGCGTCTGAGCGTCCCCTGCCTGCTGGCACGCTCAGCAAAATCGGGTTTCGGCCACTCCTTGAAAGAGTGTTGTACCTTGTGCTTCAAAGCTAATCGGAACGCCTAGGGAAGACTATGTTGTAATTAGTAGGACTCGGAGAGCGTTTGAACTGTGGTTGAGTTTTGTGATGCGTCGACGAACCAGGAGCGCACGACTCCTATAAGGCTTGAGCTAGTGCCGAACTCAGTCAAGCTCAATTGCGAGTTCTGAGAGAGTTGGACGAAAGTTCGACAAGAGCCTGTACGCGGCGAGCGCCTTCGCCTACCTCTTCACGCTACACGTGGCTACGAGACGCCTGGCGTCAAAGCTGGTTTGGTTCTATAACCTGCGGACTACCACCACCATACCCGAAAATACCCTCCGCCACCACTGATCTTGCGCAACCCCCGCAGCTCCAATGCCACTTGAACTCGAGTGATATAATATCTCTAGCGCTACAAACACTCCGCAATCATCATCCGTAAGTCTACGTAAACATGGCAAGCAACACTGTAGTGCCCAGGGCCGCACCTCTAGATGGTCTCTTTGTGAGTAACCCTGCGGGCTACTTTGGGAAACTTATGTTAAAGCAATCGCCACCTCTAGAACTATGAGCTCCATGAGGAGGTCGGCCGAGGCGCTGTCGCCATCGTCTATCGTGCAACTTCCAAGCGAGGCCGGTTTCGTAATCGCCAGGTGGCTATTAAGAAAGTGTGTAATCTATGGTGGCAGTCGTCAATATGGAGCTAATGCATGTTATAGATTCCACGTGCCTCCGGCGTGTATCCTCCAAGCGATTTTGTTCTCTCTGCCTCTCTGCACTCCGCCCTCTACCACCCCTCCATCGTCTCGCTCATATCAACATTCAGCGCTCCCTCTGGCTATTATCAAGTGCTGGAGCTGCACCAGGAAGGCACCCTCGCTAATCTTCTCTATGCGCGAGCATCACGCGTCCTCGCAGAACCCGAGTTGAGAGGGGTGGCAAGAACGCTCATCGACGCGCTCGTCTACCTCAAGAAAGAGCTCGTCCTTCACCGCGACATCAATCCAACAAATATCATAATTACACAACACGGGCGGATTGTAAGACACACATGTTTATTTGAAAACGGAGAAAATCGAACTTACATACTTACAGAAGTTGTCCGGTTTTGGTGCGGCTGTCAAACTACTGTCCGCAGACACTACCATCGATGAGTTCTGTGGCTCGGCAAATTACGTGTCTCCGTAAGTACGTCCCATTCTCCTTAGAGTAGCGCATATATTGACTTCATTATCAGGGAAATCCTGTCAGGAAGGCCGTACAGCTTTGCAGCCGACCTGTGGTCCGTTGGTTGCGTTTTTGTCACATGCCTGTCGGGTGCCCCAGCGTTCCATGTAAGTCATTTGGTACACTTATAAAGTCGGCTTAACGTTCAACGTGCGCAGGCAAGCAACCCGGACGACGTGTACCACAAAATATGCAACGTACAGTATACGCTCCCCATTTCGGCCAGTTTAGAGGTTCAGGATTTGATATCATCGATCTTGCAGAAAGTTCGTAAACGCTACAAATTTCTGCTGTACTAGATCTCATCGCATTGTTTGTTGCAGAACTCTCAAGACCGTGCGGCGTTGCACCGAATTCCCTCCCATATGTTCTTTGAAGCATCTCTCTCCGCGACACCTCTTAAGTTAATCAATAGCGATACGGAATCTTCGGCATCCCATCAACCTATATCGAATAACAGTTCTCACAAGCTCCCTTCTGCCAGACGATACCCCACTCATCTCTCCCGCGATCCAGCGCGTCCCCGGCCCACCTCTGAGGCGTGTACCCACACGAAGTCAACTACTCGCTTCAAGCGGATGCCCCTGGGAGATATCACCAATACGTACTCTGAATGCTCTACAGACGACGGCGACAACCTCCTCCACGCACCGCCGGCTCGCATCGTTCCCAGTCCAAATCCCACTGTCAACTCTCGCGCACCAACCCCAGCTGGCTCGGTGGATACTAGGGCCTCAATTCTCTCTTCTGGTGACTTTTCTAGGCAGCCTGGTCTTCGCTATGGTGCCCCAAGCCCGTCAGAAGTGGCCCACTATGACTTTGATCGGAACTCCGAGCGCTCTTCTCCTAGGTCTCAGCTTAGGCGTGTGCTCTCCGACCCCTGCGACTTGCCTGTTTCTAGGCGTGCTGTATCTCTTCCCACTGGGCGGCCTAGGCTGTATTCTCGAAACACAGATGTGCTACAACCGAGGGTTTCTTCTCTGGCGACCACTACCACTTTCGTGTCTCATCCTCGTTCTCCAGCTAGAGAAATAGCTGCGAAGGACACTGTTTTTGCCAAATCTGGAGATGTTCATGGCCGAACTGGTTCTCTGAACACCCATAGGCTAAAACCACAGACGCACAAGGTGTCACGCGGGCAGCTCGTCGTGCTTCCCTCTCGGTCCCTTCTCGTCGACTTCAGAGAGGGCGAGCGCAGGAAGGGCGGCAAGGGTAGGGAGGTTATGGTGATCAGCGCCGACGGTGGTACCGTGAGTAGACTTTCCACCTTTCATGCAGGGCGAGCCAGGTCCTGATGACAGGTTCCGCAGATCGAAGTCTACGACGCACCCCATCTGAGCACGCCCTGCTGCCTCGCAGAGGCGACTGCGGCGTATAGTTTTGCACACCTTCCCCAAAGCTACGTGAAGCAGTACAACGACGCGGCGCGCTTAATAGATCAACTCAAGGCGCGCATGCCGAAGGTAAGTGGCGCATGGGTTGTATGCCAATGTTCCTGACGAAATCTGTAGCTGGTACACTACGTTGACGAGGCGAAGTGCACGCTTATGGCGAATGGACCCTCTGGTGACATCGAGGTAGTCATTCCGGCGGAAGAGGACAGGAAGAACGCGCAGCAAAATGCTATTCGGCTTCGACTCCACCAGAAGAAGTGTACGCTCGAGATATCGCGTTATTCAGGAAGACCGGTTGGCTCGAGGGGCAGGAAGGACCTTGGTGAATGGACAAAGAAGGTGGTCGCCCTTTGTCCCGACTTCACACTTGCGGTAGAGGACAAGGCTGCGTTGGATGATCTGGAGCGGCTCGCGATGAGACATCTCTCCGAGTTTTTGCGAATCTGCGACGCCGCGAACTCACCTTAGGATCGCGACCAGGCGAAGGCGTAGTTTTTCCGCAACTAGTAGTCAATCGAATTGATACCGTACTGTACCTATTCTTTAATTGTTCTGTATGTTGTGAATTATATCGCATGTTGTGTTGGATGATGAGTGAAAGAGGGCTTTATACGTTTGAACGCCCGTGGTGAAGATGATTGCCTTTTATGGGTGTGTACAAGATGAGTATCAAGTTCGCCTGATCGCCTCTTCTTCTCCACCACCTCTTGTTTCTCTTCCACACCTTTCGAGAGCTTCGGAACCTGTGGATGTCTCAGCAATCAGCCGCGCCCAAGCCCACGCTACAGGGGGTCCGTATCAGAGCCAGAAAGGGCGCAGTCAAGGCCCACGCCAAACACGAACCCAATAGTGAGCTCGCCTCCGAGGCCGCCAGGAACGCCCGCTGACCCCCTGCACCAGTCTTCCGCGACCAGGTCTTCAAACACCTTGAAAACGTCCCCCCGAGCGACTTCGAAGCTGTCACCAACAAACTAGTGCAGGCCGGTGGAACCCTCGAGTACCTCAAGTATGCAGACGCGCTCTTCGAGCTTCTCTTCGTCGGTGGCCTGCTCCAACCCGGTGGCCAGTACGTCGAGGACGGTGCCCCGCTCTCGCCCTTCTCTGTGCTCAACGCGAAGGAGCCCGTGGAGGTGGCAGACGTGAAGCAGTATGTCGAGGTGATGAACAAGCTTATCCGGAGGTGCGCCATCCATGTTTTGCTCGCCACACGTCCTAAACTTTGTCTACAGGTACAAGTATCTCCAGAGACCGCTTGAACAATCCGTGTTGCCCAACCTCTTCCAGTACATGAACCGCTGGCCAGAGCCGCAGAGGGAAAAGATCGTGGTCGCCTCCGGACTGCTCATGGCCCAGGGCATCGCGAGCGCCAGCGCCCTGCAGAGCCTGACGAAGGATCATCTCATCAAGAACGGTGCGTACTGCCCCTTCGAATGAGATCTACATGGTCCTCAAAGCGCCCTCCAGATCTCTCGGCCAACGTGATCACCCTCGTCTTCCGGGCGTACCTCACCTCGCAGCCGATGGAGCACCTCGCTGCGGCGCTCAAGCGTGGCGGCATCAAGGACCTCCCTGCGTTCTTCCCGGACAACAAGCGCGACGACAAGACGATCGACGAGCACTTCCGCAAGGCGGGCCTCCCGCAGGTCGCGGAGTGGTGGACGAAGCGCCAGTACGCGTCGCTGAAGGAGACCGTCATCACGCAGCTCAAGGAGATGCTCGAAAACGGCGACTCGCACGCGGATATCGTCACCGCGATCCGGACGCGCCAGGAGGAGCAGCCCCTCCCGGAGACCGAGCTGGTCTCGTGCATCTGGCAGGGCCTCATCTCGTCCATCGAGTGGAGCGCCCGCCAGGACCAGAACGAGGCGCTTGCGCTTCGCGAGATCACGGTGCGTACGCACTTGTCCGCGACTCTGGTTGTATGCTCATTATTCGGTAGAACTTTGCCGACATCATAGAGCCATTCTGTAATGGGCCGAAGACCGAGGTCGCCCTCATCAACACCGTCCAAGTGTATTCCTACGAAGACACGCGTATCATTAAAGCGTTCCCCCAGATTCTCAAGGTGCGTCTCTGCGCCTTTCCTGTTGTCCGAAGTGCTCGAGCTGACACCGTTGCTTCCAGGTTCTGTACAACAAGGACTGTATCTCTGACCAAGCTATTATCTATTGGCACCAGAAGGGCTCCAAGCCGCAGGGCAGGCAGCACTTCCTGCAGTCCGCTGCGCCTCTCGTCAAGGTGTGTGGTCTCGACGTCCCATTCCGTGCCCCCATACCAATTGCATGTGCCCCCAGTTCTTGCAGGAGCAAGAGAGCGATGACGAAGAGGAGGAGTAGAAGACAACCACGGCGCGCCGTGCATATGTATACTGTTTGCGTTCGGCTGCATGTATCTGGTTTCCCAGAACGACGAATGTGGCGATGCGTTGAGCCAAGGCTTTCTCGCGGGCACGAGCATGCATTTACAGCAAGTTATCGACATACAAGACAAAGGTAGATGATCGGCGGGAGAGTCGAGACTGAACAGGAAAACAAGACGAATCGGTCGGTGCGAACGAACATGTGAAAGGCAGGCAACAAGAGCAGCGGAGAGAAGACGGACGCGGGTAGTGCTACAACGTACAGTACGTGAACGGAAGCGGGAGCATTAGTCCCCCTGCTTCTTCAGGGAAGCGACGGGGCCACTAAGAAAGACGGAACCGATCGTCCCAGGCATCGATGCCTGGGACCATGCTCGAGGCGTTTTACTCTATATACAGTCTGGGTGGCGAGGCCGTGGGTGCGCAAGAGGATGCCACAGGATTTCACCACGCCTCCGGCATCGGCGGGAAGTCGCCCATCCACCCGTTCGTGTGGCCCACGTTCAGGAAGATGCCGTCCGACCCGTTCTGCGGGAGCCCCAGATCCGTCAAGCTCTGCACACGATCGTCAGCAAGCTTCGGAGAATATGCTAATATGGTGTCGCGTACCTGTTCCTGGAGCCAGAGCGGGATCGCCGCGGGGTTGAACATGCGCTGGTCGTTCGCCCACGCGCCGACCTCCTCGACCGTGAACGGCGGCGGGGGCACGATGCTCGGGTCGATGAACGTCGGCGGGGGTCCCATCATCGCCTCCGTAGGCCCGCCTTGCATCCCTTGAGGGGGCATACCAGACGGCGTGAGTCCGATCTTGCGGCGGAGGTTCGCGAGCATGATGCGGAGCGTCAGCGCATAGCGCTCCGCGGCGACGTCGGAGAGCAGCTGCGCAAGCTGCTCCACCTGGACCGTGATCGCGCCGAGGTCGAGCTCAGCCGGGAAGAGGTTCGCCATCTTGAGCAAGAAGAGGCCGGAGAACGCGGCCATGACGAGCGAGTCGTGCACCGCGTAGCGCAGCGCAGCCCTTTTCGTCCGCCGCGGGCGAGGCGAGAGAGGCGCGGGGGGCCAGGTCAGTGCGGCGGCGGGCGAGGGAGGGGCGGGGGGCGCGTACCTGTAGGTGTGCGAGTCGAGCAGGTTCGAGAGGCAGTTGGACGCGGCGTCCTTCGCCTGGAACGCGAGCTCGCGCTGCTCGAACGGCATCTTGTCCCACGAGACGCCGCGGAGCGCAACGCACACGAGCCACAGCTTCGCGTAGTGCAGCTCGCCCGCGAGGATCTTGCGTGGGAGCGCCTCGTCGTCCATGGATTGGCCTGCAGAGGGGTTAAGCACCGTGTATGCTGGTGTAGGAAAGAGACTTACGGTGCAGCTCGTCGCAGTCGGCCCACCACTTGTCGAGCGCGATGTTCGCACGGCGGATGAAGGAGAGCGTGTTGTGGTTCACTTGCCCGTTGAGCGGCGACAGCGTCTCGTAGATTTGCGCTACGGCCGAGCGTCAGCATCGATGAATTTACACACACCAGTGACGAAACGCACTCTTCTGTGCGATGAGCTCAACCTGGGAGACGAGGCGCACATCCGTGGGCGAGACCATGGGGTGTGAGAGCAGCACACGGCAGTGGCGGATCGAGCTCTCATCACGCAGCACGATCGGCCGGCCCGTCCCCAGGCTCATCTGGTGGTCGAACCAGTACAGGCAGAGCCAGATGCGGGCGGATACCACTGCAGCGATGATGAGGGTGTATCCAATTGAATCATGAATTGGCGAGGACTGACCGAGGTTGCGCTCTTCCTCCTCGGAGCGCTTCTTTCCGCCGTCATCCGCAAGCTTCTCGAGCGCACGATGGAGACCGAGGTCGAGCGCCATGCGCATAGCGTGACCACTAGGTAGCCACCCATTCGTGCTCCACGCCGCGAGCAGAAGCATCCCTATTCCCCCATGATTGTGAGCATCTTATCCCCAATTCGAACATGGCCACATGAGCGAACGCACCCTGGACGGCCTCCTTGCGCACGACAGGTCCAAAAAGGGACGAGCGTGCGATGCCCTGCGCCTCCTCGAGACACTTGTAGAACGCGGGGATGAGCGGGCCGGTCCCGCTCCGGATCTTGGCCGCGACAGCGAGAATGGCGTCGAACGTCCACGGACTGCGCTCCATAAGCCCCTCGTACGTGTCGTACGTCGGGTCAAACACGGGAATAAAGATGTGGCATCCGGAGAAGAATCTGCAAATTATGAGATGGAGTAGTGACGCGATGAAGAGGAAGGGCGTACATGTGGTAGAGCTCGCGGGCTTCGGCGTCGGAAACGAGTCCCTTGGAGAGCAACTCGTTGAGACGCAGGACGTAATATCATGCCTGAGGATGACATACTTTTTCGACGACGTGGGGGAAGGCATTGCGCGGGGTCGGCTCAGCGCGCTTGCGCTTCTTCACCCTGTTGACAGTGTAAGCACAGTTGAAGACGCGCTCTGGTTATACGTACCTGGGAGGCTGAGCGGATGGGGCGGCGGCAGCCTCTGCAGCAGCGTTCGCAAGCCCCTGTAGAGCCTCGATAGGCGCATTAAGCGTTGAGCGGGGAAGCGTGTCTTCCGATTCGTCGTCCGAGGATGGCGCAGTACTCGGCACAATACCGTACGTCGCGTACTTGTGCGGCTATATGTTACGAGGCCGGGTAAGTCGCGTAACATGAGAGTGAGCAAAGACGGACGGACCGGTGGAGCAAAGCCCGGGAGGGGCGGGAACGCGCGCGGACGAGGCGGTCCGTCGCCCTGTCCGCCCGGAGAGTTCCCGTACATCTCGTTGTTGCGCTGCGGCGGCATGGGCCCAGACATGACGGGGCTCTCGCGCGACGGACCGCCCGGTGGGGGGTACGCGGGGCCGCCCTGGACGAGCGCCTGATTCTGGCTCTGGATGGCGGAGAGGATGCGGTCGAGGGAGGACTGCATGCCAATCATCTGGCTCTGCATGACCTGTTCCCCGAGGTCAGCAGCCGGTGTGCGTGCTGTGAGCGCGGGGGTACGTACGAGGTACTGGCCCTCGAGGCGGGAGAGGCGTCTTTGGGGGAGGGGAGATGGTGGTTTGAGCATGAGGGGCGCATAATGCCACGCCGCCCCAAGCGACGCGACACGAACAGATGGGTGCACTTACTCGACGCTCGCAGAGGACAAGGCCTGTCCGTTTTTCTTCTCGGGTTTCTCGAATACGCATTGTGCCCCGCTCAGTTGGCATCGGCGGCAAGGAGACTAGGCAAGCGTAAAGTCAGTTTCCCGGGCCGGGCGGAGAGACGGGCCAGACGGAGACGGGGCGGGCGGGGCGATGGGGTGGACAAGTGGACATCACATCCGTCCCGGCGGTAGGAGTGTATGGAATAAGAGCACAGGGGGTCGGGAGGAGTGGATGGATCGCCATGCTCGGACGGCGATGTTGATCATGGGGGTGAAAACGACGCGACGACTCACCTCGCCCTCGCACCTGTTCTTGCCCTTGCGACAGTTGGTGCAGGCGCGCGCACCGCGCTTGGGGATGTGGGCGGACCCCCCGCCGCCGGGAGTGGGCGGGGCGGCGAGCCCGGACGCGGACTCGCTCGGGGAGCCCATCTCGGACCGGGCAGGGCCGTTGGGGGCGGGACCGCCTGCACCGGCGGCGAAGCTGGCCGTGCGACGACGCTTGCCGTTGGGTTGCTCGTAGTCGTTGGACGTTGTGGGCGAGAGGGACATCATGTGCGGGGACGGGAACGGAAACGGGAGCGGGGACGAAGACGGGGATGGCAGCGAGGAGGGACGCGGGCACGACGAGGTTGAGTGCGCGGGACGGGCGGAGACCGGGCCCCAGCTCTTTACGCCCCCCGCCACCGCTCGCTAACCCCCGATTATCGCCCCAAATCCGCAAAATAATCGCAAACTCCCCTGCCCGGGCTGCCCGCCGGGCCAGCTGACCCGCCTGCCTGCCGTCTTTCTCCCATCCCTCCGCGGGTCCCTGCTTCCCGAACGTCCTCTCCGTACACCACCCTGCAGCCCGTCTTCGCTGTCCCCGCACCGACGACCAGGCCTTCTGGTGGCGTTTGTGTTTCGCTTCTGCGAACCGGTCGCGTCCTGTCCGCAAAAAGAGGTGGCTGGATCGCCATATCGCCTCCCGAGACCCTTGATTACCCGTTCATTGGCTGCGCCTCCATCTTGTGCTCACCTCCTTCTAGGATCTGCTTGTCCCAGTTCGCATCTCCCTAAACGATCGCCCGACGACAAACAACGCGCGGTCCCGCTCTTCTAGCCTAAGGCACCAGCCCCCGGTCCCGCACGCTCGGGGTATCCAAGGCGGAGCCCCGCACCTCACAATGGCGCGACCACCCGCCGTGCTCGTCCACTGAGTGCCGTAGAACGCATTCCCTTCTGTTGTCATCAACCTGCTGGACGAGCGTGACGACACCGCGCTCCCACACCCGATCCACCTGACGGCGACGCCGCGCATCCTTCTTACCGGAAATAGCGCCGCGTTCATGGGCGCACCCAGGTCCTGCGCTCGCGTCTCTCCTTTGCATTCATTAGCCACGTTAGCTATCAAGCACGAGCTGCAGGCGTACGGTCGGCTGTCCTTCCATGAACGCGGACGTGAAGACCTCCGGCTTCGCCACGATCGAGGGCGAAGAGCTTATTACGCGGCTGCAACGTTTGCAGTAACTCGCCTGCATCTTACCCAACCTCGGATGGTCTCCGTACTGCAGCTCGATGGACTGAATGCATTTCTTGCCAGCTGCGCCGCTGCTGACCCACAGTCGTCATGCAGTACTCTCGGCTAGTCTGTCCAGGAACCCGGCGGCATCCCCTGCCCTTCCGCACCCCCGCGCGCGTGTGCGTGTCCGTCAGAACGCCGGCCAAGCTACAACAGCCCCCGGGGTCGTGAATCCATGTGGCCAAACAGCCTAGTACGCAACCGCCACAGGCACGCGCTCCCAGGCCGCCCCGCACAGTGGCATGCTGCACATAGGAACTTGGCTTCATTGTACGTTGCTGTCGGCGACGCCGCCGACGCCTCAATATCCCATTACATACTCACTGTTGGCGATTGACGAAGCTCGCGTCTTCTGGAACGCGGATGGTGCGCACTTACGCCCGCCCTCTCCCCGCGATGGGCCATCCGGTGATCATCCGCCTTCGTCCTCACACCGCGAGCTCCCGCTGCTGCTTTGCTCCGCTTCTGCTTCTCCGCGCGCCGCTTCTGCCTGGGGCCCTTCTGAACCTCCGCCGCTCACCTTCTCTGCGCCCGACCCGCTTCGCCCCCGCTATCTCACCTCAGATGGCATCGGAACACCGGGAGAAGACGAGGGCCCCGACGCGTCATCTCCTGCTGACCTGCACATTGCCTCGCCGATCCCCATACGACACGGCCTTCCACCCGCGTTCGTGCGGAACACAACGCTCAATATCCTCCGAGCGCGGAGAGACGCCCTGCGCGACGGCCTCCCGTCCTGCGCGTGAGCGCTGCGCCAGGCTTCGGACCCTGGTCAGGAGCCCGTGCGCCCGCATGGACGCAGCGCGAAGCACAGCGGTCTCGTCCGCGGAGTGTACGTATGCGCGGCGGGGCGCGACCGCCGCGGGATTATTATGAGATGGCCGATATGGCTGGGACCCTTCTCTGGCGCGACCCTCGGGACTACTTTGCACCAGTCTATCTTTGCGGGGCTATCTACGGATCCTACCCAGTGTCGGAGAACGTACGATACAATACGGTGTTGTTCCGCTCCATTATGGATGCCGTGTACGTAGTGCGGGGTATGGTACATATGGAACAATGTTTGGAAGTCCGACGAGAATCTAATCCGACGAAAACCCAATCGACAGCGAAGAAGCAGTGACAAACAAGTCTCAAAACAATGTGACAGGAGGGGTTATACCCCAGAAACACGTTTGGCCGCAGCCGCTACGACCTCGAGACCCAGAGAGCACACCACCGCCATCAACGGCGACACCATGTACTGCGGGGCAAAGCAGCGTCAGCGCGGACTCCTCATCTCAGACCGAGAAAAGACATGGACACGTACAGCGATGGTGAGGTATCCTGCTATCGCACCCTGACTGATGTTCACAAGCTCGGCGACGCTCACGAGGAGCATCGCTGATGGGCCTGCAGGTACCAAGACGAGCAGGAACCTGGTACAAAACACGTGTCAAGTCAGTGTTTTCTGCGAGAGACTTCAAGAGACGACGTCGACTGACCAGACTAGGCGGTCGTCGACATAAAACCCGCGACCAGCTGTGGCAAGCACGAAGAGCAGGCCGGCACCGGGCATCACGATGAACCGAACGAAGAGGACCCACGAAGTCGCGAGTGCGCCCGGATGTGTTGACGGCACAAGAGCGAGCTCAGCACCTACGGTGAAGGTTTGCAGGACAACGCTGTGATGAGGGTGAGTGTCAGTTCAAGCCTGCCTGCATGTATGCGCGCGGATAAGAGGAGTACACACAAGAGCTCTCCTAGGTTGGCCACCGACTGGGTGAAGCTTGTGTATAACGCGCCATCTTTGCTCAAAATCAGGTCATGCAGCACGGGTGTGATCTATCCCTGCGAGTCAGTACGCTGTATACGTCTACAAGGGTGTCGAGAACTTACACCAATGACTAGCGCGAGGATTGCCCCAATGAGCGGCGGACTCATGCCAGCCCATATCGTTTTCAGCGGTTTCTCCAAAAACCGGATGCGGTGCGGCCAATGAACGTTGGGCTGGTCGGCAATATCGCTGAGCGCCCCACTGTATCCCTCCGCTCTCGCGTCATCCGAATCGTGCTCATGGTCGTCCAACAGGCCGACGCGCTCCTGGTCTTGCACAACCGTGGTGAGCCGTCCAGGCCCCGGCCGCAGCCTATCCTGCCGCTCAGTGTCATTATCCTTGCTATGGTCACTATCGCGCTCCATGATGCTCGGGGTGAACTGGAACGTGATCGTCTGCTGCACGATCGCGTTCAGCAGGATAAGAGACTTTGCGCGCGCGAGCGTCGCGCTGACGTTCTCACCCGGGCGCGACAGCGTGTCAAGCACACCGGTGCTCTCGAGCGACTGCAGTAGTAGAAGCGGGAGTGCATTCGAGTTCGGGCGTCCGCTGGCCGCGATCGTCCAGTACGGGAGCTTAAAGACGCGCTGGCCGAGCCAACCGACGGCGTGCGCAAGGATTGTACTGAAGAGGCCCCAGAGCGGGATGATCCAGACCGCGCGGAGGTTGGACGCGGTGAGCTGCGGGCCCATGGACTCGACGATGAGGCAGGGGAGGAAGAGGCTCGTGCAGAGCTTAGAGACGTTGCGCACGGTCTTGTGGTCGAGGAAGCCGCGGCGGGCCATGATGTAGCCCGCAAGGAGGGTGAGCAGGACGGAGACGGTGCCCTGGAGCGCACCGGAGAAGGTGCTGATCAGCGTTCCTATGCCTGGGTTCATCGTGGATGAGGCCATCTGATGAACGCGAGGAATGTGAGCGACGCTGAAGGTGTACGGCCGGCGAGCCAATCGGCAACTGGGAGCACACCTTTGGACTGAGAACTGGGGAATGCCAAGAGAAGTTCGAGGGGGGAAGAAACAAGAACCTCGCCCGCTCCGTAGACGAACTTCAGCCTGCGTAGCTTAGATACTCCACTTGCCTCGACCCCGCCCAACTGGCAGTTCCTGTGAAGGTTGCTCATGACGTCACTTCAATGATACTACAACTGGATCCGACACTGACTGCATCCTATCCTCATCCTATATCGTGCGTCTCACTAGTGGGAAAAAACAACCCAGGAGGGTATAGCTTCCTAGTGCGACGCAGAGTCTTTAAACGGCATCGCAGGCAGGGGTAGGGAGCACGAACTCAGCAAGCGCCCGCTTGTGTTCGCTTCTTTCCACGTGCGCGTGAGGGCCCGAAGGTGGCAGTGCCATCGTAACCTCCCAGCGCTAAATTCGAGTCCTCTCTGGCGTTCAACCTGTTCTCTCTCGCGGAGGTTACCTCGTACAATGCTTCGTGATGATGGCGAGCATGCGATTGAAATTTCTGGAATACCTTCATCGCCACAGAATCGCGCACAGGGTGGGTTTCGCTTTGTCTTTTTACAGGATGTATACCGACAAGTCTTCAGGATATCGACGTGTCCAACATGGCGATGAACTGGTACTGCAGTCGGTTTGAAACAGACACGTGTGTTGAGCGCCGACGCGAGCATATCCATTCATCAGCTGTGGTATATGCATTGTTCGACTTCGACTTGTCGCTGCAATTGCCTCCCGATACGTCGCTCAAGTCGTGCCGGCGGCCAGCAGACGAGGCATTCATAGGCAAAAAGCTGTATCATGCGCCGGATGTGTACGAAGGCGAACGGCATTATAACCCATTCGCGTTCGACGTTGCATGCCTCGGGAGGTTATATTTAGCCCATTTCAAGGTAAGTAGGTGACGGGTAGTCGCGTGAATCTGAGCTGGCGTTGACTAACAGATACGCAGGACGTTATACCCATTTTCCCTGCTCTCGCGCCGCTTATTGGGAACATGTCGACACACGTTATCGAGGATCGGTGGTCCGCGGAAGAAGCGCTCGCCTTCTTCGAAGAAATCGTGGCAGGACTGTCCCTCGACGCCCTCGATTCAAGCGTAACCTGCCAATTCGATCTCGACATCCTCGATGACCCGGGTTGTCGAGGGTATCATATTCCCATTGACAAGCAACACTTGAATCAAGGGTGGCGGGGAACAGTCCGGCTGATTAGCACCGACATCGGCTGCGCGATTGTTCCGCGCGTCCGTCTGTGGCTACGTATATAAAACCGCAATATTCCGCCTAAGGAAAATCTCGGCCATTACTCTACGATACCCCAGAATATACCATCTTTCTAGGTGCCAATCCGCCTCTTTGAGCTCGGGAGACAAGTCAGTGCGGACTAAGTTAAAGTACTACTCTTCGACGTCAGCGAAAGTTATCGCGCTTTGATATCACCGGTGACCGCATGTGCCTGCGAACCTGGCTTCGGCCGTTTGAACGTAGGAGGATCGGCTTCTATCTCTCAGTCTCTGCAGCCGTACTGTGCACCCATTCCTGTGACAGTTCCGCAGACACTCGGAGATGCCTAAGTTCTCTCGCACTCCCTTGATAAGCTAACGCACTACGTCCGACGTGCATTAAATATATAACTGCCGAGCCCACCTGCATATCACGAAGATCCCTCACAGAAAGCTATGACAGTACATGGGAATACACCGCGAACTTCTTGTGCCTCTTCCAGCGCTCTTCATCCGACCCGTTCCTCGAAGTCCCACACCCGAGCTGAACAAGTTCTACACCGGGGACGACGTCTCCATCGTTAAGGTCCTCTTCTTGTCATCCTTTTCTCCGAGTCCGAGGGGGAACTCCCGACCAGACTCCGACTCGTGCGACGTAGGCACCGCCCCCGAACCCACCGTGGACTGCCAGAGGGATGTCGAGACCTGAGAAGACGGAACGGCCCACTATCACGTCTCACGCGTCAGCCATCGACAGGCGCGGGAGACAGTGGGCGGCGGGCGGTGCGTACCTGGGGGCTCTTCCATGTGACGATCGGCACGGGCGACTGCTCGGTGCTCGAGCTGGCGCCGGATGCTGGGCACAGCTCGAAGTCGTCGACCATGCTTGCGCTCGACACCAGCGAGCGGCGCGAGTTCAGTCTGTGATGCCAGAGACACGGGGTGAGCGAGGTGATTGGACGACAGGTGATGCGTTAGGTACGCACATGGCGAGCACGGAGTTCGCGTATACTGTGATTTATGTTAGCGTTTGAGTTATAAGAACATTGCAGGTAGTGGACACACATTTAAGGTTGACGATGCTGAGACCGGCGTATATGTAGTTGCCTGGCAAGATGAGCGCCTGAGATAGAGTGTCAGGCTACTTAGGCATGGGCACTAGCGTGGTACTCACGAAGACGAAGGTAAGCAGCCCTGTGATGCTGAGTGATACAAGGGTAAGAGTTCCGTTTAGTAAACGCATTCAAGAACCAATTCTACCCAGTAAGGAGACCTGTGCTTGCGGCGTCAACTTTAAAATCTTTAGAGTTGCAATACTAGTAACTGCATACCGGTGTTGATCGAATACAGGATGAGCGTGTCAATCAAGGAATCCGTACTAGAACGGCAATCAATCTAGCATCGCGAGAGGGGGGGAGAGCACAATAACCGAGCTCACCTCTTGAACCCTGTGCGACTATGCAGCAGCACATGGATGAGCGCTCCCGTCAGGAGCGTGTCGGTCGCGAGCGCGCAGCCATACGCTCCCGATATGAGCCACTATGGCTTGAATTTAGTTATCGTAGAGCGCAGACGGCGTACGATTACGCTTACGCTGAACCGCGGGAAGTCTACTAGACTCAACTCGAACCTACAAGCCTACTAGTCAGCTCTGTGAAGAGGATCGAAATGCACGATGACTGACGCTTTGACGCAACCGCCTATGACAAAATGTGAGTAGAAGCTTGGCAGAAGAGAATATCTACTGCAACGCACTGATTCCAAAGCCTGTGAGAAGGTTAGAGCAAGATAAATGTTCTGCAGTAGGCCTAGCGACGATCGTACTTACCAAATGTTGCGAGCATAGACACCGACTGTGGTTCGAATGGTCAGAAGACACGACGTCTGCGATTTTATGTATCTTACAGCGAGAGCGACAACCCAGCGGGTCTTCGTGTGAACTGCTCGCAAGAGCTTTATGAGTACCGTTGAAAGCTGGTGTGGACATGCAAGTAGACGCTTACGCAGGTAGACACGCCGCGCGTAAAAACTACGCAAGGCCGTAACCCCAGTGAGCGCATGTCGAACCTCTGCGAGCAGACCTACCATTGGCATACAAGGCTTGCCGTATTCTGGATGGTGTGAATCGAACATCATGGTCCATCGTTGGGTGTTGCGGACGTACCGTGAGAATGACATTCACCTGTGGCAAGCACCTCGGGTTGAGCACACAAGACTCGGGGCCTTTCCTAGATTGATAGAATACTTACTTTGTCGGTCCTGTGACGAAAAACCACAGAATCAAAGCTTTGGGTGGGTGGATGTCGCATCAACAACTTACCACTGTCCGGCGGTGATTGCACTGGGCTTGAAGTAGTCCGTTATCAGGAAATGATAACTATCCGGACAACGTCAGAGCATGTGCTGCAAACCTGGTGTGGCAGAGTCAATGATACTAACCATGCTATCATCCATATCACAGTATGGAGTGTCTCCAGCGTCCTGTAGGCCTATATGAGACATGTGCAGCTTATCAGGCTCTACGGACTTACACAATCAATAAGACCTGAACGTTGGCGATGATGTGCGCGTAGTGTCAGGGGGCCAAAATACATGGGTAGCGGGACGGGTCGGGAACGCTCACGAAAAGCTTCAATGGTCTAGGATCCCTAGAGTATAGTCGGAAGTATCTATAGGTCTGGTGGATGGTGAGCCCATAGAGCCTGTCCCAAATGTCAGTCGCAAGCTGTACTCACATAGAATGCGCACTCACATGATCCCAAGGAAGGTACCTAGGAGCATCGCGCCGTAGCTGTTGTCCAGAGCAGGGATCGCAGGCAACGCGCCCTGCGTGTCGCTCAAAGGTGTGCCGGTAGCGTTCTGAAGGGTAGCCATGATCACGAGCTGACCGAGAGCTTGCGGGGGTACCTACCCGGCAATGCATACATATACTCGCAGGCTGGATAGGCACAAGCGGATGTTTTGGTACTTGGAGTAGTACCGGCATGCGCGGACAGCGAAGTCATTGCTGACAGGCCGAGGGAACTCGGAGGTTGGGGAAGTACCTGATGGCCCTTGGAAGTGGGATTCAATGGCTTTCGGGGAGGCTGCAGCAGATCCACCGGTATAGAGTGGATCAGTTTCAGAAAGGTGGGGTTTGTATTGCGATGTCTAGGCCGTGACATGATATCGAGCCTTAGACGTCGTGCAGCGGTTCCCTGAAGCTTAAAGTCCTCTCTAAGAACAGAATTGAATGCCCTAAAGTTTGAGCATGTCAGTTCGCGAGCTGTCCAAGGTTTCCCTGATAACTCCGGCACATACCCCATGACCCTCTCACTTGGGTGCGAAGTGGTCGCCTGTGTGCACCGTTCTGTGTGTTTTTGTGTCGACGGTGCCAGTACGTTGTCGTAGTAGTGTGGCGCATACGCAGCGACCGGCGTCATACACAAGCACCGATGCCTTGGCGTCCAATCAGGCCACGTGAAATGACGCGGGCTGCGGGCTGCGAGCGCTCCCTTGTCCAAGACAAGGCAGGCCTGGACGCGGAGCACTCCATCTACTCTTGCATCCGGTCCCTCACCATCCCACCCCTCCTTCACTCTCTTCATCGACTTACACACAACTCATGGCATCTGCGGTATCTGAGGGATCTTGTAAGTTCGCTTTGTGTCATATGCTGCCTTCCGGACACTCACTGTGGCCCCGTTGCCTTGATTAGCCCACGCTGGGTCGGGGTATGTACCCAGTCCATATTGTATGCATCTCATACTGAGACAAGACGCGTAGGAACTCGACCGACCAAGTTCCACCAAACCTATCATTCAAATGCGCTGTCACTGACTCCAAAGGACCCCGGCGGTCCATGGAAGACGCGCATTCAATCGTCGTCCCATTTGGCGGCATCCGCGGACAAGGCGTTTTCGCGATATTCGACGGCCACGCGGGAAAACATGCTGCAGAGTGGTGTGGGGCAAACTTTGCACCGGTATGCTCATCTTGCACACTGCCGTCCGCGCGCCACTTTACTTACCATTCATGCTTTAAGTGCCTCGTAAATGTCCTCCGCAAGGACAAGAGCGCAGCCATCCCGGACGTGCTCAACCAAACCTTCTATGAAGTGGACATGAACCTTTCGAGACTGTCAGAAGAGTCGGAAGGCAAGATGCATTCCGGCTGCACCGCGGTTACCGCGTTCCTTCGTCTCGAGGACGAGAATGGCGGGCAATCCTTCCTCCCGCCGGACTTCGAGCCGCTTTCCCCAAGTGTCTCCGGCGTGTCCAACAACGATGAGGCGGGTGCCGATGGAGAGGCCCCGAAGAAGAGCACGTCGAGTAAGCTTATACATGCTATCAAGACGCTGGGAAGCGTGTCTTCACACTCTGCTCCGTCTACCGACACAGGCGAATCGCAACCGTCTCCCTCGTCGGAGCAGTTCTTTATTCCCCCATCCACTGTGCGCCGGGTGTTGTACTGCGCAAACGCGGGCGATGCTCGGGGCGTGCTGTGTCGCGGGGGCAAGGGCGTCCGGCTGACGTACGATCACAAGGGATCAGACAAGCAGGAGGCGAAGCGCATCATGGACGCGGGCGGCTTTGTCATGAGCGGCCGGGTCAACGGCGTGCTCGCCGTCACCCGCAGTCTGGGCGATTCATCGATGAAGGAGTTCGTCGTCGGCTCCCCGTACACCACAGAAACCGAGCTTAGCGAGGAGGATGAATTCCTTATCCTGGCCTGCGATGGGGTACGTGTCCCGATGTCGTCATGCACGCGCCCTTCTCACCTTTGATCAGCTGTGGGACGTGGTCAGCGACCAGGCCGCGGTCGAGCTGGTTCGCGGAATGGCAGATCCCCGCAAGGCTGCAGAAGAGCTCCTGGAACACGCGTACCGCAACTACTCGTCGGATAACGTCACCGTGCTCGTGGTCCGCTTCCGCGATCCCCCCGAGAACGTGCGCGCGAACTGACGGCGTCGCTATCGGGGCTCTGTCCTGCTGACACGGTGCGCCTGCTCTTCTCCCGCCACTCTGGCACGAGCGCGGACTAACTGGTGCGCACAGGCTCCGGATAGCGTCGCGTAGATTCCTGTACAAGCTGCCGCCCAAATCGTCGTCGCCCGTCATACACGGATGAGGAACCGTCATACCCGGCCACTCTCGTCGCATCCCGTCTCCTTCCCCGCCCTCGGTGTCTTTTCTTTCGGGTCTCATCGTGCACGCGCCGCCTCGTCTCGCATATCGGACAGTCTGTATCATACATGGTATCATATACGCAGCTACTCCTGATCTGTAGCGTCAAAATAGGAACGCCCAGCAATGTAACTATATATTCACGCTGCCCCGGGCTGCCCGCATGCGCGCGGCAGGGTGTGTCTGGCTGAGTCTCCGGGCCGTAGGGCGAGGGAAACGCCTGACCGTGTGGCACTGGTCGGGCGCAATGCATGAGCATCGCACCGCGCCTCCCGACTTCCGAGAGCCCGAGCTAAAGTGGGCTCTGGAGAAGGTTCCGCCGGAATCGTGTGTGCGCGGAATCAGACATTTTCCCCCGCAGTGATGGTGCCGCGCAATATTTCTGGCGAAGTTTACCCTTCGAAGAGGAGGACCGCCACCGCCAGGCTAGAAGAACTCCCACTAATTGCCCCTAAACAAACTGCGGAGGGAATACGTCTTGTGGGTGGTTATGGGTCCAATGGTGGCATGTTATGGTTTCAAATCTCGTTCTCCTGGGGCCCTCCTGCTGGTTGTAATAAATTCTTTGCAGGCTATGCTTGTGCATCTGTGGGTGTTAGTCAGAGGGGTGTATCGGCGCGCAGGGCGCAGCCACGTTGGCTACAGCCACACTCGGTGATGTCCACCAGAGCACTGGCTAATCCCTCCCCGCTACACAGGAGACGCCGACCATCTTACCTTGTTCAAAACGCAAGCATTCGGAGTGAATACCGAGACACGCGACTGGGACTCGAAACCGGGCACCACGGCTGTAGCAGTGACAAAGTTCGGGCACTGACGGAAATCAAAGTCAACGGTATTTGATATGGCGCGCCTCAAAGAGCGGATATCATGAAGTGGCAGCGTTCTTGGCAGCGACACGGGATGGCGGTATGAGGGAACTCATCGGAGGCGGCTGTGAGTGCACCGGGGAATGATCGAGAGGCATCAGCGCGGGGTAAGCGCGCGCCTAGGACGTCATAGCAGGCACGAGGAACACAAGGAGCAGGCTGCTCTCCTCCGCCACACACCGCCCTCTCTTCCTCCCCACCACATCCCGGTTTTCTCTCTTGGCCCCCATCCTCATCCCGCTCGTCCCTGCCTAACCGACTCTGTACAAGAGCTTCACGAAACACTCACGCCTTTTCTGAACCACCCAGTATTCCCAGACCCCGCAACTTCGCTCACGACCTTGGACGGTGTAAGACATCCGTCACTATGTCTAACTGGCAGCCCAGCGCGTCTCCCAATGGCTATCAACCCGTCTATGGAGCGCCAGATCCTGGACCCGCCCCATACTACGCGCAGACGTCCTACGCGCCCCCACCACCCCCGCAACCAGGGTATGGCGGTGATTCCAAGTCGCCGTACGCGGGCGAGCGGTTCAAGCCCAAGAAGAGGATCAACGACCCCATATTCCTCATCCTATTTATCGCGCAGGTGAGTCGCGATTCATACGTCTGCGTCGCGCGCGAGATTAATGGGTGTGTCCTGCGTGCAGTTGGTCGGCTTCGCGATCATATCCGCCATAACGATATCCAAATTCGGCGGGGACGCTGGCGGACTGGGCGGAGGCGCGGGCTCCGGGAACACTGGGAACAAGGTCACGCTCAACTAGTGAGTGCGCGTTCGCGCCTCGCGCGTGCGGGACGAGCCACTGACACCTGTGCGCCAAGCCATACCGTGATTCTATTGCTCTTCGTGACGGGCGCGGGCCTCGTGCTCTCGGCGTTCTACCTCATGCTTACGCGCGCGTTTACGAAAATTATTATGCATATCACGCTAGTGCTCTCTATTCTCCTGAACATGTGAGTAGTGCGCACGTTTCGCGTTGCTGGGTTCTGGCCTAACCTGGGTTGCAGCGGAATTGCCGTATACTATTGGATCACGAAGTATTGGTGTACGTTCGCACATTTCACTCCGCGCACACGCGTTACTTACCTTTGCCGGTTTAGCTGGAGCTATCGTTTTCACAGTAATTGCTCTCGTCTCTGTGCTCGCATACTGGGGATACCGTTCGCGCATTCCCCTCGCCTCTCTGCTCCTTCAAGTTGTTATGGATGTTGCCAAACATCACCCAAGCGTCTACGTTGTTGCGTTCATTGCGCTCATCTTGCAAGCCGCTCTTAGCGTGTATGTTTCTCATTTCATCACTCAATCTGCAAGTACTGATGCATATACGCGCGTCCTAGGTGGTACACATTCACCGCCATCGCTACGTGAGTACTCTATTTGCCTGTGCGTAGCTACACTCCTGACAGGATGGTTCAGCTATGTGAGGTACACGCCTGGTAGCCCGAGTAAGTATTCATACTCCTAAAGCTAGTATTGCGGCTGACAGCCCGGTAGCCTGTGAAGTCGGAGAGACCTGCTCCTCCGCGAAGGTCATTGGGTTCATCATTTTCGAGACGTTCTCGTTCCTGTGGACCTCCCAGGTCATCGGAAACGTCGCGCTCGCTACGCTTGCTGGCGGTCCCTTCGGCAGTACGTGCCCTCATTTCCCCAGCGGTGGTCGCCGCTTACGCGCATACAGGCTGGTACTACTTCGGCCCCCGCGAACAAGGCATGATGGTGAGTGCTCGACGACCATCGGCCTTTGTTGTCTCTCTGCCGACCATGCTGATCGATTGTTCCCGCTTGCTAGCCTGCGCACCCGACGCTGTCCGCGTTCGTCCGGGCCTCGACACTCTCGCTAGGTTCCATCGCCTTCGGTTCTCTGATCGTCACACTCCTCGAGCTTGTCAAGATGCTGCTGAACATGGCGCGCAACAGCGCCGACGCTGATGGTCACCGTGCGTATCACCTCTTGTTGCTCGCAGGCGGTTTCCGCGGGAAGCATTAATGCTGACTGGATGTTTTAGCGGTCGAGGCGTGCCTAGCGCTCTGCGCGGAATGCTTCATTGGGTGCATCGAGAGCGCAGTAGAGTATTTCAACAGGTGGGTGCTCGTTTACTTCGTGATTGACAAGCTGTGGCAGTGCTAAACGTCAGTTCGGCAGATACGCGTACATCGAGATTGGTACGTTCACCGGAGCACCCTGAGAGAAGGGCTTGTTACTGAAGCCAAAGAATAGCGTTGTATGGAAAGCCGTACATCAGTGCCGCGAAGGACACCTGGCGCTTGTTCAAGGACCGCGGCATCGACGCGCTCATCAACGACTCCCTCGTCGGGATGAGTGAGTAGTCTGCAGTCGGCTTCAACGGCGTAGAATGCTGACCACGGTTCCTAGCGCTGACTTGGGGTGCCTACGCGATCGGTCTCCTCTGCTCGCTATTCGCGTACCTATATCTTCGCTGTGAGTGGATCGCGCTCGCGCGTATGAATCCGACATTTTCTCATGCTGACCCCTCAACAGACACGCACCCATCGTACAACGTCGACGGGCAATACACTGCGCCCGTGCTCGTCTTCGCGTTCCTCATCGGCCTGCAATGCTGTACGTAACCCTGCCGCCCCACATCCTTCTCATCGCTTACGACGCTTCTCCCCACAGCGCTCACGCTCTCTTCCGCGATCGAGGCGGGTGTGTCCACTATGTACGTCCATCTTACGTCCGCGTACCGAAGCTGGCGATGCTAACATTCCGGCAGCTTCGTGGGCCTGGGAGAGGACCCACAGGTGCTCGCGATCCGCGCGCCACCTCTGTTCGCGGTGCGTGCTCCTTGTCTTGGGCCGAACATGGTGATGCTGACTAGCGACGTTCGCGCAGATGATTGCGTCGACCTACCCACAGGTGGTCCAGGGTGTGCCGAGGGTGTAGAGGGTTGCTGCGCGTCGGGAGAGGTCATGGCGTGTTGGTGTAGGTCTATCTCCGTAGCTGGGGGAAGGTCGCGTTCGACATGGACTTTAAATATATCTGTCTTGTCTTCTTGCTATTAATCGCTATCGAATCAATGGGTTGTCACTATGCAAGAGACTTCTGCAAGACAGCTTGATCAGCGAATTCGCGGTTCATCCTCTCGTCGAACATCGCCGTCGGCTTTCGTTAGGATTAAGCACCGCGCACCTTGCTCTGCCCAGTTTTGACGCAGCGCATTCTCGCATTCACAGGATTCGCGAACACTTTCGACCTGGACATCAGGACCGCACACGCGCACACCAGTAATAGAGAGCAGGGGGATAGCGATATGAACATTGAGAGCACTTTGAGCAGCGAGAGCACGATTTACAAGTACATTGATACGAAACGACGAGATAGCCAGAACTCAGCAATTTTGCTGGAATTGGTGCGGACGCGGGAACAAGCCATCCTTCTTGACCTGTTATTCCTCCCGCGTCGCAATTCGCGCACGTTATGCGCTAAGTGAGGACGATGTCACTTTGGTATGTGTCGACCGCCTTCGGGGGCGCCGGACGTTTGTTGAGCATCTGGATCGTGTCCCTCTCGGATTGCTTGGGAAGGCGGAAGCTCGTGGAGCCCAGGCTGACGAGGCATTTCTCCCATTCCCTGATCTCCGTCTCTACGGCGACTTTCAGGAGGTAGCGTCTGCCAACCGGATGTCTGCCGGAGCTCTGGAGGGCTTTGGTCACGCCCTAGCCACGAGGAATACGCAAGGTGGTCAGTAGGTTCCAAGCCAAACAGGACGAACAACGGGGCTGACGTCACGAGAGGTAGGGCCTAGAATCAAGACGCGAGTGTTCAGCGGCACGGGCACTGTTTGTGGCAAACTTTTGTCCTTGATAGGAGGGATGGCGCCGATTGTATAAACCTGACGCGTCCCACAGGTCAGCACGTCATGTGGAGTACGCTGGAGCTGAGTTCTTACGGGCGTATACGCCTCGAGCGGAATGGAGGATGGAACAGGTTGTCCGTTTGGCTGGAAGGATATCACGTTCGTCATGGGAGCGTTGACACCGTCCTGCGTTGAGAATGCTTCTCTCCGGGTTTCGATGTTGAGTTTATGAAACTGATACGTGGTGTTCTCCATCGTGCGCTGAACTTCAACGCCCGGGGCGGGCTCTTGTCCAGGACGCTAATCCGCAAGGATGAGGATACACAGTTGGCGTGAGGACGGCATTTCCGGCGAATCGAAGACATACCACTGGCGGGGTCGGGGTGATGGGGTAGTCCATGTACTTTGTGAGGACCACAAACGTCCCCTCAGGGAAGTTTGAATTGACCCAGTGCGTCAAAACAAACCATTTCCTACTAGCCGGGTCCTTTCGATCTGCAGTAAGCTACAACCCAGACTTCAGCGCAGTGCCCGTAGCCCTGAGGTAAATGATCGACGTACCGGCCAAGGATCATTGTGCACTGGTGCAAGCGCTGGATTGTTGGCCTGGCGAGTGGGAGGCCGGGAAGCCTGGCGAGTGGGCGCGCGGGAAGTCTGGCGACTGGGGGCGCGGGGATCCATCCTGGATGATGTGAGGGAGGAGGCGACGAGGTAAAGAGAACGGAGCTGGCGCAGAGATTTATATACGGTCAGCCAGAATCGTCGAGGCGCACGGCTGATTCTCAGCCTTCTTCACTGGCCGCTTGAAGACCCCGGGGGCTCGTACTAGGAGCAGCGGAGTTAAAATCCATGGCGATGCGATTGTGACCGATCAGATGAGGCTGGATCCTGGCGTTGACTTCGCGCCTTGTATTTGGGTACCACGAGGTTCCGGCCCAATCGTTCCTACGGTGAGTCAAATGGTCAATATGCGAACCTTGAATCCCACGCAAGGCACCGAGAGAAGCACTCGGAACAATTGGCACCATGGTGCCGGCAAAATCCTTGTATTCCATGGAACTCACCGAGTGCCTCGAGGCGCAAGGTCACCGAACCTGCCGGCATCGATCCGCGGATAGAACAACAATGGCGGGACAAATACGCCTATAATTTATGGTACGGTAGCCAAAATGGACATCAATTAGCAGCGCGGTGGAGCTACAAACCAGTGACAGGGAAAGCGCGTGTAACTAAACCTGTAGATAACGGCGGACGGGCGGAACGATCGCGCAGCCAATGTCCGTGCTAATCAGCCAGCGCAGGACACGTCTCGTCCAAGAGCGAGGGGGTGGCCGGTATGCTTTCCACTTGAGTTGGAACTCGGGGGTAAGCTGGTCCCAGTATAGATCCGGGTTATCGAGGGTATCATAATCGTATTGACAGACAACGCTTGAATCGAGGGCGGCGGGGGACAGTCCGGCGAGGATTTCGTTGAAGAACATGAGTGCGTCTTCTGCAGACCACCGTTCTTCTGGGATGTGCGTCGTCATCTTACCCAGCATGGGTGCAAGAAGGGGGGCGGCGGGTATGCAGTCCTGCACGACTCGTCAATAAACGCCAGACAGACCAAGCCTTCGTCACCCGCACCTTGAACCAAGACAGGTATAATCTCCCAAGGCACGCGACATCGAACGCGAATGGGTTGTAGTGATGTTCGCCCTGATAAATGTCCGGGGGCTGGAGCAGGTGTTTACCATAGAGCGCCTCTTCTGCTGGCCGTCGGCACGAGTCCAATGATGTCTCGGGAGGGAGCTGTATCGACATGTCGAAGTCGAACAACGCGTACGCCGCAGACGGCGACCGACAGTGCTCGCGGAATCGTTCTACACAAGCGTCCGTTTCTAGTCGGGTGCAGTACCAGTTGACCATGATGTTGGACTGGTCTATGTCCTACAAAAGTGTCAGCTTGTAGCCTGCTAACGTGAATGACACAATACAGACTCTGTGTGCGATTCGGTGGCGATGGAGATACGACAGTCCCTGTGAGTGACAACAATTAGTACGTCTGCCTAATCGGAGTCGATTTAATTCCAGGACGAACCGAGAGCGTGTGACGGATGAAAGTCATGACTTCGCGAAGAGTGTCGAATTGTTGGGGACGCACTTTGATCCCCCACCTTCATCAATTCGCACGTCAGCTTAGCGACTAGTAATTGCGTGAAGTATGCATACATTGGCATCACAACAAACGCAAATTGGTACGGCGAGTCCAGCACTGCTGTGGGGGGCAGAACACCCGCGCATTCGCGGCTGTCGTACAGCGAACCGCTTTTGGCCAGATGCCTATAGATGTTGTATTCCATGGATCCCTTGTCTGTCAGCTTGATAACGAGGTCTCGTCGCCTCGTATCCTGGGCATAAGCCATGCGGCGCTGCGATATACATCAGGAATTATACCCGCGGGAACGAGCAAGCTATACGCACAAGGAGTGAACGGGATAACCAGCAGTATGGAATAGACTTATCGAGCTTGTCATGGGCACAGCAAGACGCGAACGGTTGCTGAGCTGAAGCCGCTGCTTCCCATTGCGGCAACGCCCACAAGCCGGAGCCACGCTTGAGCATCGAGCAGAGGTTGATACCGAGTGCGGCGAAGTGTGTTCGATACCCTTCCCAGAACGGCTCCATGTCAGGCAGTAAATCTTCGCCGGACATGACAAAGTCAAAGACGGTATCAAAACCGAGCTGTGCGTAGCTCGTGAGCATCGATGAGACTCAGCTGTATTGGAATGCCTACCTCCGGCAGTGGCTCGTTCTGCGCAGGATCGTGATTTATGTCGCATACGAGGCATTGTGGTCCAGCTGTTTCCAAATCTTCAAGCAGCAAATCCTTCACCATGATAGCGTGTTGCAAGAAAATGTGCGAGGCGAGTAGCAGAGGAGATACGTGGTGGTTGAACTTGAGGTACATTCGTCGCGAGCGCTTCCTGTGGGGTGTTGAACCGGAGCACTGCCACCGTCGCGCGCACACGTGATGTTAGCGCCGTCTGAAAGGCGATTTCTGAATTCGGTGTTTCTAGTACAACGTACTAGTATCTACATGGCCCGGCCCTAGATATAAACGAGTAGTCACAGAAAAGAAAGAAAAAGGCCCCCAAAAATGCGCGATATTGCCTCCAAAGTACTGACGCCAGCAGTATGAGATCGGATGTACCGAGTCCGGCGAGTCCGACCGCCCACCTCCCGCCACCCTTGCTGTTCTTGGTGAATTTTGCTTTAGCAGTCCTTTGAAACCCAATTTCAGACAACGTGGCGCGGAAACACAATTGCACCATATCTCGAAGAAAGGTGGTTGCACTGACTCATCCCTAGCAGACCCGCTGAAACACTTATGCTGGCCTGAATCACGCTATTTGAGCCCGATCCACGATCTCTGTCAAACACTACGCTGGTGGCACGAGACCTCGCGGTACGTATAGAACTGTGCCAGAAGAAGAAGCTGATGATTCTAGATTTCTCATTCGTCCTGAGGCCTGAAGCTCGAAGCTTTGAAGCCTTGAGGATCAAGCGAAGTATCCGCACGCCGGGCTGCAGGGATCCCTAGCGATGTCGATGGAAAAGAAGTCTCCACGGTCGACTGGAGTAGCAAATGTAGGTGGAAAATATTGGGGATGGTTGCGGGGCAGAGGCATCCCCATCCGGGCTAATCAAAGGCGCTACCTCTTTGGGCCAATGACTCTAGTAAGTGCTCTGAAATCACAAAGTGACGATTCCGCTCACTTTGCTTGGGCCGACCGAAGACGGTTTGTTTAATGTCCGTGACTCTGGGTTTAGTACCCCAAATACAATGACCGCTGCTGCCGTGGGCTGCCGTGCCACGCCCGTTACGACCGGGTACTGTACTTGCCACACGCCAACTCGGAGAACGGCTCGTCATCCTTGCATTTGAAATGACCGCTGCCAGGCCGACTCACCGGTTGTATCTGTCACTGGAGAAGCATATCATCAGAGACATGTCGGATCCGCGGAGGAGCGCGCAGCTCCGTCTACATCTTCCGAGAGGTAGCGGGCATCATCAAGCTGCGAAGACAGGTGGGACCCTCAGGCTGCCGTAAACGTTTGCAACAATACCCCTCAACTTGAGGCGCCCATTGCGCCGCCGCGGCGGTGCGTTCATGGGCCCTCTAGAATTGTTTTCCCGTCAAATCCCGACAGCCGAGGGAAAGATGAGTGGGTGAGAGCAGGGTGTATCCAGGTACAGCTTCCGATGGCCTCGAGGTGGGGCAGCAGTGCAGCTTGTGTTGTTGGAATCGGGGGCCCCGCCGGCCACGGGCAACTCTGATGTTAGACTCGAGACGGTCGTGATTAATACGCTGGTGGTTCTCACCGGGCACGGGTCATAGTCCGCGTCCAGAGAAACGGGTATATCCCGGGCGTCATCAGTAGCCGGGAAGCAAAGGTGTTCCAAAAAGCGAACAGATCTTCCGCCGAGCGACTTCATGACTCGTGGATAGTCATCTTGTCCAGGAGCGGAGCGAGTAACGGCACCGTAGCCTCTGCGCTCTACACTTCATCCGGCCAATAGTCATCCCGCCAGTCATGAATGAAGGCCATGACTCACTAAGAACGAAAGGTGGTTCATATTCGCGACGCACGCAACATCGTTTGCGAAGGTATCAGTGTACGCGTGCTCGCCCACACTTACGTCCAAAAGTGGGTACGATGCCGCAGCGATGCCAGTGGCGCTTCCTTTTGCGGGCCGACGGAGGCACTCTCGCAGACAGGTGTCTGGTGGGAGCAGAAGTAGCTTGCCTGGGATAGTTAACGACGGTACTATCCCGGTCGGGAATTGCTTTAGTCAAAATAAAAGGCAATAGACGTACATGCAGCTGTCGGATTTTGCGCGATTACCTGCGCAGCATGGAGCGCATGTAGCATACCGCCCGCCATCCTATCGGGTAAGAACAGATCCGATCTATGACAAGTTCCGTCCAAGACCACGGTCGAGTCTGATAGCCACTCCAGGCGTCGGCGAACCCGGGAGGTGTCCATGACCAGTACGCTGCCGGTATCACAGTCCAACCGAAGTCCGTTTCCAGAGAAAGTGAAGCATTCCAGGTGTCCGCGGAGAGCTGGGATATAACGTCACTGAGGAAAGTGAGTGCCTCTTCCGCCGTGAATCGCTTAGATACTTCACGGTCCGTCATCTTGTCCATAAATGGCGCGAGTAATGGCACCGTAGCTACCGCTCTCTGAACGCCGCGCGGTCAATCAAACTGTTGCCAACTATGGGAACAGATGAAACTCACCGAGAACCACACCCGATACACGTTCCCCAGGCATGCAACATCGTAAGCGAAGGGATTGTACGCATGCTCGCCCAAGTCAATATCCGCAGGTTGGAACGGCGACGTAGTGACTAGGCTTTCTCGTGCGGGCCGACGGGATTCCCGTAGACACGTGTCTGGCGGCAGGTGGATGGACGCGTCAAAATCGAAGATGCAGTAGCGTGCGCCGGGCTGAGAGGTGCGCCTATGGTTATCGAGGATGGGATCCATATCCCAAATTTCAATGTCGGGACTGTAGCAGTCCACAAGCATGTTATTGGGTCGGATATCCTGCAGATAGCGACATCACTCAGAAAGAGAACAGAGGATTTGAATCCACCAAACTTACCCGATGCGCTATGCGGTAGGAATGGAGCAGGACGAGCCCCTAGAGTCGGGCGTTAGTTACGGACGGGACCATATAAATCATAGAAACGAACTTCGAGAGTGCATCGCATAAATTGCAATATATCCTTCACAGTATCGAAGCGGTCTAGATCGCGCAATTCACCCCACCTCGCTAGCGAGTCAGTATATGACAAGCACCAAAGCACCGAGGCTCACCTAGGCATCACAACAAAAGAGTATTCAAAAGGAGTATCCAGGATAGCGACAGGGAGTAAAACGCCGACACATCTGCCATCGCTGACGCGTTCTGCGTGACGCAGTAGTGTTTGATAGATGGGATATTCTTCCATTTTCCTGTTGATAATCTTCAAGGCAACATCCCTGTTCAGGGAATCTTGTGCCCACGCAATCTTAAACTGATACATTGTATCAGCACAGCCCGGCAGAGCGATCGCATAGACAGCATTTACCCATGGAGGTGTCAAATGTTCCGGGGTATGGTCTGCTCGCACGCACGTGGCGTACGGAGGCGACGCAGGTGCAGTGATTGGTGGTGGAAACCATCGCTTGCGTGGTAGCTGCGAATACAGTTTGTATCCACGAGCAGCAAGCCAACGCTCGCAGGATGACCAGTCGAAGCTGACGCTCCCCCGGGGCGGCCATCCTTGATACGGCATTGGCGGGGGCTGTAGCAACACAGTCAATAATCCTTGACTTGTTCCATACCTGATGATGGAAGGCCAGGGCAAGACTCACGTTCGGTAATTTGGTGAGCGGGTCGATCTCATACTGGGTATAATGGAGCGGAGAGAAGTCATCCATTGGAGCCGGGAGCGTAGGTGCGGCTTAGTTGGTCGTAAGTGTAGGATACCGTACGGAGAGACGCGGTTTAGAAAGCGAGCGAAGGCGTATTAACGTTGTGGGTTGAGACGTTGAATTCGGAGCGGCGGCCGCGCGCAACTGAGCGCGTATCGCCACGGTCTCGTGATCTCAAAGCACCTCCTCAGAAGCGCCGGCCCGCCGCGCCTCCGCGACGCGTCGCGATGAGCGCTAAGTTCGCGAAGTTCATCCAACGACTCAGGGGAGGCGTTTGCGTCAGGACTCTCAGGCTGTGCCTCAGACGCACTCCCCGTTCATGATCAATCCTTGGCCGCTACGTGCATAACTACGCCCTTGACCGTCTCTATATCACTCCGGATAACACCACTTACACACTGCCGAACCGCTCCCATTGAAGTCTCGATGGATGGCCACCTCGAGCCAGAGTATACTCAGTATGAAATTGATCCGCTCACCAAGTTGCCGAACGTGAGTCTTTCCCTTGTATTTCACCATTAGGTATGAAATAAGTCTGGAACGTCCTTATTGTATTGCTACAGCCTCCGCCGATAGAATATCAAGAATCTGGAGAGCAAGGATGGCCGCCCTGGGGGAGCGTCAGCTTCGACTGGTCATGCTGCGAGCGTTGGCTTATTGCTCGTGGATACAAACTGTATTCGCAGCTACCACGCAAGCTATGGTTTCCACCACCATTCACTGCGCCTGCGTCGCCTCCGTATGCCACATGCGTGCGAGCAGACCATAGCCCAGAACACTTGACACCTCCATGGGTAAATGCCGGCGGTGTCTATGCAATTGCTCTGCCGCTATGTGCTAATCTAATGTGTCAGTATAAAATTGCGTGGGCGCAAGACTCCCTAAATAGGGACGTTGCTTTGAAGATTATCAACAGGCAAATGGAAGAATATCCCATCTATCAAACACTACTGCGTCACGCTGAACGCGTCGGCGATGGTAGATGTGTCGGTGTTTTACTCCCTCTCGCTATCCTGGATACTCCATTTGGATACTCTTTCGTTGTGATGCCTAGGTGAGTCTCTGTGCTTTGGTGCTCATCCTATACTGACTCGCTAGCGAGGTGGGGTGCGTTGCGCAAATTAGACCGTTTCGATACGGTGAAGGATGTACTGCAATTTACGCGGTGCACTCTCGAAGTTTGTTTCCGCGACTTATACGATCCCATCCGTGACTAACGCCCGATTCTAGGGCCTCGTCCTGCTCCATTCCTACCGCATAGCACATCGGGTAAGTTCGGCGGATTCAAATCCTCGCTCTCCTTCTGAATGACATACAGGATATCCGACCCAACAACATACTTGTGGATTGTTACAGTCCTGACATTGAAATCTGGAAGATGGATCCCGTCCTCGACAATCATAGGCGCACCTCTCAGCCCGGCGCCCGATACTGCATCTTCGATTTCGACACGTCCATCCAACTACCGCCAGACACGTGTCTACGGGAGGCCCGTGGGCCTGCACGAGAAAGCAGAATTACCGTGTCGCCATTCCAACCTGCGGATATCGATTTGGGCGAGCATGCGTATAATCCCTTCGCATACGACGTCGCGTGCCTCGGGAACGTTTATCGGGTATATTTCTCGGTGAGCCCCAGTCATAACTTTAGTCTCCGTGCGTATCGGGCTTACTTGTGTTATGCACAGAGAGCAGCAGCTGCGGTGCCGCTGCTTGCTCCGCTCTTGGACAGGATGACGGACCACGAAGCACCTAAGCGGTTCACGGCGGAACAGGCCCTCGCCCTCCTCAATGGCGTTATTTCCCAGCTCCCGGCGCACGTCTGGAATGCTCCAGTTTCTCTTAAGGCGGACTTCTGGTGGCCGGCAATACCAGCGGCGTGCTGGTCATGGACGCCTCCCGGATTCGTCGAGTGTTGGAGCCACTACCAGACTGGCCCGTGGACATGGGGAGAGCGCGTCATAGATCGGGTCTGCTCGTGGCCGATGGGATGGCAAACCGTCTGCTATGTGCGCGCTATGTTACGTAGGTAATTACGTGCAGGCGATAGTATCGTATATCTTGACCCCGATTAGTACTGTGAAGCCGACTCGTCTTTACAATGCTTTTTTTCAGAGTCGTAAGGCAATTTCGGACGGTATACTATAGCTGTGGATGTGCTAAATTTCTAGTAGTACGACAACCAGTGAGTAATCTCCCACCCTCGACGACGGCTGCTAGTTGTCTACTCGCTACGTCAAAGTCACCACTCACTACACGAAGCATTCCCTGGGGATGCGTACGCGCACCTCACTTACAGCTCTCGAAAAATATATATTCAGTAGGGAAGTAAACGAGGGATAAGGAAACGTGAAATAGTATATAAGAAATGGCGTCAAACCCTTGAGGGTCCACTGTATTCACCGCAGTGGTTACCGAGCTCACGCGTGAAACATTATGCATGAATGATAACTCAAAAGTTCAATAGAGTCACACACAGAGCGTGCGGCGTATGAAGCAAAGCACAGACCACCCCATATCTGAGCTTGCGAACTGCATCAACAGTTTCGACGTCCACGGCAGACTTGGCACCCTGAAATGCGCCCATTGTTTGCGGAACTCGACCGTGGTCCGCGTCCAGTAATTGTCCGAGTCGTCGACGCACTCCCATTCGGTTTTGAGTGACACAGGCGTCATGAGGGCGCTTTCGGGAAGCTCGGCGAAGGCGGATTCGATGAATTCGGCAGCCTGGGCTGCCGTGAATCGGTCCGCCACGCGGTGCGTCGTCATTTTGTCGAACAGCGGCGCAAGGAGAGGAATCAGGGGTACCATGGTCTGAAGGCGTAAATCAGCGCCACTGCGGTATATGCGGGACATCGTGCGTACCGAGAAGAATGTCCTGTAGAGGTTCCCGAGGCAGCCTACGTCGAACGCGAAGGGGTCGTAATAGTATTCTCCACAGGATGCGTCTAACGGGTGATATGGCGGCGCGCCTTCATAAGAGTCGCTAGCGGGGCGCCGGCAAGCGTTTAGCGGGGCGTTAGGAGGGAAGATACGAGAGATGTCGAAATCGTAAATGCAGTAATGCACGTCCGACGGGCTCCGGTGTCCGTAGAGAAGATCGCGCGCATTTTTGGGAGAGTAAGGATTGTAGCAATTCATGAGCATGTTCCACTCAGTGATATCCTAACAACCTGTAAGCGAGGGGTCGTCGTCTGAGTTGATAAGGAAGTGCACATACGCGGTGTGCTACGCGGATTTCGTGCAGTAATCGTAGCCCCTGGGGACCACAAGGTTGAGAGAAGGATGCGCGTAAGGTTGTCTACGAACCTACCTGCGATGTGCACCTCATGAATTGCATAGCTTCGCCGACAGTCCTGAGTTTTATAACGGTTCCAACGTGACCCCACCTGCGTGTAGCCACGATTAGACGACTGGGCCAAGCATGCTAATTGAGCGAAATGGACTCACCGAGGCATCGCAACGAAAGAAAACGGGCGGCCTGTGTCCAGGATAGCAACCGGTCGGAGTACACCACAGCATTCGGTGGGGGACAGGGAATCGGCGAGGTTAAGCAGCCTCTGATATATTCGGTATTCGTCCGAGCCCGTGCATGTCAGTTTGAACGCGATGGGACGGTGCTCGGAGTCTTGCGCCCACCCGATTTTAGACTAATACTGGTTCAGAAATCGACTTGGAATGAGAGTAGGGCGAGCGAGCTCACTATCGGGAAATCATCCCATACACGCGAAGACTCCCCCTCCCGTACACAGTACGCATAAGGCAGCGACTCGGAGGCAGGGGATGTGCTTTGCGGGATGTACCAGCTCACTGCCTTGGACGGAGGGTCGGTCGATACTGGGCGAAGGTTCAAGGTAAATCCACGGACGGCCAGCCATGCTTGCCATCCCTTCCAGAAGGGGGTCATGTTAGGGCAGTTGTAAGGCCATTCTTGTGGAAGCTGTAAACAGCACCAATCTTGTAGCGGGAGTCCGTTGATAATCGAAATTCAACACGTACGTCGGGGCAAAGAACAACGTCTTCAGTGCCATCGTCCGTGTCTGCGTAGTAGCCTTGATCTTGGATATCCTCGTACATACTTTGAAATCGGGGGGATGGATGCAGCAGAGTGAGCGTGTGAGCTAGAATAATGTTCGAGGTGGAGAATAATCCCAACAGTGAAGCAGAGTCGGAGGTTTGCGGGCTCGAGGTAGTGGCGACTGTGGCACAGAAGCAGCGGGACGCGCCTTGAACGTGAGCCGAATTCAACGCCACCTACGAGCCACGTGCACGCGACGCGACGCGGCATGGGCGCCTATGTGCCGTACAGCAGGTCCTCGGACTCGACGCGTCTGTTGCGCGGCACGCATCCGAGTGCAGTACATATTCGATATCGCGCCCGGGAAAGAACGGGCGGGTACGGGATTATGAATGAATTCATTGAGTGATTATTGCGAACGCAGAAGTGCGGCGCCTGGAAACAAATCTGGCTAAACGTGTGGACATGGCAGGAAACTGGGCACGCGTCGATGTGCCCCCAAGCGTCAGAACATCCGGCACGGCCGCACGACGAGTACTATACATCAATGGGGGCGCGGGGGTATATAAATAGATGTTCAAATACCGGCGAACAGATGCGATTATCAAATATCCGGCATCGGTGGTGGTCGCCCAGCCCAGGGCGCGAGCGCATAAGGACAGAGGGGGCCATCGGTGAGTGTTCCAACGTGACTGGAACTCAGGGCTGAGTTGGCTCCAGTATAGGTCTGGGTTATCGATAGGGCCACTGTCCCAGAGGAGGGACACGCGTGAGTCGAGGGTATCTGGAGAAAGTCCTGCTAGGACGTCGCTGAAGAACACGAATGCTTCTTCGGCCGACCACCGATCGTCGATGTCGTGCACTGTCATCTTGCTAATCAAAGGCGTCAAAAGAGTGACAATGGGCATCGCCTCCTACGCATCTGTCAGCCAAAGTCCGCGGTGGAAGTGTCCACTAAAGACTCGCCTTGAAGAAACACAGATAGAGGTTGCTAAGGCACGCAACGTCGAAGGCGAATGGGTTGTAATGCGGTTCGCCGTGGAATACATCCTCCGGAATGTACGACCTCTTGCCCTTGAACGCTTCGTGCGCAGGGCGGCGACATTTCTTGAGAGAAGTGTCGAGCGGCATCTGCAGCGAGAGGTCGAAATCGAACAGAGCGTACTCCACAGCTGGAGACTGAATATGCTCGCGCAGACGCTGAACGCATAGATCCGAGGGCGAGCTGTTGCAGTACCAGTTGATCACCATATTGGACTGGCATATGTCCTAGGTCGTTGTCAGAGAGATCATACTGAAATGGTGGGCGTGCACTGACTCTGTGTGCTATGCGGTGGCGATGAAGGAAGGCCAATCCCTGTGGAGGAAAGGTCGGCATTAGAAGATATCGTATAAGAACAGTCACTGACCGACAGGTTGCAACGGATGAACGTCATGACTTCGCGAATAGTTTCGAGTTCCCTGGGTGAGGGGGTAACGTCCCACCTTCAAGGACTAATTGTTAGCTTAAAAGGATCTGACGCAAGCGACTTAAATCGGCATGGCGACAAAAGCAAACCGATATGGAGAGCCTATGATTGCTGTCGGAGGCAATACGCCAATGAACGCATCGCTGTCGTATAACGACTTGCATTCGGCCAGGTATGTGTAGATGTTGTGTTCCATGGACCCTTTGTCCGCCAGCTTGATGACGAGGTCGCGCTGTTTCTCGTCCTGAGCACAAGCGAACCTGGGCTACGGGATACGTCAAACAAAGGGCGCGACGGTGTGCTGGCACCACTTTCCATAAGAAAGATCGCCGGCGGTTTGGCATGGGCACAGCGATATGCGAAAGGACGTGGCCCAATTGTTGTCTCACTCCGCATGAGCCAAGTACCGGTTTTGCGTAGCGTGCAAAGATGTATTCCAATCGCCGCCAAGGGAGGTCGATAACCTTCCCAGACCGATATCATGCAATACATGGCGTCGATGTCAGCTTTAAGCATATCCGCCACAGTGTCCGTGACCAGCTGTCGACAGTTCGTGAGTGCGCTATGTCAACCAGCCCGGGGCGACCAATCCGGAAGGCCCACCTTTGGTAGAGGCTCCTTCTTATCCAGGGAATTGTCATCGTTCTCGAGGTCGATTACAGAACAGCTCGGTGCATAAGTAATCTCGTAGCAGAGTAGCCTCGCGTTCGGAGGTCGAAGACAGAGCTCGAGCATGAGTTAGCGGGGTGCAATTTGAAGGGGGTGAATGAATGTTGCGAAGCATTCCCCGTGTTTATCCTCAAGGGTAGATGCAGCAAACTTGTAGAGAGGTCGTGCACCCAGAGCTTGGACGCACTCAACGTGGTAGAAAGGTACCACCGACGCCGGGCGCGCGACGCGTCCGCGCCGCAATGGGCGCCAAAATGCGGGAGTCCGGCCTGCTCACAACCATCAGCATCTCCTGTTGGATATTTGAACTTCTCAAGAAAGGCTGGCATCCTGCTCTCTGGGAAAGCAATACTCGAGTAACGACATGCGCACGATGTACCACGGTTCTCAACAGAGAGCACTACCGATTCACTAGCCATATATCTGCCAGGTTTTGAAGCCATCAACCCTCGATATCCTCGTATTCCTCGTCGACACCGAGGAACGACCGTATGTCCGTTGCCTCCACCCCGTTCTGTCGAGTGAAGTGCGAAAGCAACATGGTATAGTTGTCTGCTCGCGTAGCATCTGTGAGCACCCCTGCAAACTCATAGCATATATACACCCCGAGCCACTCACCCGTCCAACGGATCGCTGCTTCCTTCGCAAGGACAACCGCCCGCCTCTTCTCCTCGACTTTCGCAGGATCGCACGCGCCGTACGCTGCGAGCTCAGACTCGAGCTGCGCGTGCTCCTTTTTCAGCGTGGCAAGGTCCTCAAGCATCTGCGTGCGGGTCGCCTGCGCCAACGTTTGAGATGCATTCGGAACATCACTGTGCATCACTCACACTCTCCGGCCTGCTTGCCTTCTCTAATTCTGCTGCAGCGCGCAGCTCATCCAGCTGGCTCTGGAGGGACCCTTGGGTATCTTTCACTGTCTTCAAGCGATTCTGCATCTGTGGATAATCCCAATGGTAAACAGGACGTTCGCGCTTCCCAGCCATGGACGCACCATCGCGCCTCTCTGAGACGGAAAGCTCCAGAAAACTGGATATATGCGCGTGTCAGCCACCCTGGGAAGAACGACGATACCGAGACTGCATACAGTTTGAGGAGCCAATCTTGTCCATCTGCACCAAGCCGTCGTCCACAAGCGACTGCAGCACTTCCTTCACGGTCTGGGAGACTGTATGCACTCAGCCGTCGACCGGCATCTCGTGCGCGAGACTGCTGCATACCGATCCCCTTCATCTTTGGTCCCATCTTCTCCAGTTCTTTCAGCTGTATGCATTTGAGTAAGGGCCCCCTTTCGCTGGTCTGCATAACGCACATACCTGAAAGAAGTCCTTCTGCGAGACCGAGGCGCATATAGCCACATGACTTTGAGCATTGTCGGGCTGCACGCACCGTCTCGTGGAATATCTCCAACAGCTTTACGCGTTTCTCTTCTGCGGAGAGTCCTCGGGGAGCCTATATGCGCGAGACATTCAGCATATTCCCGCGCAATTGTCTCAAACATCGAGCGCGTACCATTTTCTGTTGCTCTTAGGAGAATCTACCGGTCAAGGTTGTGGTGGTCAGGATGCAAGCTGCGACAGAGAAGAGCTTGTCGCTGTCCAGACGTCCAAGACGCACGCAGGCACCCAACGCCGATCGCAGGGTCGATCTTGCGCGAAGGCGCGTCAAGCAGACTGCAGCAGAAGGAGAAGCACCGACCTGACACAATCACACCCGCTCGCGCCACCTCGACGTCGGCGTCGCCCGCGGCCTTCCATCGAACACCACACAACTTACTTCGGACGTCGGACACGTCCCGAGATTCGCGAAAACGATGCGAGTGATTAATAGGCGGAAGCGCAGGTCTAGTACACATGCATCGACCACCGGGAGAGCGCGGAAGGGACGACGACGGGCAGCGAATTACATGGGGCGTGACCAAAATGTGGAATACGTGTAGCGTCCGTCGGCAGGGGGGCAGACAGGCAAACGGACGGGGATGCGGGGATCAGGACCGGGACCGGGACCGAATGCAGAGCGCGGGCAGCAGCGAACAAGTGGGGCATAGAGACAAGAACGGGGAGCAGGGGCGCGAACAGTGAGTGACGGGGGAATCAGAATCGATGTGGGTGATCAATGGAGAATGCGGTATTGAAGGGAGAACGGGAGCGACGAGAGTCCGGTGTGCTTTCCAGCGGGGCAAAGAAAATGTGGAGTGGGAAGCCCGAAGGTTTTGCATTAAGGGAATGGGTGGTGAGGTACTTGTAGTACAAATGCACGGGGCGAGGAAAGCGGATGGCGTAAGGTGAACGTGACGGCTGGCAGAAGGTCGACGATCACCGCAGGACCTCCAGGCGCTGATCCGAAGACGGATAGCGGTACGCGACGAACTCGGGGTCCTGGTCGACGAGCTCCGCGATGTTCTTCTTCGAGATTATCGACATGCGCGGCGCAGAGCTGCTGTGTGCGGAGCCAGGTCCCCCATACCCGTTGAAGCTCGGCTCGTCGCGTTGGTCCGACGCGGAGGAGCGGTACGGGTTGTAGTCGGCAGGCTCCGTCGACCCGTTCACGGAGCCGTTCGTGGCGCTCGGTGCGAAGACTTGCGAGTCCCGCTCCGTGTCCGTCGACTTCTTGCCAAAGAGTGAGGTAAGCCCGAACCGGCTACGCCGCTTCTTCGGCTTCGACGGCGTGGTCATCGCACGCTTGCCACCTTGCGTACCCCACTGCGTCAGCGACGGACTTGAAGCGCCGAACTCCGCGTACTTCTCCTCCGCGAGGAACGGAGGTACGTTGAGTGTCCCGCGTCCGTACGGGCTCCGGCTGGGCAGGCTCTGGACGGCGGGGTGCGGCGAGGACGCCATTCCGCCGAACGACTGTCGCCTGGTGTCTGGCGTCCGGAAGGGCGCTTGCGGAGGCATCAAACCCCGAGACATGGGGTTGGAGGAGTTCTGGAGTAGGTCGTACATGGTCTGTGGTCGCCCGTCGAGACCAGTGTTGCCGGGGAACTCCACTGCGGGCTCGCCGGGAATAGGTGGGAGAGACTTGTCACGGGAAAGGAGTGTAGACTGAGGGCGTTGATGGGGTGGTGATGTACCGGGGGTCGTGGGTCCGGAACTGGACAGCGTCTTTGAGGAGCTGTGTGTTGTGCGACCGCGGTTCTCCAGATCAGGTGAACCGGTGTCGTTGGACGGCCCAAGCTCGAACGCTGATATGCGATGATCAGGCTCCATCTCCTGCTTCACCTGCTCTTTGTGCGCCTCGCCGCTGGACTTCTCCTCGAGGACCGGGTAACGTGAAGACGTCGGCGACGGGAGCGCACTAGAAGGCGCAGTCGGCGGCGAAGGTGCAAACTGTGAGAATCCGTTGGGCGACATCGAAGAGAGCAACGAGGGGGTGGAGACATGTCGCCTCCCCGCGCCTCGCTCTCTGTCAACTAGGTAGGACAGTGGCGGCGGAGGCGCCAAGGGCATGTCGTCCTCGTGCCTGTCGACCGACTTAGACTGGCTGACTCCTTTAGCAGCGCCCTTCGATGAGCGAGTGACCAGCTTCCAGATCTTCTTGAGACCATTCTTCTTCTTGTTGGCAGGAACGGAGGACACGACTGGCTCAGGCGAGGTCTCCCCACGAGGCCATGACTGAGAGGCTCTGAGGGTGGGTGTAGTAGAGGAGATGTCAAGCGCAGAAGGATGTGCAGCGAAGTATGCCTGCTCTTGCTGTAGGGCAACGCTAAAAGAAGGATGCCGTGAGCCCAAAATACGCGAATTTGCTCAACATGACGTACTGCATGTCCATCATGCTACCCGACGGAGCCATGCTATCCCGACTTAGCCACGCAGCGCTCAGGTTCTTGAATCCGAAGAAGCGAGAGCGCCTCGGCGACGACGCAGAACCGACGCTCTGCATGTCCGAGAACGACGCCTGCGACTGAGCGCGCAGTAGCGTCTGTGGCCGCTCATTTCCACCAGTGAGCACGCTGCTCGGGCGCGGCGAGAACGACTGCGAGTGCCTTGAATCGCGGGCCCCAGAGAAGAATCCGCTGTCTATCTGCGGGATTGGGCTTTGCAGCGGCATCGAGTAGACCGAAGCCATGTCGGCCACAGAGCGGGAACTGCGGGACGACTTGCGCGCGCGGCTCTTCTCCCGCTTTTCGTCCTTGCGCCGCCGCTCGCGCTCCTCCTTCTCTTCGCGACGCAGGTCGACGTGCTCGACGACCATGCCATTCTCGAGCAGCGTGACTTCTCGGGCGTGATTCTGCGCGTTGCCTGACGACTTGAGGCGCAGGGCGCCAGTGTCATCCGTGGGTTGCGAGCTGCTGCCGAGCTCGTACGCCGAGCGCCGAAGTTGAGAGAAGGTGTCACGCATCTTCTCGTCGAGCAGCCGAGATTCGCGCAACGTCCGTGCGCGGGCGAGAGCTTCGACCTCGAGCAGCTGACGCTGGGCCTTCACATACTGATCGAGGGTCTGCTGGCGAGAGGATGGCTCTTTAGGGTTCTACAGGGGCGTTAGTGACAGGTACGCGTCGCAGAGCAAGGCACCACCACGCACGATGCTCTGCCAAAACCTCAAGTTCTCTTCCGTGAGTATTCCACCCTTCGCCCTGGGCCGCGAATGAGCGTCCGAAGAGGCACGGCCAGACGGCTCTTCCTCGATCTCCCGTCTACACAGCTCCTCGTACAGGATATCGCTTTCGCGTTCCCAAACCCCAGGGCTGGTGACGTCCACGTCTGCCATATCCTGGTCGCGCATTGCACACTCGACACAGACCTCCTCCTTGGGCACCTGCGGGGGCGAGAACGACGGTTGCATGGCAGAAGAGGCCGTCGGGTTCACATACGTTGGGTGCTGCGAGTAGGCCCGGGGCTTCGGCGAGATGGGGATCTGCTGCATGGTGACGGCGTTGTACGTAGGACCGGCAGACAGGGGTACGATCGGGGACATTGGCTGGGAGCTCGGACCTGCACCTACGCCAGCGCCCGGGATAAAGGAATGGCGGGGCGAGGCGGACGCAGCGGGCGACAACATGGTGCCGCCCCCAGGAGAGACCAACGCGGCATGGCGAGGGGAGCTCGGAGCTGGCGAATCATATCGGTCCCCGAACGCTCGCGGACTTGACAACGGCTGGCCCATGTCTGATAATTGAGGCAAGGGCGACTGGGGCAAGGGAATGTTGTACGGGAGCCGCTGTTCACCAGAGCCGTCGCGCGACGGCCGGGCGGCGGGCCTGTCGAACGAGTACGTCTCCACGAGGGGGGAGGGGCTGGTGGAAGGGTAGGTCGTGTCCTCGGGCCTTGGAGACTGTGCCTCGCGAGGCGTTGCTGGGGGCGCGTTCCACTCCTCGGCGGGCTCCTGCGTGATGTTCTCGCCGATCCACGCCTTTGAAAGCGGGACCGGATCGGAGCTGTGCGACTTTTCGTAGCTGGCACGCAGGGCTGCTGTCATTCCGGCGTCGAACGCAGGGTCAAAGCCGCCGGTGGGAGAGTGGACCGGGGGAGAGGAGGGGGACTGGGACTTGCGGGAGGACAAGGATGGGTAGCGATCGTCGCTGAGGTCAAACTCGGTGAGGGTGAGGCGTTGTGAGTAGCTGTTGGACTGGGACTTGGAATGTGAGTGGCCGTTGGGCGGGACGGGGCCAAAGGAGACGTCGTTGTGGGGAGCGCCGGCGTCCGGGGCAGGAAGCTGGACGGCAGTGGCCATGACGTGCACGGGTAGGAGAGGCCTTGAAACGGTCGTTCGAGTCGTCAAAGAGAAAAATGAGGTGTGCGGGGGGCGTTGATGGGATGCGAACAGCAACTGCACGAAGCGGAGAACACAGGCCGGCGCACGAATATTACGTCTGCGCTACAAAGACGAACGACGCTGAGACGCAGCCCTTGCGCTGCTTCGGGGCTGTAGACGACACCAGATGGCTGGCCGCCGACGTCGAAGAGGCAGGTCGAGAGGAAGGAGAGACAGTGAAGCGGAAGCTGAGAGACAGATGCGAAACGAGAGAGAGAGCGCTGCACCGTTGCGCGAAAGCATTCTTCGGCAAACCCCGCATTGGGCGGTACCCCAGTCTCCGCGCCCCAGTTGTCGCCTACCGATCCAGCCCCGGCCAGAGCCTCAACCTTCCTTGACAATTCTGTGCTCTTCGTTGGTGTACGTCTTTAGCTCTGACAAAATCATCACGCGCGTGCTCAAGGCAGTCCAGGGCAATGCAGACCGCAGGCAGAACGCTCTCATTCGGTATCTATACTCTGGCCCTACTGTAGATAGAGTGGTCCCAACCGCCAGCTCCATCATGATGAGCTCAACTACTTCCGATACCTGGTTTTTGGTTTTCTAGGTCAGCGACTTCTTTCATCACCACGCAGAAGGCTAGACAATGAACGCACCAGAGCACGCCCTTCCTGGACCTCCGCATCTTGCGCTGAAGCTGCAGCATCCCGTAAAGCAACGCCTCCGCCGTGGGCGGGCAACCCGGGACGTAGATGTCCACCGGCACGATACCTGCGAAGTCCAGCCTATCAGCCAGGTACGGCGCTCAATCTCCGAAAGTTACGTACGGTCGCACCCGCGCACAACGGAGTACGAGTAGTGGTAGTATCCACCTCCGTTCGCACACGAACCCATCGAGATAACCCAGCCTAACACATGACACACACGCGGTCAGCGGCCCCATTCTACGCTGCAGAGATATTCCGGAGACAGGGCTTACGAGGCTCGGGCATCTGGTCGTACACCTTGCGCAGGGCGGGGGCCATCTTGTTCGTCAACGTTCCCGCGACAATCATGATGTCGGACTGCCGAGGACTGGCACGGAAGACGACACCCAGACGATCCTGGTCGTACCGCGCTGCGGCCATGTGCATCATCTCCACGGCACAGCAGGCGAGACCTGAAAGGGGAGGTTCACACGAATTCAACGAGACGTCTGCAGTGGCAGAACGAAAGGGGCGCACCGAAAGTCATGGGCCACATAGAGCCCTGCCGTGCCCAATTTGCGACCTTGTCGAGTGTAGACAACACATATTCCGCACGGTTCGAAGGGGTCTCCAGGCTTAGCTGGTTCGAACCTGTCTTCGCAATTTGGGTGATCGGCTCGGCGGGGTTCGTAGAGTTGGTAGGAATGACAGAGGGCTTAGAGGCAGGGCGGGAAGAATGAAGTTGGCGATATGCTAGAGCAACAGAAACAAGATTTTCGTTGAAAACCTGGGGTACACTCTTCAGGTTGGGCAAGGAACATACCGGCGACACCGACTTGCGGCCGCAGAGCTGCTCGCCGGCCTGCGTTGGCGACTACGAGGCGAACCGTATAAGCAAGAGCCTGAAGCTTCTGATGGTGTTGCGAACTTACGAGCTGCTTGGGTGACAGAGAGCGACATGATGGTGGGGGACGGAGAGACTGTGCTCGCCGTCGGTGACGATGAGCGGAAGGTGTTTGCTAAGCGCGCATTCTGATTGGGCCGCTCGGCCCACCCGTCGTTCACCGGGGAACCTCCGGCGGGCGTCTCCGGCTCAGCATAGGCGCCATGTCCGTCCTTTCGAATCCCCTTCAGGGCATCGTGCATTTGATCATTCAACACTTCAAACACGGTAGTCGGTGAACGAGGAATGCATCGAGCGACGCTTGATGGTTCGATAAATTGGTGTACAGTGGCATAGGCTAAAGCCTATCGGGAGACATTATACCGACAAATCCAAGAGGATACAGTACAGTTTCGAATGGACACGACTATAGAATGCAAAGACGATGAGGATGTGCGCGGACAGGAACATATGCAAGTGGTCGTAGAATGCGATGATAGTGTGGACAGTGGAGGGTAGACAAATCTGTATAAGGTTAATGCGAGGGTATCAATTGTATGCGATGTGTAGGGTACGAACGACGAGGAATGGAAGAATACTGCGATGGAAACTCGAACGCGTACGACATAATGATAGTTCTAGGTCCGAATGGCGCCAAATGAAGACGCACATGAGTGGCAATGATATGGATGCAGGAGTCCATCGAAGACCACGTCAGGTATGCTTTGGGAGCACCCTAATCGCGACCAAGGCACTCCAGAGCGCCGTCCAACCACGGGTGGTTCCGGACTTCGTGGATGTCTGCGCGCAGAAGCGGGTCCTTCTCCAGACAGCGCGCCATGAGCATAATGGAGGACCTGCTCAAGCGGCCGTACTTCGGCTCCCGGATGACGACGCGTCCGTCTTTGGCGTCCTGTTCGGTGGGAAAGGGGGAGTGACCGGTGAGAAGGTAGGACAGGAGCACGCCCAGCGTCCAGACCTCCGCGGGAGGTGCCTGGTAAGGTTTCTTCAGGAGGATCTCGGAAGACGCGTAAGCCGTAGTGCCGAAGAAGAGGGTGTAGTACGGGCGGGGAGCCGTTGGGTCGGCGACCACTGCGCTGCCGAAGTCAATCAACTTGACCTGCGTCGCAACCGTGTTAGCATCGCCGGCAGAGATCATTCATTAGAGATGTACCTTCAGCTCGGAGTCGACGACGAGGTTCTCGTCTTTGATGTCGCAATGTGTGATGCCCTGGCTGTCGAGATAGTACACTGCCTCCACGACCTGCGCGAAGATGTAGCGCGCCTCGTTCTCGGTGAGTCGTTTGTGCTTGCTCTGTTCAATGCATTCGAACAGATCGTGCGAAGCGCGCCGCGCGAAGCCCGGCTTTTCGAGGGGTGCCTTGAGCAAGCCAACATCGAGGCTGTCGTGCACGCTCGAGTTGGAGATGTCAGCGAGCTTCCCGTGGGAAGCGGGCGCTAGACCGCCTGCATTGATGGGAACGTGCGGAGGTGTATGCGGCGCGAAGTCGAGCGTCGAGTCGATGGAATGGGAAGGAGAAAGCATCGGGGTTGTCGATGGCGTCGGGACAGCGAGCTTCCCAGGGGCCGACGTCGGCTTCGCTATCTTCTGCTTCTTCGAGACCCATGGCGTTCCGTGGAGCTCCTGGACCTAGAGTCGTGAATAGATCAGTATGAGTATATCAGTATACCGCAATGGGATGGCGCGCATCCTGCTTACCAAATAGAAATACACTTCATCCTCGAACAGGTCGAGGCACCGCACGATGTTCTCGTGGTTCACGAGGCTGAGCAGCATGACCTCGGTGGGTACGCGCCCGAACATCTCGTCCTCCCACCACGCGTGCTCTGGCACCTTGTCCTTGATGATGAACTTCACGGCGACCTCGTGCCCTTCACTCCGATGCCGCGCGGTCATCACGAAGCCATATCCGCCAGCGCCGAGCTCGTCCTCGAGACGATAGTTGCGGACAAAGTACGGGTTGAGCATGTGCTCGGGGTGAAAGAGCGCTGAGTATCGCCGCCCCTTGCAGAGCAGCGAGTCCTCATGCGTCGGTGACAGTAGAAGTGATGGGTGATCGTCCATGTCGTCACAGCCGATGTTAGATAACGAGAGCGAGGGAAGAGAAGGAAGCGTGCTCCCTGACGGAGAAGCATCGGGGTAGAGGAAGGGCGACGCGGAGGAAACGGGGGAACTGGCCGGGAACGTTTGTCGCGTCGGGGTAAAGGGCGACGCGGTTGGGTCGAGGGTGCGCGCGGAGTAGCTGGGAGAGGTGATGGTGTTGCCGGATGGAGATGAGAATGTCGGGAAGAGGAGGTCCTGGGAGTGCTCCGGGCCCGGAGACACTGAGGGAACGCGCTGCGGAAGGCAGCGGTATTGTGGCGAACACATGTTCGCCTTCTCATCATCGATGTAGTGTTCGGGGGAGCTGTAGGCGTCCTGCGAGTAATCGGGTTGATCGTATACGTCACACGAAAGGAGGCGGTGGTGGTGATGCTCTGTGAGGGGTGTGTTAAGGCTATCCCCATCGTCCGAGGACGCGTCGCCGGCGTCCATCGGGGGAGAAAACGTGTCGAATTTGGGGATGTGGACAGGTGAGAAATGGGGAGACTCAGAGACAAACTGGGGAATCTGGACAGGCGAGAGACGCGGGGACGCGGAGCCAGAGATCGGACGCATCGCAGGAACGGACGAGAAGAGGGACGCGAGAGCGGGGAGGAGGTGACACAGGAACACGCGGAGAGATGGTGGGGGGACGAGACGAGAAAGAGAACATGGGGGCTCCCTATTTATTCGAACCAAGGAGCCAATGTTCGGGAACGGACGATCGAATGGGCGACCGAACTGTAGTTGGCCACAGAAGCGAGGCGGCCCAAGAAGGAAGCAGAGTCGATCACCGTTCTTCCACACTCGTCTGGCCTCTGCGTGTGCCTTGTCAACATATCGCTCTAAGCCACACAAAATCCGGATTGCATATACTCACGCAACAACGTCGGAGGTCCGATAGAGCGACTTTCCAAATGCGCGGCGTTTTAGCTGTCGATCACCTAGATACTTCGCGATGAGCATGGCCCTTCATGATAGCCGTGGTCAGTCTGCTACTCTGCGTCATGTCTCGAGAGTGACAGACAAAGCCGACGCGCGTGAGCACGCGCCCACGCTGCGTGAGCTTGACAAGGAGAGTTGGGAGTCAGACAAAGAGTGGGTGCGAACCCAAACGCGCAACAAGACGCGTGCGCGCCCACGCTGGCCTGGGTAAATTACATTACGTCAGAAAAGGGAACATTAATGCTTTCGTGGCACTGCATTCCTCCTCGACTTTAGCGGCCGGCGGCGACTCGCCTCTCCGTCTCCGCCGTCCAAATGCCAGCGTCGACGACAGTTCGAGTCGCTGAGCGCCGCGCCGAGCGTCCGAGACCAGCATTACTTCGGCTCCTCCGCCAGGGCCCACATGTAATATACGCCTTCAGGAAAGGTCAGCGTTTCTGCGACGCGCGGGGCAATGACGACAGTGGCTTACCGAGGCTGCGATATGGCTGCCAGCATTCCGCGAGGTCTTCCATCTCCTTCGGGGTCAGCAGCGCACCCCTGCGACACACGGTCAGAGCCCGGCGGTGCATACGCCATACCAAATTTACACCCACTTAACCTTCTTCCCGCTCAGCCTGTTCTTCATCACTGCGACAGTCAGGCCCTCCGGCAAGGGCGGGGGCGTGTATTTCCCGCCGTCCTCGGTGGTCGTCGTCTTCATGTTTAGCGTCTGGGCGATCGACGGCGTGAACGGCGCAGGGAGCGGGTTTTCCGAGCCACCGTCGTCCGCTGCCTTCTTCTTC